TATGTAGGATCTAACTATGCGCCGCGCCCACTGCTGCTAAATACGCGTTTATGCGTGCGGCCTACCCTGCCCCGCAACGCTTGTCGGCTAAGGTCTAGGCTAATGCCCAGACCCACACCAAGGGTAAATACCCTTACAGCAGGGAGTTTCCTAGGAAAACGGGAGCAGAAGATAGGTAGTCTGAATGACCAGGTATCTAGCACAGCTAAGAGGGACATGCACTCGGATTCAGCCGTACAGGGAATCTTGGATTTAATACCTTCTTCCTATAAGGACTCGCAGACGGAGGTTGAGAGACTATATTTAGTAGACGGATATCCCTACGTAGGAAGCCAGTTAGTTAGACTCGTTAATTATAATTAACAATTTTCAGTACTTCTCATCCATTTTTAGTATCCTTCAGCAAATACTTCTCGCAATCATGAAGTTTATAGTTGCCCTTTTGGCTGTCCTAGCCGGAGTAGCAGTGGCGAGCCCTACGAAACAAGTAAGCAAATATCTAGAGGACCAAGATTTGTGCAGCAAGAGCCATCATTAAGCTCTCTCGTTACTAATAAAACGGGAATCATTTAGTGTGTAAGTACCTCTATATAGTCAACGGGGAGTCTGGTCGAGGAATGCTAACAGAGCTAATAACTCTAGCTTGTATGTTCTTACCCCCGTGACCGACAGAGCGTCTATTGCTAGCGACATACTGATATAGAAATGGACTATAGCAAGTAAGCTCCTATCTCGAATATTAATAAAACGTCTGACTAAGCTAAATGCTAATAAAGCCGGCGATTTAGAATGTATGTTCTCTCCCCGTGACCAACATGTCCGCTGATTGCTAGCCACATGCTGATATAGCGTGTGACTTTAGGGAGTAAGTTCTTGCCCGGCGACGGACTACTGTTATTAATACTGACGTATCTGGCGACTATAGGGGGTAAGCTTCTCTCTATCTTGGTAGGCTGTCTAAAGGGTAGCAGGCGCTAACATAGCCGGCGACATTAGCAAGTAAGTCATCGAATCTTGATTTAGTAGAGCGTCTGAATTCATAAACGTGGCTAATCTAGTTGTAAACGTAGTGCGTAAGTTCCTGTCCCAATACGACTAGGGCATCTCATCCCAGCGGCATACTAATATAGACGGCGACACTAGTATGTATGTTTTACCCTGAGATTGACAGGATATAAGATAGCTTGCATCATGCTAACACAACTTGCGAGCTTAGTCCGTATGTTCTTACTCCGTAGCTTATCAGATAGGAGATAGGTTAAATCATTGATAGCGTGTGACTAATACGGCCTATAACTTTAGTCTGTAAGTGCCTACTAAACGACTAACTGGCGGTTGGATTTTTGCAGAAACTGATGCAGCTGGCGGATAGAGAGTTAGTTCTAACCCAGGGTGCCAAGGTGTCTTATCTCTAGTGCCATACTGATATATCTAGCAACTCTAGTCCGTAAGTTCCTGCCCCGCACTTACTATACTGTCTTACCCGTGATAAAATACTAACGTTAGTATATCTTAGTGTGTAAGTACCTTGAGATTGCTCTTTAGGGCGCTATATCTTACGGCATACTAATTAAACCGGGACTTTAGTGCGTAAGTTTCTGAATATAACCTAAGGGATACACCGTTGGCTGCCAACTAATACAGATGGCGATTCTAGCCCGTAAGTCCGACCTTGACAGGCTTGACTGCTGACGATATGCTAATACTACTGGGAACTCTAGGGAGTAAGTAGATTCCCGTGATAGGCAGAGCATCTGACTGCTGGCAGAAATGACTAACATAGCTCGTGAATCTAGTCCGTAAGTTCCTGCCTGCAACTAATAGATTATCAGGTTGCTGGTGGCATGCTGATGTAGCGGACTATTTCAGAGAGTAAGTCGTTGATCCGCTCTGCTAGGGCGCTCGAATTGTTAGCAGAATACTAATATACTTGTGAAATTAGTGTGTAAGTTCTATTCGATAATAAGGCACCTGCAGTCTAATTACTTGCAACATGCTGATATAGCTGGCGACCATAGAAAGTAAGTTTCACCCTTAGGATAAATATAGAGTGTCTAGTTGCTGGCGACATGCTAACAATGGTTGCAACTTAAGCCAGTAAGCGCCCACCTCGTGCAATGATTTTTCTGCTAGCAGAATATTAGTGTAGCTGACAACTAAAGATTGTAAAATCTACCTCCTTCATTCGTGTCCTCTGATAGCCAGCAGCATGCTAATATAGCAAGCGACCAGGGAGTAAGTTCCTACCCCTTAAGTTATAGGGCGTCTTGATGACTGGCAGAACACTAACTCAGCTAACTATTTTAGGGAGTAAGTTCATACCTTAAAATTAACAAGGCGTCTGACAGTTAGAAGAATGCTGATACAGCTAGCGACTGCAGGCTGTAAGTTTCTACCCCGTGATAGCTCCGATTGGTTGCTAGCGGCTAGCTAATATAGTTGGAATTTCTAGTATGTAAGTTTCTCGCCTGTTGCTGACACGGTGTTGTGAGCCGGCAAAATTCTGATGTATCCGGCGACGATAGGTTGTAAGTTACCATTACTAAGAGACAAGTCTGTCTATTTGCTGTCCGAATGCTAATAGTGGGCGGTTTTAGTATGTAAGTCATCATTCAGCATACTGCCCACATGCTGATATTGCTGGCGACTCTAGCTTGTAAGTTCCCTCGGCATAACTAATCGGATGTTTAGTTACTGCTAGAATGCTAATATGGTTGGCAACTCTAGATCGTACGTTTTTGCGCTATAATGGGTCGCCTTGTTGCTAGCAAACATGCTAATACAGCCGGCAACTCTAGGCTGTAAGCTCCTACCCCGTGGCTGATAGGACGTCTGATTGCTAGAGATAGGCTAATAGAGTTGGCCACTCTAGGGGGTAAGTTTTATCCCTCCGAGTTCGTGATAGATACGGTGTTATTGCTATTCTAGAGCATTGCTGATATAGCTGATGGGTTCAGCGTGTAAGTTTTTGCCCCTGACTGAAAGCGTGTTCAATTGCTGGAAGAATGCTAATATAGCTTTAACTGTAGTGCATGCCACGTAACGCATAGAACGGTAGGTCGGCGGGTCTAGGAAAGCCTTGAGGAAGAAAGTGCCTTGAGGAATGGGGAGACGAACGACTTTCTAGCTCGCCCGCCGACTTGCGTTGAGGAAGCAAGATCTTCATGCCTTAGGGAATAGAGTGAGGAAATGCTTACTGCCGCTTAAAGGTGATTGTTCTAGGCTAATCGAGGTTATAGCTCAGACTTCGTGCCTGGAGGAACAAAGAGACAAAAACGCATTACACTTTACCACCATTCGACTCTCATGGTGTGCGGAAAATAGGGTTAGGGAACGGATGTTGTTACCTGCTTCTATTCCCTAGGAGGGGGTTTATAAATATATAAAAGTCGAGATTATTTGCGACATCTCGTATATCATGAGCACGCTGGTAATACCATCGTGACCGCTGCTTAGCGTCGCCCATAGGTATATCCCATCATCCCAATTAACAGCGTAGAAAAGCCTTAACCCGGTACTGATCGATTCTCTCAGGTCAAACCCTGACCGCCACAAGACCCGTTAGCTTCCTGAGATAATTCGGCCCTTTTGCCTGTCCGTGCCTTTATAAGTACTGTAAACTAGGCATGCCCCTCATTCCTATTGATACATGCTTTGCAAGTTTGACTCGACCAGGTTCATTCCTCTGCCTAGTCGCTACACAATTCTCGAGAGATCTTGCAATTCTCACTGCTAGCAAAATCTTCTCCCGCTTGCTTATAGTGTCCCTCCTCGCAGAAATTCAATGTGCCCAGGCAACTTTGGAGTCGCTTGTTGACCTCATTTGCCTCGAGCGCAGCAGTGCACTACACATGCTTGTCTATCTTCGACTGGCTCCTGGATATTTTTTTGTCGGAGGCTCGTCACGGTAGATACTTTCCAAGTTCTGATTTCTCGTCCTCGCTTGGTGGGCCAAATCATGGGAAGCTACGGCCTAGTTAATGGCCGCAGCGTGCCATGTGGACACAGAAGTGCCAACACGCCTTCCAATCTTACTGATCCGCCAAGCGACATAGAGCTGGGAACCAGATGCGACTCGAGAAGAGGAAGTCCTTCTATAGTGCAGTGCGGGAGGAGTGAAGGTGCCAGCAGAGGCGGCTCGGTTAGATTGAATCGGATGAGGACTTATACAAAGTCATCAACTGACACAATTTAGGACTCGATTAACAAGCAGATAGCTTACGCTATCAAGCGCACACAAAAGCAGGGAAGTGTGGCTGGTCAAGGCGCAGCGCCGATACTACATATTTAGGTGTGCATATTCCCTGCGCCTACGTTGCAAACTGTGAGGAAACCACTAGGTTGTGCAGGCAAAAGTGAAGTGACACTCCGACAGATGACCTGGAAGTGGACCCTATATGCCATGGAGGTGCTGGTGGCAGCTGACACAAACTATAGCAGTGGACTATTCCCACCACATCACAAGCAACATAATAGCCCCAAATTGAAGCTATTCGCACTACACTTTTCGTTACAAGCCTATAAAGCTACGGAGTCTCTTTTCGCCTGTTTGTTTCCCTCTCTACAGGCAGCATAGGTAACTGTCAAGCTGGTAAAATACCGCTACACCATGCGAAATGAGGGCACCCCCAATAGAGGTGTTACTAACGCGTATTATAGGCCCTTTCTTGTCCTGATAGTAACATATAATGAAACTGCCAAGGAACAAGCCTTCGCCTTCGCCGTCCATACAGAAAGGCCAAATGCAGCCAACCCAGTATACACTTGCCTTTGCTACTTAAAGAGCTACAAGCCTGTAGACCAAGGCAATAAGGCTATCGCCAAATACTATAAGACAAATACATAGATAAACTTGATGCCCCTTCCAGCTAGGCCTGAAGTTTAACAAGACAAGTGGACATCCATTTGTCCAACGTAATAACGCATAAGTAACTTACATACAATACTTGAAGTGGAACTTGCATAGATGTATTTGTAAGCCATCATTGTTTGCCTCCAAGATGAATAAGAAATGTCAACCAACCTCTCCTTACCTTGTCTTCCGCCTGACATCACACCCACATCGACACGCTCTCGGCTGCTCCGTCTGCCATGGCTCCCATCCTCTCCTCATCTTCGGCGGTGCGTCGATTGGCTACGCGTACGACAGGCCCGAGGCCGTGTCGGAATTGCTCAGGACGCTCCGGTCGCTGGGCATCACCCGGGTCGACACGGCTGCTCGCTACCCACCAACTAACCCCGGGGCTTCCGAGCGCCTCCTGGGCGAGGCTGGAGCGGCCACACAGGGCTTTGACCTGGACACCAAGATCCTTTGCTGGGGCGACGGCTCAGGCACTCTCGAACCTGCCGCCATCGAGAAATCGCTCCACGAGAGCCGTCGGCGCCTGCAGTTGCGTGACGCAACGGTCAACGTGCTCTTCACCCACATGCCAGATCCAAAGGTCTCCTGGAGGAGCAAGCCGCCGGTCTGAATGCTCAATACAAAAGGGGTCTCTTCAACAAGGCAAGGCCTTCGTCGGTGCTCTTTTCTGAAGAATCGGACCAAGAGTCTGACGTTGCATGTACCAGCTCGGCGTGTCCAACCTTTCCCCAGAGATGCTATCCGAGTTTCTCGGCATATGCGACGACAAGGGCTTCGACAGGCCGAGCGTGTATCAGGGGCAGTACAACTTGATATTCCGTGGAATCGAGACGACGTTGTTTCCAACCCTCCGCAAGCACGGAATGACTCTTAATGCTTACAGGTAATGTCTCCTTTCTTCAATGAACTGGGCCTTTGGTTCACGCATCACAGCCCTTTGGCTGGAGGCTTCCTCAGCGGTCGGCTCTCTGCCGGAGAGACCGAGGGTACCCGCTTTGCAGAGGGAAACATCATGAGCCAGTAGTTTTAGGACCCAGTACGACAAGGAGGAGATGCATGACGCTATCGATCGTTTCAGCAAGACAATCGAACCCCTGGCAATCTCCAACATCGAGGCGAGCATGCGCTGGATCAGCTCTCACTCTGCTCTTGGGCCCGATGATGGCGTCATCCTTGGAGCGAGCAAGCCGTCGCAGCTGGAGCGGAACCTCGAGGGCATTGCCAAACACAAAACTCTCAACTTATCCCCGGAGAGCCAGCAATGGGAGTCCCCGAACCTTCAGCTGCAACACCAACCTTGCAATTGTTCAGGGTACACCTCGGTCATTCAATGGCAAGACGATCGTTTTGACCATCTTGCTCATGAAGCCGTGCGTGCAAGCAGTGGGACAATCGCGAAATCGCCCGACGGAAAGGAACACTGCTCGACTTTGTGTTTCTCAGCGATGCGACCTGAGACCAGAACCCTATAGCTAGCTATGCTAGTGAGAATGTGGACATGTTGTGCGTTGTTGCCGAGCTCTATGACCCACTTTAGGTTTTCCAAAGACTTCAGGGGGACGGGTTTCTGCTGGATAAAGTATAGGAGATGCTTAGGCTGGCAAGGTCGAAATGCTAGGATTCCCGAGATACTAGAATTATCAAGACGCTGGGATTGTTGAGTTGCTAGGAAAGTTGAGGTACAGGGAAGACTGAGATGCTAGTTACCTTAGTATATTTCAAGGCACATAGTTTACCTGCTATTCAGGTGAACTACGGGTAGTTATAACGTATAGTACTTGATACGCGAGCCAGATAGACAAGCGAGCTGGACACTCAACCGCCGCCATCTGAAGGTGTTTCAAAAGAAATTTAGCCTCAGAGCGTCAAATCAATCGAAATCAGCTGGAATCATCTTGCTTAGATGTCTTTATATCTTACAAGTTCTTACGTTATGTTAGCCTCGTTAGGCAGGCCGCAGGACCAAGGTTCTGACAAATGTCTGCATCTGCTTAGGTAAACCTACCGCCGCATATGCCCCTTGGGAGGATAAACGGTAGGGGCCTCTTCGCTGAGCATACCAGCGGGGTTCGCCCGGCTCACTCGCAGTCGCCTGATTGGCCGGGGCGCTGGAGCCAAGCACGCATTTCCCTCTGTGTCCCGACGCGGGCGTTGCCCGGCAACCAGAGCCAAGTTTGCTTTTGAGCTCGTCCACCGTTCCACCATCCCTGCCACAGCTTTTGCCGGCAGCCAGCCACATTACAGAATAACGGCCAGACGACAACCGACGCCTTTTCGTGCGGACCCGGGCGATTGCTTGCATGCATCGGTAGCATCTTGGCGTCTCGAAGCTCAAGGGGCTTGCTCTCTCGCGGGCGGCGCAACGGCCTCTTCTCCCTTCCCCCGTTCTCGCTTCTTCTTGGCCCCCTTTTGCTCCTCTGCGGCCTGTCCCTCTTGACAGTCTCTGACGTCTTGACTTCGCGCCTTCAATCCTCCCACCGGATGCCGCAATGTCCATCCGGGTCGTCGCGAGGATACGTCCGCTGCTGGAGAAGGAGCTCGACAAGGACATGATTGTGCGATCCGACAGGGTAGAGCCGGGCAAGCCTGACACGATTGTCAAGATTCCGAATCCCAAGAACGAGGCCGAGGAGTTTTCCTTTGCCTTCAACGGCGTCTACGACCAGCCCACGTCCCAGGAGACCTTGTTTACTTGCGAAGGTGCGGGCCCGTCACCATGCAGGCACACACGAGGACCAGCACGAGCTAACATGGCCATGAAAACCCCCAGTACAACCGCACCTCAAGTCCCTCTTCCAGGGCTACGATGTCACGATATTCGCCTACGGCGTCACGGGCACGGGCAAGACGCACACGATGCGAGGCGGCCTCAAGCTCGCGGAGCGCGGCGTCATCCCGCGCCTGCTCAGCGGCATCTTCCGCCGCGGCCGCAAGATCGCAAAGGACACGGCCGGCCAGACGACGGCGCGGGTGAGCCTGTCGTACTACGAAATCTACAACGACAAGGTCTTCGACCTGCTCGAGCCCCCCGAGAAGCGCACCCCGGCCGGCCTGCCTCTGCGCGCCGAGGCCAACGGCAGGACCGTCGTGGCCGGCCTCTCGGAGCGGGCGTGCGAGGACCTGCGAGACTTTGAGAAGCTGTACATCGAGGCCAACGCGAACCGCGTCACGGCCGCCACCAAGCTCAACGCCCACAGCAGCCGCAGCCACGCCATCCTGCGCGTCAAGCTGACGCAGACGACGGGCGGCGCCGTCCTCGAGAGCACCGCATCGGCCATCGACCTCGCCGGCTCCGAAGACAACCGGCGCACCGACAACGGCAAGGAGCGCCTGGTCGAGTCGGCGGCCATCAACAAGAGCCTCTTTGTCCTCAGCCAGTGCATCGACGCCATCTCGCGCGGCGACAAGCGCATCCCCTACCGCGAGTCCAAGATGACGCGCATCCTGTCGCTCGGCCAGAACAAGGGCATCACCGTCATGATTCTCAACCTGGCCCCGCTGCGCAGCTACCACCTCGACACGCTGAGCAGCCTCAACGTCAGCTCCCGCGCCAAGCGCATCGAGGTCCGCGAGATTGAGAACGAGGTCGTCTTCAAGCAGGTTCCTAGGGCGAACCCGGGCGTGGCACCGGGCGGCATCGCCCGTCAGCCGTTGCGGCCGCTGGCCAACGCGCACAACGTCCACAACGGCAACATGGCCGCCAAGGCCGCCGAGGCCAACAAGCCGGTCAAGGCCTTTAGCGTCTACACGGACAAGGCCAAGACTTCGTCGTCGGTGGCGGCGGCGGCACGTTCCGCCGTCGGCGCCGCCAGTCTCGTGCCGCGCCCGAGCACGCACAAGCGCCCCCTAGAACACGAGCAGGCTTTGAGGCAGGCCAAGGCCGCCCGGCCGGCGGCAGAGGAGCAGATCACCATGTCGGCGGCCGATATTGAGGCCATGGTGGAGAAGAAGGTCAGCGAGATGCTGGCAGCGAGAACGGCGGCCGCCCCCGCGTCGTCGTCGCAGGCTGGCCCTCAGCAGGCCGACTTGAGCGAGGCGGTACAGAAGCGGCTCGAGGCGCTCGAGCGGCGCGTGGAAGGCGACGACTGGCGTGGCGACACCAGGTCCGATGGGCTCCGCTACCTGTTGGCGGCCCGACAATGCAAGCAAAGGGGCGACGACGCCGCCGCGCTCAGGGCCTACGAGATGGCGTTGCCGTATTTCCCCGGGCAGGCCAAGCTGCTGAGCAACATTGAGCGACTGCGGTCTGCCTTGAGCGCCTCGGCTGAAGACCCACTCCAGTCGGCAAAGGAAGGAAGACGCGCCAGGGCTACAGTCCATGACGACGAAGAGTGGGAGGAGGGGGAGGAGGAGGAAAGGGGGAGCGACGGCGGCGAGTGGAAGCCTCGCAGCAGAGCCAAGCCCAAGTCAAAGCCGAGGCCGACGTCCCTGCCGGCCATTGCGGACAAACATTCCCCCTCGGCTCCAGCATCGCCACGCACGAGACGGCTCCTGGATGTGGTCAACTCGCGAGACATGGCGCGGATCCGGGGCCTGGCGGGCTTCGGCGCCAAGAGAGCGCAGGACCTGATCGACTATCTGGAACTGGCGGCGCTCGAGGCCGACGACGGGAGCGGCGGTGGCAGCATCGAGAGCCTGGAGCAGCTGCGGGCGCTGCCCGGCATGGGCTGGCGGACAGTCGAGAGGGCCCATGCGGGCCTAACGACGATGACTTGAAGCGCTCAGAAGCGGGAAGCTATTCTTGGCTCCTGGCCTCCCGGTTTTTGGGCATTGAACAGCGAGTTTTGGGAGGGAGGCGCGGTTTCAGCATCAGGTGCGGTGATGGGCTTATGCGCGTCGTCCTGTTTTCTTCTTCTTCTTGTTCATTATCTTTGGCCTATTTCGAGGACGATGTCGTTTCCTGTGCGCTGCAGCGGAGTTTGGGTGGGCGTTTGCTGGCCGCGCGACGGTCGAGGCTGCATCGGCTTCGTTAAGGTCTGGCTTCGGGGGAGGGGGGGGGGGGATGAGCATTGCGCATAATTCTTCTTGTTTTGATTTCCCCTGGGCATCATCACACCGCTACGCCCAGTGTTTTGACTATATGCTGCGGGCTTGGGATGAAATGCCTGACTCCGAGAGTCGTGTTCGAATCGTCTGATCCTGGACCCCTTTTTTCTGTCCCTCCCCGTGGCCGAGTCTACGTGGAGATGCTCTGGACCCTCGTCGATGGCGGGAAATTCATGCCTCAGTTCCACAGCGTACAGTATGTATGCGAGCGTATCCATTCGGCTTAGCTGCAAGGAGGGCGCAAAGCTTCTTAATCCACCATCTGACTTTTTCCTTTCCACGGCCGTCAGTGCGAAGCCACCCACCCACCCCCTTTTCCAAATTAACAACACCAACGCAGCCGTTACAGACTGTCGAGGCCGCCGTCGCCCGAGTCAAACATGGCCTGTCGCACCAGCGACCAAGAGCGCTGCCCGTCTCGGGACCCGCCGCCCTTGTCGCAAAATGCTCCGGGGCGAGACACGGGCCTCGTTTTGGGGGCGTGTTGCTCCAGCCCGGACCGGACGATTCGAGGCGGCTGCTGTGCTTGGTCGAACGCATGGGGAAAGGGTTCACAGGGCCACCCTGTCGGCAACATGCATCCGTATTTCGGTCGCGTGTACACACCTACACGGTACAACAATGTACATGCTTCTCTCCCCCCAGACTGATATCCCGTCATTCCTTCGGGCCGTAAACATCGGCGTCTCGAAAACCCCCAGCTCCCTCTTGCAACCCCTTCCTAGCCCCCTCTTCTTTTCCCAGTGGATGAGGCATGAGGCTGTGTAGTCCCATCCGTGTGGGTATCCGTCCACACTGCCAAACTGCGTCCTTACCAGCGCGAAAGCCCATCACCTTGAGCTCCAGAAAATCAGAGAGAGCATCGTGTAGTAGTAGTCGTCGTCGTGAGAGACAAAGTCGCCATCGGTCGTGCGCACCGGAACAGGTTCATCATGTCCCAGTCCGCAGCCCCTGAATCGCCCCCCTCTTTCGCACTGTTTCCGGCTCCGGAAAGGTCACACCGGAACGGCGCCGCAATGTGCCGCCCAAACAGCAAGGAATACCGCGTAACTTCCCCCGTCTCTCTATCTGATCATGCTGGTCTGGCGTTCAATGACCTGCGGCCTGTCCTTGCCAAAGGTGTTTCCAAATCCAGGCATTGAGCTGAAGCGGTTCAGTCTCTTGCGCTCGGGCGGAGGGGATTGGACGGCCTCGGCGACAGTCATCATGGAACCGTTGTTCCGGGCGGCGGCGGCGTCCGCGACGGCCTTGTCGCCGTGGAGAGCGTCGACACGAGTTGTGCTGGAGTCGGTCGACGAACCGGTGCTGTTGGGGGTTTGGTAGACGTACTCGCCATCAACGTAAATGGCATTGGAAACAAAGGTGGAGCGGCGGTTGCGGTGACGGGTGTAGCGCTGCTCGAGGCGGAACAGCTCGAGCTTGGCCTGAATCCGATCGATGAGGCTTTGACCCATGGTTGCAGAGGAGCCCGGAGTAGCAAGGGGAGACGGTATGTCGCCGGAAGGTGATGTGTTGGAGAGAAGCGTTTGTGATGGCTTGCCGACTTCGTATCGACGGGCAAAGCCGTTGCAGTGGCCGGGTTCGAAGCCGTGCTGGCTGCGACTGGTATGGGGTTTTGGCAGTTTGTAACCGGCGGTTTGTGGGGGAGCCTTTGGACTCTCGAGACCGGTGATGGAGGGCGTTGCTGTCCGACGTAAAGGAAAAATAGGGAGCGAGGGTGGCAGTCAATGGGTCGGAGGATGGAATCACCAGGATTCAGGTTCGAGACGCGAGGCCAGGGCAGACAGGAGCTTGTTGGACAAGGAGGGCGTTTCAACTGCGTAGTGAGCGACAGACTGTGAAGGAGATGTGATGGGAGCTGGAGAGAGCGGGAGGAGCATGATTAATTAAGAGAAAATGAGCGGCAGCGAGAGAAGAAACACGACGTTGTAGGGGAAAAAGAAGCCGGCGTGGAAGAGGGGGGAGAAAGACTGGGGGGGTTGCAAAAGAAGACAGGGGACCGAGGGCGTTACAGGGGATGGCCGAGAGGGCGGGACGGACAGGTGGGGGGGATGGGGGGGATGACCAGTCTGGAACCTCGACTGTTGCAGGGCTCGCGTCGCCTGGACAGGCAGCTGTTACGGGGGCTGCGCCCATGTACCGACGCTGAGGCGCGAATAAGCAAAAGACAGGCAAGGCAGGCAGGACATCCATGTCCCGACGCTGCGGTGCACAGTAGGACAAGAGCCGAGACGACGTTTGTGGTCTCCTTGCTGGCAAAAGAAAGGCCACACATAATTAGGTAATTAATCAAGCCACAGACGAGTAAGGAGCCTCAGGCGCTGGTGCCTTCATCCATCCTCCTCCTCCTCCTCAACTCCTCTACTGTGCTGCCGTGTGGGAGACGGGGGGCATTGGGGCATTTCTTGCCGGCTCGGTTCTCACCGGGGCAGCGACCCTAATAAAATACACCAAAACGCCCAAGTTACAGCGGGCAGGCACCCAAGTAATTACGAAGTACCGGTAAATAGTCTCGTTGCGAGGGGTCACGTGGCGTCGCGCATAGGGCTCTGACGCGCATGCGCCCACACGCAAGCCACAGCCATGACTTGCCCCAAACTTGCCCCAATCAGCCCATGCACGTTTCTTTGTTGAAAACCCACCAGCTGAACGCCTCTTGTCATTGTCGTGTCCATGGTCTCGGCTGCAGCACCGCCAAAGTCTGTCTCCCGCCAAGACCCAGCATCGGCAGCGGTGACGACTCGACTCAGCCAAAACCATGCCCGAACCGTCGTATACCGTCCATCGGGCGGCCTCACCGCGAGCTCCGAGACCTCAGTCGGCCTCTTTGTCACTCAACAACCGGTTGCGCCTCGCTTGAGCCAGAACAGCTCCCGCTAGAACCGCGCCATCCCCACGACTCGAATGACGAGCCCGACTCGCGGAGCGATTGGCTGCACCGAGCCGTCTTCCTCGCCCAGAGCTGCCGCCAGCTTCGTCCCTGCCCTCTTCTCCACCGTCGGCCTCGTCTCTACTCACCTTTGACCCATTTCATCACTTGTCCGCTTCGCCCTCGTGCGCGCGGCACGGCGAATCTCAAGGCCACGCGCACCCATGGGCAGGACGTCCCAGTGGTCTGCAGAGTGGGGGTCCCCATACGGTCTCAACGCCGCAAATCGCATCCTGTTAATACCCGAGGCCGGTCAGCTCGCGCTCCAATGCACCCAAGTCGGAGAGAGAGCGCCCACGTGTAATTCCCCGGTGCAATCTGCGTTCGGTTGGTCAGCTCGCCAAACCAGCGGTACGACATCTTGCCGCGGGGTACCCTGTTGAAGGGGAAGCCCGTCGCTTTGCTCTTGTTGTTGTTGTCGTCTCCCGCCGACTCCTTCAAGACTGGAACCGCGGCGACGGAACCGACGTAGCCGCCTTTGTTCGCCTGTGGCGGGTACACCCAGTCTCGCTCTGTCCAGTTGCTCGCGAAGATCTGGAAACTTGGTCAATGGCCGGTTCAAAAGCAGGCATCTGGGCTCGCGCCCTCTCTGGGGTCGGAGCGACTGACATCCCACCGCAGATTGGTGCATGGATACGCGAGGACTGCCTTCAATTCCATGTACTTCTGCGTGTCCATGGTCCAACTACCGTCACGCCTGCATCAGCGTCTGGCGGTAGTGCGGCGTCTCAAGGTCTACCTACGTCCAAGTGCCGTTGTCGTTGGCGGTGCGGTTGACGTCTCGAAACATGGTGGCGAACGCCTTTCCCGTGTCGTATGCAGCCCCTGGTCGTCTTGTCAGCAGCGAGTACGGCATGATCGAGCCACTCTATGCTCCGTCACCTGCGTATGGGATGCAGAGCTCCTCCCCGTTGTCGCCCTTGATCCAGATCTTGCCGCCGTATACTGGAAGCATGGAGTCGTTGGCTTTCAATGGAAGCGAAAAATTTAAACTAATAGAATGCGAGTTAACAGTGGCGACCTTGGGCAGCCTGACAACAGTTCAGACCTACACGATAGACTTCATCTGCCCGGCCCTCACGACCTCAGGCTTCGGGAGGGAAATGACTGGGTCCAAGCACGAGGGCCTGAGTTTGGGCAATTTTCTGATGCCATCATGGCCATTGTAGATCTCGACGGCGGATTGTGACTCCACCTCGAAGCGGTACTTGACCTTGTCCTTGCCCTTGTTGACGATACCTACTTCCCACTTGGGCTGGAAACGCCTCGTGTCTCGCAGGGCAATGGGCTCGAACATGAGCTCTGTGGTGTAGCCAAGGACCTTTCCCGCGTCCACCAGGCCGGTTCCTACCTGGACAGGGGGGGCCGTTGCGTTCTCCAAGGACGTCTGGTTGTCCAGAGCCGTGTTTGCAGACCAGCTGACGCTCTGCCCGCTGCCAATGATGCGTTTTGCCAAGCGGCGCGCAAACTCGGAACCGTGAATCTCGCGCCCGCCGCGCTGGCCGATGAAGAGCGCGGCCACGCCCGCGATATACGGCGCAGCCATGGACGTGCCATCCAGGGCTTTGAAGCCCTGTTTCAAGGCCGTGCTCATGATTTTGACCCCGGGGGCCCCGATGTCCGGCTTCAGCCACAGCTCGTTTGTCGGCCCCCACGAGGTAAAACGGGCCGGAGTGAACCGAACTCGCTTGCTCTTGGCATCCTCGGTGATGTTGATGGCTGCCACGGACAGGACCCCGCGGCCGTTACAGCCATTTCCCGAGGAAAAGGGGCCGTTGTTGCCGTCGTTGCCCGCCGAGATTGTCACGACAACTCCTCTGCCTACGATGCGAGAGGCCACCAGGGACCAGGGACCATCGCTGAAGCCGCTTCCCATGCCAATACTCGAGGTGATGATGTCGGCCTGAGCCAAAGGTCAGTGATGGGCTCAATCAAGCAAGACGGGCCACCAAGGCGGGCGAGTGATGGATACCCCGGCACTATAAGCGTCGCAGAACGACTGGATGATGACATCTTCGGTAGTCCCATTACCGGCCTACGTGGTTATCAGCCTCAGCCATCCAGAGCGCGAAGCATGGGCCGGGTCCATACGTCGTCGAAGACCTTGTAGGCCAAGAGCTGGGCTTCCGGCGCCACACCCAAGAACCTGTGCGAATGGAATGCAGTCAGAACCGCACCAGCCTTTGGCGTCTAGCATGCGGAGAAGCAGCAGCCTACCCATCGGCGTTTCCGCCAACGATACCCGCCACGTGCGTGCCGTGCCCGTCGTAATCCACGGGATTGCCGTCAGGTTCCGGTTGGTGTTCCCCTGGTGGAAACCAACAAGGCCCAAGTTAGCCCTCAACACCCTTTTGCCTCCGTTGTTGGCTCCCGGCAGACCAGGGGGAGGAGTGCGCACATTTACCGCCCACAAAGTCGTAGCCTCCCATGACCCTGCATCCAGGTCCGAAGCACCCCCCGAGCTTTATGCCGTTAGCCGTTGAGCCGGCCCCCCAGCCAGAAAACACGTGTGATTCTACGCATACCGCCTTGTGCGTGTAGTCGACGCCCGAGTCGACAATGGCAACCTTGACCCCCTTGCCGGTCATGCCCGCGGCGTGAAGCTTGTCCACGCCGGTCCACCGATGGACCGAGGCATTTGCAGCCTCGGCTCCGCGGGGAGCGCTCTTGACCGTCGGGTGCCGCACCGTCGGCGGCAGCCGCACCGTCCGGACCGGCCAGGCGTTGATGACGCCGTCGATTCCGCGCAGTTCCTCGACGCTCTCGGCCTGCGCCTCGACGACGAAGCCCCTGAAGAGGCCGCTGCAGTTGAATACCTGGTAGGCGCTTGAGACTCGGGGGGCCCCCGCGGTCTCAGGTTGCCGAATCAGGTTGGAAGTGCGAAAGCCCTGTAGAGAGAGTTTTTGTGTGTCAGACCAAACACACGGCACGCGCTTTATCGGGAACCCAGTGCCGGGTGGTTTTAGGTAGGTATTCTAGGGGTCATGTGCGAATTTTGTCTTACCGGCTGCACCTCGATGATGAACTTGTTCTGCGTAGATCTCGGCCCTCGCCCAACATGGCGGCGTCTTGCCCGCCGAAACGCCTCGTCCCGCAGATGCTGCTGCTCTTCTCTCCCGGCGGCGACGGCGTCGGGAGCCGACACCGCCAACACCAGCACCAGTGCCGAGCAGACAAGGGCGCACAGTCGCGGTAACTGCATCGTGTCCGACTTCAGGGGAGAGTTCAGCCGGGGAGGAGGGACGCGCGCAAGACGCTCAATGTATTCACCTTATATATACCCAACCTAATACTCATTAACGTTCCTCATCCCAGATTCGTTGGGGGTATATTATTGGGCTTGCTCAGTCAATTGTTTTTGGTTTTCGCCACGTCGGTGGGTTGAGATTAAGAATCGGGTAGTTCAACCGTTGAAGAGGGGGGCGAGTTTGAGTTGCCCAAATGGGCGCATGCTGCTCCGCCGCTAAACTGTTCTTTTAACGGCCAGAAACAATATTGCCAGAGCTATCAGGCAGCTGAGAGTCCAAGGAGGCTCTATGGGGTCTCTTTTCCCTCTCACACACTTTCCGCCCCTCTTCTGTTCATCACGCATGCTTAAGAATAGCTCTCATCAGTTCAAGAACTGGTGTCATTAACAAGACTAGTATCCATTCATATTAGTTACAGTACCACGGACTTGGTCGTCTAGCTATATACTGAATCTGTGTCTGAACAATGGGGGAATGGAGGGCCCGCGCTATCCCGGCCTGCAACCAGCTCAAGCTGACTCTGCCAAGCATCACCACCGTGGGTATCAAATTCTTGTCGAGGTGCGGTCAATAAAATCGTGTCCATCATCAAGCGGCCCTACTAGGCCCATTTTCCAAGCAGACTCATCAGGGCCATGCCAGCCACAAGACCGAACCCCGCGAGGGTGACGGTGAGCATGTTGGCATCGGCCAGCTCAGCCCGGTGGCCATGGGCGCCCACCATCCAGTCGGCCGCCCACATCTCGACCACGCCCACCCAGACGAGGATGCCGGCCGAGAGGGCGTCGAGGGTCCCGATGGCGATCAGTGTCGATCTATCGTTGCCGTTGAACTTTTGCAAGACGCCGATGCCAATGGCCATGCCAATAGGAGTGATGAAGGCAAAGAGGGCCGCGAGTCCGAGCTTCTTCTTCATGGAGAAGCCGGTGCTGGAGGCCAGGGGGTAGGAGGACGCTGACGAAGACGAAGGATCGGCGACGACAGCCGCGGCGGCCGACTTATCGGCGTCTCGGACGTTGCTGTTGGAGGTAGTACCAGACGAGTCGTCTCTGTGATGGTCGGTACCGAGGGTTGCGATCCGGGTGCCGAGGGCGAGGCCTTCAAAGACTTGGTGGAAGAGAATGACGACAAAGAGGGTGACGAAGAAGGAGTCGCCGGCAACGACGAGAGTGAGGCCGATGACTTTGGGGGGGGACAAGGTCAGCTTGATCAGCAGAGGTGGTGGGATGCAAGACTCGAGGAAGATGAAGGGGGGAACACGATTTTCCAAGGAGGCGACTCACGGAGCGAATGGAAGAGGATGCCCGCCTCCATGACAAGAATGCTGACCACTTCAGCCGACAAGAGGGCATGGGCCTTTTCCTCGGCGGTGAGGGCCGAAGAAGACTTCGTCTTAGCCTGGACGATGCGCTGGCCGATGTACTCGATGAGAAAAGAGAGGAACAGGCCGGCCATGAGGATGGCTGACGTGGTGCCCTCGTAGCCGAGCTGGCCGAGGCATTTGTTGCCAAACATGAGCGTGGCATGAGTGTAGAGCTGCCAAGAGGGTTAGCGAGAATTGAATGCCAGCCAAAGCAGCACCCTCTCCGTGGATGATGGAAAAGACACGGAGAAAGCAAGGGAAAGATGAAAAGGGCATGTGCTGCAGCGGAGAGCACGAGAGCGTCCAACATACATGAACAAACGCCGTGGAGACGATGATTCCGGTACCAAACTGCTTGAGGACGATGAAGGCCAACGTGAGCTTCCGTGGAAGAATGCTTTGCAAAAGGATGGGGGCAAAGACACCTGGTGCGAGACAAGGTCAATAGGAGCAACAGAATCAGGCCTTACGCCCAAGTCCAGAGATAGGGCAATTTACCGAGGGCACTGGTAGCGAGGATGGCAAACAAAAGACCGACTCGGAGGCCGACGTTGTAATCACGCTTGGCACCCTGGCACTGGGACCCGGAAGCTGCCTCGTTCTCGTCACCTCCCACGCAATGCCTGTTTTGTTTTCCGAACAAGTCAGACATGAAACCTTGATTGCGAGAGGAAAGAGAAGAAGAAGCGGAGGAGAGGGGGTTGTTTCAAAGCGGGAGAAACGCACTCGACGCCGGCATGGAAATGGCAGTGCTTGTGGCCGGCAGAAGCGTCGCCTTCGGACCCGTGGTCCTGGGTTTCGGCGGCGTTACCGGCCTCGGGGCTGACCTCTACATCCTCGCCATCAGGACCGATACAGAACCTGGGGGTGAAGAAAAGGAGACAGGTCGTTAGCCAAGTCGAAGCGGTCAAGGGAAGCCGGCTCTCTGGAAGCTTACATGTCGGAGCCATGATGATGGCAGCCGGTAAACTGCGCGGGAATATTCGAGGTCTGCGTAGGGGTCGTTTTCACCACGAACTCGGTTCCTCCCGCTATACAAGCTCTGTATTGTTTTTCGAAAAAAACTCAGTTAGATTTCCAAGCCAAAGCTGTAGTTTCCAGCTCCTCCAAGGTCCCCAATTGCCAGCCCTGGCCAGTGAAGGCTGAGAGGGAGATGAAGACCGAGGACGAGAAGGAGGGCTTGGAAGACGAACAGTTGCGATCCATGAAGGTGGCAGCCAGTCACGGCGGTGACTTCGGGGGCGGCGGAGCCGGTGGACGAGGGCGCCGGCGTTTGTCGGGGGAACAGTCGGTCGGCGGCGGCGATGCTGTGCCAGAGGGCAAGGCAAGCGCACAGCTTCTTCTGATTGACGTACATGGCTGCCGGTGTCGGGGAAAGCCGTGCCTCGCTTTTTCTGGTGGCCGATTTCCGCCCTTTTTATCCCTTTGCGCTTGGTGGTTTGTTGGTGCGCGGGGGGGAAAACAGAGTTAAGCTTATGATGAGCCCAAAATACTTGGCCAGGCAAGCCTCGACTGCGCAGGAGAAGTCTCTTGTGCGTGCGCCGTCGTGTTTGATGGCGCTGATACCTTTTCCTCGCACTCTTCCTCTCACCCTCTCACGCTTTCTCTCCCTTGGAGGATTCTTCAACGGGGACGATGGGAAGACGTGGCGGAGGTGAGAAAAAAGCGAACGAACAAGGGGGAAGAGAAATGGGACGGGCAGGGGGAGATGGATATCGAGCAGCGGTTGGTTATAACCCAAATGTGGACACGACGGGCATCAAGGCGGCGAGGCTATCAGACTTGCCCAGCTTTCTCGTCCGGGCCATGGGACACACGGTCCAGGGGCCCGGCTGCATGCCTCCCCTCTTCTCTTCTTGGTCTTCGTTGTCCTTGACCACTTCTTCCCCCCCTCCCTGCCGAGCCGATCACTGGGGCCCCCGGCCGGAGCGAGGCGAACAGATGGTGGCCTTGGCGGGGGAGCCGTCAGTTGAAGCAGGCTTTTTGGGACGACTGGGACGGGGAAAAGAGGGCCAAGCAAGGCGTCGATTGGAGAGGGAGAGAGGGAGAGAGAGTGAACAGAGAAACAGAGGGGCGGTGGGGACGAATGGGAGAGGTACATACGTTGAACCTTGATGGCCCACGTTGATGGGAGAGGGGCGGATGGGAGAGGGGCGGGCGGCAAGAACCTTGATGGGCCGCCGCCAGAACGGCAGCCACCGATTCGCCTTGTAATTAATTAGTCAGTCATTGGACATGGAATACGAAGTACTGTACAGCGGAGTTGCAGTGAGACACGGCCTGGAAAATGTCGAGAAGCGCCTATTCCAAAGGAGGGGGGGGGATGGATTCATGCGCGCACCTCATCAGGGTTCCCAGGCCATCGTGCTTCGTCGTCTTTTTTACACATGACAAGGTCAATCCACACAATGGATCCCGCATCCGTGGGCCTTGACGGCCTGGTTGTCGCCAGCCTGTTGTCTTCAACAAGTCAGTACCAGCCCGGACATGGTTCATTGCAACCTCACCGGATCCTGTGTCACCGCCGCCCCAGCTGGCCATCCGTGTGGTAGCACAAGGCAATAATATGCACACGATGGCATGAGCGTCAAGAAACGTCCCGCCGTCTCGGTTGGCAACCGGTCGGCGAGGGTTTGTTTGCTCCCCCTGTCTGACTTGCATGAGGTCGATGCACCCGGCTCGCAGACGTTACCGCTCCTTGTCGACTTTTTCTGTTGTTGCTGTTCTTCTTCTGCTGTTTCCCTCGGCCGCTCTCCCTTTCCCGCTCGTTGGAATGCGTGCAACCATTCACCAACCAAGTCGAGGCCCGCGAGACGTGTCGAGGTCGTCGGGCTGCTCGAGTCGAAGCGGGTAACGCCGGCTACAACCATCCAACCACCTCGTATGCGTTCCTCATTCCACCAATGCGACCTGCTTGAGCAATATTGAGCCGAGAAACGTTCAATCTATAAGCGGATGCCACCAACCTGGCTGATCGCCCGCCTCGTCCTTGCCGGCTAGGAGTTCAACTGCATGGCCGTGCGTTGCTGAGCCTACGGCCGGGTTGTTTCCGACGATGACGATTTTCTATGACAGGGCGTTCCCAACTGCAGATGAGCAGGATGCCGCGACTTGTCCTCGAGCTGCGGAGCCATGTCCACGAGAGTCTTTCACTCTTTTCCCAATTGTCGTTCACTCGAGAGCGTACATAAGCCAATGGCAGCCCTGCCTTAGTCATCCGTACGTCCAGGCCGCCAGCACCAGTACCGTAGAGAGACGCACGTGCCATGTCAGGTGATAAAAGTTGTACCAAGTACTGAGATTCACCACGTGCAGAGTCCCCGCCTTTATCTCTTTAATTGATTCTGAAAATCGCGTTTCCCAAAGCGCGTCGCGTCCAAGCTTCGACACCGCGACTTCTCCCACCAACTGTCGCATCTGTTGGCATCCCCCTCGCCCTCACCAACCATTGCACCCCGGACAGCATCGAATTGAGCTCCCTTGTGGTGCCCATAGGCCCGGCTGCTGGCAAACATGGCGTCCAGACCCGAGCTCAAGGTGAGAAACTGCCCCTGAACAACCTCGTCATATCCATGGCTGACGAGGCGCACAGCTCGATGACGAGGGCGGCTTCATTCGCTTCTTCAAGTCTCTCCCCGCCGTCGGCGACGACACGATCCGCATCTTCGACAGAGGGGACTGGTACACAGCCCACGCGCAAGATGCCACCTTCATCGCCAAGACGGTATGCCTGAAGCAAAGGAAAGTTCTTTTTCCTAGCTAACCCTGCCTTCGCGACAGGTCTACAAGACAACCTCTGTGGTTAGGCAGCTTGGCCGCAGCGACCACACCGGCCTCTTGTCCGTCTCAATGACCATCACTGTCTTCCGCCAGTTCCTCCGCGAAGCCCTCTTCAAGCTCGGCAAGCGCATCGAGATATGGGAGAGCCCCTCCGGGCGCATGAACTGGAAGTGCACCAAGCAAGCGTCTCCTGGAAACCTGCAGGACGTCGAGGACGACCTCGGCGGCCAGATTGATTCGGCCCCCATGATCATGGCGGTCAAGATCTCGGCCAAGGCCTCCGAGGCCCGCTGCGTCGGCGTCTGCTTTGCCGATGCCAGCGTTCGCGAACTCGGCGTGAGCGAGTTCCTCGACAACGATCTTTACTCCAACTTCGAGTCTCTCCTCATCCAGCTCGGCGTCCGCGAGTGCCTCGTCCAGCTCGATAAGGGCGACAAGGACAAGGACCCAGAACTGGCCAAGCTGCGGCAAATCCTCGACAACTGCGGCGTCGCCATCGCCGAGCGCCCTGCCGCCGACTATGCCACCCGTGACATCGAGCAGGACCTGGCCCGTCTGCTCAAGGACGACAGGGCTGCCACCTTGCTCCCGCAGACAGACTTGAAGCTCGCCATGGGCTCTGCCTCGTCCCTCATCAAGTACCTCGGCGTCTTGCAGGACCCGTCCAACTTTGGCCAGTACCAGCTCTACCAGCACGACCTGGCCCAGTACATGAAGCTGGACGCCGCCGCCCTCAAGGCCCTCAACCTCATGCCCGGCCCGCGCGACGGCTCCAAGACCATGAGTCTCTACGGCGTCCTCAACCACTGCAAGACACCGGCCGGCAGCCGCCTGCTGGCCCAGTGGCTCAAGCAGCCCCTGATGAGCAAGCCCGAGATTGAGAAGCGGCAGCAGCTCGTCGAGGCCTTCTTCTGCGACACCGAGCTTCGCCAGACGATGCAAGAGGAGCACCTGCGCTCCATCCCCGATCTCTACCGCCTCGCCAAGCGCCTCCAGCGCGGCAAGGCCAACCTCGAGGACGTGGTGCGGGCCTACCAGGTCGTCATCCGCCTCCCCGGCTTCATCGGCACCTTTGAGGGCGTCATGGACGAGGCCTACCGCGATCCGCTCGACGAGGCCTACACGGCCAAGCTGCGCGACCTCTCCGACAGCCTGGGCCGCTTCCAGGACATGGTGGAGCAGACGGTCGACCTCGCCGCCCTCGACCGCCACGAGTACATCATCAAGCCCGAGTACGACCAGAGCCTGCGCATCATCCGCCGGAAGCTCGATAAGCTCGACAGCGACATCCGGCAAGAGTTTACGGACGCGGCGCGGGACCTGGACCAGGAACCCGACAAGAAGATCTTCCTCGAGACGGGCCACAAGGTGCACGGCGTATGCATGCGCCTGACGCGACAGGAGGCCGGCTGCATCCGCAACAAGGCGCGCTACCAGGAGTGCTCGACGCAGAAGAACGGCGTCTACTTTACGACCAAGAAGATGCAGGCCTACCGCCGCGAGCATGACCAGCTGTCGCAAAATTACAACCGCACCCAGAGCAGCCTCGTTAACGAGGTGGTCAACGTCGCGGCCTCGTACTGCCCCGTGCTCGAGAGGCTGGCCGGCGTACTCGCGCACCTCGACGTCGTCGCCTCGCTGGCCCACGCCTCGCTGCACGCGCCCGAGGCCTACGTCCGCCCCACGATGCACGCCCGCGGCGAGGGCCAGACGAGGCTCGTCGGGGCGCGGCACCCGTGCATGGAGCTGCAGGACGACGTGCAGTTCATCACAAATGACGTGGAGCTCGAGCGCGCCTCGTCGTCGTTCCTCATCATCACGGGGCCCAACATGGGCGGCAAGTCGACCTTTATCCGCCAGGCCGGCGTCATCGCCCTCATGGCGCAGGTTGGGTGCTTTGTGCCCTGCGCCGAGGCGGAGCTGACCATCTTCGACTCGATCCTCGCGCGCGTTGGCGCCAGCGACTCGCAGCTCAAGGGGGTCTCGACCTTCATGGCCGAGATGCTCGAGACGGCAAACATCCTCAAGTCGGCCACGAGCGAGTCGCTCATCATAATCGACGAGCTGGGGCGCGGCACCTCGACCTACGACGGCTTCGGCCTGGCCTGGGCCATCTCGGAGCACATTGTCGAGCAGATTGGCTGCTTCGCCATGTTCGCCACCCACTTCCACGAGCTGACGGCCCTCGCCGACCGCCACCCGCAGGTGCGCAACCTCCACGTCACGGCGCACATTGGCGGCACCGGTGCCGACGCCGATGGCCCCTCGGGCAGCAAGCGCGAGGTGACGCTGCTGTACAAGGTGGAGCCGGGCATCTGCGACCAGAGCTTCGGCATCCACGTGGCCGAGCTGGTGCGCTTCCCGGACAAGGTGGTGCGCATGGCCAAGCGCAAGGCCGACGAGCTCGAGGACTTTACCACCAAGCACGAGGACCAGGCCCAGGCCGCCTACACAAAGGACGACGTCGAGCAGGGCAGCGCCATGCTCAAGCAGCTGCTCGTCCGCTGGAAGGACCAGGTCGCCGGCGCCGGTGACTTGTCCCCCGGCGAGCAGGTGGCCAAGCTCAAGGAGCTCGTTGCCGCAGACACCGACTTGCTGGCCAATCCCTTTTTCCAGTCGGTCAAGGCATTGTGAGAGTAAGCGAGCTCATATGGGCCGTACCAACGGGTTTCTGTTTCTTCCTGATTGCTTTGCTTCCTTTTCTCTTCAAGAAAATGGGGCGTATGGAAAAGACGGGAAAGGAATCTGCATGACCAAGGGTCTGCTGGGGGTACCGTTCTTGATGCGCTCACACCATGTACAAGCGGGCGTTGCGGGATAAGACTCTTGGGGTCCGGACAGGACGGGGCGATATTGGTGCCTGGAATCTGTTTTTTTTTTATAGAAACATCTTGCCATGTGGACACCGAAGCACCTCCTTGACGAGTCAGACAGGACGTGAACCAAGAAAAAGCTCCCGTTCTCTAACAGTAGGAGCTGAGGGGGGGGAAGTCGTGGCAACAATAGTTGTCGCGCTTGAGATGGCGGCGCAAACTCCTCTTCCCTCGTCCCAGAAGAGGCGGAAATATGTATTGTACATGGGCATGTCGCTTGGCCGGCACCGCGACTCCTATTGGCTGCCATCGACGGTTGCCTTGACGGGCTTGATTTCGAAGCCGTACTTTTCCTTGATGCGCTCTCGCCTCCGCTCCTCGTACCCCGGGGGCTTGATGCCTGTTTAAGTTGGGCCCCTACGTCAGCAAGACGGCGGTAAGGGGAACCGGCGTAATCGTGTACCGGGGGGCACTCACCTCGCCCCTCGCCAATCTCGGCAATCGTCTGCTCAATGGGCACGCGCGTTGTGCGACGAATGATTTCCTTGCGCTCAAACTCGTCGTCCTCCTTCTTGTAGGAGTCGATGCGGCCACCGAGGTAGTAGAGGGGTCCTTGGACCGAGAGGACGAGGGCGCCGAGGCCAAGCACGACGGGCATTTTGCGGGCTGTGTAGGTAATGGTGGCCCAGGTCAGCAACTGACTCCCCTAGTAAAGGGTATTGCGTGGAGGTGGATGAGTGTAATCGAGTTCGAAGTCGAGGGACAGTCGTCTTAGGGGGCGAGAACGTACAGGGAAGGCCGAGGATGGCGCCGCACATGAATCCACCAAAGGCCGCGGCCCATGCGTCGTCCTTTTCGCGAAGGTTCATGGCGGTCCGGGAGAAGAAGGCGTAGGCAGCGGGGCCGGCAGCTAGCAAGGCAGATTAGCCAACCAAAAAAGAAAGAGAGCCGGCAGGCGATGGGCAGCATGAGAGCATACTGCATATGCCGATGATTGGGGCGCCGCGGGTAAAGACGCTCATGGCGCCGACGTTGCGCTTGGACATTGCGTTCCGGATGGCGGCGATGAAGAGGCCGCTGCCGAGGCCGATGAGGGCCGTGTTTGCCGTCTCGTCAAAGACATCGTGGGGGACGTAGGGCGCGTCCGACTCGGCAGCCATTGGGCTGGGACTCGTCTGGCGATCCATGGCGCCGGCTGGGACGAAGAAGCGACGGGCGGGGACGGGAGCGGTGGTTGAGCAGGGCCGGGGTTGCGGGACGCGAGGGTCGACAACGTCGGTTCGCTCGTTGGAGCTTGAGGAAGCTTGGGGTGGTGCGGCTTAGCTAAGGTGCAAGATGGGCTCACGTGATGATCAACTTGTCAATTCAACGCAGCGGATTGGGTTGCCTCAGTAGAGGGTACTGTGCGAAAGGTCCTTAATTCGCACATGAACAGGGCTAGACTCCTAACAGGTTTATCTGAGAAAAGACGGGCTTTACTGCTAGAGGCTCCGCACTACAGACTGAGCCGAGCACCGTTTTTTTCCTTCGCGAGGCACGTTGCACCGTGTAGCTTCTTCTCAAGCTCTCTTCACAATCCGGAGCGTCTTTTCACTTCGTCTTACGGCCCGCGACTCCATCTTGGACTGACCGAGGCCGGCATTTCGAATTGTTTTCGGATTTTCTCACAAAGTCTGCAGACAATCGGCGTTTGTAGAGTCCCCGTCGAGACGCTGGGAAAGCCGCCATCGAAAAGAATTTACACCAAGCAGGGAGACAAAAGCCATCAGGACAAGAACCAGGGCACAACCCGGCTGTCCGTTGATTTCTAGCTTTATTAACTGCTTTCCAGGCCTGAGGCTTGAGAGAATCAGGCGGCGGGAAAGCAAAGCCCCAGCGTTGGAAGACCCTTCTTGTCCAGCGTCTCGGTGTGAGTGGCTGGAATCTTCACCATGACTTCCGTCGAGGCCGGCCATGTCGGGCCCCAAGACGCCAACCAAGCAGACGCACAGCTCGATGCCCACGACGCTGGGACCGCAGAGGCTCATCTGCCATCGTCGGCAGCGCAGCAGCAGCAGGCAGAGGCCACCTCGGAGGATGCCACAACCACCGCCGCACAACCACCACCAGAGGCGCCCATGTCCAAAAACGCCCTCAAGCGCCTCCGCCGCCAGCAAGAGTGGGAAGACGGCAAGGAGGACCGGCGCAAGCGGCGGCGCGAGAAGCGCCACGACCGGCGGGAGCGGCAGCGCGAGGAGCGGGCGACGCTGCTCGCCGGGGGGGCCGACCCGGCGGCCGTGGTGCCCCGGCGCAAGCAGCAGCAGGCCGGGGTGACGCTGGTGCCCGTGGCACTCGTCGTCGACTGCGACTTCGAGGCCTACATGAACGACAAGGAGCTCGTCTCGCTCGCCAACCAGGCCACGCGCTGCTACTCGGACAACCGCAACGCCCGCTACAAGGCGCACCTGTGGATGGCGGGCTGGGCGGGCAAGATCCGCGACCGGTTTCGCGACGTCCTCGGCGACCAGCACCAGCACTGGAAGGGCGTCGGCTTTGTCGAGGGCGACTTTCTCGCGTGCGCTGACGAGGCGAGGCAGCGCATGAAAGAGCGGCCCGGCGAGATGGTTGCGCCTTTGCAGCGAAGCCGGCGGCGGGATGAGGCCGCGCACAACGGCGAGGAGAAGGGGGTGGACGGCGAGGGGCCAAGCGGCGGGTCCTCGTGGATCAAAGACGCGCCCGGCGACGAGCCCTTCCCCCTCCCGGGCCCCGAGCCAGTGCTCAACGAGGCCTACCGCGACGTCGTCTACCTCACCTCGGAGTCGCCTTACACGCTGCAGCGCCTGGAGCCGCACACGAGCTACGTCGTTGGCGGGCTCGTCGACAAGAACCGCGAAAAGGGCCTGTGCTACCGCCGGGCGCGCGAGCGCGGCATCCGCACCGCCCGCCTGCCCATTGGCCAGTTCATGGTGCTGCAGAGCCGCCAGGTTCTGGCCACCAACCACGTCGTCGAGATCATGCTCAAGTGGCTCGAGTGCGAGGACTGGGGGCAGGCGTTTATGGCTGTCATTCCCAAGCGCAAGGGTGGGAGGCTCATTGAGGACGGCGGCGCGGCCGAGGGTGAGGATGAGGATGAGGCAGGTGATGAGAGCGTCATTGACAAGGATGATGGCACGGTAGAGACCATGGCGACGGTGGTCGACGACGAGGCCCAGCCTGAAGCAGGGGTGATAGAGCCTCGTGACGACAAGTCACGGTGAGCCCGACCTGCCTCCGTCTACACACGCCGGCATTCCAGCCATTGTCCGCTTCTCACTTTACCCTCCCCCAGACGCCTAGACGCCCGTCAAAACATTTCTGGAAAGGGGCACGAAAGGGGGACAAAACAGAAAGGCCTCGCGCGTCATCATGATTGTGCGCCCCTGAAAGCCCTCGGCTACCCAAGCCTAGCCGCCCCTGCAATGCAAGAAAACAGCCAAAAACGCCTCAAAACTCCATCGTGTCCTCGTCACGCTCCCTCTTGACCCGCACGTCCCTCTCGTCCTTGACAATGCCCGCCGCAAACACCCTAAAGTACTCGACGTACGGCTTCAAGCTCGTCTTTTCCCAATCCGCCACGCCCCGGCCCTTGTCGGCCCCGCCCTCGTCGTCCTTCCACGCGTCAATCTCCGCCAGCAGGCCCTGCACCGTGGGGACGCCGAGCGGGTCAAAATCTTCGAGGGTCCTCGTGTCAATGGGCACGCAGACGCGGCCGGTGCCCGGGTGGACGACAAAGGGGCTCTTGAGCAAGTGGTTGAGCTTCTTGCTGACCTCGATGTCGAGGCGCGGGTACGTGTACTCGAGGACAATGTCCTGCTTGGCCTCGAGCAGCGCCCGCGGGTCGAGGTGCTTGCTGGCGCCCGTCTTGGCCATGGCGTCGATGTCGGCCCACTTGGCCGCCGAGGCCCGGCCGGGCGCCGCGTCCCACTTGCGCCGCAGCGAGTCGTTGAGGCCCCGGTCCGGCAGCAGCTGGAGGAGCCTCTCGGCCTGTTCGTTGGAGGCCCAGGGGTCCTGGACTTCGAGGACGTCTTGTTGGAAGTGCGTCTTGAGGATGTCGAGGCTGCGACTGTGGTTCAATTGAGTTAGCTCATCTGCCTTTGAGGGTCGTCACCCTTTTTGTTGTCGATTCTCCTTCGGACCGGGCCTCGGACGATGGGGGACGGGCCAAAAGCGGAGATTGAGAGCACGTACGATAGGTGAGGATGCAGCGGCCGCCAGACATTAACCTTTTTTCCGCTCTGCGCACCGCCCTTGACCACCTCGAGATAGCCAGCAATAGCCCTCCTCTTGTGGTCATCCAAGGCGCGGGCCTTTTTATCGCAGACCCATGCGTGGGCGCCTCTGCGGCCCGAGTAGACCCAGAGGATGTGCCTGAAGCCAAAGTCGTCGCGCAGGGCCACATCGACGACCTTGATGGCCATTGTGATGAAGGTCCAGCAGCGGTTACAGATGTTGGCCTTGTCGCAGCAGGTGCGCACGTCGTCGTAGTCTGTCAAGTCAATGTCGAAGCAGAGCTCCTTGGCGAGGGGCTTGAAGGCGGACGAGTTGCGGAGCGTCTTGCGGTCGCGCGGGTTGGCCGAGTAGACGGGGCCGATTTCGAAGCGCGAGGGCATGAGGCGCAGCACGTCCTTGCGGAGGCTAGGCATCGTCGCCGGTCAGTAAACAAGCGTCAAGCCCAAGGGGAGGGTGTAACGCACAGGTCGGCGGTGGGGAAGGACTGGTAGCGCAGGTAGGCGTCGTTTGGGAGGGTAAAGGCAAACTCGCGATGGGCAAAGTCGTTTGTGGGCGAGGGGCTGTGGTTGAGCCAGTGGAAGAGGTGTCGCCAGGGGAAGAGGCGCTGGTAAAAGCTGCGCATGACCTCTGGGTCCGAGGCCTTCTGGGCCGACGACAGGTCGCTGCGTCTCGGCGCGTCAGCCGAGGACCACGAATGAAGAAACGAGCGCCACATACACGGGCGACGCGGGGCTGGACGAGGGCGCGCTTGAAGACGGGTCCTCTTGCTTGACGGGCGCCGAGCTGGGAAACTCGTCGTCGGAGTCGACGTCGGCAAACAGCTCCTCCAGCTTGACTTCCTTCTTGACGGGCACAGCATCCGCCGCCGTTGTTTCGCCGGCGCCCATGTCGATATCGCCATCTGCAGCGAGGGCGCCGTGTTCGTCGTCCTTTTTCTTGTCTTCGTCGTCGTCCATGCTGGGAGCGCCGTGCCCGACTGCTGGGAGGGAGGAGGGGGGCCCTGCAGCGACCGAATGCGGCATTGGCTATCTATAGAGATCCCAAGGGCCTGCGTCTGGGAGCGACAGGGAGAGACGGGCTCGTTGCTGGTCTGCTTGGAGGAGTTGGGATTGACTTTGGAGGCGACGTCGCTGGCGATGCAGCTGGTCAAGCGGAACGCGTCGGCGCAGACGCGTCGCGCGTAGAGGGGCTGCCGCGATTATGTAAGCACTGTACGAACCTTTTCTGAGTGAACCACGTGGGTCTGCCACTTCAAGTAAAGTACAGAGTACAGATGCGGAGTAGGTATTACAGAGTACAGAGTACCGACAGCTTCACCGAAACTTGGCCCGCGCATATCTGCACCTCCGGACGAATCATTCACTTGATCCCACTCTTGTGCACATTCACCCTCGCACACAAACGTCGAAATCAAGCCCACGGGAGGCGGCAGCAGTCTCGTCCCTTCTAATCCCTTCCAATGTAACAAAGGGGCGCGCGCGGCGCAGGCGGCCCCCGACTCGCCTCCCCGATGCAGGCTGCGGCGATGATCAGTACCTTGGTGCCAAGAGCATTCTACCGCGTCGACTCCTCCTTGGCACTCCAACCCCGGCACGTTTTCCCTGGCTCTGTGCGTACAGGCTACCTACACCCAACGTATCGAAAACAAACTGAACGAGAAGCGCTAAGCTGTCGGATTTCGGCCGAGTCTCGACCCGAATCGCCATGCATCCTCCGTGCTGTATCCGCCACCCCCTGCGTTCTTCGGCATACGCTTGTTTGGCTTGGTAGGAATCTTGGCTGTTCGGGTAAATGTACGTACTCCAGTGCTTACAAGCTATACCCCACTATCCGCAGCGCAGGCCCCGAGAGCTCCAAAGGCCGCCGGTCGAGACCTTCGTCGACCCTCAGCTCGGAGCCGGGGGTCGGCACACGCCAGTAACTATATGAGCCTCTTTCCCCCTTCTTGTCTCCTTCTCCTCGCCCAACCCACTCGCACGTTCCTTATTGTCGCCATCACTTCGCGCCAAAGACGCTTCGACGAATTCGCTCTCGACTCGATTCCGGCCAACTATCGAGCGCCCGCATCCAGAACAAGCAATGTCAAGCTGAGATCCGCGCCGCCCTCCTCGTCGCCGCCATAATCTGTCACTCATGATACGGTCATGTAGGTTCTTTGTCCCTCCGACCCTCGTCCCGATCCTCGTCCCGACCTTCATCCCGACCTTCATCCCGACCCTCGTCCCTCGACCCCGACCATGGCACCCCATCATCCACGTACGAGCCGCGCTTATCCAAAACACTATGCACCCCCCCAAACGATCCGGGCTCCGAGCCTCCTCATGGGTATTGCGAGCTCTTCCATAACCCCTCCCCTCGTCGTGCACACGAACCCCGGTTGTCTCCGCAGCCGAATCCGCCCTCCGCTGGCCCACTCGAGTCGTCCGGCCGGCTCCCGGGACGGCCATGGGGCCGGCGTCCGCGCCCGCACACCAACCATTTTCCTGCCGTAACCGGCCTTGGGCTTGGCGACCCCAATCACCAAATAACTACGATGCTTCTTTATAATGCCCACGCCGCCTGCCTTGCCTTCAGCCATAGTTGCCCTGCGCGCTGACTCGCTGTCGTTTCTCGGGCGGGCTGTCATGGTCCGATATCCGCCCGGGCGTGGAATCCATCGTCGTCCCATAGTGTGGTCTGCCAAGGGCGTACTGGGTGCCTCCGCCATTCATGAGACCATAGCAGTGATCCACGCCGCCCTGCCCCATGTGGCCCGGCGACCAGCTCGTGGCCGACGCGCCAGGAGGAGGTGTCGACGTGTCAAACTTGATGGCATTGTTCAGGAATGGAACGTTGCCGATCACGTATCCCCCGCCCTCGCTTTCCTGCTGAGTTGGCGGGTTCTTCAAGAGGTGCGACATATGAGTCTTGACCGACTTTAGCATCCCTTCCTTTGTAAAGGGTTTGGCCAGCACTCCGTTCATTCCTTCATCGTCGTCAGCAACCGAAGCCACGTGGTCACCTGCGGCGCAAGCCCACTTACCGTGCTCAAAGTAGCCGTTGACTTCGTCCGGCCGAATGTTGGACGTCATGGCAATGACGGGGGCCGACGGGCAGTGCTGCCGGATATACATGGTGGCCGAGACGCCGTCTAGCCGCGGCATGATGATGTCCATGAAGATCATGTCAAAGTGATCCCGGCCGACGCTGCTTACCCTGCTATACGCCTCTGCGCCGTTTTGCTACACCAAGTCAGGATTCCGCATCGCCTCGAAGCAAATCAAGACGGCGGCGCGACTCACCGCATGCTCGACTTCGCAACCCATCGACTTGAGGAATTTGATGCCAATCTTGGCGCACGTGGGATCGTCCTCGACCAGGAACACGAGCGGCTTCTTGGGTCCCCACAGAGACGTCGACTTGTCCAGAGGCGTGGATGGAGCCGGCGTGACGGGGGTGTGCACCGGCGCCGGCGCTGGGGCCTCGGAAACGCTGAGGGACCCGCCTTCGTTGGGCATGGCATACGGTATCTTATGGATATGATCGGAGTGGAAAGGGTCAATGCCGACCGTCTGGCCAACCGGATACACGGGGTACCGGCTGAGGTCCGTCATGGGATCATGCAGCATGGGCATCGATACGGGCGTTATCATGGTGGCCGAGTCGGCTGGGGAGCCGTACGTGCCGTGGAGGCGCTCGAGCTCGCGATCCGTCACAGAGTCCGTCGTCACGCTCGAGAGAAGCTCACGCGCACGGCGCAGCTCGGGGGCCGACTCGTCTGACTCGTTTGTGCCGTTGGAGTTGATGGGCTGGTTCATCAGCCCTCTATTCCTGCCGTCATTGTACGGGCTCATGTAGTTGAGCATCTCATGCTGCGCCTGCTTTTGCGCGTTGAGCATCTTCTGCAGGGCCAAGACCTCGTTGACGAGTAGTCGATTGGTCTGCGACACATCTGCATACAGCTCCTGGAGCTGCTGCACCTGCTGCTGGGTGGCAGTCAGTTGCTCCGAGATGACGCCGACATGCTGGCTGGTTGTGAAGTCCTCGGCGGCCGGGGGCTTTCTGGGGGCGGGCGCCTTGCGGCGAATGTTATCGAGGCCGTCTTTGCTGTCGGCGCGAAAGTAGGGGTGCTTGAATTCTAGAATCTGTTGCTTTGCATTGGTTAGCCGAAGCCCCACGGCCCAAGCTTTCTGACGCCGAGCCTCACGTTTCCGCTGGGACTTGAGGATTCGCAGTCACTCGACGGCTTCACTTTATGGAAATCGTATTTGTTGAGCTGCCGGATAAAACTAGACATATTGCTGTGCTTGAAGTGCTTCGGCAAGATGGACCTGGTGAACTTTTCGCCCTGGATCGTGCGTCAGCACCTCGGGCGGCCTGCTCGTCGTGCAGAGTAGTACCTCGACCACGACGAAGGTGTCGCCTTCTTTCCCCCATCGTGCCACATCCTGATGCGACGGGTCTTCGAGCATGCTAGAGCCGTGTCAGTCGTTGGGCGCGATCAGTGGGCGACGGCCCGGGTGTGCCAGTTACCGAAAGAGCTTCCGGACCTGAGGTAATGTTCAGTCAGCGCGTCTCGGTGGCGTGCAGCCACGATGGTGTGCCTCGCCAACTCACAAATTCGCTTGCATTGTTGCCGCCCCCCTGGGGGGCAGACGTTTCCGTTGCCGACATGACGGCACGATGTCGCAGGCCAGCAGCCAGGATCGGCGTGGCCAAGACGATTTGCTTCAAGGGCGGGGAAGGAGTGCTTATGCCGGCGACGGGCAGAGCCCCCAAGGATTGCGTCTATCGAGACTCGCCGCTTCCTCCAATGCGGTCGCCGATGGGCGATGACCGATGGTCGGCGACGGTTTCCGAGGGTTGCAACCGTCGGTCATGCGTCGGGTTGGCGGCAAGTCTATGTATGGCGGGCGGAAGCAAAGGAGTCGGCGCAGAATTGATCGTGGGAAAAGGTTTTTAAAAGTCGGACACAGCGTCCCCGCGTCAACGGCGAACGAGGTGAAGCAATTGCCAAGCAGAAAAGGTCAGGATTGCTCTGGATCCGAGTGAGACGGGGTTGCGAGGTTTAGGTTGGACGGATGGATGCGGCTGGATGGGCCAGGGTGGGCCTGGGAGGGAGAGATTAGGTGAATGGCGGCGGGCAATGTCTTGGCCACCGAGGCAGGGGAGCCCGGCGGGGAGAGCGACGACAGCGGGTGCGAGGACGAGGGTCGGGGTCCGGGTCGGGGTCGGGGTCAGGGCCGGGGTTGAGGTCAAGGAAAGGAGAGGTTGGAGGAGGAGGAGAAGGAGGAGAGTGAGGAGGTAAGAGGAAGAGGAAAGAGAGCTGCTCGATTTGGGGGAAGCGGGAGCGAATCGTGGACTGGGACCGCCGGGCCATAGTAACGTTAGTAGTAGTGGCGCATCGGGCAGGTACTCGGGACAGATGCTGAGGTTCTCTGTTTGAAACCGTCTCGCCCGTCAGCTAGTGGGAGATACCGAGCAGTACATCGGAGGCCCGGAAGGGGTACAATGGGGTGGTCAGGCCGGCGTTGTTAGTGCAAGTACTCGTACACGGCTGGCACGCTAATAAAGGCCCCAGTCCGGCTTGCCTTGCCTCGGGAAGGAGGAGGACCTAGCACATACCTCTCCAAGTATCTGGTACCAGACGGGCTAAGGTAGGTAGTCAGGTAGGTAGTCTGTGACCCCGTCTCAGCTGATGGGCGGCAGTGGACTAAATACCAGGCAGAGAGCACGAGACATGGGTTGAGGGCGGGACGAGGTATTTGGATACATTCATCACTTCACGTCCATGGGAGAGGGCGCCGTTTTGGAAAACCCAACTAGTTGTCCGGATGAAGCCTGGCCGAGTGTCCAGTTGGCCAGCAAAGATGTCTCCAAGGATGCCAGATGTGCCGCTACCTTGCTTTGGGAGGTCGGGAGGTATCGCAGCGAGAAGCCTTGGTAGCAGTACTTGCTGCGTGGGCTTTCAGCTTAATTAGCATCTGTATCCGTACCCCGAGCGCCTTCCCCCCCGGGGAGAGGGATAAGAACTTGGACAGCCCGGCGCGCTACGGCCAGGAACCTACCGGCCTACCTTGGCATTCTTACTACTCCGTAGGTACTAAGCAAAGCGGTGCCTAGTATTTGTACTAGGTAGTGGCCATGGGCAGAACTGCGCAGCATCTGCAGAAGCAACTTTAAGAGGAGCCCAGGGCGGCGACGACGATGAGGGGAGCGCGCCATCTGGAGGCGAATCAACCGCGGGAGAGGCTAATGAACAGGATACTATCCGTACTTGCAGTCATCAACTCGCACTTGCTCCATTCAGACATTTTCCCGGGGGCAGTGTGTGCTGGCTGTTTGTGTGGTGGGGCAGCTGCCAGTTCGCCCTCCCTGGGCAGTATGTACCTAGAGAAGGGCCCCCGAACCCCCCTCCAATCCCCGGCGGGACACCCCATCCCATCCTTCCGCCCTCACCCGAGCGTCCTCCCACCTCCCGCGACGGAAGCAAATATTGAGGTCGCGTCGAAAAAGGAGCCAAAGCAACGCCTCGGCTGCAAAGGACACCGAGGGGTGCTGGCCATCCGACGTCGTCACCATCCGTGCCGCGCAGCCGGCCCCTGCTCGGTCGACCTAGGTATCGTCGGTTCGTTCTGGTGGTGAGTGATGAGATGGATGATAGATCTGCTAGCCGGCAATCGGCCAAGCCCGCGATTCTGGCAAACAGTTTGCCGATCTCTTCGCCTCCAGCCAAGCCCTCGGGACCCTCAACGGCCGCTCTCATGTCTCGCCACCCTGCCAGCCGCATTGCAATGCCCCTCGTCTGCTCCCAATATCACGATACGATAATCCTCGAGGCATGTTGGCATGTATGCATTGAATGCAGCCGAGGGTTGGACAGCATGCATGGGACTCATGTACGTTGTACCAACGGTCTGCTGATGAGAGATGGGATGGCATGTAGGGAATCAGTGCATGCATCATCACACATGCACGCAAAAGCAGCCCCCCCGCATGCTTCCGCTCTTCCTCGCCCACCTCCCGCCGTGTGTCTGGTCGTCTGTATGCAGTGTGTATGCGCGCGCATACATATGTACGGCCGGCGAGCCCGCTGCGCCCCCCGTCACTCGCTCCTGTCCGGCTGAGCACTTGCATGAGTTTATCAGCCCGTGCCGGGGTTTTTTGTTCTCTCCCTCCGGGGGTGGATGGTCAGGGTCTCAGGGTCCCACCCGCGAGGCTGTTTTGACCGCAGGTAGCCATCGTACGTTCAGAGACCAGTCTCGCAAAGGAGACGCCATTGGCGGTTGCTTTGCTGATAATGCAGCCCTTTGTTGAAGCGACCACGAGCAGGTCGAGATCATGTCCCATGTTCCTGTCGGTCTGTGCGATGGGCTTGACTGACGTCTTGACTGATGATAGAGGGTCCTAGGAGCGCGGAACCAAACGGCATGCTAATGGCAGACCGAGGGAGGGCGTCCAACACGGCTTAACCGCTTACGACCCTCGAGAAATGGTCAGACCACACACCGACTACCAGCCCTGCGTGAGCTTTTGAGATGTGGGCGTTCGCATTAGATCCCTGGCTAGAGAGGTCGGACGCACGTGCCATTGTGCCTTGGCTTCCATCCGACCCCCGAGGGATGGTCGTTGACAGCCACGGTGAGGGAATAGGCAACCAGCAGTCTTCCTCACAGGGCGGGCTTTCTTTCAAAGGTCACCATCATCAGCAGCACACGTGAACCCGCGCTGCAAGGAGCCCAGCGAGGTTACAGGGTAGCATCCGCAGACATTGATAACGACGGGCCCAGCCGCAAGGATACCTACTGGAGCGCCCAAGTCGCGGTATCATCGAAGGGGGAAGCGACTCGAAAAAAGCAACGACGCGTTGGGCTGGGAAGATATGGGAAAGACATTGAAGAAAAAAGAAAAAGGTAGCCAGTTGTCAAAATAGGGGGACCGCGGCCAAAGCCGAACCTGTGCAGGGGTTGGGCTTTGGTCGACAAAGCAAGCTTGGAAATCTTATCAGCCTTGATTATTAGTTTTTTCAATGTTCCAGAACTTGTTCTTGCAAATGAAGCCCGCAAGTTGCAAGACGAGGTGTCAATAGGGGCAAGGGGACTCTTGAGACCGGAGGTCGCGAGACAGGGCTAAGAATGAGTGGCTGGCATCTAGCATACATGAACTATGTGGATTCAGATGCCGCACAGCTCGGTCTCCTCGTGGCTCGCTCACTCGCAGCCGCGGTTAGGGCGACTATCCAGGAGGTTGATGCCCAGAACGTGGTTTTGACTAGTGGGGAAACAAGGCGAGGTAGGGTTCCCGATATCCATCCGGAGTTTTATTTCCTCTCAATGGCCTTGCGCATCAATGCGATGGCGCCGCGCAGCCAGCCAATGGGGTTGCGGGGACGTGAAGGGCAGTGCATGAGCCGTGGGCGGTCGTACAGACACGCGGGCGCGCCATGGTCTTGGTGGTGGTGGTGGACAGAAGCGAAGACGGGAGAGCTGCAGGGTAGGCCATTCGTATCTGTACCTGCCGATAGCTGGGCTGATAGGGTACGAAGCAGCATGTACCCAACCCCGCCCCCTCACCTCGGCGCGCACACACCGACAACGCTCACCTCGGTGAGAAATTTCTAGCCCGCAAGCCCGCTGGTGACTCAAAGCACGCCCAGCCCGACGCTGCTGCTACTCTCCAAACAGACGACTCGACAGCCAAGCCCAATACTCACCGACAGACCGCACCCCATCCCGCACCCCCTCGCCTGTCTCTCCCTTGTCTTCGGCGGCCATGTCGCACAAGGGAAAGAACAGCGCGAGCTCGTCCAAGGCCAAAAAGCCCGCCAAGTCGGGCGCCGAGAGCAAAACCGAAGATGTCCTCCAGGCTGTTGTGAGTCTTCCTCGCCCGCAGTGCGCTTCTGCAAGCTCACGACTCGCCACAGGTCCTCGCCGACTCGTTTCAAGACAGATTCAAGCCGTTCACGGTCGAGAAGCCACGAGTGAGCCTCCCCCTTCCGCCGCAAGCCTGCTGCCGTCAGACAAGTCGCAGTACTGACAACGACAGTGTCTCCTCCCCCTCGCCAATACGCCTCTCATCGAGTACACGCTCGAATTTCTCGCCATGAATGGCGTCAACGAGGTCTACATCTACTGCGGCGCACACACGGACCAGGTTGAGGACTACATCAGCCACTCCCGGTGGTCGACGTCGTCACGCTCCTGTCCCTTTTCCGTCCTGCAGTTCGTCCGGGTATCCGATGCGCGGTCGATGGGCGATGTGCTTCGCGACATGGACAAACGATCTCTCGTCGACGGCGACTTTCTCCTGGTACATGGGGATCTCGTCTCCAACATGATGCTCGGCGGAGCCCTGGCGGCGCATCGCAAGCGAAGAGAGGAGAATGCCGCCAACATCATGACCATGGTCCTGCGGAGTGGCGGTCCGCATCAACATCGCACAAAGACCAATGGCATCACCCCCGTCTTCGTCGTCGACGCTCGCACCCAACGGGTCCTTCACTATGACGAGATGAGCCCCCTGCAGAGCAACCGCCGCGTCGCCCTGGATCCCGCCATCGCGGACGAGCTCTCGACCGAGTTCGAGGTGCGGTCCGACCTCATCGATGCCCAGGTGGACATTTGCACGCCCGAGGTCCTGGCCCTCTGGTCAGAAAGCTTCGACTACGAGCTCCCGCGGCGAAACTTTCTGCACGGCGTGCTTAAGGACTGGGAACTCAACGGAAAGATGATTTACGCCGATATTGTCGACGGCGGATATGCCGCCCGGGCCAGCAATCTCCAAATGTACGACGCCATCAGCCGCGACGTCCTCGATCGGTGGACGTTCCCCTTCATCCCCGAGAACAACGTCGTGCCCGATCAGTCCTACCACCGACACGCCAACGGCCTGGTCATGGAGACCAGTGCCGGCCACGCGCCCGATGCCCGGTTGACAAACTCGGTCATTGGAAGAGATACCACGGTGGGCGCGGCGTCCAGCATCTCCAACAGCGTGATTGGCAGGGGCTGCAGGGTCGGCACCAATGTAGTTGTAGAGCGTTCCTACATCTGGGACAACACCACGATCGAGGACGGAACCAGGATATCGCACTCTATCCTGGCCGACTCGGTGACGGTCGGGGCCCGCTGCTTGTTGCCGGCGGGGACGCTTGTCTCGACCCGGGTTCGAATCGGCGAGGGCGTCGCCCTGGACAAGAGCGTCGTGCTGTCGACGGTGTCCCCCACGAACGAGTCCATCTCCAAGGACACGAGTCTCCTGGGCCCCGACACCAACGCCGCCGCCTTCACCGACCCCGAAGACGACGACCTGGACGAGCACGACCCGGCGCGCCTCCAGAAATCTCTCCTCTACTCCCTTGCCGACCTCAATCTCTCGACGTCGTCCATTTCCACGCTGGCGTCGGCCGGGCTGACCACCGACGACGACGGCGACGACGCAGCCTCCCTCTCCGCCGACGCCGGCGTGTCGTCGCGCTCGCGCCTCTCGTCGTTTGCCTCGGACGACTCGGCAGGCAAGCAGTCGTTCCACCAGGACGCCGTCCACGGGCTCATCGACGCCCTGCGCGCCGACTCGGGCGACTTTGACTCAGCCAAGCTCGAGTTCATGGGCCTGCGCCTCGCCAACGACGCGTCCGACTCGATGATGCGCCGCGCCGTCGCCACGGCCTTTGCCCGCCGCGCCGCCGAGCTCCTCACCCCCGAGCACGGCGGGCCCCTCGAGCCCGCAAAGGCCGCCGAGCGCGCGCTCACGGCCCGCCCCGGCGCCGCCAAGTTCGTCGACGAGGTCGGCGTCGGTGGCGACGGCGAGCCCGAACAAGTCGACTTTGTCCTCGCTCTCCAGCGCGCCCTGATGCACCAACACCCCGCCAGGGGCGTCGAGCCCGCCCGCGCGGGGACTCTGCTCGCGGCTCTGTTGCAGCAGCTCTACGCGCTCGACATCCTCGAGGAGGACGGCATTCTCGGCTGGTGGGATGATGCGAGGGCCGTCGAGGGCGAGGGCATGGCTGCACTGAGGGATAAATGTAGGGTGTTGGTGGAGTGGTTGGAGAATGCCGAGGAGGAGGAGGAAGACGACAATGATGACGACGATTGACGATGGTGATGACGGGTCAGGGAAAACGATTTAATTACCCATAATCTGCAGGGAATAAAAACGGGACAATAATAAGGGGGGGCTCGTAACCTGCAAGACACAAATCAGGGACCCGTCCAAAGCAGGGGGGCCAGTCAGTTTCTCGTGAAAAATACATTTGTGGTATCTGCTGTCGCTCTCGTGTTATGCCGGTGAGCTGTGTTCACTCCCGCACATGTGCCAACAGCAAAGTGCTGCTTTCGCCTTGCCCTTCCCCAAACGCCACCACCGCCATTTGTACCTTGCCTGTCCGCGCCGCGATGCCCTTCATCAACGTGCCGAGCATCAACGCGTCAAGGGACCAATGCGCACCACGGTATCCGTGCCCAACGCACGGCAACCAACGTATGATACATGTCGTGAACTGCACCTCACAGATCAGAATATCTGGGCACCAAGTAGTCCCTTGCCTGCCCAAGGGTCTCTGCAGAGATTGACAAAAGAAAAGATCCTGCCGGCAGGTCCGACGCCGGCCACTGTGCAGTCACTACTTCTAGTAGAGATTCTGCAGGTCCGGGTTGCCGGTGGCTGGACCGCCACCCATGGGCCGCCCAGCGGGTTGTCCGACCCCTCGGCCTTGCTGCAGCGCTCCGCGGCCTTGCAGGGCCCTCGGGCCCGTGGGCAGAGCCTGGAAATGGCTCGGCGGCTGGTAGGCATCGTCATAATCGACCTGGGGACCGTAACCGCCTTGCTCGTTCCTTGGCTCGACGTCGTCGAGGGAGCGGTAGCTGTGGAAACCACCTCGACCTCGGGCGCCTCTACCACCTCCCCGCGAGGTATTGCGCATGCCGCGTCCCGCGTTGCCGCCACCTCGTCCCCGGCCCCCTCCGCGGCCGCCAGAGTGAAAGCCTCGCGTCTCGTTCCGACCACCGTGGTAGCCGTGCGGGTTCCGAGGCGCCCAGTCATCGTTCCCTTCACGCTTGCGCTTGGTCGACTTGTTTGCGAAGAGGCTCTCGTACTCGTCTTCTCCGGGGTCTTCTTGCTCGACTCGGAGGGACGACTTCTCGCCCACGGTTGTCTCGAAGACAAACGACTGGTTTGGAGGCAAGGGTTGCCAGTTGGTGATGTTGCAGGCATCCGTCGGTCTGGCGCCTCTCCGCATGGACAGGACGACCAGAGGGATGGGATTGTCCGTATGATAGACGGCCGTGGAGGGCACCGGGCGCACCCGGGCTGCCCAGAGGTTTTCGTTGAGGGAACCGGTTCCCGTCACCTCCCAGAGCATCTTGCTTCCCATCCCGCCGACCTTGGCCAGAATGCTGGGAGGACACGGGCGAGGACAGATGAGGATGCTGTTGGCGTAGTGCTTCAGATCGCCTGTGGCGTCGTGCGGGATATGAGCGAAGCCGCGAATCTTCTTGGTGTCGTCGGGGCTGATCATGTAGCCCGTGAAGCAGACTGTCTTTTTGATCTCGAGCAGGGGTTGGCGTAAGTCGGGAGGAGCCTTTTGCAGAGACTCGTTGTGGTCCTGCATCATTTGTCGCACCACGGCCACCTCGACGACAGGGTCGAGGCTCGTCGAGTCGTCGGCCACCTGGAAGGCCTCGGCAGCCAGGGGTCCTCGGGTGGGATTCAAGGCCTGGCGACGATTATACTCGGCAAAGAAATCGCGAAAGCCCCTTGTGTGCTTGGGGCGGTCCTCGTAGATTTTGATCTCGGTCGCGTACTTGTACGTCTCCATGAGGGCGTTGAGGAAGAGCTGCTTGAAGTGCATGGTGTTCTGGAAGTGTTGGTTGGTCGGGCTGACCTGGGGCTTCAGACACACCATGTCGAATTCGAGACCCTTGCTGGCGACCATCTTCTTTACGAGGTCGGTGAAGGCCTTTTCAGCGCGGCCCGTCAAGAGCACGCATAGGGCGTCTGGCTGCTTGATGGAGAGCTCGACGAGCTGAACCACTTTTTCGTTCCAACAGCCTGCCCAAGCCCGGGGCTCCTCCTTTTCGAGGCCCTGGCCGGTAGCGGCAAGGACACGGCTATCGTGCCACCATCCGCCATTGACGAACAAGTGGGGGCTCAAGAGCTTGCCATATGTCGCTCCAAACCAGACTTGGGGATTTGGGGTAGGCGTCTTGAACACTCGTCGGCCGTCAGCAGGGGCAGAGGGAGGCGGGCACGAGCGGCCTTACAGGTATTGTCAAAGTCGTAGACGTGAAGAGCCTTAATCTTGTCCACGGCTGTCTCGCGGGGTTAGCTGGGTGTTTGCCATGCAAGCCAAGACGCGTGTAGCCGACCGGGAAGCTGCTTGTTCAGGCTGGACCAGCGGCCCAGGGCGGTGACGGTGAAGTGGGAGCTGTTTGCAGCGCCATGGAGCAGGGTGTAGGCCGAAGCCATGGCGCTTGGAGAGAGCCTGGGGCGGAGGCAACGGGCGACGATCATGCAGCGAGGGTTGGAAATGGCCAGTCGGTCTGTGGGTTGATGATGCGAGGGACGAGGATAAAGCTGGCGATGATAAGGTAATTACGCCGGATGACCTAAGGCACTAAACTCCCTTGGGGGTTATCGGTCAGGCAGAAACAGTTATCGGGGCTCTACATATTTCAGGTGGCTACAGGCCATAACAGCCACTGTGGCTGCGCTGCCCGTCATCATCCGCCCCTGGGTCTTGACTCAGGTCCAGAGCAAAGCCACATGCGTGCACCGCGGCTCCTCAGGACGAGCGGTCAACAATCCGCCCTCTAGACAGCCCTCGCCATGGCCTCTGGAAGCGCCGTTCGATTCGTCTTTGGAAGCAAGCAGTCGCCCGGCTCCGGAGCCCTCTGCCTCCGACTGCGTGTCAAGCCGGGCACCAGCAAAGATCGCGAGGGCGTCTCGTCGGTCCTGGACGATTGCGTCGAGCTGTGTGTCGCGGCGCAGGCAAGAGACGGCGAGGCCAACAAGGCCGTCGTGCGCCTCCTCAGCGACGTCGTTGGCCTGCCCAAGTCCCGCTTTCGCCTGACGCACGGGACCAAGTCGAGGGACAAGACGGTCATGCTCGGAGGCGTGACGGCCGGAGAGGGACCAGCCCTCGCCAACACCGTCCTCGGCCTGCTTCGGAGGGCCAGCGGCTGATGTATTCCAACGACCCGCCTCCGTCAGCATCGCCGAGTGAGTCAGCCCGCTCTTGGAGGTGCGGTAAACGCGGGCCACAGACGGCGTCGACTACAGAGCCAATCTACAAATTGTGCCACAGCTTGCTCAATTATGCCCGCAATGGCGCCGCGACATCAGCACTCGCCTCACAAACGCACAAGAACTGCAGTCCTGTACAGTTCGGGCACATCGGCGCGTGTCATTGCCGACCAAGAAGGCATTTCGGCTGGAAGTGTGCATGGCATCACGTCGCGATACGCATCTCAGATTAGTGCAGCTGACCGTTCCCGCTCTGGTCATCCGCCAATTCTTTCGGAAAGGGATAAAAGAGCGGTTCTCCGATGCATCGTGAGGGACCCTTTCACATCAGCCCGTCAGATTATTCTAGACACCAATATTACGTGTGCACCCGTCTCTTTGACGCGCTACCTCAAGGTGTGCACTTGAAGAAGTAAGTAAGATACAGGTATCTCATTGCCCTTTGCTCACCACGCAACACCCTGCAACAGGCGGCGATCTTGGCACTGATCAGACCTGGAGTAATAGACCGACTAGATTGTCTGAAATGGAGGCGACGCCCAAGCAAAGCTTCACAATCCACCATGTCCAGCCCGAGGATGTGTCCACCCTGGCTCAACTGAGCGCAGACGCATTCGAAACCGATCGCCAGACCGTGATGAAAGGGCTGGGCAAGGAGCCCTTCGACATGAAGGCAGAGACCCTCCGCAGCCTGCCTCACATGCTGCGAAGCCCCAAGAAGTGCGTGGTTCTCAAGGCAGTGGACGCTGTGTCGGGAGAAATCATAGGCTACTGCAACTGGGGCTTTCGCGGTCTCGAGCCGGACGAGATGCCTGTCCTAGAAGGGGGAGGTGACGCTCTGGCCCGCATTCCCCCACCAACGGATTCTGACGACAAGCCAAGTTTATCGAGGCCACCTGAGCCGGAAGCCGATCCTATCAGGCGGCTTGAAGCCCTCACCAACGCGGACATGAACGCGTGGATGGCAGAGATGATGCCCGAGGGGACACGATGCTTCTACGTCATTGGTCTGTCGGTGAAGCCCAAGCATCAGGGTCGAGGCGTTGGCTCTGCGCTGCTCAGGTGGGGGACAAGGGCTTGCGACGAACGGGGTGTCTTTGCTTGGGTTCACTCATCGGAACCCGCGTGGAGGATGTACGAGAAGAGTGGTTTCCAGACTATACGGAGCCTCGACGTCGACCTAGACGAGTACGCCCCGATGCCGCCGCCGAACGAAGGTCCCGGTGCTAAATGGGGACACTACGTCTTTCGATACATGAAGTACCTGCCGCGGAAAGACAAGACGAGCGGCGGAGGGAGCGCTGTGAGGACAGGATGAGTGCTCTGAAGTGTGTCTGCACCTTTTGTCCTGCCATTGAGCTACCTACCAAGTGAATACACGATTTAGGCTCAGACGAGCGGACAAGGATGTTGGGGCCTGTCGCGGGTCGCCAGGGACATGGACCCAGAGTGGAGACGGCAAGGAAGCAACTCGGCTTGCCCACGCTGCTTGCTTGCCCTTTTCCGCTTGGAAACGGCATCCCATGGGGGCTTGGGGGATATTTCCTGACCATGGCGGCTCCCACGAGCGATCGGGTGTGAGTATCCGGCAACCTTTGCCTGAAAGATGGACAGACAGAGGTGGATGCGAGCCAACAAGATGATGCCCCATCCGGATGGGTTTACCCTCATTTCGTCTGCGAACCCACAGATGCATCCGGTTGCGCTCATATTATAATGCCTAATTAGAAATCGGCAGCCAACAATAACAGCCCCGATGGCTTAGTGGTACAGCGTGTCACTAGTACTTCGGTATATGACAAGATCGTCAGTTCGATTCTGGCTCGGGGCATCGACACCGATTTGAGGTGATGAGTCTGGGACTTCGGATCTCTGACTCCTGATTTTTTTTGAGCGTCTCGGCGATCCGACCCCATTCTACCGCTCTCCATCTTTCTTTACTATTACATTGCGTCGGCAGTCTGTCCATGCCAGACCAGAATGGTCTGACGGCGCTGTTGTCACGCCTTTGTCGGGATGTTTCATGATATTCCAAACCGGTGAGCAACGAGGAGACAGTGATTAACCGTGATAACGCTTCCCGTATTTGGAGCGTCCGTGGACGACAAGGTCGGTGAAGTGCTTGGCAAAAATCTCCTGCATTCTTTCCGATGGGTGCAACTCGTCAAACCTAGCGGCCGACGGCTCACTCGGTCAGCAACAGGCCTGCGCTGTGCCAGAAACAGCACCGACTCACCATACGAAGCTCGAGAGCGGCTCGGGAGCGTTGACACAGGCCTGCGTGCAGCGGCGGTATGGCGCGGTCGCGTTGGCCGGCGCATCCAGGTAACCGGCTGGGTCTGCGTGGACGTCGGTGACAATGGCGTGGGCGTCGAGGAGGGAAAAGACGGCGTCGGGCCAGCGTCGCAGGTGAAAGGGCACGCCGTACTCGAACATGGTGTTGACGGCCGTCGTGTACTGGCGCAGCTTGTCGCGGAACTCGGTCACGTTGTGCGCCGCTGGGTCTCGCAGGAAGCGCGCGCTGCCCTGGCCGAAGACGCCGGGCCGGGCGTACATGGGCGCGAGCTCGAGCGGCAGCTGGTTGACGAGGACGAAGCGGCGGCCGCCGGCGTGGTGGAGGCGGTCGAAGACGGCCCAGACGCAGTCGGCAAACGAGGCAAGCGTCTGGCCGCGGCGTTGGGTGCCGCCGAGGAAGCCGTTGACGCCAGGTCGTTTGTGCCGATCCAGACGGCGTAGACGGAGTTGTCGGCGCGGCGGCGGCGGCGGTCCGGAAACAGCCGGGAGCCGTCGCCGTCGTCACGGTGGTGGCTGCTGTTGTTTCTGCGGCGGCGGTTGGCGGCGTCGGCCACGTCGGCCTCAAAGGCCGGGACCTCGTAGTCGAGGACCGAAGGAAATGGCCCGCCGATGATGTCGGCGAAGCGGTCGACGAGGGCGTCGGAGCACATGGCGCCGGCCACGGCGTAGTTGTACGAGGCGGCGCCGGTGCGGCGGGCCACGAGGCGGCTCCAAGCGTAGCCGCCGCTGAAGGTGGCGTTGTTGGGCGGCAGCACGAGGCCCTCGGGGGGCGCCGCGTGGTGGCGGACGAAGTAGTCGCTGCGGCCCTCATCGGTGTAGCTGTCGCCAAAGGTGATGAGGTTGTCCATCTCGGCGGCATGGTGATGACGGCCAGGGGTGGCGCCGACGGAAGCGCCGACGGCGAGCGCGGCCAACAAGAGCTTCGTCGCCATATTAGTCGTTGTCCAAAGTATCGACGGCACTGCCATGCCTGTTGTTAGTGACGACGCCGAGCAGGGCGAGCACGCCGGTCAATGAGGTTCTCTCTCGCTCTCACCTCTCTCGTCCTATACACGCACACACCCCCTCTCTATATACACACACATCTCGGCCACCCACCGACCTCGCCATGGTCCCCCCCTCGATCCAGGGCCATTGCAGCAGCAGCCAGGGTGCCCAGCCATTCTCTCCATCTTCGTCCGAGGCCACCACACCCAAAGACGCGGCCACATAGGCCAGCCAAGCCCTGTCCTGCAGACTGCATGCAGACTGCAGTAAGCATGACGCATACTGGCTGGGTGAATCGCGGGTTGGCTTTGCTTTGAGCTTGAACGACCGGCAAACCGAGACGTTGCGCTGCCGTTGCATCGACGCTGCCGCGCGCCGGACCCCATCTCTTATACGAGAGGGTGAAGCTTGAGCAGGTTGAGCCAGCCATGTGTTCCACGGCGTGGTTGTTCTGCGTGCCGGGTGGTGTCTGAGACCCTCGAGACCTGTTGAAGCCCCTTTCCATCATGCTCTGCATTCACGAATGGCGATACAGATAATGTCGGACAAGGGAGATAAGATATTGTCTCACAGCTTGCCGGGTCTCTGCGGCGCTCGTATTTCAACATGATACAGCATGTATGTACACCTACATATTCTACACAAAATGCATTCCACACACGTGTATGCATATGCCGCTTTGATGTGCGTCAAGCACCTCACAGCATAATGTCCTCGGCGTCGTCCCCCCTGCCGTACCGGTTCTTGTCGTTGTGATGGCACTCGAGCATCGAGCCTGCGTGCGAGAGACAAGATCACGGCTGTTAGCCAGACCATCGGGGCCAGGGGAGTTCCGCAAGGGCGAAGGACAGGAACAGGACTCACCGTCTTCTTGGTCCAGCGCGTGCTCGTCGGCGTGCAGCTGAAGCAGGTACTTGCCGGCCGAGTAGAAGACGCTCAGCAGCTGGCCGAGGGCGATGACAAAGGGCATGAACTGGCCGGGGCTGTCGAGCGAGTGCACGCCCGTGATGCCGTTCCACTTGAGCGCCACCTCGACGTAGACGATGGCGCCCACGTTGGCGAGCAGGTCGACGGTGCCGAGGGCCCGGCTGCGTTCCTCGGCCTGTTCCTGGGCGTCGTCGGCCGCCGACAGTTCGCTGCTCCGTCCTTGCAGAAACCGGACGACGACGATGACCAGGCCGTAGATTGCGGCTGGCCACGGGAAAAGAGCAACTCAGCACGTCGCTCCTTGCTTGGGGGGTGGGCGGGAGACGACGACTCACCTCCGCAGTACAGGATCAGAACGAGGCCGGTGCCCAGGGCGGCGATGACGGCCGAGGCCTTGTTGAGGCTCCGGAACCAGCCCCAAATGCTGACCTTTGCAAAGAAAAAGGCCTTGTCGTCCGGGCACGAGCGCGGCAGCAGATCCATGCCGCGCCACCAGAAGTAGTTGTACAGGGCGCTGAGGCCGACGAGCTCGGCCATCCAGATGAGCATGGTGATTCTGTTGCGCGACGAGACGCGGCAGACGCCGACCTGGATGAGCAGCAGCGTCAGGACGGGGAAGACCTCGACGGGTTCGATGGGCGGGTCGGTGCCGTTGCCGCTGGCGCTGGCGATGCTGGCGGCGACGAGGCGGACGAGGACGATGAGCGTCGACAGCACGAAGATGATGGTGCCCTGGCCGATGTGGTCCTCGACGCGGAAGTAGGCGCTCAGGAGGCCCGACAGCTGCACCGTGATCATCTGGATGTAGAGCCCGATGCGGATGCCCAGGCCGTAGAGGTCGCCGTTGCCCGCGACGGGGCACGAGCCTCGCGCCACCAGGCTCGCCATGCCGTCGGCCGCCGACATGGCGGGACTCTTAGGGGGAGGGGGGGAAGGTGTGAAGTGGAATGAAGATCAGTCGGTCGAGGGTTCTGGTGTTTCTCGCAGAGTAAGCGGCCGCCGTTGCTGTCGTCGTCCTCGTCGCCGCATGGAGAAGAGACGGAGAGATGAGGGGAAGGCGGGGGCTGTTATCTATTCCGCTCGAGGTTCCAGACACGGACGGATGGCCCTCTCGACCCTGGAGTCGGGCGTCTCGTCAGATGGATGGATCCTCTTGAGGCTGAGCTGGGGGGAGATGTGGCTCTTCGGGGACCGCGGTCCAGGCCCCCATGGCCCGGCTGGCGTGTCTTGCAGCGCTGCAATATCAACAAGCAACAAGCCTCCCCGGGGGCTGATGGCAGACAGTATTCGTATTTCTCCGAACCGAGCATCGTGTACCCACCGGTCGTCTGGGGGTAGGGGGGGGCTGGCTGCTGCCTGCGTAGTTACAGGTCCAACATGAAAGAGCCTCACTCGATTCAGCCCAAGCGAAGGGGATCGGTCGGCTGACCCAGCGAGGCGGCGCCCCATTGGCCGGGGCTACGGAGAACGAGCTGAAAAAAGCAAAACCAATCCCCATCACCGTCGCCAGTTCTGCCCACACGCAAGCAGGCAAAGGGGGGGAGCCGAGGCTGACTGCGTGCGCCACTTGGCCTCGATAACACACCCGGATACCTCTGGGCACCGCACGTTGCCTGGCCAGGGAAAAGTACCGTTGTTATAGCCGTGGCTTGTATGATTGCATGCTGTCGGCTGCTCGTCTAGACCCGCGGCGCGGCAGGCAGAGCTGACTTTTGAGGAGGACCAAGCACGAAGGGGACGTGTCTATAAACAGCTCCCACGTGCAATGGAAGTGTCGAAGCTACCTTCCGTGCATATAAACATACCGATCGTCCTCTTTCCTTGCCGCCCGCGCCCGCCTCCCCGGGTTCCCCAGAAAGCGGCAGCATCCGCAACCTTAAATCTGTTAGTGTCGAGCCCTAGAGACCGACCCTTCCTTCCCCACTTGCTTCGGCACCGTCTCCGGAGCTGCTCCCGGAGGACCACGGGGGCCGACCGGGGAGAAGCACCCCCCCCCAAAGATCGACAGAACAAGGACAAACAGACAGCATGGCTTCGCTTTCCCCCAGCTGCCCTCCCCTGGTGGGCAACTCGGACCTCTACGGCCTCGGCGTCCGCATCGGCCTCTACTCCCAGTGGATCGCCACGCTGCTCACCACGGTCCTGGACTCGGCCGACGAAGGCGACCTGCGGCTGCTCAACCTCATCGTCCAGACGGCCATATTCCTCGGCCTCTGCACCGAGTCGAGCCGGCGCGCCAGCGCCGTCGGCGCCCTCATCACCCAGATCCTCCTCTGCGGCTCCCTCTCCAGCGTCACCGGCGACGGCATCACCTACTTCGGCCACGCATCGGGCTTCCTGCGCGTCCTCTTCTACACGGCCCTGTCCGCCTACGGCATCTGGTTCTGGTTCGCCGGCCTGCCGCTCATGCTGCGCCCGGGCTGCGACGACGTCGCCGTCGCCTTCTTCGGCCCCACGACAATCACCGGCTGGTTCAGGTCCCTCGGAAAGGCACTCTCCGTCGCCGGCCTCGTCGTCTGCGTCGCCCTCGTCGCCTTTAGCGTCCATTCCAGCCTGCGCCGCTTCCGCCGCGGCCTGCGCGCCGGCTTTGCTCGCCCCTCGGGCCGCCGGCCCCAGGTCGAGATTGTCCTCATGCTCCTGTCCATGGGCCTGCTCGGCCTCTCCATCGCCACCGTCGAGTACCTCATTCGCGCCAACGCCATCCAGGGCGTCGGCGTCGACCAGATCGGCTCCGTTGCGCAGCTGATACCCCTCCTCGCCGGTGTCTTGGCCTGCTTTCTGTCCCTCTGGAGAGTCTTGACTCACGGTCTGCTGTTTAGGACGCGGTGTTGGTTCTTTCTGGGGTGGCATTTGCGATGACCAGGATACAAATGACAAGAAACATGTATCCAAGGTGTGTGTATGCTTATGTTTGTAGCTCAGCGTGTTCCAGATCCTGTATATTACTTGCAATGAAAGCACGATAACGGCCTTGAAGCCACTCCGGCTTCCGACCCCACCGAACGGGTTTGTTTTATACTTCTAAATCCGCGTCTAGATCAAGAGGGTCGCCCATCCGCGAGCAGAAGTGGGCAGTCGCCAGCACCGCGGCCGCCATCATGAGGGTGAATACTATGCCAATGCCCGATACGAACTGGATGGCGGGAACCACCGTGGTGCAAGTTAGGGACGTGCCGCATATGGTCCCAGATGTCTGCCGTCAGGAGAAAGAAGCGCAAGGCCGCGAGCATGATCAGCGACACACGCGTGCTCGACGTCCTGGAATCTATGGCTGACGATTGCCCCCCAGCGCTTCACCAGGCTGTCGACTTTTCTCATCATGATGGCACTCTCCTTATCTGGTACTCTCAGGGTTGGTGACGCTGGCAATGGTCAAAGTGAAGCAGAGTTGTTCTTCGAGGCTTCGACCCTCGTCGACATTAGTTCGCAACAAGATGTTGGACATGCCGAGCAGAGCATGTTCCAGCGGGCAAAGGCGCCAAGTAGACACGTCGTCACCGGAGTCGTCCTCTCTCCTTGGCGTCTGCGCCATGACAATACTGGTTCTCGGTCGCTGACGGCTGTATCCCTCGGATGTGGCATACGTCTTGATATCTTCGCCTATCCGGCCTGAGCTTGCTGGGAAGCAACACGAATCTGCAGCGGCGACCGAGGATTTCGTCGAACATTTCAATGAAGAGCTGAATTGAAAGCCTCGCTATGGACCCGCTGGCTGCATTGTCCACGCCGCAAGCGTCTCACCTCCTTGCCCTTTGGCTCTCATCGAGTGGCGAACAGCAAGGAAAACACCAAGCTCTCCTTCTTTCAGCTAACGAGAAGAAGCGTCCTCTTGGACGACAGCCCGGTGGTGAAAGTGTTGGAATTCGTTTTCATCCAACCTTGCGACATGCTCCATAGCCAAACAAGCACACCACTTCGGGAGTGCAGGGTCCCCAGAAGTCGACTCGGCTCGGCATGTGGACAATGCCGACTTGCAAGCCGGCGAGCGTAAAGCACAGGCACCAGCCGGCTGAATCAAGCTATTTAGGCCGCTCCTCAGGATGATGGGTATGGCTGCTGTCACAACAAAGCTGAGGAATAAAGCATTGATGAGGGAGAGGATAATCACAAAGTGGAAAGCAAAAAAAGCCAAGCCCTTCTTTTCGCCACAGTGAGCGCACACGTGGCCACAGAACAAACCCCGGACCAGCTGAGGTCCACGATACGGGGGCGGGGTCCCGCAGATGGGCAGGTTGTCGGAGATTTTCTTTTACTATTTCTCTTGTGTTTTCTTCTCCCAATTGTGTATTCTGAGGTCGCTTCCCCCCCCCGGGATGTTAGCCAGGTTCGCCGTGGTACTTGTAGTTCAAACCGTCTCTCGTCTCGTTATGGTGAGTCTTGTTTTAGATGGCCCGCGTTCCAAGGGACAAAAACAGCGAAGACCCCATTGCAGATCGGTCCCGGCGGGGAACCGGCGGGGAAAGGGCTTGGCAAGAAGTAGGGCAAACGTTGGGGGGGGAGAATAACAGAGACAAACGACACGGGCTCGACCGCGGCATATAAGACAAAGACTGGGGGGTAGTTGCCGTGAAGCTCGCACACGGACGGCCTAGTCCTCTGTCTTCTCCTTCATTTCGCCTGTTTCGCTGCAGTGCATGACACGCGCCGCCTCGGACGACGTTCCGCGAGGCTCAACTCGCGCCGGCCGGATCAGAGTCTTCCTCTCCGCTTGGACCCACTCCGTCCCAGGCCCGGCATCCGGAGCGCCGTCCAATCTACGGTAGGTACCTCGAGCCAGCCCCGCCTTATCCCTTCGTATTCCCCCGCGAGGTTAGTGGCGAAGAAATACCGGACTCGCTGGATGGCGGCGGGCCCAGTCCCACGCTCTGTGCCGCTGCACGGATTTCCTCGCCTCTCTGCCATCTGCGCCGTGCACTTGCAGCGCTTGAGCTTCTTCTGTCACCACGTCGCTGCGCCACATGCCACGCAAGCCACCTTGCATCGCCACAGCGAGCCCCAAGTCTGGACTCGGCAGGCCATCCCGTGCCGAAGCAACCACCCCCCACCATCCCCCCCCGCCCGGCACAGGCACACAGTGCGGGAGGAACCATGTGGCGCAGCATCTCTGGATGTTTTCTGCTTGCGCTTGTTTACCCGTGCGCACCCCCCCCCTCCCTACCCTCGCCCCTGCAAACCGGAGCAGTGGCAAATGAGTGTCGGCACGCCGCCATTGGTTCGTCCCTGGCCAACCCGGACCGCCTGTTTGTCGGGCCTGTTGATGCTCACGGCCACAACGCCAAGCTGGGGTAGTAATCAGTTTTTAGTTGCCGTAGCGCCATCTCTAGCAAATATGGATTTTAATCCTTGTGGAGGCTAGCCAGGGTCCTCCGTCTGTCCCCTGTTGCCACGCGTTCGTCCAACCTCCCTCCAATCTCCCAGTTTCGAAACACCCTCAAGGCTCCACCCCCTCTGGCCTGGCCTGGCAAGGCGCCTAGCTGCGGGTCAATGTCCCCTCTTTCTTCTCCGCCTCTTCGCCCGTGTCTTACTCGTCTTTCTTGATATGCGCCTCGGCATCCGAGTGAAGCTCGTCAAGCTCGCCAACCAGAGCATGCAGCAAGCATGTTGTGCATGAGAGAAGTCCAAGGGCCCAGCTGTCTACAAAAAGGGTACATGCCCGCCCCGTACCCAGAGTACCTCGAGGTGCACAGCACCAGCCAGGCCCGGTCCGGTCCCTCCTCCTCCCCCCTCCCCTCTTCCCCCCACCTTGGGCCGCCGCCGCGGGGCCACTCCCCTGTCACTCAGGCAAAGTACTTAAGCCCAGACCCCGGACCGGGCAAAGCGCTCTTCGGGCCCGAGGGCTCCGGACCTCTTGCTCCTACGCCCCCCGGTCTCGTGAACAAGTACCGTAATTCCTTTTTTTCCTCAAAAAAATCAATCATCCGCCACGTCGCCCCAGAATGTACAGTACATGCATGCGTCTCCCGTTGCACAGGCTCAACTCTCGACGACAACCGACTTCCAACTCACCGTCATCGCTGCACACAGATCCTCGTCTCCACAAGGCGGCGTCGTCGGCCTTTCAGTCGGTGACTTGGGCTATGTACGGTGCCAAGCACAACTCGCGACTCAGCTAACCCACTCTTCGGCACCCAGTATCCGTCCTTCAAATCACCGATACTCGTGCCTCGCATTAGTTTGCATCTCCCCGTTGAGGCCGACCCACAAGGATGCCGATGCTGCATGCTTGCGGCCTCGGATTCTCCCACCACCCATTATCTCACACAGCCTGTGGCCTAGACGGACCGGAAGGTAAGTCCCTGCACATAGAAATGGGCACCCCCCTGTTTTGGGCACCCAAGATGGGTGCCCAACCTAAACGGCTGCGTCAACTTCAACAGCAAATTTCACCGCGGAAACGCATCCAATCTGCTAAAAAATTGACGCATGTGTCTTCAAGCCACTACTGATGAAATATACAGAGTCTGACATTCACAGCGCCCTTGAGGCAATCGCCAATGGCGGATCCGCCAAGAAGGCTGCTCGCGATTGGGGCGTCCCGAGGGCAACTCTTTACAATCGCATGCATGGTCACGAATGCAGAAAGGATGCATTTTCTGCTCTTCAGAGGCTTTCTCAGACACAGGAAAAGCAACTTACCGAATGGATTCTCATTCAGGACGCCTTGGGCCTTCCTCCCACTCACTCGCAGATCAGGCAGTTCGCGCAGCGCATGCTCGCCGTCAAAGGAGACCACACACCGCTCGGAAAACACTGGATGCAAGCATTTTTAAGACGAAATCCTGCAGTTCGGACCCAGAAGTGCCATCACAGAGACTCTGCGCGTGTCAACGGCGCTTCTACCGAGGTAATTCGGCCTTGGTTCAACAATTTCTTCCTTCCCGAGATTCTGGCTATTAAGCCGGAGAACAGGTACAACATGGATGAAGCAGGCATCATGGAAGGACTTGGGAGAATGGCCTGGTCGTTGGCAGTGCTGAAAAACGATCTGTACAAAAGAAGACGCCTGGTTCTCGGGTCTGGACGTCGTTCATCGAGTGCGTGTCCGCTGCCGGCACCTTCCTCCCTCCACTCGTCATTTTCAAGGGCAAATCGGTCCAGCAACAGTGGTTCCCAGAAGATCTCAGTACTTTTAGTGACTGGCAATTCACTGCGACAAAGAACGGCTGGACTTCGGACCAAACTGCGGTGGAGTGGCTCGAAAGAGTGTTCATTCCAAGAACCCAGCCACCCGACCCTTCGGAGCGAAGACTGCTAGTATTGGACGGCCACGGAAGTCACGAGACGGTTGACTTCATGTATCTATGCTACCAGCATCAGATTCACCTTCTTTCTTACCTCCCATACCTCTCATGTGCTGCAACCGCTCGATTTGTCTGTCTTCCGCTCTTAAGCACTACTACCGCAAACAGGTCGGATTTCTCAGCCTCCTGACCGATTCAAGCCCAGTCGGCAAGCAAAACTTTCTTTCCTGCTACCAGAAAGCACGCGAGCAAGCGCTCACTGTGTCAAACATCAAGGGTGGCTGGAAAGCGACGGGTTTGTGGCCGGTGTCGATGGCGAAGCCACTTTTGAGCCCTCTTCTGCTGGAGAACAGCAACAGACGCAAAAGAACGCGAAAAATGTGGCCAATGCATTCAATAGCCACTTACCCACCAGTGACTGGCAATCAGACACATCCCAGATTGCGTGGTCGACCCCGAGGCGCTCGCAAGATCTGAAGGTTCAGGTAGTTCAATTCAACCAGCTAGACGACGACGTGCCCACGAAGAGATTGCTGTTCAGGAAGATCACAAAAGGGTTTGACGAGAAGGATGGCCTTTTAGCAAAAGCTCAATTGCAGATTCAGGCACTGAAACACAATTGGCGGCCGTCAAGCCGAAAAAAAGGAAGAGGGTGGTCACGAGCCCGAATTCGAGGTTCGCCAATATTGAGGCAATACGACGGGCGCAGGAGGAGGTGAACGCAGCTGAGAATGAAGAATCTGATGAAACCGAAGCTGAGGTTTCAGAAATAGGTGACGATTGTATCGTAGTGCACGGTGGTGGGCAGTGAGAAGGGATTGAATTAATGGTGTTGAAAATGGTCGTGATTTTTTTGGGGTGCCCAAAACAGGGGGGTGCCCATTTCTATGTGCAGGGACTTAAGTGGGAAGAAAACATCAATATTTATAACCAAAAAAACACAGCCGAGAGAGCCTGAACAAAAGAAACAAGAAAAGGGGGAACGGAGAACATGAAACATCGATGCGTCTGACTTCCTACATGTACTTTTACCACCCATTGCTCGGGCTACCTGTCAAATGTAAAACAAACACGGCATGCCAATGGCATCCTAAATTAGAGAAATCCTTCAATCCCCAACGCCGGGGTATCTGTCTTCGTGCATAAATGTCGTAGACACATCTTCAGTGTGCCGCCATACAACACCACCTTCATCCCAATTCTATCCTCGTCTCTGACCCTCCTCAGTTGAATATCATTGTCTTGGAAGCCAATCAAGTCACGAGCCGGAGCACGAGCCCTTTCGTGGCCGCCGGCTTTGCCGTGTTCTCGTCGCTCGATCCATCCGCCGACATGCCCCATCTGCGTTGTGTTGCATGTTCCTGCCGAGTAATCTCCTCGACTTCGAGCCTCATGTCTTGTCCCTCCTTGAGCTCGCGCACAAAGTCGTCGTCCATCTCAACCTCCAAGCCCGCCCGGACCACCTGGATCGTCCGTTGAATTCTCGGTGCCTCTAGACCCCATTTGCTCGCAATGCGTCCGTTGAATTCCTCGAGCGTCCGTTTCATGAGGTAGATGGCCCGGTGATATGTCTGATTCTCTGCCTCTTCCTTGGCTTGGTACTGGACGTAGAAGCACGCCACCGGCTTTTCGGTTCGTTCGGGGGGCGGTCGGTAGGACGCATCGACGCCGAGGGCCTCTATCCAACCGCTAAGCGCCCCTTCCTCATCCGTCTTCGAAATTCGCGTCGGCCGCTCCGACCCCCTGCGAGAGACATCGCCCGACGCTCTGGAGTCCAGGCTTTTCCAAGCGCCTCCCCCGGAGCCCATCGCAGACGTCTGTGATGCCAAGGAGAGGGAGCTAGGCGAGGGTGAAACCATGGAACCTGTGGCGGAGCTGTGCGAGCTGCGGGCTTGCCAATTGGGCCCGTCCCGTAAGCCGTCCCCGACGGTCTTCGTGGGCGGCGACATGTCTCCCGGAAGCGAGACGGGATGAAGATCCGGATCGTCCAGCTCTTCCCCTCGCAAGTACAGCACGCTGACCGGACGTGTGCTGGTGAACATATCCTGGAGTGTCTGTAGCTTGAAGTGCAAGTCTTCCTCCATGGTCATGCGGGGGCCTCCGCCCCCGGCCGAGCTTGCCGACGACATTGACCAGGTTCTCTTGTGCTTGGGAACTTTGCCCGGGCGTTGCGGGTCCGTCGCCCTGGAGGCGCCACTGTGTCGCTTTCTTTTGCCAAAGTCCTTGATACCGCTTTCGATCTGGGAGAGCTGTTGCTTCAGCTTGTCGATCGACTTCTTGACATGAGCCACGTCGTTGGACAGCTTCCGCTCGGCGCCATGGTCTCGAAAGAGCTTGACTTTGCAGAAGCATACCTCGGGCGTCGTCTCGGCTGCATCTGCGGGAAGGAGGCTAGTCTTGGCACAGAGCCTCACGGGGATGCCCTTGACGCCTTTCGAATGACTAAAGTCTGTAGAGAGAAAGTTGAACCTGACGGCAATGTTGACTTCGGGAGCACCGTTGGTTCCGGGAGTCCAGACCACGGAGAAGCCATCGAAAGATGACGCCTCGAGCTCGACGCGCGTTCTCTTGTCGTCGCCCTCGGCCGGCTGGCTGGCTTCGACAAACTCGACGGCCTGCAGTTTCCCTCCTCTTTGGTGGGCTTCGTTTGTGCCTCTTCCTTCCTTCCACAGACTCCAGCAGACCCCAGGCTTCTGGCGCTGCTCTTCATCCTCGAACGATATTCGCACAAACGTTCGGTACTTGGTGCCGGGCTGGATCGGGATCGCTCCGTTCGTGTCTGAGATGGACAGGGAGTAAGCCTGCCCCTTATTCAAATACGTCACCGGGATCTCGTCGGCGTGCCTGATCATGGCAGTCGGCGCGTTCAGGGCAGAGTGAAAGCGGAATTTCTCTGCAGAGGCAGGGAGTGAATGGCCCATGGGCATCCCTGTGAGATCCTGCGAGTGCAACGTGGTTGCCAACGACGGCATCCTCTCGTCAGAAGGATCCGAGTCCATCGGCGAGCCATCGTGCTCCATCGTCTCGTATCCGGTATCGCGGTGAATAAAGGAAGACGGAGCAAAGGTCTGTTGAGACTGCTGCGGCTGAATGAAGGGGTTGAAATGGTGGAACTGCTGCGGCTGCAGGGTCTGAAAGCTCGCCATGTCCACCACGGCCGCGCCAGAGTGAATCGCATCGCCAGAGGTCGGCATGGACAGAGGTGTTCCCAAGCCGGGCACCATGGGCACGTTTTGACTATGCAAGTCGCCGGCTTGTGAATGGAACAGAGTGTTTGCGCCCCCGGGCGTGGGGGTGTAATATCCTGGCCCCGTGCTGCCGAATGCGCTGAAGTTGTAGGAGTTGGGATCAAGAAGCGATGGCGTGAACCTCCATGGTTCGTGGGAGGCACGCGGGGTCGGGTCTTGATCTCGAAATGGCTCATGGTCGGTATTCGAGCCGCTACAGTAGCCTCAGAATTAGCATCACCGCTCTCGACGCATAGCTGGGCGTCGACAGAGGAATGGACGGCAGATACTGCGAGAGATGCCTGCAGTCTCCACTCCCGCCGACGCATGTAATAGACGCAAAGGGGTCGATTGCAAAGCATACCAGTCTTTTGAAGTCGTATGGTGTGAGATTGGATTATTCGCAGCAGTAGTTTGGGAGATTACCGGTGCAGAGGACTCTGTGCTGACGGCTACAACCTCCGGAAACTGCTGCCGAAAGTTGGCAAGCAAATCATCGCCGGGTTTTTGCGAGCTTGTTCTGCAAGAGAAGCGATTCAGTCAATAAGGAGTCGTTGCATACCCCAGAGCAGTATCATCGACGACAGGGGAGTGGCAGCTGCTCGATCGAGGACACGAGTCTGGAAGAGAGCGGACCTCCAGATGGGAACCGGTACACGAACAAACGAGGGAGGCCTGGGACTTTTCTTACCGTTGACGGAACATGGTGCCAACAGGCAGGATGACGCCGCAGAGATGGCGGTTTCCCTCGACGCTTCGGGACCCTCCGAAGAGTAGCTGAGCTCTTCAGGGGCACACGCCACGTTTGCCTCTCGCAGCCGTGACGAGCCAAGGACGTGATTAGGTGGTGACCATACGTTGGATGAAGCGGACGAAGGCTGGACGGGACGGCGGAGTGGGGCGGGAGAGCAAGCACAGCCCGATCGAGCCCGGGCAACGAGTTTTGCAGGATCAAAAAAAAAAGGAGCGACGAGCATCCACGACGAGGCGGAATATCCAGAAGGCAGCGAGAATGAGGAGGCGACCTGGGAAAGCCGGCGCGGTGAAGCGAGTCGCCAGCAGAGGGCGCAGTTGCACTGAAGCCTGTCCAGGCGGTGAGATGTGCTTCCAAGGTTGCAGTGGCAAGGCGGTCGACTGCTGGTGCCGAATCCAAGGGTCGCACCGGGTTGAGACTGCTGTGACGCTTGGGTCGGTACAAGGACAGAGCCCGGCCGTGTGTGTTTCCGGGTCGACGACGTGGAGAAGCGGCGTTTGATTTCGCGGACGACGGGGGGCTCTGGGATGAGGGGAGCTGGGAGGAAGAGCAGGAGGAGGAAAAGAGAGAAGAATGCGGACGAGGGGACAGGAAGAGGAAAATAGGCGCAAACGAGAGCGGCGGGATGTCTGGGTGAAGTAGTGATGAGGCGGGCGGAGGATCGGGCGATAAAAGATGGAAGTAGTATAATAGCATGCACCAAGGAGCTGGGCCCCGGGATATGTATCGGCATAGATCCGAGGTGGGCTGGGCAGTTCGGCAGAGGTTAATAGGACGAGAGATGAAGCTCAAGCAACCAGCAGAGGGGAGCTGAAGATGGGTTAGGGATGGAGCGGGCGGACGACAACGAGCGCCTCCCATTGGTGTCTCGGGGCCTATGCAATAATGATGGGAGGACGCTGAAGTGGAGTGGGAAAGTTCGAAGACCATCCATACCTGCCTTACATACAAGATAGACCCGGAGGTACTTGAGCCGCTGGGAAAGAGCTTGTAAAGGGAAAGGAAGGTAGAGGGGGGGACAGTCGCCGCCCCTCCCACCTGCTCTGGTCTCCCCCCCCCTTCCCCGTCCAGTAGTTTCCATGTGTCCTCCCAATTCCCAAACGGATTCCCCCCCTCCCCAAGAGAAGGGACCATGTTAATTTATCACGTACATGCTTCGGGAGAGGGCGCAACGTCCGCCGCGGGGAAAGGGAAGAAAGAAAAGAATAAACAAAAGGGCCAAAAAAAGCTTCCCGTGCAGCAGCAACAAGGTACCGGCATGGGGCAGGGCTCCAGTCTAAAGAGGTACCGAGCCGAGACTGACTCTTTCCTCGGGCGGCCTTGGGGCGATTAGTCCCTTGATGGTGGAAGCTCCCCGTTGCCCACTGGGTGATGCGACGGCGTCCGGCAGTGCCAGCGATTCCAGCGATTCCAGCAGTCCCAGCAGTCCCAGCAGTGACTCGGTCGGTGGGCGAATGTCCGTCCGTGGCAGCGTCTGTCTGTCATTGCTCGGGAAAAGAAAGAGAGAGGCTCTCTCTCGCCCGTTGGCACGGGTCGAGGACGGCAAGCAGGGGCCCTGCAGCACGCAAGAGCTGGACGAGGGTGGATGTGGGCTGGGGGATTTGCTCTGGACAGACGCTCTGGAACGCGGCCCCTGTAGGCGCTAGCATCGTCTGTAAGCGATCCATAGGAGAGAGCTTGATAATTGTTTAAGGAGATTGATCCGCCGCCAGCTCACCCACCACTGGCGAAAAGTGGGGTCGCCAGGTACAGGGAGCCAAAGCTACAGTACGGAGTACATGCAGCCCAGGTCTCATTAGCCACGCATTGCTTATCGAGGCGCCCCAATTTGGGGAAGTGGGGGGACCAGCAGCAGTGGTGGAAGCCCTGCCTCGTGCTGTGTCTTGCAAATGAACAGGACCATGATGCGATTCAATGTCCTAACTCAGAAGGGTTTGTTTGCAAAGTCAAACGACCTGCTCTCATGCGTACCAGAGTCCACCCACGGATACGGGTACTTGTCGCGTCTCCGGAGATTGTGGCGTTGGGGCCGCCACCAGGCTAAGCGGACGGGACACGCCACTGTGGCTAGTGCGCAGGCGGTCATCCATCCCGTCACCGACGCACTCGTCGCTGACCATGGCCTGGTGACCGAGGAACAATGTCACTGCTGCACAGGCTTTCCTGTCCCTTGAGGCATGCTCTTGTATGTACTGTACATGCGGTGTGCACAGAGACCACGGCCTCTTCCCACCTGTAAGCCGCCTCGACCAGTCACATACAGTACATGCAACGTCGCCGGACCAGGACCTCGTATCCAACCATCCACCACCCGCAGCCACGGAACGGACCCAACAAGCTCTCGCCGCGCCTCAAAAGAACCACCGGGGAGGGCAGCCAGTGGATTGGCTCCGGACCGGTGCCCTGCGCTACAGGTGCTAACAAATGAGGTACTGTACCGACCCTGCTCTGTAATTATTAGGTAAGTCGAGTAAGTACCACCTGGTGGCGGGCACGCCGTCTAGCAACCACGTTGGCGGTTTGCAAGGCCATGGGCCGGGAAGTACGAATACTTGGAGAGGTACTGTATGTACTAAGGTATGTACAGTGTCTGCAGCCGACCCCTGCCTGACAAGGAGGCTGCCTGCCATTAACAGACGATCCCCCGGGGGCGTGGAAGCCGCTCGACGTTGCACGCACAGACGGCTCCTGCTCTCCATTTTGTTGCAGACATGCATATGTACATGCATATAGACGCATGCTTGCACGAGGGGAGGGGGGTTGAGATCTCGGTGCCTCGCCTCGCTCGCTCCCATCATCTGAGCCACAAGGGATCGCCAGTGGCTGTGGACTGGACTGTGGGCTGGACTGTGGACTGGACGTGGACACCAAACCGCCGCCACCTGCAGCAGTCGTACGTTGTGGCTGTGCACGTGTGGCAAGTGCAGCCAGACAACGTCGCACGAGCCTTTTCCTTCATCCTTTCGACGTTCGGCTCGCCACCATCATTCGTTGCTTCTTCATCGACCAGGCCGCGCAATGCCTTGGGGCCAATCTTTGGTTTCGTCCGACGGCTCCTCTGCAGCGCCCACGTCATCAAGACGTGTCCCCGAGCCTTGCCCGAGCCTCGTCACCGTCTCCCAAGGAAAGGCCACTGTCGATCCGCAGGTCATCCATCTGCACACTGTCGCCCGTCGCCTGGGTAGGGCAGGGCTGAAGCCGGTGCACTATGCAGCTCCCTTAGCGTGGGACCCTTGGGCATGTCAAGATGTGGCCGTGGCTAATAAGTGACCACTGTCAGTCCCTCTAATGCTGGTGTCAACGGCCTCGACCGTCCCCCGTTCCTAGCGGCAGCAGCCGTGCCGGACGACAGAACACCACCCTCCTGACTCTTGGCCGAGAAACTTGCGCCACCGTCCCGTGACAATCGGACCATTTCCCGACCGACGCACGCATGTTGCCGGGGCCAGGCCGTCGTCCAACGATGGCAGCCCGGCCGCGCGCATCGGCCGTGGGGAGAAGGGCCAGGGACCGATGACACTGTGAGCCAGTCGAAGCACGCCCCATCGCTTGCAACCATAGCACACAGCCACGTCCGTTGTCGACCCCCGGCCTCTTCTTGTGCTACCCGCTCTTTGTACAGTACATGACGGTGGCACACACTGTCACTGTGGCTTCCCCGGTCCTTTGCGGCCATGTGGGGTACAAAGAAAGACGGCCGGCCCAGCAGTACAGTAGGCAAATGGTAGGGAGAGCGGCCGAGATTTTTTACCCGACTTGGCGGCCAAAGGGCGACACGAAGAAGCCGCATCGGACAGCCAAGACAAGCTGCAGCAGCCGGGGCCCCGGTCGCCCATCAAACCGCCTCCTTCGGTCCACGCATGTTCGCCGCCCCGACCTGCATGCCTATCGTTTCACCTTTTTCCCTCTTGTCCCCGTTGCGCTGCTATAATTGGTAGGTGGCTAATGTACGTGTGCAGGATGGGTGTGGCTGGTGACGTGGCTTGTTCGCCTCCCATCCTCCCGCATCGACGGTTTATGGCTGCCATCGAAGGCAACAGTCTTGCTACAGTGCATACAGGGGGCAGCAGTCTGCCTCTGGCTCATACAGTACATACATACAAGCGTATGCATGCATTGCATGTGTGCACGTACATGCATCAAGGCATGTGCATGTGCCGCTGGGGGAGCTCAGAGGCTGGTGTTGACGACTGGGAGGCGCCCACTGGCGCTTTACTTTTCATTGTCCACGCAATCTTGGCACCCTCTCGCCATTGCCCAGCCGAGCGCGGAATGTGGCAGCCCATGCCGTGCATGTGTGCTGTGTGTACGGCATGTACGTGAATATGCACGAGCCCGGAGCCATGCAAGCACAGGACATGGGAAACGCGCCTTGGGCGACCCTATCGACGGCTGGGTAGCCGGTGCCGGGTCGTATCTGCCGAGTTCCATCATCGAAGCACGCATCATGGCGCCCGGGGCTGTTGCCCTCTTTATCCTTCGCGGGGCAAAAGCATGCGAGGATGGATGGAGCTCGGCAAGGCGTCGTGGTCGGAGCCTGACGGGGTGAACGGGGCCAAAGTTTGGATTCCTACGAATGCATGCGCCTCAGATGCTTCACCCTCGGCGCGTCGGACAGTGGACGATGGGCACGGGCTTGGAGCTGTCACAGAGCTGCGACCGAGTCGGACCACGGACCCGAATTCGTCGGCGAACAGAAGCGCGCTCCGTCCGCCGGACCAACCGTTATGGGACGATTCCCCGAGGTTGGTCCCGTCAAGGCGTCAACGTCGTGCGCAAGGATGGGCCGAAAATTCTGATGGCACGGGGCGGCATCACGTACATGCGGTGTGGTGAGGTGAGGCGATCGTGAGTCTGGACTTGAAGTGCAGCATCTCGCTGCGTCCGAGTGGATCCTGTTGACTCGGTGCTGATACAGAGCTGGACAGTCGGGGAGCAGCGGACTTGGCCTCTCCGAGAGCTCGCTTGCCATGGCGGGGAGCCCTGGATGTTCCCGCACAGGTCGGCAGGTATTAATAGACGGCGACTGCACGAGACGAATCACAAAAATGGCTCCCCAAGGAAGGCCCCGCTGCCGGACGTCGTTCCGCTGGGCGCATGCATAACGAAGTAGACGCCATGTCTCGTTGCACGGGGGGATATAACTTGGCAGTATGCGGTATGCTTAACGGAGTGAAGACGTCGTATACACACACACACACACGGGCGCACACATATATGTATATATATATACATATATGAAAGTGTGTGCGTGTGTGTGCTTGTGTACGTACTGCCATTTAGTCTGTCCGTGGTGTACACGGGGGATATCAATGCAGGAATCGGGTTGGTAGTCGCCGACGGACATTGAACTCTCCCGCCCAGTCAGTCACACTATTCAGCTGAAGAGACGGGCTCCCACTTTCCCGGCAGAGATGAATACGGCAGAGGGGGGAGCTGGAGCGGCGTGATTCGTGAGGTCGATGCAGGCGTTGCGCGATTCATTCCCTTGCCGCGTGCCGAGGTAACACATGAAGGGCCCAGCAACGAGTAAAGGCACACTGTGCTGCGCTACCGGAAATGTCCACTGTTTGCTTGGCTGTCGGGGGTCCGCCTACGAGAAGGGGGTGGAGGCATTGATGAATGATTGATGGAGGGAAACATCGGCGATAAACCCAGAGGGCGGATGCTTGTATCCGGGGGGAGGGGGAGGTCGTCCGGAGAAGGCGGCGGTCAAGGAGATGTGGAGAGATGGAGAGAGATGGAGAGAGAAATGGAGAGAGATGGAGTGAGAAATGGAGATGAGACGAGGGAGAGTGAGTAGGTAGGCAGCAGACATGGTGGAGACATGGTGGGATAGGATGGAAGGGTGAGAAAGCGAACAAGACGCCGGCCGATACAGTGTGCATTTGCTGGCCGTTAATTACATTGCGGGCAATAATGGTACCGGGGATAGAAATACCGCCTCGATGCAATGCACAGGCCTCATTGCGAGCATTATTCGCTCGGCCAATGGCGCCGAACATCAGACGCGGCATTGAGCAGTGTTGCCCACCAAGGAGGGATCAATGCCCAATCCTGTCACTGTCAGCAGCTCGCGATGCCATGATGCTGCTCGCCGTGTTATTGAACCATTTGCCGCGGCCCTTCGTCTTCCGACGCTCCAGCGCCAGCCAACCGTTCGTTAGCCCCTTGTTTGGCGCCGTCGGAGGCGAAAGGGGGAGGGAGAGATGAAGAAGCAAGCAAGACACAAGCCCCAACACGTGGGCATGGGCGGACGCGAGACATGGAGATTGAAGGGGGCGTGGTGGTGGTGGCACCGGTGGGTGGGGGTGGGATGGATGGGGTGAATGCGTATATTCATTACCAAGTAAACAAACCTATTACTTTGTAACATTAGGTTTACTACCTTGCCTGGCTGAAAGAAAAAAATGGAAAAAAGGAAAATAAGAAAAGAGGAACAAAGGAGGGGAGCCGGGATGATGGGTTGCGGCAGGAGGAGGAGGATCGATGATGCCTGCTCCGGAATGCCGTTGGAATCTGCCACGGCGATAACTAGCAAACGGCTCGCCAGTCAAATATGCTCCAAGCGTCTGCCCCGGTCTGGGCCCTTGGACAGGCCGGTGCTGGACTGGCGAACCGGACGTGGGCCCTTTTCTTGGGCAATCAATCAATCAATCACATTCATCAATTGCCGCGTGTAAGCACACGAGCTGACCGCCTCGTGCGTGTCCCATCACCACGGACGCTGGGCTGCCCTGTAAGTCGGATGCTTCCCGTGCATGCGCACATACATTACTCCATACATACATACAATATTATTACAATACAATACATACATGCTACCTGGCCACGCGAGCGCGCAGGCGTCGCTGCATGTCTCACCCACGTCGCTTGTCTCGCTCGACATGTCTTGCAGGGGGGGGGGGGGGTTCCCGTCGACGAGGCGCCGACACAGCGGGAGGGCGGTGTGCGGCGACGCGGCCTTTGGGGGGGCTTCGACGGCGTCGACGACTGTTTGACCGACGACGCCAATGCCGGCCGGGTCTGGAATGGCCGCTCGAGGCCAGCGGGACCGAGCATGTGTTGGCGTGCGGTTGGCATGGCCAGCGAGGGGACGGGTGGCGGTGGCTCCGTCACGGACTGCACCGGTGAGTGAGCCACGGGGTTTGGGGGAATCAAGGGATGGAGAAGAGCTGACAGAGGGTAAAGGAGTCAGTCAGTCCGTCCATGCCACTCGCCCAACCACCCCTTCCTCTTCCTCCCCTTCCATCGAGACGACGGATCCTCAGCCGACCCTTTCTTGCCGAGCTGGAGTCGAGCATATCAGACACGGCCCGTTGGCCGACGCCCCTGCTTGTTTGATTTTGTTTCACGCCCCGACGGCCCGCGCGCGCGGCCCAGGCACTTTCCGCCCGCCTCCGGCCGCGTCGCAGCGCCCAGCGCGAGGCGACACGGCACCAGGCCAACCCCAATTGCCCGCCCAGCCGCCGTGTCGACGCCCGCGGGCGGTCCTTGGCTTGCCTCGTTTCCGCATCTCTCGCTCGGAGCCGTCGGGCTTGGGCGCTCTCGTCGGGCTCCGTACACGTCGGCCGCTCCCCCCGTCTCGGTCGGCTCGCCGGGCCCGTCGACGACGGACCAAGGCGCAGGACCTGGGGGCCCCGGCCGTTGCGGGCGGGAGAGATGATGGGGGAGGAGGCTGGTGTCGCTTCTGGGTGCAGCTGGACGGGCCCCGGGTTTGACCCGTTGGCGTTGGCCCGGCCGCAGCCTCGACGGGGGCCGGCTGGGCCAGGCTCGCGTCCTTGAACACGTCTCGCGGCGTCAGGGTCGTGGGCCGGCGTGGGCCAGCGTGCGACTCGGCTTGAAACCAGAGGTCGAGCGTAGAGCAATCGGGGCGAAGAAAGCAAGCGCGTCCATCGGCAGGCAGCCCGGAGCTGGCGTCGGGGACTGCTGACACGGCCGTGAACCCGACTGCGCCAAACGCCATGGCACAACTGTATTGTATTAGAGTGTAGAGCGACGAGCGACCCGTTGGATCGGCAGTCGAGCTTCAGCCGCCACACGCATGCAAGGCAACGTGCATATTGCTGGAGGCAGGCGGTGCGGCTGAGCAAGCCACACGACGCCTGCCCGGTGGCGGCTTTTGCTCAGCAGCAGCTCGGCAGCGTCGACGACACGCCGCAAGTCCGGGCTCTGGTCGCTCAGCGGCAGGGGAGGCCCGCGGGGGGGGGGAGGGGGTGGCAGACATGTCCAGGCCCAACAGCGTCCTTTCTTTTCTCTGCGCCTGCGGCATATTACGTACGTCTATGTAGACACGAGCAGCAGCTGCTTATGTGGTTACCTAAGGGCCAGAGGCGCCATGGGGTCGGGGGGGTGGGAAAAAGCCGCATCGTCCGATGCTGGTAGACGGGTCGAGGGCCGGGGGGGGGGCGGGCCGGCCAGCGGGGCGCTCCGCCGACAACGGGGCTCCGAGTCTCGGCCGGGTTCGGGGACCCGCCACATCGGGTCTTCGATGCGACGCCGAACCCCTGCGCTTACCAACAACCATGCCGGCCGTCATCGATGGAGCGTCCGTCGTCGTCGTCGTCGGCCCAGCGAGCTCCGGCCCGAGTCGAGGCATGGCTTGCAGAGGGTGCGTCGTCGGAACAGCATTATTTACAAGGGGGTAGGTAAAGTAAGAGCCGAGACGAAATGCCGCCGCCTTTGGTCAGGCAAACAAACGCCCTCCATTCCTCCCATCCATGGGGCCCCCGTCTGTCTGCATTGTCCGCCTGCCTTGTTGGGCGCTCTGGGTCTCTCTCATGGGCGCGCCTCGTTCAAGACGAAAAGAGACGGCCGGCCATGGTCGGCCAGGGGATCGAGACCAAAGACGCGAGACACGGAGAGAGGATCAAGGACAGGACGGCAACAGACCGACAAGGAGATGAGATGCAAACAGGCATGCGGGAAAAGCGTCGGCCGCCCTCTCCTGCAGCCTGCCCACGACTACTGCAGAGCATACCCAGCCGGCATGCATACATACATACATGCCAGCACTCCTTTGCCTGTCTCCGCTGTCTATGCGCGAGCGGCAGCCAAGAGAACCACCGTGCTCGGCAGTCAGGACCGTTCTCGCGCCCAATAATGGACCGACGACCGGCCATCCCTCCTCGGCTCGAACCTACAAACACCCTTCCCTTGTCCAGGCCCACCCACTCTCCCCTCTTTTTCCCTTTTTTTTGGCCCTCTTCCCTTTCTCATACGTATGTGTACTGTATGCATTCGTACCACCCGGTTATGTACGAACGTTATGTAGCCATGTATGTAATATCACTCACCCGCGACCCGAGCTGCGAGGCCATCTTCGGTCCAGCGAGTGGGGCGGGGGGGGGGGGCAAGAGTCGGCCGAAGATCGGCGAGGGTGCTCGGAGTTGCGCGCCGTGGGATATATCATCTTCGGACACGTTGGATCTGATCATGATCACGCCGCGCCTGGCTGATCTGTTGCTGCCCGCCGGGATAGAACAGACCAAGTCTGGGGGAGGGCAATCCGACCCGTTGTCGACAAAATCCAGCCATGGCTCCCAAGGAGCATCTCCAAGGCGCCGTGCCGTCACCGAGCCCGAGCCCGGCCGATCAGACCACGGCCATGTGCAGCAGCTCGTCTTCCGGCGACGAGTCTCCCACACAGGCCTTGTCCGCCGCCCTCGGCCCCTGTAAACTCCAAAGCCGGCCCGTCCCGGCCGCAGCCCCGGGCACCGAGGACTTGTCGTCGGACAAGCCCGAGCCAGCACCCGCGTCCTCGGGCCTTGACGCCGGCGCCGCCAGCATCGCCTCCCTCGCGCCCGACTTCGAGGTCACGCTCGACGACGGCAATGGCGAGGACCCCCGGGGCTGGCCGCTCTGGTACCGCTGCTGGTGCATCGCCGTCGTCTCGCTGTGCTCCTGGGTCGCCACCATGTACAGCACCAGCTACAACGCCTCGGCCCCGGGCCTCGTCGACGAGTTCGGCGCCTCGACGACGCTCGTCACCCTCGGCCTGACCACCTATCTGCTCGGCCTGGCCGCCGGGAGCGTCGTCGTCGCCCCGCTGAGCGAGCTGTACGGCCGCCGCGTCGTCTACCTCGTCTGTCTGGCCGTCTGGGCCCTCCTCATTGTTCCCTGCGCCCTCGCTCGCTCCTTGACCGTCATTATCGCCGTGCGGTTTATCGGGTGAGTGCGCGCTTTTGCTTCCCCCGTGCATAGTGCGCCCCCCCCCCCTTCCCCTTTTCCGTTCCCGTCCTCTGCGTTGCTAACCGTCCACGGACCACACAGGGCCTGCTTCGGGGCCGTCATGATCTCCAACGCCCCCGGCAGCGTCGTCGACGTGTCCCACCCCGAATATCTTGCCAGGAGCATGTCGCTCTTTGCCGTCGCCCCCTTCAACGGCCCCGTCACGGGCCCCATCATCGGCGGCTTCGTCTTCCAGCACATGGGGTGGAGATGGGCCACCTGGATCGTCCTCGTCATGGCGGGCCTGTGCGTCGCCCTCATGCTGACCGTCAAGGAGACGTACGCGCCCACCATCTTGAAGCGCAAGGCCGCGCGCCTGCGCAGGCAGACGGGCGACCCGCGCTGGTGGTGCCGGTACGACCAACAGCGCGTCTCGACCTTGCAGCTGCTCCGCGTCAACCTGAGCCGGCCGTTTGTCCTGTTTGCGACAGAGCCCATCCTGTGGTTCATGAATCTCTGGTTCGTGTGGTGTTTGAAGGCGTCGGAAGGCAACAAGATGCTGACGCGTGGCCGCAGGATCTCCATCGTCTATGGCATCCTTTACCTCTGCTTCGTGGCATACCCCATCGTCTTTTCCCAGCACCGCGGCTGGGGCCCCGGTGTCTCGGGCCTGGCGTTTATCGGCATCGGCATCGGCACCCTAGCCGCCATCTTGGCCGAGCCTCTCCTCCGCCGTCTCATCAACGCGCAGCCTCGCGACCCTGCCACGGGCAAGGCACAGCCCGAGGCGCAGGCCCTCGTCATGGCCATGGGCGCCGTCTCGGCCAGCATCGGCCAGCTCGGCTTCGCGTGGACCTGCCTGCCCGCGAGCATCCACTGGGCCGTGCCCGTCAGCTTCGGCGTGCCCTTTGGCTTCGGCAACACGCTCAGCTTCATCTACGGGTGCAACTACCTGGCCGGCGCCTACGACGTCTATGCCGCCAGCGCCCTGGCCGGCAACGCCGTCATCCGCAGCGTCTTCGGCGGCACGCTGCCGCTGGCCGGGCCCAGCATGTACGAGTCGCTGACGCCTCAGTGGGCGGGCACGCTGCTCGGCCTGCTCGAGGTGGTGACGATTCCCATTCCCCTGGTCTTTTGGCGATATGGGGGCAAGATTCGCGCCAGGAGCAGCGTGCTTCGACAGCTCCAAGAGGATCAGGACAGTAGAGAGGCCAAGAGGGCCCGTAGGCCAGAGAGGGGAGCGTGCCGCTCAAGAGGCTTCGGCCACCCTCGCCACCAGCCGGAAAGGGGCAGCAACGAGGCCGTGGGCGATTAGACGTCGGAGAATAGGTGCTGTCTCAAGTCTAGCGAGGGGCGAGGTGGTGATGTCGACGAGGAAAAGAGCGGCTCCCCCTTTTGTCTTGTGGCAGGTGGTCGTGGCATAGCTCGTAAAATATGCTGTTCACTTTAAACGAATTATTTAAGACTGCAGGCAAATAATTCTTCTCTGGAAGTTGGTGGTTTTCTTGAAAAAAAGAGAATGGGCAAAAGAAAAAAAAGAAGCTGGCATGAATTGTATAGGAATAGCCCAATGCGGGGGTCGAACCCGCAACCTTGAGATTTCATGCTCCCGTAAGAGTCTCACGCTCTATCCAATTGAGCTAACCGGGCGCCGATGGAAGTACTGGTCAAATTCGATTATATATAGTGTCCGCATTGGCGTCCTCTCGGAATGTCCTCCGCCAACCGGGCAAGTCGGTCAACGTCTTTCGAATTGAAAATCTTCTTTTTAGATACTGCAACCCGTTGCTACTCCCATTTTCTGTTGGCCCAGCGCCCATCATGAACAGTTCACCATGTCTATCACCAATGTAAAAGCAAAAGGCACCCAAGATAGTATCTATCATCAAAGAACGCAAAGACAGAGTCGAATACGATAGGAAAGCAACTTAGTTGCGATGCCGTTTACGCCCATAATGCCCGGTGTCATAGTCTTCGCTTGCCCGCGATCGCTTCAAGGCCGGAGATGGAAGGGTCGGACTGGTTGCCGCAGCCATCTCATCGTCGACTTGGCGCAACAAGTCCAGGTTGTTGACTTGGACGTGCCTCTCAAACCGCAACGAGTACTCAGCCGATCCCACGGCGTCGGTCAGGGTCCTGATCTTGCCTTCGATCAAGCGCAACAATTTATCCGTAGGCTTTCGACGAAGTCTCCGGACCGCAACGACCAGTTGGGCCAGGCAGTCTGTCGTGCTGCTCGCCACGTCGCAATTCTTGGCCCGGTGGAAGAAGTCAACCAGGTCGCCGGTTTCTCCCGCGCTCACCTCAAAGGCCGGTCCCAGGTGGTGGACAAGGGCTTCATAGTCTTGTCGGACTGTCGAGTTGCGACCGAGTCGTGCTGCGATTCCCTGGCTGAGCCTGGCGTTTGCCTTGTGCGCCTTGACCATCCGCGCTGTATTCGCATTCTCTTCATTCAACTGCCGTTTCGTGGCGCAAAGCTCCATGATGGTATCCAGGAGTGCTTCGTGCTTGTCCGTCGCCTCGGTGCGTGCCATGATGGTATTCTTCGGGATGGGGGTGGAGCCATCGGATTCTAGATCCGGAGCACCAGGCCCAGCTCCAGTTACCGGCTGCGAGCGAGCGACCGTTTGATCGATTGGTTTGGCCGTGTCGGACACGGGCTGAGGCGGACTAACTGACACAGGCTCGACAGGCTGTGCAGTGACTATCGGACCAGCCTGGCTTTCCTGCGCTCGTTTGGTCTCTGGAAGGCCGGGAGGCATCGAGGGCGCTGCTCCCGCTGCATCGACGGGCACTGCTTTCTTTGAATCCACGGACGCTGTTCCCGCTGCACCAGCCGACGCTGCTTCCTTTGCATCAACAGGCACTGTTCCCGCTGAATCAACAGAGGCAAACGGAGGACGACTGATTTCAAAGTACGAAACCCTCCTCCTGCCACAGACCTGCGTGTGGTGCTCGATTGCCGTCGACAGTTTGGGCAGCATGTATTGCTCATTGATCATCCGAGACATTATGTTTGGTTTATTCGTGACCTTGCGGAAATGCAAGAGTATATAGACGCAAAGTATGACTGGCGCCGTCAAGCAATAGTGTTTGCCCTCCAGCTTGGTCCTTTTTCTCGTCTTTTGCAATGATATGGTCATGTAGCGACTGCCCGGCCACTTCGACAGGGTCTGCGTGTCGAGCAGCTTCGTGGCCAAGGCCTTTTTGACAGTGCTCTCAACGCACTCTTTGTAGAGTTCGGGCTGGAACCCGACCGTTTGCATTGCTCCTTTGACCAACAGCGTGATGAGCCGTTCCTTGGCTTCCATCGCAAGGGACTGAAGAGAGAGTTGCTTGTTGTTGTCGGTTACCTGACATTTCGCGATGGCTTCCTGGATTTCTGGTGACAAGGCGAGAACCGCTTGAGACGGGTCGTCTGGCAATGTCGGCCCCTCGACAAAGGGGAAGACCTGTCCCGACATGATGAGCTTGCAATAGGAATCAAGCAAGATAGCGGGCGACGTGTTGGTGCGGATATAGGAACGGGGATGGGGTAGGAGGAGGAGGAGGAGGAGGAGGGGAAGGAGGGGATGAGGTAACTTAGTGAGGGAAGAAAAGAGGGAAAGAGGGGGAAGTGCAAACGAGGAGGGAGTGGAAAAGAGGTGGAAGTGGACAAGAAGAGGAAGTGGAAAAGAGGAGGGAAGTGGAAAAGAGGAGGGAAGGAGAAGGGAAGACGGTGGAAGCGGTGGAAGTGGAAAAGAGGGGGCGAGAAAGGGGAAAACAGGAAAAGAGAAGAACTGCAATCAAAGGAAACCTTGGCGTATAATATATCAAAGCCCGCAGCTTTCGTAAGTTGCTTCCCTTTGAGAGTTGCAACTCCATGTCGCTCGAAGCTTCAACTAGGCCAGCAGCTATACCGGCATCCAATTCTGTCGTCCCAGCCCAGGCTTTGAAAACATGCCCGAGCCTATGCATAGGTCAATCACATCTGGCGACTCGACACATTCACCAAGAATGGCTCAAGTCCTACACAGTGACCGGGGCAGCCCGAGAGCGCTCGTCACATTCTGTGGCCCCTTTGGCAGCTCGGCTACTAAGCAGACACCTTCTCTCATATGGTCGTCATCCAGGCAGTGTGTGCCTCGCCCATCAACCCTCTCCCGCCGCGAGCAGCCTCTCCCCGCGCCTGTGCCAAGCCTCGTCGGCCGATACCGGGCAAGGTCTCCGCAGCCTTTGCCCAACACTTTCATCCATGACAGTCATGTCCAAGACTCAGTCTGCCCACGTTGATTTCTCCCTCGCCGTCCAAGTCGTCGTTCTCATCCGAGTCTATGGGGCCCCTCGAGATTTCCATAGCATCTAGCCAAAGCGCCCGACCGCCACATGACACCCGTTTCCGGCACACAAACACACAGCTCCTTTTCCTTTTATTCCCCCTCCAACGCCTCGAGCTCCTTCAGCACAGCCCCTTTCGTGTTCATCTTTTTGAGCTGCGTGTCCTCGAGCTTTTCTCCGCCAGCCAGACGCATCTCCAGGTCCTCAATCGCCCGAATCTTCTTCTGAAGACCACGGATCTTCTTGGCACCAGGGCTCTGCGCCGCCTCGGCAACGGTGGGCTCTTGAGGGGGGGTGGCGCCACCATAGGCCCCGGTGTTGGCACGCACGCCGTATTGAGCATCATTGCGGTTGCTGCCGTTATGCTTTGGCCGGTTTCGTTGGTAGTCGCGGCCGTTGCCGTTGACGGAGCCGCGCCTATCAGGACTGCGGCCTTCGCCTCCAGAACCGGCACCGCGTTCGTGAGCCGGAGGCGCAAGGCTGGCCCCGCCGTTGGGCTCGGCCTCCATCCTCCCTTCCTGGTGGACCTTCTTGTTTCTCTTCTTCTTGGCCTTCCTGGACGCACCGTCGCCGTCGATGGGCTCGGCACCGGGTACGGACCTCGCCGGCGCAGACGAATCGGCAGGTTCGGCCCCAGGCACTGCACGACGGGTTCGTCCAAAGCCGTTCGGGCCTATGTTGGACGTCCCGTTGCTGACCTGGTGGGCGGCGCCGCCCTCGTCCTCGCGCTTGAAGTGCAGCGGGGTGGCAAGACCTCGGGCCCCGGGAGGTCGATATGCGCCTGCCGGCTTGCTCGGGGTTTTGACGGTTCCGAGGTATGCGGTAGCCGACTCGTGGGGGGTCGGCACGGTCTTGAGGGGGTCCTCGCTGGCCGTCGTCTCTGCGGCTGCGGGGCGCCACACGACATGGTAGAGCTCGACCATGTCTTCGTTGTACATGAGGGTGCCGCCGATGTGCCATAGTTTCACGCCGTTGTCGACACGCAGCCGAGGCGAGGTCGTCGCCGTCATGATGTACCGGCTGTCAGCGCTCCACTCGCACACGCTGGGGTTGCCGCTTTCGATGGTGCAGATCTTGCGGTAGTCCTTGTCCGAGTCGTACACGTCGATCTGCCCGGCGAGGTTGCCAAAGCCGGCGACAAGCACAAAGCGCCCGTTGGGTGCAAAGATGACGGTATTGCGCGGGGCGAGCGGGAACGAGTGCTTGACGGCGGCACGGTCGTTGAAGATGGTGGCCTTGGCTGGCATGTAGCCGTAGACGACGCCGAACTCGCGAGAGTTGGGGGACCACGAGACATCGTGGATTGGGCCTTCCTTGTCGAGGGTCACGCGCGCATCGAAAGCTCCGTTTGTGCTGAGCAGGTAGAGAGTTGTTTCACCATAGTAACTCTTGCCAGACTTGTCGACGTCGGTCTGAGCCAGCACCAGGATGCTCGAGCCACGTTTATTCCACTTGAGCTGAGCCTTGTCGCCCTTGAAGAAGGTCTTTTGCGAGATGGGTTGCTGGAACATTGGCACATTATAGACCTTGACTGCGGCCGGTTGACCCTTTGGAAGCAGACGTTAGCAAGCGATGACTGAAACGCATCCCGCTCCTCTTTGCAATGCAAGTCAAAAAGGCCATGTAGACGGACGGGTGGAATACCTTGCGTTCCGGCACGAAGACAGCCACGGCATGGTTCTGGCTTCCCGGCGCCAGGGCGAAATTGGCGGCCCCTTCGACGCGGAGCTTGTTCCAAACGGTGATGAGGTCATGGCTCTCGAAAAACTGGACTTCGTTGGAGACGAGGCGAGCGCAGTACTTTTCGTCGGCCGTGTACTGAAGATTCCAGCCTCCCTGCTGCTTCTGCACGAAGCGACCCAATGGTTGCTTGTCGGCTCCGGCGACGCCTTCTTCCGTCGTGCGCCAGATTTTGAGGTTCTTGGTCGCGTCGCCGGCCTCGTCCTTGGCCGGGCGCTCCCAGGTGATGACAAAGGTGCCGAGAGGCGAAAAGTCGAGCTCGTAAACATTGGCGATGGGCAGGCTGAGGACTTGGTGTCCAGTGAGGGCGTTGACGACAGTGACGGAGTCGGGCGAGGCCCAGGCAAAGAAGCGGCCGCACTGCGAGTAAGCGCAGCAGCGCAGATTGCCCTCGGGCTTGGAAAAGCCAGCGAGGGGCTCGTAGACCGGGGCGGCGTCGAAGATGCCGATGGCCTTCTGGGTCCGATACGCGAACTGCAACGGGGATGCCATGGCTAGTCAAAGTCACAGTATCTCGGGGTTTTGCAGTCGGCCTGGGTGGCTTGAAAAGAGGTGTTGTTGCAATCTTCTCACGAGCTTAGCTGGCGTGCAAAGCTGTCTCTATCGCCCACGGGTGCGCAAGACCAGGTAGTCAAAACCAGGTCCGATGTGAGGAGGCGGGGTTGTCGAGGCAAGAAGCAAGCAAGCTTTGCGGCTACTCGAGGTGCAAAAACAGTCGTCTCGGAGGAAATGTGATGTCGAGACGTGCGGTAGCTTGGGCAATTGAAGGCTTGGCCGCGTGAACTGTACCAGTCTCTCCGAGATGGATCGATCGATGTCAATGTCGGTTCGTTGACGCTTGTCGTCGCGCTGGATGAGCCGTCCGGTGCGAGGGGGGCTGTTTTTCAGGCGGCGGCAACTGTTGGGAGCAGCGAGATGAATCAATCACAGGGACTCGCGAGACGAATTGCAGACGGAGAGAAAGGGAGAAGAGAAGAAGAGGCAAGCACCCAGGAAGGAAGAGGAGGGGAGAGGAGGAGGGGGGTTTGACGGCTTTGGCGGCAATGCCGTTGTGTTGTCAGGCTGGGATGGGCGAAGAAGAAGAGGAAGAGGTGGAGGAGAAGAGAAAGAAACAAAGCGTGCGAGGGCTGATGTATTTTTTCTCCACGTCCGGTTGCCTTTTTCACCCCTGCAAGGCTAGCACCGGCCAAGCGACGAGGTAGCGGTACATGGCCCTCCCTCGCGGCGCTCGCTTGCCAGGCCGAGCCAACCGAGTACTTACCCGTACTCCGCACCTCGTCCACTGTATCCGTATGCGTCAGGGTGGATTCAGCAAGTTGGCGGGGAGGGAAACGGATGCTGGAGCCCGTGACGTTGGATAAAGGGTCGTTCTGATTGATTAGGCACCTACCTTTCGATGTTGCCTCCTTGCTTTGTGCTTTGCTGTTTTGTGTTGTAGTGATCCGCCGTCCACGAAATGGACATGCGCATGTATCGCGTGGCCCATGGAAGCATCAAGCACAGTAGGCGCCTTAGGTAGTCCCTGAGGATGTTGGGCAAAGAAGTACCAGGTACAAGCCATGGCAAAGGACCAAGCTAAGTATCAAAGTACCAGCAATGGGGGAGGGGGGGGACTCATCTCGCTGCGTCTTCCCAAACTTCCCATCAAGCCATCGCCGCGCCGTCACCTCAATCCCATCCTGTCTATTCGACGCCCGCAAACCATGCACGCCAAAGACACCGCGAGAGGTTACGCTGACCTCAACTAAACCTCGCCTCCTCGAGGCTGGTCCCATGACGCGTCATCACCGCTCTCCGGAGCCGCCCTCGTTGGATGGATGCAACAGGTTACATCCTCCCTCCCTTTGCCTGCTTGCTTGCTCGTGCCCTGGCTGTCTTGAACAAAGCATCTTGCATGTTTCCTTGCTTCCACCGTCAACGTGCCGTCCGTGGACCCCGACCCCATCTAGATGCCCGCCTCCATTGTCCGCATCATTCGTGCCACGGCCCGTGCGTGTGCAACTTGCATTTCACTCGTCCGTAATACAACGTTTCCTTTTTGCCGTGGCGGCCAGAAACCTGGTCCTCGGGACAGGCGGTTCCATGACCTATATATATCCCGTGCATAGGGTCGCCCAGACAAAGAGCCTTGCTATTTGCGTCACGGCGAAAACAGTCATCTAGCTGGGTTGCCTGGACACCAATTTTGCTATAGTAATCGCCTTACTGCGTCCGACCGGCTCGTGCTGCCCAAGGGCGTCGTGCCAGTTCAGTGCTATTTGAGTTGCCCCAAGGCGCTTGATTCCTTACCGTCCCTTGAGCTTCTCCTTCCACCCACCCTTTTCGAAGAGCCAGAGTGCTTCCGTGGCGTAGGCGCGACTTCCTCTGTGTCCGCCCTCGCCAGCTGCTGCCTCCAGCAGGCTCTCCAGAACTCTGCCCTGCTTCATCGAGTCCCAAACGCCCATCGCAATCGGGTCGTTCTCCGTCTTCCCCCACTCTCCGTGCCCTAGCCGATAGAGGATCCTGCCCAGGGTCTGGTAAGCCATGCATCGTTGGGCGGGCACAGCACTTCTAGCGAGCCGAGCCAGCTCCGCGACGGTATATCCGGCGGCCTCTGGGGCTTCCCCATGGTGATGGAGTCCCCTGGTAGAAGGAATGGACCGACTGATGCGTGGCGAGAGAAACCTGCCGCGAAAGTCGAACCGCAGAGCGGACACGCCGATTTCGGGATGGGGGTAGTAGGGCGATTCCTTGTCCGCGGGGCTGTCTTTGCTGGGCACGGGCGCCATCCAAGCGAGCTTGCTGGGATCGGCAGGCAGGCTGGGGAAGTATTTTTCGTGAAGCGTCGCAAGGAAGTTGGGATCGGAGGGGTCGATGTCGGGAAGGCTTGGGGGAGCGGGAAAGTGCGTCGACTTTGGTTGGTTGGTGATGGGAAACAGATTGGGTGGGATTTGCGTCAGCGCCTTGTCCTCGTCGAAAGGGTCATCGGCCGAGGAGTCCCTGGCTCTGGGTGCACTCTCTGTTGGGTTTGGTTCTTGTGTGTCTGCACTCTCGACTCTGACCTCGGGCGGTGCCGGTGTCTTTTCCTTGTGTTCGGAGGCGGGAGGATCGAAAGGCGAAGGCTCGATGTGGTCGTCGATGTTTGCCCGCTGGAGGAGTCGTTGCACTAGAGTGGGATTGAGACCTTGCATGATGTCGTCCTGTGCCTGTGCTATCTCTTGTGGCGACATGCTCGCAATCTTTTGCCGATTCTCTTGATCGATGCGCCTCCTCTCTGCCTCGTCAAGCCCCAGCTGCTGTGTGACGCCCTGCGCAGAGGACCGAGACGCGTCCGCATCGCTCCCTGTTTCTGGCTCAGAGCCAGCGCCCGACCGCTGCTTCTTGAAGGCCGAGCTCTTCCATCGCCTCTTGTGCTGCGGGAAGCCGGTAGAGGACGTTTGCAGGGCCGGAAACTCGACAGCCTTGGTCGCGGAGAGATGTCGTTCGACGACGTCTCCTATGAGGAGCGTCGGATCCATGGTTGACGTGAGGTGCGGATACCAATTTTGTCCGGAGCCCTGCAGTCGGAAGTTGAGGCTTGTAGCTGACAAATGATAAGTACCTACGTAGGTATCTAGGTACTTTGCGGCGGGGTGGACGGGTGTTGGTGCCAAACGCAGGCGGCAGCAGCCGACTCCCACGTGAGACAATATTCCCTGACCAAGTGCCGTACCTGGTAAGTTATCTCGCGGATAAAGAGAGAGATGGCCAAGGGAAATGGTACCAGGACAGGAATGTAAACATATCGTATCCGACTGGACTTGGCGCCATGCTGTCTGATTTCCTACGAGGCTGCCGAGTAACAGCAACAGACGGCACCTAACTTTAAATGCCCCGCTGGAGTGTAAATCCCCGTTAGCCCCTCGTTTGATGCGGGCTTCTGCCGTACTCGTTTTCCGCAAATCTCCCGGCAACGGATCTACGAGTGATTGCTTCCCTGCTCTGCTGTCGTGCTCGCCTTTGGCTTCAGCATGGAAGTGGAGGCGGCATCGCCGGCCAAGTCGGTGATTTTTACAACCTCGACCCGCCAGCCAAGCCCAGGGTAAATTGGCGTGCAGCCACGATGTAAGCCGCAGCTGGGGAGGGCCGGTGCACGAATCCCTCGCCTGTGTCTGTACTTTGTAGCCCACTATCTGGAAGACCAGGGGCGGTACTTCGTGCTCCTAAGCATGCACCGCCACGCTTGCATTAGCGCCGATCGATTCTTCACCTCCGGATTTCCCAGAACATGTAACTATTCTGGGTGACAAGGTACAGAGTACTTGCAGGTATGGAGTCGAAGTATGAGAAAGGTAAGTTATTCGCACGTGCGTCTCGAAAGGGAATCATTTCTGGGCACAGTCACCAATAGTCAACTTTATACGGGAAGCGAACACACGCTTGCTTGTACAATAGAAGATAGGAGAAGCCATCAAAGCCTCCATCCTTCTAACCATTGACGCCAAGGCAGGAACAGCAGGCATCATGAAAGTGTTCCGGACAATTCGCACCCTAGGGTAGCCCCGCTGGGGAGGGCCCTTCCCGAACGTGAAGCTGACACCACGCCTGACCGCAATCAGGCGTGGCCGTGTGGTGAGGTACTCGATACTTGAAACCATGGTTATCTCTCGCCGACATTGTGCCTCCCTTGGACCCGGGTAACTTTGATCCCTTCTTTTCCCTCATTTACCACCAAGTACCACCTGAAGGCTGCTGGCGTGGAGCAAGAGATGGCAGCCGGACGGCCGCAACAATATTAGTAGTACACATGTCAGTTCTCTGGAAGGGCTGGCAACGACAAGCAAGCAAAGCATCAGGTGTGCAGGCAAAGTAGGTACATACGTAGATGACCCATATATATCGAGGTACGTGCGTGTACGCCGCCGGTACGAACGGATAGAGTGCGTCCTGTGTACATGCGGCTCTACATGAGCCCGCACTTTGGCTTCTCAAGCAAGCTTCCACAACGAGGCATCACTGTACAGTCCGGATACGTTCGCCTGTTGTACCGGAGGCGAGCACCTTTCAATGCAAAGCAACGGGAAGAATAGACGTCCAAGAGCGGTGCCAGTTGAGATAGCTGAGATAGCTGAGACGCCGAGTACCTAGTAGGTCCCAAGTACGCAGGTTCTCGGTGGTAGCGGCGTGTGGCTTGGCCTGGGGTTCCAGTCGCCCCCCTCCGGCCCTGCATCTGTCTTTCTTTGCACGTTGCCCTGCAGAGCAAAGCAGCAGAGCAGCCCCACCCTCCCTTTTCTCCTCCGAAGAGTCGTCGTCTGTTCCCCCTTGTGCCCCCTGTCGCCTTCCGACGCTAAGCCAGAAAAAGAAACCAAACAGACTGTCGAGTACCGAGGAGGTACTTGCAGCGCAGCCATTCAATTGGTCGACGCACACTTGCACCTCCCTTCCATGTAAGCGGCGGCTGCCAGGCTTGGACCCCGGAACAACCTGGAAACTCTTGCCTGCAGAGCCGACTGTGTAGGTACTGTACCCAGGTAGTGTCTATCTTCTACGAAGTATACGGTCAATGGTAGCTTCTTCCCGGATTTACCTGCCCTCTGGACCTTTGGGGTATGCAACGCCGAGGTTCTGGGTACATTGGCCTTTTGTCCAGTACGGGGCCCGTCCAGGTAGAGGTACCTGGTCTTGCTCGCATTGCACGCGCACACACACACGCACACACACACACTCGCGCACAATGAAGCCGCCCCTCCCCGCGATGATAATTGCAAGTCTCGTCTCTTTGGCGTACGTGTTGGAGAGCAGCAAGGCCTCGTCGCCCTTCCTTTGCATGCTGCCTGATAGAGCGCGGCCACCCCCTCGCCCCGGTTTTTCCTCAGTCAGGTGCAGCAAGAAGAAATGCTTGCCGTTTGTAGGAGCTGTAGCCATTCCCAGGCCAAAATTCCGGGCCCGTCCTCATCCCCCATCTGCATCCGGGCTCTGTTCCTGACTCTCCTTCTCCCTCTCTCTCTTTCTCTCTCTCTTTTTCTCTCTCTCTTTCCTCCTCCCTCTCACCTTCTTCGTCCTCTCTTTCTCTGCCTGCCTCGTTGCTCTCTCTCGCCTTCCTTTTCTCTTTATTCCCCTTCTCATCCCCCACCTTCCCACCTTCCTACCTCCTCCGTCTCCCTCTCTCTCTCCTTCACCCTTTTGTCCGCAACAACGACATCGACGAACCCCCACCCACCATAAAAAACACGACGCAAAAACCGACCGACAAACGGCGCCTGATCTGCAGGATTACATCGATTCCGCATCGTCGCGCCCTCGACGTCATCGCCAAAGGTGCGCCTTCCTGCGTGGCCGTCGCTGCTGCACACGCTGCCAACTCCGGATCGGCCGTGGCCCCGCGTTTGGAGCGCGGCGGCAGAGGTCGTCCACCTGCCCCTGTGGCCCCCGACAGGCGGCCCCTGGGCTGAGGCTATTCGCAACCCGCCTTTTTGGCCGCCCCACGCTACTCGGCACAGTAGTAGCTCGACAGTATTGCCATCCCGTCCCATCATCCGGTTCCGGGCCCGTTCGTGCGCGTCCACCCACACACCTCCCCGTCCTGGCCACTCAGCTTGCGCGCCAACCCCGAACACCGTCAACGTCGAGCATCGAGTCCTAACCCGTTTGATTTGCATGCAACGTCGAAATCAATCCTAGCTCTGCACCGCCGTCGCGCTCAGCCGCCCTCTTTCTGTTTCACCCTGCTTGCACTCCATTCTGTCTAATTTTTAATCGACGCCGACTCGTGGTAGTGGTAGTGGTGGACAGATTTCATCACCTGATCACCTGATCCCCGTGGCATCTCCTTGTCTCGGTCACCTGCTCGCATTAGTCCCGCCATCAGCGAAAGCCTGTCTCTCTCCGCCTCAAGCGACGGTACGGAGGGCAGGCTGGTGAGGAGAGCATTGTCGTTACCGCTCCAGCCAAACATGGCCGCTGCTGCCGATACGCCCCGCTACGAATCTTCAGCAGGAGAACTCTCTTCGCCCCCGTCGGGCTCGCTCTCGGAGCCAGGATCGCCCTCGCGCCTCACCGCCGGCCGCCCAGGTAGCAACAACGTCAGTCGCACCATGGATCAAGGGGAAATTGTCGTTGGCAACGGCGACCAGCGCCAGCCGTCCTCATCGCAGTCCCAGTCGAGACAGATCACCTTCCAACAATACCAGCAGCCCTCGCCCACTGCAGTCACGGGCAATGGAACCAGCAGCGGTGTTAGTGCAAGCCGCACACAGTCGCAGAAGCGATACGAACTCATCGATGGCCAATGGGTGCAGTTGACGGCCGCCGGCATCCCTCGCAAGAAGCCCGGCCGCAAGCCCGGCACCATCGTGAAGCCCAAGACGACCCCCGACGGCGCCCCCGAGCCGCCCAAGGCCCGCAAGCCCCGGAAGCCTCGTGACCCAAACGCTCCGCCCGTTCAGCGCAAACGCAAGCTTGCCCCTGCCTCGGATATCGACACGGACGGCGACGCCCCACGGCCTGCCGCCGCCCCTGCCTCGGGATCGCACATGACAACCACGAGCGCCGCGCCCACATCGGTTCCTTCTCAGCACCAAGCACAGGACAATCATCAGCAGCAGCGCGAGCGCCAGCCTCCCGCAGAGCAACAGCATCGCTCTTCACCCAAGATGCCCAAGCGCGAGGGCTATCCCGGGTCCATGCAGAGCATTCTCAATGCCGACCCGCCTGTCCAGGCCTCTGCAACCACCACTGCCGCCAGCACCTCGGTTCCGGTGCGCAGCAGCGGCTTGAGCTACGACCCAATTCGCGGTAATTACGATCCCGTGCGCGAGACCATCACGGCTCACGGCACAAGCCAGTTTTCGTCGACATCGGGCTCTCCTCGGGGGCCGACTCAACTGGCCCACCGCTCGCCATCTATTGCCAGCATGCTCGAGCCCCAGGCTCCTACCGCGACGTCGCCAACCCAGTCACACCACCAAGGCCACCGGGGGGCCTCAACCCAGTCGAGGCTGCACGCAAAAGAGTCGCCCTCGATGCCTCCTTCGCCCTCGTACAGACCTGCCTCGAATGCCACGCCAACCCCGCGCCAGACAGCGCAGGACGCGAAAAAGGAGTCGGCCCAAGACGCGAAAAAGGAGACTCCGCCACCGCCGCCGCCGCCGGCCCCACGGCCTGTTGTGAACCAAGCCAGATTTACCACTATTGCTAACGGCCCCGTGCGCAAAACTGACAAGTCTCATACTGGCGTCTCCACGCCCAAGACGGACAACCTGGACGACGTGGGCCAAGAAAGCGAAAGTAGATCCATTCTCGACTTCGGCAAGGCGAGGCCCGGTGAGGAGCTACTGGCCCCAACCATTATTCTCAAAATCCCCATCAAGAACGGCGAGACCAACAAATACGTCAACTTTACGCGCCTGGCCGAGGAGCGATATGGATGGGACGCACTGCACCCTCGACTCGCGGCCAACCGAGACCGCAAGGCTCGCATTGCCGCCGCCGCCGCATCTCTCGAGAAGGTCGACTCGGGCCGCGAGTCGGGCGACGAGATGTCGGTAGACTTGTCCGACGGCGAGGCGAGCAACCCGGAAAACGGCGGAACCAGTGGACCAGATGCGCAAGCCAAGCCCAAGAAGAAGCGCAACTTCAAGGAGGATCAGTACGACGTGGACGATGACTTTGTCGACGATTCGGAGATGCTCTGGGAGGCGCAGGCTGCAGCGAGTAGGGATGGGTTTTTCGTGTATTCGGGCCCTCTGGTGCCCGAAGTAGAGCGGCCTCCGCCCGGGTATGTGGCCTGGCCTTTTATTGACCTGACCCGACGAGCTAACCAGCCTCTAGTCAGGACGGACCACCTAAGCGTGGACGCGGCAGTAGGGGCGGTCGCGGCGGCAGGGGAGCGGCGAGAGGAGGCGCCACTGGTCGCGGCGGTGGCCCGGGTTCTCGAGGTGGCACCGTCGGCCGCAAACCTCGAATTACCAAGTCGGAAAAGCTTCAGCGCGAACGAGAAAAGGCCGATCGCGAGAGTGCGGCCCAACTTTCCAAGACGCCCACAAACGCGTACGCGCTTCAACCTACTACGCCGTCCTTTACAGTCAGCGAGATTGGTGCTTAACGGGAGAGATGGTGTTCTCTGCCTGCCACATGTGACAAGCGCGCTCTCTTCTACACGACCAAGCATAATATGCAGAGCAGAATCTTGTTTGTACAGCCACTCACGACGGATAGACGGCGAGTCTCGTTTTCGTTCTTACTTTTTGACAACCACCCCCCCGCCGTTCTCACTCCTTTTTCTGTTTTCTTTTCTTTTGTCTTTCAATCCCCCCTTCTTCTCGTCGGCGGAGCAGACGTACGCGAAGGGTGTGTGAATGCCTATGGGCTTCTCGTCAACCATACGGGTGTCAGGCACTGGAGCGTGACTCCGAACTTGTTGCGGCACAGGACTCTTGATGGGAATACACGGAAAGGCGTTATGCTTCGATTTGCCACGGGCCGCAACCGCTGCGTGCGCGTACTTCAAGTCTTTTTGCTCGATTCGCACGTTGGGCGTTTTCCCCCTGAGTAGCACGAGGGAGACGATGGGAGATATCCTGCACTGCATGGGCTGGTTTGGGCTGTTTGAGCATGGGGTTGGTCTCGCTGCACGCGAGGGCCGGGATGATGATGGAAGGACATGGACGAAAGCTTTGTGTTTGTAGCGAGATTCTGCGAGAATAGAGCTGGTTCTTGGCACATGCGTCCCTTTTTGGACATTTCCGTGCAGTTGGTAGGACGGGGCAGGGCGGGGCGCGACGACGGCCCGGGGGTGGGCTGGACTGATGTGCATCATTGGTCGAGTCTACTTGCAGTATACTTTTGCATCTTCCCTACTCTGTACATGAGTTGTTTGCCTCGACACAAGCAGACCTTGCGGCATGAAAATCGCTTTGACAAGAGGAATATGATGGTAAGGAGCAGGGGAGCGGCCAAGCAGCAAACGGGGGGAGGTTGCGAGGGGTGAGAGATGTCAGGCAATGGCAAACTCAGGAATCTCGCCCATCTCGTTGCGCTGCTCGGCGCCGACGCGGTAGGCGGCACGCCAGCGCAGCTTGGCCGACTCGACGCGGCGGGTGCGGTCGCCGGCGTGCCACACGTCCACCTCTTGCGTGACGCCGCGGCTCTGCTTGGGGCCGAGGTCGCGGCCCGTCTGGGGCTTGAGCTGGAGTTCGTAGCCCTGTTGCGGGGAGGGACGAGAGAGGTTAGCATACGAGAGAGAGAGGGAGACTGGCACTCAGGAGGTTGGTTGAATGAATGTGGGTAGAAGTCATGGACGGACCTTGGTGACGGCCAGCTGAAAGTGAAGCTCGGTAATGGGCTGCGCCGTGTTGTTGCCAAAGGAAAAGACAATGTTGATGGCGTTGTTGGGGCCGACCCGCTTGGCCAGGAACTCGGCGCGCAGACCCGTGTCGGTGACGAGCGACTTGTGCTCGCGGGGCTTGGACGGGGCCGCCGGCGGTAGCGACGAGGTAAAGTTCCATTCGTCGTCGTCGTCGGCGGTGGCGGCGGCGGGCTTGGGGGGGGCGCTGAACGCGGCAAAGGGATCCGATGCGGGTTGCGGCGGCGGCGGCGGCGGCGGCGGCTGCTGCTGGGCGGCGGGCTGCGGTGTTGTCGACTGCGACGCTGCGGGGGACGTGAAGGAGGCGAAGTGGGAAAAGGACGATGTCATGCTAGGCCCGCTGGCCCCGGCACTGCTGTCCTGGGTCATGGATGAAAGAAGGGCCGGGCCTGGAACGTCTTTGCGGCTCGGGTTAGCTCCCGGACGGCCATTCCCGCTGCTGTTGCTGGCATGACGGAGGGAGAAGGCGACTCACTCTGATTGGCCCCGAAGCCGAGAACAATGTTGCCGCCCTGGCCATACGTACTCGAGGGGCCGCCAATGTCGAGGCCCAGCAGGTCGTTTTCGAGGCCGCTGGCTGGGGAATGCACCTGCGAGGCACCGTTGCTGCCGTTTGTATCGGCGGCGTCGGCGTCGGCGTCTAAGTCGATGAGCGACAGCTCCGTGGCCGGGCCGGCGGCCGCCGCCTTGGGGGGCGGGGCGCCGGCGGCCACACTGGCTGCCCCTTCCATGTCGCCCTTTTTCATGAGCTTGTAGCGCTCGACGGTGCGGTGTATGCTGTCGTTGATCTCGAAGAGCTTGGCCACGGCCTCGTGGTCCTCCGACTCCTCCTCGCACATCTTTTGTATCTTGGGCTGGGCGCTCTGCAGGGCAGAGGCCAGCTCGCTAAAGACGTCGCCGTCGGTCATGGTGTCGCCGGACTTGAAGGCCTCGAGGCGTTCCTCGAGCAGCCTTGCCTTGGCCTGGATCTTGCCAATCTCCTGGGCGGCCTTGGCACGGTAGTCTGTTTTGGAGCGGTTGTCGTATCCGGCCATGATCTTCATCAGGCGGTTGGCTTCGCGGAGGTCCTCGGGGGTGCCGCGTCGGATAAGCTCCTGCAACTTGGCCGACTGAGCTTCCTTGTCCTCCTCCTCCATTTCGTCGGCTGACTTTAAGTTCTAGGTAGGATATACGTTAGCAGGGGGGAGGACGAAGGCGGGAAAGAAGGCTCACGTCGCTGGGATTCAAGACGGCGGCATCCTCTCGGCGGACCTCGGGAAACATGTAGCCCTTGTAGCTCAGAAGGCGGTGCATGTCGCGGATGAAGCCCAGGTCCTCCCTGTAGCGGCTGGTGTCGCATATGGTGAGGCGCCATTCCTCTATTGCCTCGAGGATCTTGGCCTGGACACGAGTGGAGCGGATGGGGGGCCTCTCAGGGAACCTGCGGACGAGCTCGTTGAGGAATTCCTTTGTGCTGATCTGCAGGTGAAAGGGGTAGCCGCAGTTCTTGACGCAGTTGTCGAGCAGGTTGAGGGCGAGCAGGGCGACGTTTGGGTTGCGATGGTTGATGTAGCCGACAATGGCGGTGGCGGCCTCGCGCGGGGCACTGCCCTTTTTGCTGTTGATGAGGTCGCATATCTCAAGGTTGAGGGCGAGGTTGGGCTCGTAGTTGTCGGGGCTGCAGGCGGCCGAGACGAAGCGCTGGAGCTGCGAGGGGGCGCGGCCGAACTCGGTCCAGCGGTCGCGGGCGGCGGCGCGGGCTGAGGCGGCCTCCATGGTGTGGGTGTCTTTGCGATGGATGGACTCGGGAAGATGGGAGGAGGAGGAGGAGGAGGCGGTCGGGCGAGAGGCGAGAGGCGAGAGGCGAGAGAGAGAGAGAGAGACGGGCGGCGCTTCGGAAGACGATGGGGGCCCCTGTCACAGGGCAACGCAGAGCCGGAGGCGATGGCAAATTGCTCAGGGGAGTGTCATGGCATGGTTTCTCGGGGGAGCGGCCACGGGAAGCAGTCGTGGTTGTGCTTGTTCTTACCGTGGGCGCCCGAAAGGTTGCGAGGCTTGAGATGAGATGATTCGGTCGCGGAGAGAAGCGCTGGGCGGCCAAGGTGGCTATTATCTGCGCTTGTATTGTATTGTATTGTGCATGCGTCAGGTACCGCTGCCGCTCACGCTGGCCCAGAAGATACATGCGTTGGGAGCCCAGGAGCGAACGAGGTACATGGCAGGGCGGGGCTCTCTTTTTCTCACGATTTCTCTGCCCCGCTCACTAACAATTTATTTACTGCCGGCTCCCTCTTGGACCTCGAAACTCACGACGACTTCGAGTCAACGACGACGACGACGACGACGACGACTTTGTCCATCCGGAGCCAGCCACAGCAACGCAAAAACCTACCCCCATCCTCATTCTTCTCCCTTTTGCTTCTCTGCCCGAGCCACCGGCCAGTCCCGAGTTCTACGGCTGCTTGCTCCTCCATCTGCAGAGCCGCGCGCCCGCCCGTCACACCTGGACACGCACACCCAAGACATCCCAAATGGTCCGCCACAAAAAGGACTTTGCCGCCCGCGGCCGCAAATCCGGCCATCGCGGAGGCGGCCCCGGACGAGCCTCGGGACCCCGTGACGGCGACGCCCCCGCGCCACCCGCCTTCCGCGCCGCCTGCTGGGACCTCGGCCACTGCGACCCTAAGCGCTGCTCCGGCAAGCGGCTGATGCGGCTCGGCCTCATGCGCGAGCTGCACCTGGGCCAGCGCCACAACGGCGTCATCATCACCCCCAATGGCAAGCAGGTCCTCTCCCCGGCCGACGCGCCCCTCATGGACCAGCACGGCGCCGCCGTCGTCGAGTGCTCCTGGGCCCGCACCGCCGAGGTCCAGTGGGCCAAGGTCGGCGGCAAGTGCGAGCGCCTGCTGCCCTACCTCGTCGCCGCAAACACCGTCAACTACGGCAAGCCCTGGCGCCTCAACTGCGTCGAGGCCCTCGCCGCCGCCTTTTACATCTGCCGCCACCCGGACTGGGCAGAGCAGGTCCTCGCCCCTTTCCCCTACGGGCCCTCGTTTCTCGACATCAACCGCACCGTCCTCGACAAGTACGCCGCCTGTGACGACGACGCCCACGTGAAGAGGACAGAAGCCGAGTGGATGGAGAGGCTCGAGAGGGAGTATGCCGAGAGCAGGGAGCGCGGCGCTGACGACATGTGGACGAGCGGGAACACAAACCACCGGCTGCCCAAGTCCTCGGGAGACGAAGAAGAAGAAGAAGAAGACGACGACGACCAAGACGCTCAATCACAAGACGGGCGGAGCATCGACGGCATATACCTGGGCAAACGGCCCCTGGACCCCACACCCGCCGAAGCTCAAGCGACGGCGGAACTGGAGCACCCATCCAACAGAGACCCCTTTGACATATCCGACGACGACGACGATGCCGCCGCCATGGCGGAAATCCGCCGCAAGGTCCTCGCCTCCAAGACCTTTTCCAACCCCAACCCCGACTCCGGCCTCGACTGCTCCCAACAAGGCGGCGATGGCAAGAAGAAGCCGGCCACCATCAGCCGGCCCCAGCAGCGGCATCAGTTTGCCGTCGACCTCGACCCGCAGCCCGACTCGGACAACAGCAGCCCCAGCGATAACGATGATGACGATAATGACGATGATGAAGACGATGATGACTTTGACAACATCATCGAGGCGACGCCCGTGACGGACAAGATTGGCCTCGCCAAGCTGGAAAAGGATAGGAGTCGAGCCACGGTCTCGAGCAGGACGTATTCCTCCAACGCCGTCTCTGCCCCGAGTCGGTGGTAGACGGCTGCCCCGAGCCACAACAAGCGGAAGAGTAAACCGACAAGACAATCGCTCACTTCTTGAACCATCCTAGACTTGTGCACTCACTGCCTGATACCTCCTGAGCCCATGTCTCGGCTCGAGAAGCACGACTGATCCGCGAGCAACTAGCTCATGTCTATCCAGGCCCTGAAACTATAATACATGCTGGCCGGCTGGCCCGCTTGTCTTTCTTTCCTTTATTCTAGGAGTCTTTTTTTAGCCTTGTCACATCATATCTCTACATATACTAGCCATGCCGTCTAGTCGGCTGCCCTCTACCTCCTCCCATGCCAGCCTGTAGACACTCCCACGTCTAGGAAGACGGGTTCCCACCGATCCCATGTATATACACCGTCTTGGCACGTGCCCCAACAGTGCCCCTCTACAAGGATCGCTTTTCCTTAATCTCCTCGTAAGTCTGGATCTGATCGTCCACCGCAAAGTCCTGGAAGCCCTCCAGGCCGATTCCGCACTCGGTGCCCTTGCCCATCTCCATGACGTCCTTTTTGACGTGCTTGAGCGTGTCGATGTGTCCTGCAGCGCAGAAATTGTGAGCAAACGAGATCGGCGCCCAACGACAACGGGGAAGGGGGTTTTGAGGAACAGTGGTAGTAGAGAGAGGAAAAGGGGTTCGAGCTGGCGCGAGGAATGACTTACCGTCATAGATGACTCGGCCCTTGCGCAGCACCTTGATCCGCGACGACCTCTTGATGGCTCCGTTGCGCACCTTGCAGCCCGCAATATTCTTAAACGTCCGCTTCTTGGTGTTGATGGAAAAGACCTGCAGAATGTCTGCCTCGCCCACGACGCGCGTCGACACCGCCTCGGGCAGCAGCGCTGACAGCGCCGCCTTGACATCATCGACGACGTGGTAGATAACGCTGTGGTCCAGGATCCTGACCTTGGCCGCCTCGGCGCGCTGCTTGATGTGCGGCAGCACCGGCATGTTGAAGTTGACCAGGATGCTGTTGGACGCGGCCGCATGGTCCACGTCGTATTCCGAAATCTGGCCCGCCGAGGAGCGCAGGATCGTCGCCTGCGCCTCGTGGTTGCCCAGCTCGAGGATGCTGCTGCAGACCGCCTCAACGGAGCCGACCACGTCCGCCTTGACACAAAAGTTTTGCTGCAGCACCCCGGACTGTTCGGCTATCGTGGACTCGGCCGGTGCCTCCTCGCCCGCTGCCGCCGCCGCCGCTTCCGCAGCTTCTGCCGCAGCCTTTTCCCGCTGCCGCTGCTCTTGCTCGGCGAGCTGCAAGGAGCTCTCCTCCCGGTTAGCCATTTCCATGCGATATTCGACCGCCGACTTGGCTTTGCCCTCGTCGGGAGCCTGCAGCACCTGCTCTCCGGCAGGGGGCAGGTCTCGCCAGCCGAGTACCTCGACGGGCGTCCCTGCAGATGCTTCGTCGAGTTCAGTGCCCGCCTCGTTTCGCAGCAAACGGATCCTGGCCCACGACTTCCCTGCGACAATAAAGTCGCCGAGCCTCAAGGTTCCTCGTTTGACGAGGACCGTGGCCACCTTGCCGTCTTGCTTGATGCTCGATTCTAGAACCCAGCCCTCAGCCATGCCGTCCGTCTCGGCGCGCACGTCGAGAACCTCGGAGAGCGTGACGATGTTCTCCTCCAGGTCGTTCATGCCCTGGCCAGTCTTGCCGCTGACACAGACGACCTGGACATCCCCTCCGTAGTCCTCAATCTCAACCCCATGTCGCGAAAGATCGATCTTGACCTGGTCAACGCGCGCGTCCTCCTTGTCAATCTTGTTGATGGCCACAATAATGGGCACCTTGGCCGCCGTGGCATGCTTCAGGGCCTCAATCGTCTGCGGCATGACGCTGTCGTCTGCCGCAACCACTAGCACGACAATGTCGGTCACATTTGCTCCGCGCTGGCGCATGGACAGAAAGGCGGCATGCCCGGGCGTGTCAAGGAACGTGATGGGCTTGCCCGACGACATCTTAACCACAAACGCACCGATGTGTTGCGTGATGCCCCCGTGCTCCTGCGCGGCGACGGACGACTTTCTCAGCCAGTCGAGGAGAGTTGTCTTGCCATGATCGACATGGCCCATGATGGTGACAATTGGAGGGCGTCCAGGCAGAGACGAGGCTTCTGCGGGTGGCGGCCGAGGCCTCAGGTCTCTTTGCGAGCCGGTGTCAATGGTTGGCTCGAACCCATACTCCATCGCGACGAGGGCCGCCGTGTCACCCGCCATGATGGTGTCGAGCGTGATGTTCTCGAACCCCATTTCTTCCATGTCCTTGAGAAATCGGTTGGCGCGTTGCTTCAACGCCTGTCCCAGGTTCGATACACTGATGTATTCGGGGAGGAAAATGGGGACCGCCGTCGGCTCATCCGGGACGGCTCGTTGCTTTCGGGCCTCCTTCTCGGCCTTGGCACGTTGCCGTTGCTCCCAACGGTAGACAGCCTCGTCATCCCACTCGCTATCGTCCTGCTCGCCCCGGCCCCGCCTGTGGACTTTCTTGGACTTTTTCAAGGTCTGATTCCGCATTGACTCGTCTTCAATCTCATACCTCATCAGGCGCCTCTGCCGCTGCACTTCAGTCAATGTGGTGTCTTGACCGCCGCCTGACTTATGAGTGTTGGCATCGTGGGCTGGTTTTGACGACCCCTCTTGGGTTTGCTTCGCTGTCCAGGGGGCGGCGGCAGCCTCCCGGCCTTTCCTGCTATTGTCCTTGAAGCTGGCGAACCTGTTCTCAAGCTCTCCCCAAAAATCCTCATCGTTGGCCCTGGGCTTGCTGGGTGGCTGTTTGCTGGCATTGGCCAGCTCCAGCATCGAAGAAAAGGATCCGATGGTGTGCGCCACTCCGTCTCGCCCGGCGGGCTGTGCCACGTGCTCCGCTGTTTGTGCTCTACGGTCGCCAAAGGAGCCCCATGCTTGCCGCTGCGGCGGCCCTGGGCTGCCCGAAGGCTTTGGCGATTCCAGCACGGTCAACTTGCGGTTGCCGTAAAGGCCCAAGCCAGGTCTGGGTTGCGCAGGGGGTGATTGCGCTGGCCCTGCCACCCCGCCGGGGGATGCTTTCGACGCTGAGTGCTGATCCGGAGCTGTCCACGACACGGGAGTCGGTCGCGATCGCGGCTCGCGGTCCGTGTTGAAGACATTGGCGAGAACAGATCTTGACATGTTGACTTGGGCCTCGGCGAGGCCGTGCCTGAGGCCTCCCCTCGTAGGCCTTTGACCCCTAGGAGCCGGATTCGGGGGCGTTGGTCTAGGGGCAGCTGGCGTAGGCTTAGGCGGAGGTGCCGAGGCGGCCGTCTGCTTGCGCGCTTCTCGTTCATGGGGGAGGAGACCACCGTTGGCCAGCGAGCCGGCCGTGGAGCGAGCGACACCCGAAGCGAACGAGCCCCACGAACCGCCTGCTCCGCCTCCAAAGGCCCCTGGGAAGCGCGAAGGTTGAGAGGAGCCTCCGTTTGGAGCTGAGTCGTAGAGCGGTACCGAAGCGGAGAGATGGCGAGCACCCCATCGACGCGGAGCAGGCCGGGTGGCTGATACAGACTGCCGCGACGGCTTGGAAGACCCGGGCCAGATGGACGAGGGGCGCTTCGGCGGCAATCGAGCCATTGTAGAGAGCTTGTGTCGACATGAAGCGCAGACGAACGGTTGGCGGCGGCCCTGCATTATGAGGAAATAGGTTAGACGTGGGTTATTGTAGCTTGAGCTCTAGCTTGGGCTTGAGTCGCCTACCCTTGATGCGCGGGCGCCGAACATGGCGGCTAAAGGTGCCCGGAAAGGCGTGACGCAGGACTCTGGGGGCATGGCAAGCCGGTTGTCGAAGCTCGCGATTGGATTTTTTTATCGACGAGTGGCAGCCAGCCAATGGTAGGTAGTGTGGCGGAAGGTCAGCCGAGGGAGTTCGGGGGGCGGGATTACGTATCCGCTTTGTTTAGTGCCGAGCTCAAAGGTGACATAATCGACAAAGTAACTTGTACTATCCGTAATCTAACCCATAACTAAGTTATCTGAAGCTGCGTCTTGATTCGGGCCACGGCCGGTAAGAGTTCCTTGGGCAAAGCTTCTCTGCCAACAGTCTCGGATAGATTTACACCGGCTTCGTCACACCCGTCTGCCCCTATTTTTGTGGCCCTTGCCCTTGTGTTGGTGGCAGCATGTCCTGAGCCGTCCCGTCTGCCCCACCACAGTGGCAGTTCTTCCTTGCTCCCACGGCCGTTGACAGATCAGCCGCGGCCAACTTCAACGGCCTCAAACCTCATCCAAGCCACCAAGCCGGCGCTCGCCTCGAGGCCTGTCCACTGCGCCCGAGACACGCCGGAGAGAGCTCAACCCCCTCGTCTGCCATGGCCCCCGCCAGGAGAAAGGCGGCAAAGTCAAGGCAGTCCGGCTACGGCGGCGGCGGCGACGAGGACTTCAAGGGGGATCCCCCGGCTCCGTTCAAGCGCCCGCCCGAGGCGCTCGAGTCCTTTGCCGATGGGCTCTCGGAAAAGCACGTCTACATCGCCCACATTGACTCCAAGCCCGCCGCCTTCAAGCGCAAAATCTTCCTCGTCCCCGTGGCCATGAACGTCTGCGTCTCCCTGCTCTTTGTCTGGCGCATGTACTCGATCCTCCCCTGGTACTGGCAGCTCGTCGTCTCGGCCCTTGGCTACCCTAGCGAGGCAACTTTCCCCGCCGCCCAGGCCACCTGGGGCGAGCTTGCGCGCGAGGTTGCCAAGCGCGGCATCGTCATGTTCATCGACTTTGTACTCGTCGTCTTCGTCTGGCCCTGGCCGGTCGAGTTTGCTGCCGGCCAGCGTCACGGAAATCCAATGCGATGGCGGTGGAAGGTCGGCTTCCGTGATAAGGAAATCTACGTCCGCCGAAGCCGCGACTGGGACCAGGTCCTCGGCGACATCTTCAAGGACGCCGACGCCCGCAAGATTCTCGTCGCCTACGTCCAGCAGGCCACGTCTCCCCTGCTACAAGAGCAGAAGACGGGCTACCTGCTCATGAACGGCTCCTGGGACCTCGACTGGGAGGCCATGGTCTATGCACACGCACTCGTCGACAACAAGACAGTCGCCGTCGAAGCGTTCAAAACTGTCGTCTTGGTATACCACAAGGACTACGGATGGCTGTGTTACGACCTGAAGGTTGGCTCCGAGACGGATTCGGATGACAAGCGCAGGCAGGTCTTCGCCTTCCGGGATGCCCTCACAGCCATGGGCAAAGAGGACCTTTTCTATCGCTGGGTCGAGATTGTGCAGCTGGAGTCCACGCAAGCTGGAGGATTCGGCCCAGACAAGCAAGAGGCTGCGGCCACCAAAATCCGCGACATGTTTGCATCTGAAGAGATTGATTTCGATGAGCTTTGGAAAGAGGCGGCTCGCGACGTGTAGTATAGGGGACTTAGCGACGTAGAGCATTGAATCCTTCACCCGCGACTCAATCCGCATCATAACCGTGCCCTTTGTTGCCTTACCACCTGTGCTCTCGTGCAGTGAGTCACAAAGGTACACACAGCGAACAGTGGCGCACAGCACTGTCCGCGTTGGGCATCCAGTCCAGTCTCGTGACCCTGCAGAGGTCACGATGCAAGAAAAAGGAGGCCAGGCCTTCGAACCCCGACGCTGGCAAGGCCAAAAAGAAAGGAATCAAGGCCAAAAAAACGTCTTCCACGCCCTGCTACCTCTCTTTCTGCCTTCCAGCGGAGATACTACAGCGCGCCCCGGCGCTTTCGCGGCTGTGGGGTATTTCAAATCCTTTGCGTTGTAATCAGCTCGGAATCGACCCGTCGGTCGTCAAGGGCTGGCAACGTCTCTGAGGGCCCAGGACCTAATCGTATCGGGAAGGTAAAGGTGTGCACCCCTTTAACCACTCGACTACGATTAAGCAGGGTGTCTGGGCCCGCTGGTTGAAAGGGTTGACGTAATTGGACCTTATAAGGCTCTGAACACGCTTTGGTGCGGTTGCCATGGCGAAAGCGTGCCCGTACCTCTGAACAGGTGCGAGTGGGCGCCACCTCGTCCGGGACATGGATTGGAGTCGGTACCAACGGCGTTCAAGGGGCACAGGCTCAGCACAGCAAACGCTTCGAGGAACCGTGGACCGAGGGCTCGTTTGCGTGCTTGTAGAGGTAGCTTTGAAGCTAGCTTTGCATTGCCTGCAGTGTCTGGGACACATCTGTGTGGAGATGTCAGTGTAAGCCGATTCAAAAGCGGCACGCGGCAACGTCACTTACTGCTGCGATGGGTACAGGCCGAGAGAGTTGCTTTCCCACAGATGGGTGTTGGGCCAGGTGCTCCAACAGCGGGCTCCATCAAGCATCTCATGGCTTGCACACTCTCAGAGGAAAGGGGAGAAATGGAGATAGACATGCGAACGCCAGCTTTACCGAGGAGAGCAGCCCTTCCGAGGCAGCAAGTCGTCCAAACCCAGTAAATGCGACATTGCGCAGTCGGCAGAGCCCTCAGCTAAGTGAGCCCTCAGCTAAGTATAGCTGAGTCAGGGGCATCTCATCCTCCTGTGGCCTTGGTTTCAAGTAAGGCTGGATGTCATCGCGGGCGCAGAAGCGTGGTCGTATGCGGTGATGGACACGGAGCAAGACGGAACTCGAGGTCGAGGGTAGGCACGTCATGGGGAGGACCATCCGGCCATGCTATCCACACGGATTTTAGCAAATACTATAGAGTCAAACAGGCTTGGACACGCAGCATGGGCGTCGGGAACACGTCGAGAGGACAGGTTGAAGCCATCAAAGTGGTCCGACGACGTCGACAGGCGCTGACTAACCGTCGTGTACTTGGGCCCTTTTTAGGTAGGTAGGTAATAATTAGGTAGGTAAGTTAGTCGGCATACAGCCGGGAAGCTGCCGCCTTGGCACTTGAGCATGACGAGCCGGTCTTGAACAAGGGAAAAGAGTTCATCAGGTCGAACCATCAAATGCATGGTCGGTTAAAGAAGGAAGCATTTGTAGTTTAGCGAATATCAAATGTGAAGGCCAACGAGAAAGAAGGGGGAAAGAAATTTTGGTGAGCAAGGTGGAGCTGGAGCCGCACACTCGGAGCGGAGAAGGAGCCGGAAAAGGGGCTCAGAAGCAGGACATGCTCTTCTCTTATACGTACCTATGCACTGTATTAATAGTGTAGAGGTACCTAAGGTATTTAACACGAACTGGGACCTTGATTACCTAAGCCCTCGACTCGCCACTGGCTAGCCCATTTCTCTTCTCGAGGAGTCGAGGGCAATACGGAAGGTACTGTACTTTGTTATGCGTCGTAGAAAAGTCTTTTGAGCTGAGCACATGCCACACATTCCATCTGTGTCCGGAGATATCATGTAGGACGCCCTCTCGCAGTTTTGCATGATGGGCCAATTGCAAACTCTATCCCGTATGGCGAGGTACCAAGGCCTTCATGCGAGCGTTTCCTGGGCGAGATACCTGCTCTTGGGTGCAGAGCCCGGCGCTGTGTCAAGTACCGCCACCAGAGCACGGCGACTGCCGACTTACTCGCGCGCAGCGCATACTGGTAATTTACCAGGTACACACCATCTATGTACCTTTCTGCTTGGCCCTACCAGGCCAAATGCCTTCGCCTGTGTCGAATCAGTACCTCCAAACCCCGGTACCATTTCTCTCGCTGCGCCGGCCGCTTTCTGCCGCGCCCCATAATGGAGCACGGTACTGAATTCATGTACCTCGACTGCCTTGTTCGCCGTTAACTGACTCCGTCGGCCCACTCGTCCCTCGTCAGCCTTTGCCCAGCATACAGTGGGCCTGGTAGCGAATTTCCAGCGTCAACAACCACACTTGGCCTCGACGAGCAACCGACGACATCAGCCTCGTGCCTCGAGTAGGCGATACGTCCGTCCCGCCCACGTTTGCCACGTCCTTACCCTCCCTCTCTCTCTTTCCCGCTGTCTCTCTCTTCCCCCTCCTGCAGCTCGCCGTCTTCCGCCTCGCCTGCGCCCTCGAGTCTCGTCTTCGACTTTGTCGCCGTATCCTCCTTCCGGCCATCATCTCCCCTCCTTGTTCTCTGCAGCCGCCTCCCCTCCTCCGCCTCGTGCCCTCCTCTTGGGGGTCACCGTTCCCACTCCCAGGGCCCAAGATCTCTCGCCCGCGGCCTCGGTCCTCGACTCACCCGCTCCCTTCCCTTGGCCCCACACTGACCGCAACGGGCGGCGCGCATCGCCCTCGCACAGCCTCTACGCGTCTCGTCGCCACGCCCATCTCTGCACCGACCAAAATGTCCTCGACGTCGGGGCTGACACGGCGCCGTGGCGCCGGCGGAGGCGCCTTGGCAACCGTCGACGGCGAGGCCAGCAACGCTGCCTCGAGAAGCAACTCGGCCACCAATGTCAGGGATAGCGCCCCCGAGACGAGCTACGAAAACGGCGACAACGGCCACAAGATCGCCTTTGACCCCCGGGACATCAGCGAGAGCGCCGAGCGGGGCAAACAACCAAAACTGACCATGATGGAGGAGGTGCTGCTCCTCGGCCTCAAGGACAAGCAGGTACGCAACCCCTCGTACTCCTCGACCCTCGCCTCGACGCTAAACATTCGATTCTTCAACAGGGCTACCTCTCATTTTGGAACGACAACATCTCGTATGCCCTCCGCGGCTGCATCGTACTCGAGCTCGCCTTCCGTGGTCGCATCAGCATGGAAAAGGATCCCTCCCGACGCCGCTTCCCCCCAGCCGACCGCAATATCGAAGTCATAGATGACACCCTCACCGGCGAAGTCCTGCTTGACGAGGCTCTGAAGATGATGAAGCAGAGCGAAAAGATGAGCGTCAGCTCCTGGATCGACCTCATGAGCGGTAACCTTGACCCGGCCCCTCTCCCACCGCTCGACTGCCGGCTGACCTGATGACGCGCCTTCTGCGTACAGGCGAGACCTGGAACCTCATGAAGATTGGATACCAGCTCAAGCAAGTCCGCGAACGCCTCGCCAAGGGCCTTGTCGACAAGGGCATTCTCCGAACCGAAAAGCGCAACTTTCTGCTCTTCGACATGGCCACGCACCCCGTGGCCGATGGAGGCGCCAAGGAGGAGATCCGTCGCCGCGTTCGAAACGTCCTGACCCAGCGAACCGTGGTCCTTAACAGTAGCCAGTTCCTGCCCGAGTCTCTTGAGTTTCGCTATCTGCGCACCGTGTCCATGGTCTGCGCCGCTTACGCCGCCAACGTCCTGGAGAATGCCCTCTCGACACTCGGCCATGAGGCCAGGGAGCGCGCCTTTGTTCAGACGGACGAGCTGCTGGCCGACTATAGCCAGTGGCCGTTTGGCAAAAAGGCCGTGGGGAATGGCATTGGCGCCAACTTGCCGCAAGTCATTGGAGAGGTAAGCCGCCCGCGCCGGCTCCCGCTGCTGGCCGCTGCTGACCGTCCGCTCCAGGAGATTGCCAAGGCCAAGGACAAGGAGTTGCAGCTCGAGGTGGTTGCCGCCTGCCTGAGCGTCTTCACGCGCCTCGACTCCCTGCTATGAGGCCGCGATCGATGCCGTTTGGAACTCAGCCTCCACACCATCGCGACCATGTCTTGTCTACACCAGCTCAGTGCGAACGGTCCGCCGCTTCAAGGCGGTGCCCCGCGAGCCGACGTAATACCATCGACTTTCCCATCGCGTACGGCATCCTATCTTGCGTATGTACGGGATCACGATCTCACTGAATGACCGCCATCCGCCACTCGGGAATCGAGGCACGGGTTGGACATGCGTTTTATGTGCGGTAGTCAGGGGCCACCGAAACCGCCAGGCTGTGTAGAGGGATAATGTACTTGCCACCAATAGCACCACTTCTGTTCTCTCCTCCCCTGGGCCTTGTCATGCGAATATGGTTTGGGGGAGGGGGGAGAGAACGGGAATAGGCCGCCGTGAAGGGGAAAAGGGAGACCATGGTCCAGGAGAAAAAAGGGGGGGGGGGAGGAGCAAATCAAAGGCAGCCTGCATAGGAGTTTTTTTCCCTTTCCCCTACGTCTTTTTGTTTTTATTTGTAAAATTTCTCTCTATCTCCCCCAGTATCTTGCTCAGTGGTTTCCTCGAAACGGATTATCGTATAAGTTGCGCATGACGCAGATGAAGAACGGCCCCTAGAGGAGGCAGAGAGAGGCACGCAGCCTGTCACTGTAGAGGGAGCGGGCGAGCCGAGAATGAGCAGCACGCGCTTGTTGCATTCGTTTCCTGACTTACAAGCCAAACAAGGGAAAGACGCTCCTTTTGGATCCTCGACGTCCAGGCGCCCACACGAGCACAACCCAGCCCCAACGCGAGTCTCTGGCCCCGACGCTCTCAAGACAGCGTTGGTTTTTGTTCAAGCTCGACTCTTCGGTCTGGTCCCTTTTCACCCCCCCCCTTCCCTATTGTTCCTTACAACATCTCTCGCCTACTTTGTAATCCCAGCCTCCCCCCTTCCGCGAGACGCAAACAAGAAAAACAGAGGCCCTCACTTCTTGCGCCCGCCAACGCCAAAGCTGCCTTCGAACCCGGGCCGCCCGCCCTTCTTCTTCTTGGCCCCGCCCTTCTTCTTGCCCGCCTTACCCGCGAGCTTCTCGTCGCGGCGCTTGCGGAGGTTGTCCTCGCGCTTCTTCTGCCGCTCCTTCTGCGCCAGCTCGACGCCCTGCGCGCGTTCCCGCCACGCCTTGTCGCTCTTCTTCTTGGCCGCCTCCTTGCGCTTGACCGACTTCTTGAGCATGGCCTCGTCGTCGCGGATCTTGTCGCCCTCGAGCCGGCGCCGCGCCGTCAGCCACGCCTCCTTGTCGGCAATCTCGGCCCGCTTGTCGGCGTCGAGCTCTTCGAGGCGCTTCTTCTGGTTCTGCACCTTGAGCAGCGCCGTCTTAGGGTCCGACGGGCCCTTTTTCTTGCCCTGTTGCCGGACGTAGCTGAGGTCGTGCGACATTTGCGACCCGTCTCCAAACACCACCCGCCCAAACGAAAAGTTGCCCGTCGACTCGTCCAGCTCGACGGCGGGGCTCATGACTCCTGGCGAGTTGGAGGCCAGCGCCTCTTCCCTTTTCCTCGACTCCTCAATCTTGGCCAGCCTCCTGAGCTCCTTTTTGTGCGTCTTGCGCTGCGCCTGCTTCGCGCGCCGCGCCTCGATGAGCTCCTGTCGGGTGCGAATGGGCTTGCCATCAGGGCCGTCGGCTTTCCGGGCCGCGCGGAGGGCCTCGATCTTGGCGGCCAGCCGGGCCCGCAAAGCCGTCGTATCGGCCGGAATCTTGATATGCTTTGCCTTTTCCGACGGGGGAGCGGTGGAAGAAACAGATGTAGTGGCGCTTGCGGCTTCTGCGGCAGCACCGTGGGTAGATGCTGCTGGCTCGTCCGTGTCGAAAGTGGGAGAGTGGCGGTCCGACTCGGCATCGGACGATGAGCTTTCCCCTTCGCCATCCTGCGCGGCTGGGGTGCCGTTGGATGTTGGGGCAGCATTCGCCGAGCCCTCGCCCACAACGGCCCGCTCTGGCGTGTCGTGGAGATGCGGCGATGGGTGGTCCTTTCCGAGTGTGGCCTGGGCATTGCTCTTCTTTCCGGTTGATTTCTTGGCGCTAGCCGGCGTCTTGGCCGGCTCTTTGGTGGTTATAGCCTTGCCTGGAGTCGCCGGCGACGCCAAGTCGTCTTCCCGTTTCGCCTTTTTGTCTGCTTTCCTCTCGATTTTCCTGTCTCTCTTGGCAGCTCTCTTCTCTTCTTTTCTAGACGGCTTCGGTTGAGCTTCTTCGCTGGCGCTGACTTCTCCTTTGTCCTCGTCCTCTTCGAGCTTCTGCTTCTTCACCGCCTTTTTCCTCAGGCCCTCTCCGGGCTTTTCGGCCTCAACCCCATCAATGGCCTCTTGGGGCTCGTCGTCATCGTCGTCGTCGTCGTTTGCGTCTTGCCCGACGCCGTCATCTTCATCTTGCTGCTGCATCTCGCGCAGCTTGCGCTTGTTCTTGGCCCGCTCGTCCATGACCTCCTTCGCGTTGCGGTTGAGCTCGCTGTCCGGATCCAGTTTCCCTCTGCGGGCGGCGGCGGCCTCTTGCTTGGTTTGCTTCTTCTTTTGCCATTGGTCCTGTGCGCGCGGGCAGTCCAAGTCAGCATGCCTGTTTAAGAGTGGCGCGCAGCGAGCCGACGAGACGAGGCCGAGGCCAGCGAAGTCGAGCAAAGGCAGTCTGCCGGGAGCCGGGGGGGGGGGGTAAGTGCGCAGCAGCAGCAACCAGAAACAAGACGTACGCTGTTGTCTTCTCCGTAATACGTCTTGGCTGGGATCAAGCTCAAGAGACCATCAAAGGCCTTTGCATGACCGCGCAGGCGATCCTGTCGACGCCAACCACGGTCAGCCTCTGGTTATCGAGCCGGAACCGCCGCCGAATGCCTCGCCGACAGCGGACCTCGAGGGGCGACGAACCTGCAATGACGACTCGGCCATGGTCGACGTCTCGCCAGCTGACAAGGTGGCTTTCTCTTGCGGAGCTGCGGTCAAGCTGCGGTCCCCTAGGACAGTCGAAGCGAAAGCCGGTCACTGCGCAGAGCCGCACTCGGGTAAAGGATTTGGCTTCGAGTGGAGGAGGTTGGACGAGGGAAAGAAAAAAAAGGCGGCGTTGCAAGCGCTCGGCGATGTCTGGCGCCGTTGGGCCCTTTTTTTTTCGGTTTTTTCGGGACCCTGGCAGATACCGCCAAATGTGGGGGTTGTGCAACTCCTCCCTCATTGTGGCTGCAAGCACTACGATATTGCATGTAAGTTGTACCATAGTTCAAGTCTACAGGAGCATTTCACGAACCGAACTCTCCCTCCCAACAGAGCCATTGATGTAATAGTTGAATAACATATTCATCTACTTGGTATACGAATACATCGTGCGAGTCACGCTGCTTAACAAAGTCTAGGCGGGCGATCATTCACCGAGCATTGTTCTGGTTCCTCTCACGCCTCTGCGATGTCTTCATTGTTTACTCTGCCGGCCAAAGAGCCTCGACCATGTGTCTCGGCATACGGGCCCGTGGCAATCTCATCATCTCCGGTTGAGCAATTCACATTCACCATCGCGCCGGCCAACAGCACGCGACGCGACTGCGGAACAAGGTTCTCCGCCACTCATCTCGACATGACAATTTTGCCAAGAATAAGAAATGCAGCACAGGGCGGAAGCGTGGCATGTATCGTGACAGGAACAAAGCAGTCGCGGCAGGGCAGCCACCCCTGACGAGCTCTCGTTGGAAACGACTGGTACACCGTCCCTTATTTCTTCTTGCCTTTCTTGGGACCGGCCGCGGCCTCGCGCCTCTTGGCATCCCGCGCCTCAATCTCGGCCCGACGCGCTTTATCCTGTTCCTCCTTCTCTTCCTTCTCAGCCTGCGGACACCAGGTTAGCGTCTGCAGATCGACTCACTAGGGGTTCCTTGGATTTCTTACCTGTCTTCGCGCGGCTTCAGCTTCTCGCTGCTCCCGGATGAGCTTGAGTCGCGCCATGTCGGCCTTGGCCTCGTCCGTCTTGCCCTGCGCCTGCAGTTTCAGGTACCTTTCCTTGGCTGCGACCGCCTCCAACGCCTCCCTCTCGCGTCGGCTGGCGGGACCGTTCGTTTTCTCGCCGTCGTCCGAAGCGTCGGCGGCTTGCTGGGTCATGCTATGCGCCGCCCGAGAATGGTTGGGATTGGCAGGCATGTCTGCATCGTCGCTCTCGTCGCTCGAAGGCAAGTCGCCCGGTTCGACGGTGTGCCCGTTTTGCTTTGCAAGAGCGGCCTTCTGGCGGGCCTTTTTCTGAGCCTTGCGGGCTTCCCGGTCATTGGCGGGGACGGGAGGATTGGCGGAGCCGGCAGCATCATTGACCGCGCCATTCTCCTCCTCCTCCTCAGAGGAACTCTCGTCATCCTCGTCGGATTGAGCCTGTGAGTCTTTGCTCCATATGCTGACGAGGTTGCCGTCCTTGTCCACCGGCTGAAGGCTGCGCGAAAAGTGTTTGCCACCTAGCGATAAGAGTCACCAAATTAGCCAAGAGGGACATCAGAGGCCCGACGGGATGTGATATAGTACGACTTCACTCACCTCCTCTCGTTGGCTTGTTGTACTTGCCAGCACGTCGGGCGTTTGCTGTGCCAGTGCCACCAGCCATGTTGGATTGTGCAAAAAGGCGTGCGGATGAGCAACCAAGAAAAGTACTGGCAAAGAAAGACCAGTATGTACTGCGGTAATCGAGCCTCGAGTCCAAAGGGCCCAAAACGGTAGGTGGAGTGACCAAGACAGAGGGAGGTCCCGGAGAGGTAGGAAAGGTAGGTGAGGTAGGAAACGAAGAGAGGTTGTATCCGCAAAGTAGAAGAAAGAAACGTTATAAGCATCCGCCCCTCGTGCTGAGGCGGGGTAGCGGGGTATCGGCTACAAGGGCGGGAGAGCCAATCAATGAGCAGTTAATGATCACCATGAAAAATAAAATCAATTATAAAAAACACCGTCGAGCTACGAAGAGGCGGATGACTGAAACTACAGAACATTATGAGCTCTTTTGCTTGGAGTACTAAAGGGATGTCGAGCCAGGGCTCTCTTCGCTTTTGTATCGATTGAGAGCCCCCGATTCAGAATCAGGGCCCAATGGGTCGTCGACCAAGGCGGATGAGTTGCCATCTGAGCCGCACCTGCCACGGTGGAGAATAGGGGAACGGATGAATCAGCTTCTTGCCCAAGACAAGGGGAGGAGGTCTCGATAAGGTAGAGGTAGGTATGAAGCATCGCCAGGTCGTATTGCATCCTCACCGCCACTAAAGTGCATCATAGTGCACACAATTCCACTGACCTCATCACCCTTTTAGTGCGTGCTGCTGCCAGATGTAGGCTGCGAAGTACCTGCCTCTGCTCTTACCACGGATTGTCTGAGAAAAGAGGCAACTGCGACGCGAGCACGCCGTTGCCCAAATGCACAAGGTTGCTGCCTGAGCGTCCTTGCTGCCGCGAATCGCCAGAGCAGGTGCGAAGCAAAGCGGCAACAGCCCTCCCGCAATGAGACGGGAAACGACCCCGGCTCCAGCCAATAACAATCTTTGTACCAAGAGCTTGTACTTCGTACAGTACGTACTGTACTGTAAACTTCCTCCCCCCGCGGCAAATCATCGGCTTCACCTTAGGCGAGCGGAGCCGGCAGCACTATTAATTCTCTTGCCCCTCGCCCGGATTTTCTCCTTTTCTTCTTCTTCTTCAACCTACTAGAAATCCTTCAAATTCACTCTGGCATTCACATGTTATCCATGGATGCCTTGGAGGGGAAACTGGAGGAAAGAGCGTCGTCCGTCGATCTTACCATCTGTCCTGCTTGCACTTCCGGTGCCCGTGGCGCAGATAAAAAATGTTTCCAACGGTACATGCCCTTGCTGATGCTGTCATGTCCGCCCGCCGAGCTGAGGCTGTACAAGAGTAGTAACCATCGTCGGCGCTTGCTCTGAGGAGTGCCGCCATGTTTCCGCGTATTGTCATGATTGCTTCTAACAGTGCAGTCCTATGAGCTTGGGGATCGGCGTCATCCAGCCTCGTCTCTGACAAATGAGCAGCATCTCGCCCCTGCCGTGCATAGGCATAGCTCGAGAGCTTCACGGGACGCCCGGCATGATGACGCGCCGTGTCCGTGTCTTCTCTGGCGCATCGTTGGGGGTATTGAATTACAGCTCGAGCAAAACCCTTTTACTCTCTATATCCTTGTGCCAGCGCTACATCACGCCAGTTCCGAGGTGATGGCTCCGTGAGGCAGAATACGTTTGCTCCAATATGCTCTCCCGTCCCGAATCCCTGGTGGCCCTGTTCATGCCCCCTTTTCTCAGTCTCTTTCGAGTCTTGGTACGCCCTCTCAAAGCGCTTTGATATCCGAGTGCCTCGACAGGGCAAGACGTAATCAGTGGCTCGGTGCTTTTCCATGCACCAGCAAGGACTTTCCAGAGGTCCCCTTAGTTTGAAAACGACTGCAGCACATGGTCCAGGCGCCGTCTCTTCTGCTTCCGCAGGGAGAGCGCTCCTCGCTCGGAAACCCCGGCCTCGTCTTGTCTCGCCCGTCGCGTCGCCCTCGGCTCGGCCTCTGTCTGTGGGCGGACAACGGCAGACCTGGTAAAGACGTACCGTTCGGTCGCAAAGAGCCCGCGGCTGACGTACGACGGCCGCACCGAGATGCCCCCACGTCCGCTGTGGCCCAGGTACAGGCTGGCAAAGGGCTTCGAGGGCAGCACAAACGGCCCGACGACGGCCTGGACGTCGGCCTGGATGCCGCGGCTCGTCATGTCGTTGTCGTGGGTGAGCTGGCCGATGAGGGAGTAGAGCCAAAAGGCCCACGGCTCAAAGGCTACCCCGTGGCAGGACCGGGCGTCTGACGAGGCGGCGGCGGCGGCCGTGTGCCATGCCGGCGCGTTGACCTTTGCCGTGTCCGTGAGGTAGTCGAGGAGGGACGGGGCTTTTCGGTCAGCGACAAACTTGACGGCGCAGCGAGAGTCGTTGGACAGAGACACAAGATCCAGGTCAACGGTCCTGGCCAGGTCTCGATGACTGCGGGTGTCTTGGAGCGGCGCGAACAGCATGAGGTCGCGCAACAGGGAGTCTTTCGGGCCAGGCATTACAATGCTCATCTCCCAGCCCCCGTCGACGACATGACCCATCGGGCCCCGCCAGTCCTCTCTAGAGCCTAGCACATCGTACAAGGCCAAGCGAGGGAACTTGGACACCCAGCGGAGCGACTCCTGGGTGGTGGACTGGTCTCCCCAGATTCGTAGGATGCGCAGCAGCGGAAAGGGGTCGTCCATCTCGGTCCAGCCGCGTATGAGGCGATCGTTGGCATGGGGGAAGATGGCGTGCACCTCGTCGGCGGGCTGGATGAGCTCGAGGACGCCGAGGTTCTTGACGTCGGCCAGGCACAGCAGCTCGTTGGTGCTGAAGTCACAGCCGCCGCTGATGACGAGGTGGGTGATGAAGTCGGTCGACAAGCATGTCAGGGGCTGCGTGTAGCTCTTGAGCTCGTCTGCCGGGCTGCAGATGTGCTGGCGGAAGCGGTAGAGGCCCAGGGTCTTTTCGTCGTCCTCGCGCAGCAGCTGCTTGGAGAAGAGCTTCCAGGCATGCAGGCATACGCCTCTGCGAGGGGGGAAGAGGGGAGCTGGTCAGCCAGGCAGATGAAGCGTCCCCGTGTGTTTGTGTGTGCCTTGACAGAAAGGACATGGTCGAGGTTGAGGGCACGAACCTGGCTTCCAGAAACCGCCATATGCGCCACCGCAGGCGCGCGGGCAGAAACTCGAGGTACGCATCGGGCACGTCGCCGATGTTGTTTGCGATGACGTTGATGGCCGTGTCGACGAGGGACCGGGTGCCGCGCGAGCCCCGGGGCGTGAAGAGCGGATACGGCCGCCGCCGCGACCAGTCGGACTCGCCGGCGGCCCGGACCGAGAGGAAGTGCCGGTCCATGGTCCATTCCCGAAAGACCTGTCCCGTCGACCAGTCAAACATGCCGAGACGCTGCAGAGGAGGGGCGCTTTTCTACCAGGCCTGCTCCCGTGGCCGTTGTGGAGTCGCGAATGATGAGAGAAAGGAGGTGGTGGGTGGGTGGATGAGAGGAGAGCGGGATTCGGTGAGGCGGCTGCCCGAGGTGCTGTTATAGTAGTAGAGCGACAGCCCTCGAGACCGCAACAAATGGACCCGGCACAGACCACGGCAGAGATGGCGATTGCCTGCAGCCTTCCGGCATCCTCGTTGCGTCGTCATTCTTTCAGTCGGCTTCTTCACGTGCACGCGCCATGGTTCCAGCAGCCATTTCGGCAACGGTTCTACGGGCGAGTAAACGAGTCTGAACCCCCCCATGCATCCAAGAGTCGTTTGCACGCTGCTTACAGCCTGCTCGGGCCCCCTTCACTTCATTCCTCAAGGGAGGAAGACCATGTGCATGAGCCACCCTTCGGCGCCACGCCCATAATGAACAAGGACAATGACGAGGCAAGAAGAAACAGAAACCAAGATTTGTAGCGAACGCCTAGCGATGCAAAGTTGCAAACCCACAGAGAGCCGGCCGCCATCCTCGTCGTCGCTATCAGCCGATATAGGTGTCCCACACAAACCGGCTGCTCCTCGCTTCTGGCCCCCGATGCACTCATCCGTCTCGTCTTGGTATCATGACAAACCCCCTCATCTCACAGCATAGGCTTCAGATCCTTGGCCACGGTAAACGGCGCCTCCGTCTTGCTCTTGACCTCCTCGACCGTCACGCCGTCGGCGAGCTCAATCAGGGTCAGCCCGTGGACAAAGTCGACGTCGAAGACGCACTACATGTTCAACAAGGTCAGTCCAGAGCGACACACACAGGGGCTTGGGGGGGGGCGGTTGAGCGTCCAGCTACTCACCAGCTCGGTAATGATTCGCGACACGCACGCACGTCCCGTGAGCGGGAATGCGCACTGCTTGACGATCTTGGCGTTGCCCTTCTTGTCCGTGTGCTCCATGGTCACCACCACCTTTGTGGCCGACGGGTTGCTCACCAGGTCCATGGCGCCGCCAAAGCCTTTGACCTTGCCCGGCAGCATCCAGTTGGCCAGGTCGCCCGTGCCGCTGACTTGCATGGCGCCGAGGATGCTGAGGTCGATGCGGCCGCTGCGGATCATGCCGAAGCTCTCCTCGCTACCAAAGACGGCCGCCCCACGCTTGAGCGTCACCGTCTCCTTGCCGGCGTTGATGAGGTCGGCGTCCTCGTCGCCCTTTTTCGGGTACGGCCCCAGGCCGAGGATGCCGTTCTCCGACTGCAGCTGGACCTCGACGTCGGGGCCGACAAAGCCCGGTGCGAGCATGGGCATGCCGATGCCGAGGTTGGCATACATGCCGTTCTTGAACTCCTTAGCCGCCCGGCGTACGATGCGCTCGCGCTTGGCGGCCGTGTCGCCGGTGCCCAGGGCGGCCTTGGCATCGGCGCCGTCGTCGTCCTTGGCCCAAGTGTACTTTTCAATCTGCTTTTCGCTCGTGCTCTGGATGACGCGCTTGACGTAGATGCCCGGCAGGTGGACGGCCTCGGGGGGGATCTCGCCGGGCTCGACAATGTGCTCGGCCTCGACAATGGTCATCTTGGCGTTGCGGCCCATGGCTCCGTTGAAGTTGTGGGCGGCAAGACGGAACTGGCAGTTGCCCAGCTTGTCGGCCTTGTAGGCCTTGACAAAGGCGTAGTCGCCGGCGATGCTGTGCTCCAACAGGTACGACTTGCCGTTGAAGACCTTGACATCCTTGGGGTACGAATACTCGGCGGGCGTGCCGTCGGGGCTGTTCTTGAGCGGCAGGTCGCCCGTCTGGACGACGGTGCCAAAGGCGGCGGGCGTGTAAAAGGCCGGGATGCCCTTTCCGCCGGCGGCGCAGCGCTCGGCGAGGGTGCCCTGGGGGGTGAGTTCGAGCTCGACCTGACCCGTCAAGTACATGGTTTCAAACGTCTTGTTCTCGCCAATGTAGCTGGCAACCATCTTCTTGACCTGCTTGGTCTTGAGCAGCTTGCCGAGGCCCGAGTTGTCGGTGCCGGCGTTGTTGGACACGGCCGTCAAGCCCTTGATGTCGGGCTTGCCGAGGACCTCGTCGATGAGGGTGTCGGGGACGCCGCAGAGGCCGAATCCACCGCACAGAAGCGTCGTGTTGGGCTCCATGTCTCGGAGGGCTTCCGAGGCCGAGGGGAAAACCTTGTTGATGTTGGCGCGGCGGATCGAAGCCGAGAAGGATCTGGAGAAGACGGACGTTGGCTGCAGACGCTGCATGTGAGCTTGGGTGCGACTCGTCAAGATTCAGGTACTCACTCTGGTGCCATGGCGAACAAACGCCCGCAGCGTTCGGGCCCGGACTGCCGGGGAGGGCATCATGGAGAGGAGAGGCGAGAGACAATCGAGCAAATGGGGGTGGCAATCCGAAGTAGCGCAGTCAGTCAATTGCTTGACAGATGGCAAAGTCAATGCCGTCGGGACAGACCCAAGCTGAGGCGACAGCCAAGGGAGAGGCGGTTGTGCGGCGGGCGGCTTTATAACCGCTGAACCGCGGGTGGCCGAGGCGGCCGCTCCTCCGCTTCGGCTACACCAGCAGGGGTCCGTTCCGCGTATGCAGCACTAGGGAGGAGTCTGGGGTCCATCTCCATACCGTCTTTGGGCACGGGGTAACTTGGATATGGGATCAGGCCAATCCCGTGACCGTTATCCGTACCCGGTTCTGCGCCTCGAAGCCACTGGGGTTGCTGTTCGACCCACTACAGCGTCTTGGGGGAGGGCGTCCACGTCCCGATCCATTCTGGCTGTCCTTGGCTCGAGCGGCTCGAAACATCCAAGTGGTTTGACCCCTCTTCGATGCATTCCGTCAAGGTTCCGAATACCGACCGAGGTCGACGAGCGTGGAAAGCGAGATGGCCCTGAGGGTAGCCGCTGCAAAAGCAAAAACAAAAGCAAAAGCAAAAGCAAAAGCCCGCCAAAGAGTGCCGTGTGTGCCTCCTCACTCTAATTACTCCGTCGTGCGGAAAGACTTCCCGCCGTGGCTTATCAGCTTATCGCCCCGCAGCTCCAAGGGCCAGTCCAAAAAAATTCCAATGCAAGCTTCCACCGATGGACGTCGTTACTTTATCGCCATTTCTGCATCATGGAGTCGAGCTCAAAGCGTCGCAAGATTGACCATGCGGGCGCCGGCTTGTGGCACCATGGCCTCATCGACTTCGAGTCTCGAAGCGCCGTCCAAGTGTCGACGGCCACCACCTTTGTCCTCCAGACCGACCAGCTTCTGCACGAGGCCAGACTGAACTACAGAAAGGCGCTCAAGGGCGTAGATGATCACCTCTTCCGCCTCAAGGAAATCCTCGACGCAATCGAGCCCCATGAGCCAGTTCCCGTACGTCTGCTCGACCCAGCCGGGCTGCGACAAGTCGCTAACCCTAGCTTAGATCGGCGAAGCCACCGCCAAGTTCGAGAAGAAGCACGCCGTCGTCGTTCCGTACCCAGATCCCAAGCCCGCCAACGACGCGCCCTACAAGGTCTCGTACGCCAGGCCGTCGCAGTGCAACGTCGTCGGCAGCTACGTCTCCAGGACCATGGTCAAGTCGCAGCCTGCGCTCGCCGTCGACATGGTTGTCCAGATGCCCAAGTCGCTGTTCCAGGAAAAGGACTACCTGAACATGCGCTACTTTTATCGCCGGGCCTACTATCTCGCCTACATTGCAGTCCATGTGCGCTCCGCGCTGGACGACTCCGTGGACTTGACCTTTGAGCATCTCAACGACAACCCTTTGCTACCGTTGCTCGTCATCCACCCTCGCGCCAAGGAGGGCAAGTCCAAGAAAAGGGTCCGCTCGGAGCCCAAGTATAGCATAAGACTGATCCCTTGCGCTCCCGACGAGCTCTTCCCCTGGTCCAAGCTCACTCCCGCCTCCAACTGCAATCGAAACGGAGAGGCAACCAAGGAAAAGTCTTCGGCCACGCCCTTCTACAACTCCACTCTGAATGCGGAAAGGACTTTCATCCCATACCTGCGCGTCCTCGCCCACGCGCGAAACGAGTGCCCCGCCTTTCCAGACGCCTGCATTCTCGGAAGGATATGGCTGCAACAACGCGGCTTCGGAGGCGCAGTTTCTCAAGGTGGGTTTGGACACTTTGAATGGGCAATCATGATTGCGCTGCTACTGGGCACCGACGGCCGTGAAGGCCAATCCGTCCTGTCCACATCGCTCAGCAGCACCGAGCTCTTCAAGGCGGCCATCCAGTTCCTCGCGACGACGGATTTCAACAAGAAAGCCTTTGCCTTTGCCGCATCCACAGCAGACGCCAAGACCTTTCGAGAACCAGGCCCTGTTCTATTCGATCCAACCCGAGAACTCAATATCGCATTCAAGATGACCCCATGGTCCGCCGGACTGCTTCAGCTCTACGCAAGGTCGACGGCCGACTTGCTCGCTGATGAGGCCACGGACAAGTTTGATGCCACGTTTATCATGAAGGCGGATTCCGTGCCCCAGCTGTTTGACGCGACATTTGAGATTGAAAGCCCCGACGTACTGTCGCGATTCTCCGACACGGCCGACAGGAGCAGCCCAGCATTCAAATTCAGCCTAGAGGCCCACCGCATACTCAAGAAGGCATACGGGGAGCGTGCTCAACTCATCCACTTCAGACAGCAACCCGGAGCGTCTTGGTCGCTCAACGCCAAGATCCCGAGCCAGGCCCGGAAAGTCGACGTGGGCGTCATTTTCGACCCGGCACAAATGTCTCGTCAGATGGAATACGGACCTCCAGCTGAGGATCCGAAGGAGGCTGCTGCTTTCCGCCATTTCTGGGGTGACAAGGCCGAGCTGCGGCGGTTCAAAGACGGGAGCATACTCGAGTGCGTCGAGTGGTCAAGCAGACTTCCGCGTCAAATCTCTGAGGAGATTGCTCGCTTCGCCCTCAAACGTCACATCAAAGTTACCAAAGACGAGTTGACGTCCCGCGGAAGCGACTTCTCTTCAACCATCGGCCTGTCACATCTTGACAAGGAAGCCTTTGACGCGGCCAAGCGCGCCTTCTCGACCTTTGAGCGTGATATTCGCAGCCTGGAGGAGATGCCGCTGCAGATACGGCAGCTGTCTCCCGTCTCGCCCATGTTCCGGTATTCCTCTGTCGAGCCCCCAATGCTGGCCTTCCACAAGGATTCTGTCGAACTCATGAACGTCAACCTCTACTTTGAGGCATCTGCAAAGTGGCCCGAGAACCTGACCGCCATTCAGGAGGCCAAGATTGAGTTCCTGCTCGACATTGACAAGCGCCTGACGGCTGCACACGAAAACATGACAACATGCCTGGGCCGCGAGAACAGGGCCGTGGGCATTGAGAATTTGGCATATCTCGACATCGTCTACGACACTGGCGCAGCGTTTCGCATCCGGATACATTGCGATCTAGAGGAAGCTCTCCTGGAGCGGCATGCCAACAGCCGGGCGCTGGAACACCGCGAACGCGACGAGTCTGCGGAAGCCCTGGCTAGGTTCCACTGGCTATATACGACCCTGCCTTTGCATACTCAGACGGTGGCCACATTCTGCACAAGACTGCATCCCCTCTCGCAGTCCGTCAGGCTCATGAGGCACTGGTTCGACTGCCACAAGCTGAGCGGCCACTTCAGTGCCGAGCTGATTGAGCTCTTTGTGCTGCATGTCTTCCTCAAGCCGTACCCATGGAATGTGCCGTCGTCTCCCGCGACGGGCTTGTTGCGCACGCTCTTCTTCCTCTCTAGGTGGGACTGGCGGGATGAGCCCCTGATTGTCGACTCGGCCGAGACGCTCACCAGCGAGGATCGGTCTTCGATCCGCAAAGAGCTCGAGTCGTGGAGGAAGCGGGATCCGCACATGAACAGGTCCGCCCTGTTTGTCGCCACCAGCAACGACCAGTCCGGCATGGCCTACACCCGCGACGGCCCTTCCAAGCTCATCGCCTCGCGAATGACCCGCCTCGCCAAGGCAGCCTACAAACTCGTCCGCGAACAATCAGGGCCCCTTGACCCGTCCGCCTTGTTCCAGACCTCCCTGCGGGATTACGACGTCCTCATCCACCTCTCCACCAAGGCCGTCCGGGCCACCGCTCGCGAGGCCGGCGCCGAGGCCGGCGCCAGGAAGCCGGCGCGGTTCAAGAATCTCGACGACCGCACGGGCAAGGCCCCCCTGCCCGCGCGCGCTCACCCCGTCGACGTGCTGGCCGGCGAGCTGCAGCGCGCCTATGAGGACACGCTCGTGTTTTTCCGCGGCGGCGCCGACGAAGCCGTCCTCGCCGCCATCTGGTGCCCCAGGTTGCAGCAGCAGCAGCAGGGCGTCAAGTTCAGGGCGGGTTTGCCGTACAACTTTTGCAGGCTCGCGGGTTCCGATGCCGACGCCGATCTCGTCGAGGTCAACCGCGAGGCCGTGCTGTTGGAGATTGCGCGCGCGGGGGGGGACTTGATCAAGAAGATTGAGGTGGTTGACGAGGAAGAGGCGAAGGATTGAGAATTGGAGAGGGAAGGAGATTATGGAGCGAGTGAGCTGCGTCTAACCCACGCTTTTCACTATTTGAGATACCATGTTGCGTCTCGTCAAATAATATGACAATGGCAAATTGGACATATTCTGTTTCACCGCAGACAGTTCAATCTCTTGGATTTCTGAGAACCACATATGTCACTTGTTCTATCGCGGTTCGACCACCCGATCCCCGAGCAAGGAGTGAAAGTCGAAAGGGAAACCCCAAAAAAAAAACCGCCATGCCATGGTATAGATGCATCAAATGTACAAGACTCGGTCCATCATCTCTCCCTCTCCCAATCCTTGGTGCCCATCACATTCTGCCTCTTCTACCCGGTGCTAGCCCAACCACACAATCCCCCATAAAACCTTCTCTCCTCACCGCGCATCCGCCTTCTCGACCTGCTGCGTCGAAAAGGAGCAAAACCTATCCTTGATGGCCACCACCTCGTACGTGCCCTCCTGGCTGGCCTTGACAATTTTGCTGTGCTCGTACGAGATGTCGTGCCTCGTCTCCAGCACGACGCTGCGGTGGCCCTTCTTGACGTTGCTGCTTCTCGTGTACGTAAACTCAAAGGGCGGGGAGCCCCAGAACTCAAAGAGAATGTCCACCTCGTTGCCCTCGTGAATGTCCACGCGCGACTGCTTGCCGCGGCTGATCTGCACGCTGGGCAGGGGGTGGATGGCCTTGTGCAGGTTGATGGCGGCGCGGCACTCGCTGGCCTTGTCGGAGATGCTGGTGATGGTGAACTCGCCCGGCTTCTCGGCGATGCGGCGGAAGTTTGTCGTCTGTGACTTGGCGTTCCAGCGGCCGTTGAACTCGTACGTGATGTCAAAGGGGGGCGTCCCAGAGAGGGTGTACGCAATACGTTCACCGACGCAAAAGTCCTCCCTCGACTCCAAGGGGTAGATGGAAGGCGCGTCGAACAGCTGGATCTGGATGGATGGACCGCCAATGTCGTACTTTTGCTGGCATCCCCGCGCATCTCGCACTCTTCGGATGCGCAGCTGTTGCGTCCCAAGGCGAAGGTGCTCTCGAGGAATGGGCATGGAATACGAGTTGGAATTGATGGAGGGAATGCGATACGTGTCGGGCGGAGATCCTGCCTGATTCTTGATCTCGATCTCGACGTAGAAGGGTGCGACGCCGGTGAGAGTCATAGGGATGCTGTCCTCGTGCTCTTGCTCCTCCATGCAATACTTGAACGACTGGCCGGGCTTAGAGAAGGCGGCTGACGGTTTGGAGTTGACGCGCTGCTGGACAACCAGCGGATCAAAGTTCTCGTCGCTGTCGTAGAGGTTGTCGGCCAGGCCAAAGAACTTGTAGGTATAATCACCCGCCTTTGAGGTGTCCATGGAAATGGCGGCCTTCGGGAGCGCGGCGTCGAAGCTCTTTCGGCTACTGGCGTGCGATCCCTGAGGAGGCTTGTGCTTGACCTCATACTGCACGTGGTACGGAGGTGAACCTGTGACGGGTGAGCAAACGCGGCGCGGCAATGACTCGAGCGGGGAAAACTCACCTTGAAGCTTGACCTCGAATCCATCAATGTCGCCCTCGCACACCTCCTTCTTGGTAAACTCGCCCGAAGCCGAAGTGATGCTGTCCGTCCCGACCAGGGAGATTTGTGGGCGGGGGAACCAGTCAACCCGAAACGTGGACGCCGAGGGGTCGATGTTGCCAGGACACTGCTTGTCCTCGACACCCACAATCTCGTAGACGCCGCGTGATCGCACCATGACAACGTCGTTGGCGCTGGTGGCGACCTTGGTAAATACCTCGCCGCTTCCGTTGAGGTTCCGATAGGAAACGGTCCAAGGAGCCTCGCCTTGGAGGCGCAGAGGCAGGCGTAGTGGCGTGTCGGACTCGACGGCCATGATGCTGGTCTTCTGCTCCACCAATCCGAACCCGCCGCGCGGCCGTTGTCTGCGCACCGAGATCTTGAGTTGATCCTGCAGGAAGGTTCGGCAGCCACGCTTGTCCTGGACGCTGCTGAGGGCCAGAATGTACTCTCCTCCCTTGGTGAAAACAGGCGTCTGGATCCTGAAGCGGTTTTCTTCGACGCCCGTCACGCGCTCCGTCTTTCGCTTCCCGTCATGGACAGTTTCCCACTCGAGGTTGAAGGGTGGATCTCCAGAGAGGACCACATCGACTCCGACCTGGGAGTCCAGACACGTGCTGATGACCCTGTCGGGGTTCGCAATCGTGGCAGAGGCGGCGGGCTTGACCACCTGCTCCAAGAATAGATCTGTTCCGAGGGGCAGGCCCGAGTAGACTGCGTCATCGATGGATTTGAAAACATATCTATATCTGTGACGGCCTGCCGTCCTAGGGATCAATTCGAGCTGCGACCGCAGCCCGGAGACGTGGTGTGTCTGGTCTTCGACGTGGTCGTCTGTGATGATTTGATATCTGACGGTGAAGGGCGGCGTGCCTACGAGGTCCAAGTCGACGCGGAGGCCAATGGAATTGCCCGCACATTTGTCAGGAATGTCCTCGGATCGGATGGACAGGCGCGGCTCCAGCGGGTTCAAAAGCAGGCACGAAGAGGGTTCGTCGACTTCGCCTTCGCAAGAGCCGCTCGAGACCGACTTGAGTGTATAAAGACCCGGCTCGGAGACGCGCGGCTCATCGCGAGAGTTCTTGGCGAGGTGACTTCCGACGGAGATGTTGTCGCCGTGATCTCCGCTGTTGGTCAAGGAGTCGATGGGCGAGAATTGCCAAGTCAACTGATGCGACGTGTCGGCCACGTCGCCCGACAAGCCAAAGTTGACCGGCAGCCTGGCAGCCTGGCCCTTGGCGACCTTGAGAGGGTTTCTGAGATCGCAACCACGCATGCGGACCTTGGGTCGTTCCTTGACCAGGAATTTTTGGGCAAGGCCCTTTGGAGGAGTGGCATCGGCCTCGCTGCCCGGCTCGGCGTACTCAACGACATTGCCAAACGCATCGTGGACCTCCTCGACTGAATACTGCCACTCGCCAGAGGTGGTCATGGATTCGTTCAGGCTGACCATGATCTTGGAGGGGCGCACCCAGGAGAAGTCGTCATCGAGGCCGGAGACGGCGTTGGAGGAGGCTTGAAGAAGCGGCAACGTGAGACCGTCCGGCTGGAGGCTCTGAAAGTGGAAATCATCGTTTTTGCCGTTGATGGTCCTGCGATACTTGATTCGGAGGGGCGGCGTGCCGAAGACCTCGAGCGACAGGTCGGACAAGTCGCGGATGCATCGTCGGGACGAGTCGGCAGTCTTGATGCGCGCACGAGGGCAAGGGACGACGTAGGTATTCTTTGTCGCTCGCTGGACCTCGAGCTTGTACTCGTCCAAGACCTTGCCGAGGCGGTACACGCCGGGCCTCTTGACCTGGTACAGCCAATGAAAGCCAGCCGTGTTGGGGTCGGCGCTCTGCTCGCGAATCTGCTTGGCGACTTTGCCGACCTCACGACTCGAAACCTTGATGGTCTCCTCCTTGTTGTTGTCAAAGTCGAGGCGGACAATCTCGATTTCGGCGGGGACGGTGGCGTTGAAGTAGACGGGCAGCGAGACGCTGGCCTTGGGCTTTGAGCTGAGGCAGTAGGGGACGTGATCGGGGTTGAGAACGGCGGAGCCCTCGGGCAGGATGTTGATGATTTGCTTGCCCATGATCAAGGAGTGGTTGTTGAGGATGTTTGAGACCTTTACGCTTTGCTCGGAAATGGACAGTTCGCGATCGTAGAGCACCTTGACAAGGCCAAGGAGCCATGACTGCCAAGGTAGCTAGGGAAGGGGGGTTAGCCATGGAGCGGGCTAGGTTTGCACGTAAAGGCGAGCTCACCGGGATGTTGAACATCAACATGTAGTTGAGAACGAGGTGAGAGGCGAAGCAGGTGGTGACGACAACCTGGGACAGCTCGAGCCATGGTATTCTGAGCTCGGGAAGGCCGAAGAGAAAGGCAAAGTCGAGGAAGATCCATTTGAGGAAGAGCCACCAGGACGAGTCACCGTCCTCGACCACCTGAAGCCAGTCGTAGAGCTTCCATGCCCAGAGTAGGGCGTAGAGGCCGAAGGCGTAGAGACGTTGCTGCGGAGCATCGAGAAAGGTGAGGGGGATGACGGGCTGGCGGGAGACGACGCGGCCGGCGGCGTTTTCGGGGGCCAAGGGCAGCAGCGGCGGCGACTTGGCCGAGCCGGTGGTGGAGGAGACGGAGCCGGCGCTGCTGGGCGTCTCTTGGAGAGGCTGGCGTCGCGAGGCGGTCGCCGGGGTCGTCGGATACCCGGACCGCAGACGAGGCGTCGAGCTCATCGCATTCCGTGTGATGGATGCAGAGGGAGCATCGGGGGGGGGGAAGGGGGTGTTGAATTGACGCAGGAGGGAGAGACGATGGGCGCGACGAGATGGAGATGGACAGAAGTGAAGCGCGCGGATGGAGGCGCGTGAGTCGTCGTTATTGTCGGGTTGGTGTAGATGCTGGTGTTTGCTGCCGCGTCTCGACCGTTGTTTTTTTTTGTTTGAAAAATGAGGCGGCGTCACTGTACAGAGCGGGTGATTGCTTGTCAGTAAGTGCTGGGCCCGTCCGTAGCTGCATGTACTCGAGCTCTGGTCCAAGTCCCTCTAGCGCGCTTTGTAGTCCCTCTTTAGTGTCTGACGGTACTTGCCAGCCGCTCTCATCGGTCTTTGTACGTGGGCAAGAAGGGCGCGGCGCACAGACCAGTACATGACTGGTACGGACAGTAGAGCTGGCGGAACCTCGAAGACAATACCTCGCCAAGAAAAGTACCTGGAACAACTGCCGAGCCGCCATCAGCGGCTACCTTACCCGTACTTGTTAGTAGAGGCGAACAGTCCCTTGGCCGCGCTTATTAGAGACAAGAGCCCCCGTTCCCTAGAGGATGGAGGAACTCGACAAGTAATTACAGCGAAGCAAGACGGCGCATCACGGCTACGACATCCTGCAACAAACGCATCCGCGTTGCAATATTGCGCCGCCGCACAGCCATCGTCGCCTTTACGTCCGGCTGCGTCGCCGGCCTCGGGCGCCTCTCTCTGGTCCGGGCGCGCCCCATCCCGTCCACCCTATTGATGAGCGCAAGGAATCGTGCTCGTTGGAGGTGCGTGCTTCATCCAACTCCGTCCCGTGTCTCGCTCGCGCTCGGCTCCTTTCCTCCATCATTTCCCCTTCCCTCGGCTTCACGAAGCCATGGCGAGCTACGGCCAGCGTGTTCTGTAAACAGCAGCTGCATTCCTGCATGTCGGCCCTTGCCGGCGAGCGCAGAGGCTTGGCTTGAACACGCTCATCCATTCAACTGGCTCGAGATATTCTAGATAATACGATGAGAATGGTCATGAAGAAGCCATTGCGCGCATTTCATCACTATCTGATTGTTTCCCCATTGTTGCTATTGCAACTCACGCCTCGCTGCTATCATTGGCCACGCGTGTTACCAGAAAAAGCTTGCGCCTCCTATTCAACCTTGGATCGCAATAGACGCTTCCCAAACTCACTCATTGTCTTCACCTCCCCAATTCATCGCATCCTGCATTGAAAATTCTCTTCACCTCTTTCATCTTCGTCGACCCCACAGCTCTCTTTCTCCCTCCCTCTCTCTCTCTCTCTCCCCCCCTCTCTCCCGCTCTCTCCCTCTCTCTCCCCCCCTCTCACCTTTCATCCTATACTCATCGCCACTCTCCTCACGATACTTTCTCTCTCAATTCCAATCATCATCCCCTTTCATCTCTTTCTCTGACACTACCGCTTTAGCCCTTGGCAAAGACCATCTCCTCTTTTTCCCGGATGAAATCTCACCATGGCTCGCCGCGCAAAGACGGATCGTGAGGCTGCAGCCGCGGACAAGACTCTGACCTCTGCTCTCGGACAGTCTCTGGAGCAAGTGGCCGAGCGAATCGCGGACAAGGTTGCGGAAAAGCTGGCAAGCGTTGTGGCAGACAAACTCGCAGATACCTTCGTGGCAAACATCACTTCAGACGTCTTCGACAAAATCGCCTCTAGGGTCGCGGACAAGATTGAGGCAAAGACTCAGGACCAACCCGCAGAGCAGAGTCCGGGAGAGATCTCGGATAAGACCGAACCTAGCTCTCCCGCAGGGCAACTTTCAACAGAGGCACCGCACGAAGTTGAAGATGAGCCTCATGACGTTTCGACAGAGGCTGTCATCTGGGTTGCGGCAGCGTCTCCGGATCTACTCGCAGAGCAGGACTTGGAGACCGCAGACAAGGTGGAGTCGGAGCCTGCCGCCGCAGAGCAGGCTCCGGAAGAGACAGCACCCAAGGTCGAGGCCGAGCCGCAGGCCCCCTTGGCAGAACTCCCGGTTCCTGTCCGGCCCGATGATGGGCCAGCGATATTTGCTGCCGGCGGCAAACGTCGAAGCCCCGAGACTGAAGACGCGCCGCCACAGAAACGGGCGAGGACCGCCGACGACGTCACCCCGCGCCGCAACCCAAAGCGAGCCGCCAACGAAGCAGCAGAGCATGTGGCAAGGGACGGGGTCGCGCTGCCCGATGACCTCCTCATGGAGGCCCTGAGGCCTCTGAGCGCCGAGGAGATTGAAGCGTGGGAGGGGTGGGTCGAGCTGGAGTCTGAGCCCGTACGTATCGCCGCCCCTCGCATCCTTATCCCGCCGAGAAGCACCTTTGGTTACTGACTTGAATCTGCGCGCAGGCCTTCTTCAACTTCATTGTGAAGAAGCTTGGGGTCAAAGGAGTCACAATCAAAGAGCTTCTCTCTCTCGAGTCATGGTCAATGGGTCTTTTGCCGTAAGTTCCCCCGCCGTGTCAATTCCCTCGACAGCACGCCGACGTCTTTCACAGGAAGCCCGTCTTTGGCCTGGTTTTTCTCTTCCAGTACACGCCCCAGCTGGACGACGAAGAAGACGATAGCGACGATGACGCTCCCGTCTGGTTTGCCAACCAGGTGAGCTCACACTCCCTAGCAAAATTGTGTTTCTTTTGACAACTTCATGGCTCACATCCTTGGCCAGACCACCCCCAACTCGTGCGCCTCGGTCGCCCTGCTCAACATCATCATGAATACCGAGCAGGTGGAGCTCTGCGAGCAGCTCCAGGTCTTCAAAGAGTCGACCAAAGACTTGAGCTCCCCCCTGCGAGGCCGTCGAATAGGGGCCAACGGCTTCATCAGGGCGGCGCACAACTCCTTTGTCCGGCGCATAGACATGCTCGAGGCCGACCTGTGTCTGTCCAACGAGGTGGACTCGGCCAAGCCCAGGCGCTCCAAGAAGTCCGTTGCTCCCAAGAAGGGCCGGAAGCAGGGGCCCGCCGCGTCCGGTAGAGGAGCAAAGAAGAAGGCGGCGGCCAACGTGCCGCCAGAGGAGTTTGGATTCCATTTCATTGCATACGTCCCCGCCAACGGCTTCGTTTGGGAGCTTGACGGCATGAGGGCCAATCCTCGCAACGTTGGTAAGGAAAAGCTGCACGTGCCTGCTCAAATCCGTGACAGAACGCTGACTTTCCCTTTTCTTTTCCCGCAGGGCCTCTCAACCCCGAGGACTGGACCGAAGTCGCCACTCCCAGGATCCAGCAACGCATCCAAGAATACGGCAACAGCGCCAACGGCTTCAGCCTCATCGCCATGTGCCAGAGCCCTCTCGACGCCCTGCGGAGCGCCATCGCGTCCCACGCGAGCGCCATCGACCGCCTCCGCTCCCGTTTCCAAGACGACGCTGCCTTTGCCCGACTCATCTCCGCCGACGAGGGCCTCCTCGGCGTCATCGATAACGACACCGCGCTCGGCGAATTTGGGCTCCAGCAGCCGGACGTTGCCGACGCCGAGGTCCCAAAATTTGTCGCGGAGCTCATGTCGCGCCCGGACATGGACGCACAGCAGGCCCACGGCCTGTACGAGAAGCTCGTCGCCGGCACCAAGTTTGCCATGGCTAAGTACCGTGAGGAGACCATCGCCGTGTCCCAGGAGGAGGAGCGCGTGAGGGGGAGGCAGAAGGACTACACGCCGGCGCTGCACTGTTGGATGACCAAGCTAGCGAACAAGGGTGTCCTCGAGGACGTCATCCGAATGTCTCAGTGAAGAGCTGGCGGCTCGACCGTGCGACTCGGCACGGGGTGGGGGCGGAGGAACGCAGGCGGCTGATGGCTAGCCATATCGTCTCGACTTGCGTGGAAGCAGCTTGGGAACGAAATGGAGAATTTGGCATGGCTACACTGAGTTCAGGTTCATGAGGGCGTAGAGACGTTGAGATGGCGCGTAAAGGCATTGCGCCACATGATTAGTGCGAGACAGATTGCCACATCGACGACGAAAACACTGGCAAAAAGCTAATAAAGCTCACCTCAAACGCCGTCCTAAGCTCCCTCATCCCGCTGCAATTCCATGCCCGCCACCCTTCGCCCAAAAGACCCTCCCATCATGTTATGCCTGCCCGGGACCCCGTCAGTCGTCTGGATACTGTTCTTTGATGTTGGATACAAATGTGCAAGTTGCACGATCAAAACTTTTGAAGAATTTGCCGGCCAAGGGAAACATGTCATCATCGACTTGACTGGCGTCGTGGACGAGTTCCACGCTGTCGGCGGCAACCTTGTGAGGCTCCGAGCCGGTGCTGGGGCTACCAGTCTCCAGTCAGGCAGAGTAACAAGATGGGGACGTGGATGTACTCACAAGCACATGAAGAAGAACTGATTAGGAGGCCGCAAGGGTAAAGACGCCTGTGCCGTGGCATCTTGCCCGATCTGCTCGTCCAAGTTCCTGGGGTGCGTCACGGGCAGGTCGCGGGTTCCTTGGTCGGACCAGCCGGTGATGACGCCGATCCAGCCGTACCGTCGATGTCGGAACACCTGTCCGACCTTGAAGGGGATCGACTCGTCTCCAAACACGTTCCTCCGAAAGACGCGGGGCACGAGCGCGTCCTGTTCTCGCACACGGCGCAAATGCCCCCACGGATCATCAAGGCCACGGTTGGCATGACGAGCGAGCCCGTCCCTGGAGGGCGCAAAGCTATTGTACAACGGCTTGAGATATTTTTCTACCAACCAGGCGTCCTCGGGCCATGATCCAGCAAAGCGTCGGAGGAAGTTTGCCAAGCAATCGTCCCATTCGAACGTGTTGGGTGGCGTCAGCATCAGCGGGGCCCACATTGACGCGTAAAGTGCGGCCTCCATGTTCATCGAGCTGTTGCCGCGTAGGAGCTGGCTCAGTTCGGGGTGGGCGTCGTCCTGCAACTCCAAGACCCTTGCGAATGTCGCCTTTATGTTCCGCGCCGTCCTCAGCGCATTGACCAGGGTAGGAACGGGCGCAAAGAAGACGTCGGTGCTGGTTTGCCATCCAAACCTTGCCAGCAGGACCTGTAAGCAGGCGGTGGGGACCTCGTCGTCAAGACCATACGGGTCTAGATACATTCGCTCCCGAGGCTCGCCGTCTCCGACTACCGGACTCCCGTCTAGTGTCCGCCCCGGAGTGGCAAAGACGATGGCATGGACATGGCCGGGAAAGGCGCAGCACTGTGTTGTCAGGCCGAGACGCGCGGCCAGGCAGCAAAAGATGGCGCTTGATATGAGTGGAATAGACTCGTGATCCTCGTGACGCAGGGCTTGGCCGATGAGGAGATTGCGTAGGTTGCGATAGTTGCGCTCAGGGTTGCACAGTCCAGTAAGGCCATTAGAGCGGAGCCATCGATTCAAGGCGAGTGCTTTTTGGCGAGTCGTCAACGCGTCAAGATTCGGTTGGCTTGCTCGAAACTCGGCAGCCTTGTCATCTAGCATCTGGGAAACCTGATAGAGAGGTTAGTGCCGTCTTACACAAAAGACCCTTCCACAGGTGCGCTCAACGTACGTCATCAAGGTCGCCGAATTGATCGTGCAACACAAACATGTCGAATGCGCCAAGTGCTCTCTCAAGCCGTACACCGGCGACGTGCGCATCTAGCGAATCCCGATCCCGTCGAAGTTTGTGCCATTCCTCAATGGCAGTACTTCTGTGGATGCTGTCGAGGAGAGAATTACTGTAGTATCTGGAGTATTGCTTTAGCACGGTCAGGCGCTACGGCAGCGGCAGAGTAAGAGATTTGGTCATTACCTCCTGGCTAGAAAATCCGGAGCAGACTCGTCTATCCGGCATTGCTCCAAGAGAAAGTCCTTGGCGTCGTAGCCAAGACGAGCTATTGACTCGAACCGCTTTAAGCGGCCAACCTGTGTGGCGATGATACCATCCAGCAGGTCAGCCACGAGGCGATTCTGCTGGGCCCTCAGGACGAAGAGCTGCTTCCAGTCGACCTCGGAGGCCTTGCAGCGGAGCTTGTGTCGAAACTCGTGGCTCTGATGCCAGTGGTTGAAGGAGTTGCGGCAGTGATATCTCCAAAGCAGAGGCTCATTGGCGAGCCGATGAAACTGCCGCGAGAGGAGCTGCAAGCTTCGAAGGTTGTCTCGGGGAGAGACGTAGTGGAGAAGATGCTGGATAATTTCGTCGGGAACTTTATCCAAAGACATGGCAGCGCGCTCAGAGAGAGCGAGAGATAGAGAGAGAGATGAGGCAGAGGCGAGAGGAGAGAGGAAAAAGTGAAATAGTGAGAGTTGGAGAAGGATGGGAGAGAGGCGAGAAGGCGGCGGCGACGAGGACGGCGTCGGCTTAGAGGGACCCGACTCTTATAAGAAATTAAAAAAAACACTGCCTGTCCTGGAGCAGGCAAGAAGCAGGTCGCCAGAGGCCAGGGAAATAGCAGCCGCCCGAGAGAGGAAGCAGATGAGACGAGCAGCGCCAGACGTTGGATGGAAGTCGAAGCGAGGAACGGGGAGATAACGGCCAGATGCATTTATCGGGAGAGGCGAATCGTGGTACGTAGCACCAAGTAGCTAATATCGTGCTGCGTCGTGATTGGCTCTAGTTGACAGCCGCTCATTGGCCGAGCCCGGCCAAGGCTACCCGCGCGCTAGACCAAAGCAAGGCACAAAGTAAACAAGGTCTCAACGCGCCAGAGGGATGGATCACGAACCTCGTCTGAATAAATTACCCCAACTATCCGCCACCAGACTGCGTGCCTGCTGTAGCGAGCCATGGACCGTGACCGCAGCAGAGCAACGCACCCGAAGGCTTGACCTCGCCACGCATCCCCACAAGCTCCAATCTTTCTTTCTCGCACCCGACACGGCCCCCAATCCTGCCCTGTCGTCGTCTTGGTTGGGCCGGCCGTCACCGCGCGTGACTCCCGCCCTGCGTGTCCGACATCAACTTTACCCGACTATCATCGCCGCTGAAACCCCCGCGAACAGTACTTGAGAGCCCCGACTCTTGACGCGCACCCGCAATGGCCCCGCCAGGCTTTGGCGGCGCACTCGACACTCCGCGAACCAACATTGGCGACGCGACATACCTTCCCGAATTTGCTGACGTCTCCCAGGAGGCGTCCTTTCAGTCGCCAGGCAAGGACGGAAACCTTCTTCAGCAACTTCGCAACGGCCGCTCCAATGGCCTCAACCTCAGGACCCCCCGCCAGCGGGGGCCCCTCGCCGACCGACGAAACCTGCCACCAAGCGTCGGCGGCGCCGAGTTCACGCCCCTGCTCAAGTCGGCCACGAGGAACAGCGTGCGCCGGTACGGTAAGGAAAACGGCGCGGCCGTCCAAAACACACCAGTCCTCAACAAAATCGACGAAGACGACATGACGCCCATTCCCCGGGTGGACACGTCCGTCTATCTCGGCTCGCGGAACCAGTCATACCTAGACAACACGCTGCCTCAGGTCGACAGTAGTAGTGTTGCCTCGACTCCGGCTGCCATGCAACCCCGTCGCGGCAGGGATAAGGGCCCTCTGCAGGATGGGAATCAACTGTCGCTACGCGAGCAAGAGAACGTCATCGATCGCATCGAAAAAGAGAACTTTGGTCTCAAGCTCAAGATTCACTTTCTCGAAGAGGCATTGCGCAAAGCCGGGCCCGGATTTAGCGAGGCTGCTCTCAGGGAAAATACCGAGCTCAAGGTGGACAAGGTCACGATGCAGAGAGACCTCCATCGGTACAAGAAGCACGTAACCTCCGCCGAGCGCGACCTCGAGAACTACCGCCGCCAAATGATGGAGCTCCAGGAAAAGGCCAAGCGTAAGCACTCCGACGAAGGCCAGCGTGTCGAGCTGGAAGAGCTGCGGAAAACCCTGCAAGAGCGTGAAGCCGACATGGCCGACCTGCAACATCGACTTGACCGGAGCCAGCATGATCGAGGCGAGTTGGAAAAATTCAAAGACGACATCGAGGACCTCGAGGCCGATTTGCGGGAAAAGGACCGCATCATAACGGAACGCGAAGACGAGCTCGAGGATCTCCGGGACAAATTAGAGGACGCCGAGGACAGGGCCCGGGACTCGCAGCGGTTAGCCGCAGAGATGAAAAAGGCCGATTCGCAGGAGCAAGAGCTAGAGGAGGCCAAGGAAACGATACAGGATCTCGAACAGAACATTCGTCGTCTCGAGGAACAGGTTGAGGACATCAAGGACAGGATGGACGAAGCCATGGCCCAGAAAGAGCGAGCAGAACAGGATCTCCAAGAGCTGCAGGAAGACATGGCAGACAAGTCCGTCGTCACCAAGGGCCTCTCTCGCCAATTCGAAGGCAAAGCTGCCCGCCTGCAGAACGAGCTGGACAAGTCCGGCCAGGAGTACGCCGCGCTTGAGAAGGAGCTCGGCCGCGCCAACGAAGAAAACGCCGAGCTCAAGGCAACCATGAAGACTCTACGGCAGGAAAGCAAGGACTTCCGACAAGGCAGAGAATCCGACTTGATTCGGGTACAAGAGCTGGAAGCCGAGCTTTTGGCTGTGGCTGATGAGAGAGACCTATTGCAGTCTCGCCATGACGCTCTTTCCAAGGAATCTTCGTCGCTCCAGCAAGAAGTCAAAGGGCTGGAGACGCGAATCCAGGAGCTCGAAGAGAGCCTGTCGCAGGAGCGGGAATACGCTTTGGAGACGGAAAAGGACCTTCGCAACCAGTACAGTGGCGAGATTGAGCGGCTCAACGATGAAGTATCCGACCTACAAGCTGAGATTCGAGAAAAGGATAATCTCTACGATAACGACAGCGAAAAGTGGGAAAACCAGAGGCAAACGCTGGAGTCTGAGCGGGACCGGGCCGAGGAGAAGGCCGTCGGTCTTCAAAGGACCATTGACCGGTTGCGCGAAGCGGAGGGTAATCTGTCGGATAAGGAATTCAAATTGAAAGAGGCCATTGAGAGCGAAACAGAGCGTCACAAGAACGAAGAGGCCATTATGACTCGGCAGATTGACGATCTCCAGGATGCGCTGGATACCCGCCAAGGACTACTCGTCAACCTACGCAACGAGCTGTCGTCGGTACGCGAGGAGCTTCGACAAACTCAGATTGACTACCAGTCACAGGTCACCAAGGTCGTGGCTCTGGAAGACGAAGTGGAGGTCCTGCAGACGAGCTCGGCCGCGCGAGGGAGCCAGGAGCTCGAGACTGTCAAGCGAGAGTGCGACAAACTTCGAGGACAGCTGAGCGAGCTTAAACGGCAACAAAAGGAGTTCAAGCGCGGAGACAGCCCCGTCTCCGATCGTGGCGCCCAGCAATCCGCCGAGCTGACGGCCCGGCTAAGGAGTCAACTCTCCGACGTGACGTCTCAGCTGGAGAGGGCTACCAAGAATCAGCAGTCTCTTCAGGATCAGCTCGCGACACTCAAGGTGCAGCTTCACTCGTCAACGACGTCACTCGCCGAGGCTAGAGCAGAGCGCGACGAGCTCGACGACCAGCTTCGTCGTGTCAATTCGCACGACAATGATACGCTCCAGGTCGACCAAGAGCGCCTTGAACTCCGGACAGCCAAGATGAAGCTCGACAATGAAGTGCGCCGCCTAAAGGACGAGAACAGAGCGCTGGCAGACCAGCGCGCAGCAATCGAGAAGACTCTCGAGGACGAATTCGAGCGAGCAGCAGCTGAGGACGAGCGCCTGAGACAAGAGGTCGTGGAGCTTCAGGCCAAGTTGCGGCAAACGTCATCATCCGAGAGCCAGGACCTGGCCACAGCCCGCAGGGCGGTGCGCGAACTCGAGCGCCGGATCGAGGACTACCAGATGCAACTTGCGAATGTGCAGATGCGAGACGGCGGGGACATCAGCAGCGACCTGTCGATGATTCGAAAGGACCTTTCTGCATCGCGCCAGAAGGAGCTGGAGTTTTTGCAGCGAGATTCGGCCCATCGAGACGTCGTCAAGGGCCTCAAGAAACAGATTGCGGACCTGGAGCGGCAACTGCACGACGAGGAGGTCTTCCGGCTCACTGGATCCCCAGGAGCTTCGCCTGCCCGGACCGACGAGCGCGGCGCACCACCAGCCTCGGAGCTGCGGGCACAGCTCTCGACGGCTCAGCGGTCTGCTCACGAATGGGAATCCAGGAGCCGTGACAGCGAACGAAGGGCGGCTCGGGCAACGCAGGACCTGCAGCGGCAGCTCAGCGACCTTGAGGACCAGAAGCTGGTGCTCGAGGAGGTGCTCGAGGAGGCGAGGCTACAGGCCGAGGAGACGGCCGCGCAGCACGACAAGGCGATGCGCCGCATGCAGCACAAGCTCGACCAGGCGGAGCGAGGGCGCGAGTCGGCGGTTGAGGCGCAGACGGCCAACAGCAAGCAGCATCGTCACCTGCGTAAGAGCCAGGCCGAGGTGGAGAACCTCGAGCACGACGTGCGCCAGCAGCAGGACCTCATCGACGGCCTCGTCGCGGCCGAGGCGTCGCTGAGGCGCAAGCTCGACCGGGCCCGCAGCGAGCGCGCCGCGTACCGCATGAGCGCCGAGAAGCTGCAGCGCGACATTCAGCGCCTCCAGAGGCCGGCCGCCTCTTCCCTGGCCCCCGCTGCCGGTGCTAGCCAGGGACTTGTCGTCGGCCACTTGATGCCCGGCGGCACCGACGAGGCCCTCGAGACGCTGGTGCGTGCGGCCCAGGGCGCCGAGCAGCGCCACGAGAAGGAGCTCCGCGGCATGGTGATGCAGGTGGAGTGGATGCAGGCCCGATGGGAGCGCGAGGCGTCGCTGCGATCTGACGCGGCCTATGCAAAGAGGTTTCTGCAGCTGCAGCTCGACGTCGCCAACGCTTGGTTGGTTCCCCCCCTCCCCTTTTTCCTACTCTCTCTCTCCCTTTGCGCAAGACAGGCCGGCAACTAACGCTCTCGCAACAGCAACAAGGCCCAACTCCGCGAACTCGAGCACATCCGCACAAACCTCCTCCACAGCCGCAAGCCACTCGCCTACCCGCCCGCCTCCGCCGACGACGACGACGGCCACCCGGCACGCGCCGCCGGCGGTAGCCGAGCGACCAAGGCGGCGCCGTCGCTACGCCCCGTGCTCATCGCCGCGCGCTTCATCGCCCGGGCGCGCATCTCGGCCCGCGGCTGGGCCGGGCACGAGGCCGTGCGGCGCAGACTCGCCGCCGCCGTCGAGGAGCAGCGCCGCGCCAAGCGCTCCAGGCGTCTCCAGGTGGTGCCTGCCGACGCTGACGCGTGACGGGAGGCGGGAGGGGAATGAGAGAGGGACAGTTGAGAAGAGTTGCCAAGTTTGGGTACGGCCGGACTTGTGTGTGTGTGTGTATGTATGGCTCGGGAAAAGGAATGGGGCTGTATGGGACTTTTTTTGGCACGGCATCACCACCGCTCCTGGCTATGTGGGAAAAGGGGGGACACAAGCATCAGGCGCAGGCATTGGAAAGGCAGTGCGATATGCAGGATTCATGCGGACAAGGCAAGCGGTCGCTTTTATAACGTCCATTTCTCCCCGTGATACTCAATCAAGGCATCATCTTGTTTCCATCCTCCACATGTTGCGTTGCGCGCGCTACATAATGCCTTGGGCCAACGCAAATCCACGCTCGTTGGGGCGGGCGCGACCATATTAAAAGAAACGCTTCAGCAGAGATTGGTTGCTTTATAAGAAAAAGTCATGCATGAGTAGAAGAGCTTCTCCCTCTCCCACTCTTCTTGGCCAGCCAACATCCTTCCCCCATCATCAGACAGACATGGAGAGAGTCAAAGGCTCAGGTGCCAGACGCGAGATCCAAGAAGTCGTTACCATGAGCCCAGGGTATTACTGCCTTTCCAATTCATCAAGAGCCATCCATCACCTGAGGAGGCGTCTTGTGAGCCTAATGAGAAGCATAGAGATCCATGTACAGTCGAGGCTGTCACCGGTGCATCGCCGACACTTGGCCCCTAGGAAACCCAGAATTACATGACGAACAACAGGTTCGTGTCTGGGGCCCGTTAACCGAGAGCCTCTAGCCGGCACGACCGTCCATGTAGATCAAGGACTTACTCAGGGGATGACTGCAGGATAGCTGCGGCTTTTGTGTGTACTTCAAGGCCAACTCGTCTCGTATGCTGTTGAGAAGCTGAACATAACTCTGCTGGGGATTCTTTTTGAGGGCAGTTACAAACGCCCAGGACATGGCGCCGGTGGCCTGGGAGGCGATGGTGGCATCGGCACTAAGAAGCTTGGTTAGCTCAAGCCACTCATGACAAGTCGAGAATATGGCGACAAGGGTAGCGCAAACGAGTGCGACGGCCATCTGTGCAGGCTGGGCCGGCTCCGAGGCCCCAACGTAACCCGTCGCCTCGGATGCCAAGGTGCAACCGAATGATTGCACCTGACACCCGAGGCGTTCAAAACGAGATACAAAACGATTAAACAAATGAGTCCTGCGTTCTCCCAGTCTCCCATGCATGGCCGGGGGGGCATCCTGTACAGCCCGGCGGCACCCAAGCCGAGCGCCTTGCGCCGACTCACTTGCGACGTTTGCAGCCACCTTGGCCTCAAACACAGCCCGTTGAAGGATAGCGTGGTGCAAAAAAGGGACAGGCAAGATAATAGAGAGGATAGACCCACGATGTCTGGTCGTCTTTGCTGCCGGACAGCATAATTACGTCGGCCGGGGAAGTCTTGGTGGCTATGGCGCGGCTGTGGGCTTCCTCGCCGCTCGTGGCCTTTTTGAAAAAGCTCATGATGTTGTTGGCAACACCGCCAAGATCGCCCTGGCTGTACGAAGAAATGACGCCGAGCAGCCCTTGGCCTGCCTCTCTGGCAAGATTTGGTTCCTTCAGAATGCCCTGGGTTGAATAGATGTAAGGCAGGTCGAGCGCCGTTCCCGAGTGGCAGGAATCGAAAATGGCCGTTAGCCTGACGCCGCCCTGAAGGGGCCGAACCATGATTCTGTGCATCTCATCGTCGGTGATGTGGCCGGTCTGGCGGAAGTCGACTGGGTAAATGACTTCGTCGTAACCGTCGGGCTCGTCGCCGTCAAGATCTTTGGTCTGTCCACCGTGGCCTGCCGCATGTTAGCAATAGAGACCAGGGCTCCTAGTCGGCAGCATCGCCATACCCGAGTAGTGGAAAAACAGGGCATCATTGGGCCGGGCGTCCTTGACCAGCCAGTGCATGGCGCGCAGAATATTTTGCTTGGTGGGCTGGCTCATGGGGTTCTGCTGATCGTCCGTCAGGATGACCATGTCCTCCCTCTTGTAGCCGAAATTCTCGACGAGGTAGGCCGTCATGTTCCGAACGTCGTTGATGCAGCCGCGGAGCTGGCCCCGCTGGCCAAAGTAGTTGATGCCGATGAGCAACGCTTTCCTCCGGCCCGTACAGTTGGAGTATCTGAAGGCATAGCCCTGGGGCGCGCCCTGCCCAAAGTGCTGGGGCTCTGACGGGGGAGCCGGCGGGCCGGGTCGTACTTGCTGGTAGGGACTGTGTTGCGACGGGTGCATACCTGTCAAGGTTGTCAGCGTCAACGGCGCACATATCGCGTTTGGCGCGCCTCGTACCGGGACTGGGCCGTGAAGTGTAATTTGGCTGCTGGGGCGCATGGCCATAGGGACTGGGGCCGCCGTACGGCTGAGGAGGAGAAGGTTGCTGCTGTCACCGTCGCGCGACCGGTCAGCAGATGCACTTGGCGGGTGGTGCCGCGTGGCTCGGGCGGCGGGCCGAGGAGCGCGCGGGTCATACCTGGTACGCATACTGCGGCTGCTGTTGCTGCTGCGGCGGCGGCGGCTGCTGAGGCGGAGGGTGATTATAGCCGTAGCCGGGCTGAGGGGAAGGGAGTCCCTGCGGGTAGCCGTTGTAGCTTTGCTGGGGCGGAGGCTGGGGTCTGCTGCAGCCCAGGACTTGATCAGACTGGCTTGATTCGGAATAGGGTGAATGATGCTCACTGATAATAGTTGCCTTGGAATTGCTGTTGCGGGGGACCGTAGCCGCCGCCGCCGTAGCCCGAGTGGGCAGACATGTCGAATTGAATGGAAAGGCAAGCGTCGACTCTCTCGGCCCGAGGTTCAGGTGTCGGGTCGGGCCGTTACGATGCGTCTGAATATGCCGAGCAAGGGCGGCGCGGCGGAAGCAGCGGGCGGCAGCTTCCAAGACGGCGGGGGAGGAGGAAGGAAAGCAAGCGAAGGTCCGGGGAAGCGAGGCACACGCCAGGCCTGTCTGGGCCCCAAGGGTCCGAGGCGTGACAAGATGGCGCGCGAAAAAGGAGCTTTATATGTCGTGGAGGGGATGTCCGAGGCCTTGAATAGAAAGTCGATGACGGGAGCGGGGAGGGGAGGGTCGCGCGGGACAAGGTGAGGAGGGAGAGTCGAGGCCGGTGAAGCTAGGTAGCATGTATGTTGGCCAGTAGGCTGCGGGCTGCAGGCGCGGCTCCGAAAAGCCAAGCCAGCCTTGTCAGGTGTCGGGATGCCACGCGCGAACAAAGAAGGCGGTCAGTCGGAGCAGGCGTCGGTGGACGACGAGGGTGCGTGGTGGAAAAGAAGCGCGCGAGCAGGGAGGAGACAAGAGGGGGGTGGGCGTTGGTGGTGGTGGCGGTGGTGGTGGTCGAAGATGGAAGAGAAGAAAGAAGAAAGAGGAGGAGCAGGAGAGGGAGCGGGGTGCGTGGATGAATTCTCCCGCCCTCTACAAGGAAAGTAGAGTGTGCGTTCTCGGCAAGTCGCTGGTGCGTGGCAGGGGGCAGGCCAGTGGCGTCTGCAGTACCTGGCGTCTACTTGCACGTCAGACCATGATTAGCGAGTGCATGCGGGCGGTGGTAGTGATGGTAGTAGTGGTGGGAAGACAATACGAATAATGACGATGGTGCCGGGGTTGAGTTTTTTCGTCCTTCTTTTTTGCCTTCTCTTTCCCTTGTTTCCGCGACCTGGTAATTGCTGTCGGAGGCGCGTGGGAAGAAGAGCTTGCAAGGTCAGGGTGTGACGGGGGCGAGCTGACAAGCCGGACGGACGTGGTAACTATTATATTATAGGTACAGTAGGTAAGTTAAGGTAATCACCTAGGTACTAGGCCTGGCTGGGCCTTTGTCTTTGCCAGGGTCCAAAGCACGGAGGAGGAGTACTACCGGAGTACCGGTACAGTAGCAGCAATCATCAACGGTGCTGAGTGAGCTGTACTGTACAGTATGTAGTACTGTAGCTAGGCTAGCCCTGTGGAGTGTGGCTGGTGCTCGCATGAAATCAGCCATGTATGGAAAGGAGGGCAAGCAGGGCCGAGCAAGGGGGGAGAAGGGGGGGGGAGAAGGGGGGGAGAGTGGGTAACGGCAGGGGTCGCGAGAGCATCTCGACTGCGAAAAATTCACGCGCATGGTGCGACGTCAACAGGCAGGCAGTCTCTCTTCTTGAAGACGGCCTCGCAATGAAACCCACGGGTCCCACCCGAGGTGAGCCCGGCGACTGTCGATCCCGCGCGCGCTCGGGTCATCCTGGCTCGGAACTACAGCTCTGCTCTGCTGCCAAGCAGCCCACCCAGCTGCCAGCCCAGTTTGCTTGCCCAGTTGCTTGCTCCACGCGCAGAGTCATGTACTTTAATGTGGTTTAGTTACGCTGCGCATCCGAGTCCCGTCGGCATGCGATGATGACATGTTGTTACACGGCCGGCCGGCCCTTACTTGCTCACTTACTCGTACCGCACCGAGAACTGGGCATCAAGCATCTATCTACCTTGCCGTGCCGGGCCAAGCTTGCTGCGAGCATTCACCATCTTCCCCCGACTGACTGACTGCCTTGCGTTTAAACGCAGCTGCATGTCTAATTGCGCCCCGGGCTTGAAGCTGGCCATGGGTCATCACAATGGTCGTCGTTCGGACCTATGCATGCAACGGCGGAGGAAGCGCTCGGCAAGGGACACACACCCACGCATGTACGATGCTGCACCGTCTGATCGGTTTCCAACTTATGGTCTATTGCCTAGGTAGGTATTGTATTGCCTGTTGCCTGGTGCCCGTTGCCTGGGGCGAGTAGGTAGGTACCTAAGGTAGCCTAAGGTAGGCAATGGGAAGGACCTGAACTGAGCACGGAACTCCTCGACTTACACGCAACGCAGCGCAGGGTTTGGCTGCCCATCTGGAGCAACACGTGTAGCTGCAAAAAGAGGGCGGCGCTTGTCTCGCATGACCAGGGAAAGAAGACGAACCAAACGGCGACCCGTTCTTCAGGTTGACAGGGGGTAGGTAGCGGTACGTACTAGCATTCATTCAACCCTTCGAACACCAGCAGCACGGACTCGCCGAATGCGCCGACTGCGTGTGGCGGTGCGCAAGCCACCACCTGCCGGGCGGGCACGTCCCCATGGTCCTCTCCCTCCCCTCTCCCCTCCCCTCCCCTCCCCATCCCCACCTCGGCACCGCTTCCGCAATGGATGGCTGACGTCGTCGTTGTTCGTCTTCTTCAGCACTTGTTTACTTTTCCTGCTTTGCGGCGGCATCCGTCGACACGCCTCGGCAGCCGTTTCAACTCCCCCAGTTGCACGCAAGAGTCGCACCGGTCCGGCGGCAGCATCGAAGGCCATCTCGGCGCACCCAACCAACCAAGCCTCGTCGCCGGCCGTGCATCTCGAGCTCTAAATTTGGCATGCCGAGCGACGGGCCGCCCGCAATGCATTCAAGTTTTCAACGACCAGAGCGACGGCCTCGATCCGATGCTGCTCCCAACTTAGGCTCCTTCACCTCTTCCACCATGAGACACGTCTCCCGCCAATTCGTCCCTGCCACTCCAACTGTGCGCGCGCTCCGCTCCCGTGCGTGGGAGAAGGGGGGGGGTTCGATTAGTGGCACGGAAGCGTTTGCGGGGACACCGAAAGCTGAGCTTCAAATGTGGAAGCGCCCCCTGCCCGGCAAACGCGCGGCGTTTGCTTTTTTTTACTTTAATAGGTATTTCGTAGGCTGCGTATGGATGTGCGGCGTGAGCCGACGGATGATCAAGACCCGATGATGCTGTAGAACGAGAATCACGGCAATTGGTGGTTGGTCCTCTCATCCTCCCAGAATATCACATTTACTGTAGCTTACAGATATTATACAGACGTACTTTGTACCTACCGATTTTGATTGCTTGCTTTATTTTATGCCTCTACCACCCACCATCCAAGTCACCCTCGTTGAACGAGCCATGGCTCGCACGCATGCCGAGATTTGGATATCCGACGCAACCACAACAGAAAGGGCGGAGAAGATGCACGCAATGGCCCAACCAACGCTGCATCTTTTTATATTGGTGCTGACCCAAGGTGCCAGGCAATTTCGCCCGTTGCGTCTTCCCATGCCGCCATCAATGGTCGGCCTGCCCGCCTTTTCACTGCCCGCCGCATCCACCGTCAAATGCCACCGTGAGGCGACCCGTTATCTGGGGCTGCGTTGGCTTCTCGCTTCGCTGTGCCCGCTCTGCTCTATGCGTGCGCGCGACTCGTTGCCTGGAAATAGCCGGCTGCTGCAACGTGCGCTGTACGAGTAGCATCGCCAGGGGCACCAAAACTGTTTGGCCTTGTAGTCGACTTACTTGTAGCCCACAAAGCGTCTGCCTGCACCTTTCCAGAGCCCTCCACCCACGTCGGTCACCTGCCTCGAATGGAGCACGTGCTGCCAATTCATTGCCTTTATGTTGACAAGAGCCGAAATTTCCTTTCGAATGTCTTCTTGTCGTCCGCCAGGCCCGTCAGCAGCGGCACAAGGTCGGGGTAGTCGTGCTCAGACCTGCCCAGCCTGACGCTGCCGTAACTTAGCCCATCCGCAGGTACCAAGCCTGCAGCCGCAGCTTGACGGCATGTGCAGACAACGTAGGCACCAGCAGCTCGAGTTGTACCTTCATGCATCCCAGCTCGCGGCAGTGCCTCTTGGCAAAGCGTGCCAGGGTGGTCCCCAGCCCGCCGCCTCGGAACCTGGCGTCAGCAAGCTAAAATTGCCCAGGAAGGGCGAGAGCGTTTGATGTAGACGCAGCCGATGACCTCGCAGCCGCTCCCGCCCCTTCCATCTTCAACCGCGTCATCTGATACCGACGATGAATCTCGGAGGAATGCGAGTACGAGGTCGCCCTGCTGGACGAAACGGGCCATCTCGAGCGCCGGGAGCTGGGGAGAAACATGCCCGCCTCGGCCTCTGTGCACGCCTTTTACAAGGGCCGTCACTTGCGAAACCAAGTCGGCCTCATCAGCCGCCAAAGTAGAGGCAACTTCGACGGTGACGTCGTCCCGGGCGGAAGCCGCCGAGGACGGCTTCGAGGCAAGATCTAAGGTGACGATCAAACCCGGCTCCGCGACCTTCTCAAGTACGGCGCAGGGGCCGCTAGGGATTTTACCTTCACCTTTCTCTGGCCCATAGCTGGTGGAAGAAGATGGGAAGCTGCGTCATGGTCAAGTGCTGGTCTCATGAGGCCTTGAAAGCCCGAATTGGTCCTCCGTGGGAAGGGGAGGTCAGGCATTGCGACGTGTGCGTAGCCATGGTCGGTCCAGCCATCTCGATTCTCGCCCGCCCGTCTCAATTGGCCGTCGACTCCATGGAGATGCCAGCGTACGGCCCATGGTTGGGAGTTGCCCGGCCGTGGAACAGTGAAGATTCGAAGAGAGCGAGGTGAGACGGTGGCTTGTACAGGGGTCACTTAACGGATATGCAAGTCCTCGATACCTCACTATCGAGGTGTCTCGGTTGATGGCTGAGGGTCAAGCCACAGTAGGGGGGTGGAGGGACCTTGACGACCCGGTTAGGTACATGAGCTCAACGTAGGTATGTGCTTCGTGCAGTGACCAAAGCTGCTCTCGATTCACTTCCACTCCGTTCGCGATCCTCAACCTTTTTCACGTCGTCCAAGCCCTTTGTCACTGGCAGCAACCTTAGCCGCTCTTGCTCTCTCGTCTTCTCTGGCCGGCGCCTCACTCCAGCCATCTCAACCCAACTGCTTTGCCTCGTCCTGCAGCAGCCACGTTCGGTAGCGGCACCAACCAACACAAAAGGAAACACCGCCGTCTGCTGGCATCCAGACCGGCCATGGACACGCAGTACGGCCCCATCCCCAGCTCGCCCGCCCACCTACAGCGCCTGCGCGAGCTGGTCCCATCTGCTGAAGAGCTGGAGAAGGCGGGCTATGTCCTGGCCCAGCTCTCGGCTTCAGACATGGGCAGGAAGAGGCGCTGCGACCGCTGTACCCGTGGTGAGCATTACGTCTCCCATCTCGGCCTACCCTCGCCTGCTTCTTCGTCTCGCTGACGCTCTCCAAGCCCTGAAACATAGCGGCAGGGACACGCAGCATGGCCCACGTGCTGCCGTGACTGCTTCAGCCTCTTCTCTGCCGTCAACCGCACCACAGATTCCGTCCCACGCCCGCATAGTCGCCGCCCAGGAGGCGGCACGCATCTCCAAAGAATTCGACGACGCTTTCGACGAACTCACCATCTCGCTGGCAAATAAACCCGCCAAGCCCGTAGAGCCCATCATTCGCTGCAAGTTCCATCCGGGCAAAGTGGCGTACAAGGCAGGCTGCCCTCGTCATCCGCTGTTCGCACGCATACACCTTATCGGGACGTTGCTGGCTGACCACGGCTTTGGCGGCTAGAAATGGACTTGCTGTGGGAATCATGTCATGGCAAAGCCCTGCACCGGCGAAGAACACCACCTTCCCCGACATTATCGGGTTGGAGAGCTGGAGAAGAACTGGAGGTACTACCCGACGCCCCTTGTGGCCTTGTCGTCGCCGCCCGCGGCCGCAGTCGTGATTGATTGCGAGATGGGCACGGCCGCCACGGGCGAGTCGGAGCTGATCCGCGTCTCCGTCATCGACTACTTTTCCCGGAGAGTCCTGTTTGATAGCCTCGTTCTGCCACAGGTTAAGATGGCCCATTACAACACGCGATACTCCGGCATCTCCCGGCAGATGATGGAGGACGCTCACCGACGCCGCAAGTGCCTTGTTGGCCGGGACCAGGCCAGGAGCGCCGTCTGGCGGCTGGTCGGACCGGACACCATCGTCATCGGCCACGCGGGGCAGCAGGACCTGACTTCCCTGCGCTGGATCCACCCGCTGATCGTGGACACGCTCATGATAGAGAAGATGAGGCGAGAGACGGAGCGCCAGGCCGAGGAGGCGGCAAAGGCTGAGAGCGCCGGCAAGGACTCTGCCCAGAACCAGGACGGCGGCGGTGGTGGCGTCGATGACGCAGACGGCAACGACCAAGGCAACGAAGACGATTCCGCCTCGAAGCGTGAAGGAGGGCTGTCGCTCAAGGCCCTGGCCAGCCAACGACTGAACAGAACGATCCAGATCAGAGGGAGGGGCCACGACAGTGTGGAGGATGCCTTGGCCACTAGGGATCTGCTGTGTTGGCAAATCAGCCATCCCATGCTGGAATCGGTGCCACTCACGATGCCTGCCTGAGGATTCGAGGACATTGCCAGTCCACACCACTCCAAGTCCGATGGAATCAAGCTCGAGTCTTGCAACACGCACTGTGGCAAGGAGGCAAGGGGCGGACAGCAGTTCACTCGAAAGGCACTAGAATCATCGCAGCAATTGGTTTGCAGCTTCCCTTGGCCTTCCCAAGGTGACGTATGTATGATAAATGCCAATGACTAGCTGACTGCCATGCTGCCTGTACTCCTCGCTAAGATTCGGACTTATATGAACAATGCCTGTGGCGCCCTGTAATCAACCATGGATCAAAAGCGTTCATGCACCCAGCCATGGAATGCCTCTACATGGCCTGCTCAACACCCCTGCCGCCCTGTGCACGACCTTTGTCACTCGACCACCTCGCCAACTCGCCCGGCCGACCTTGTTCTCCCATCGTCGGTCCTGTCGACAGCCTCACATCGGCCCCCATTATACTCCAGTCGCTCAGGCTGACGCCGCTCGAGTACTGCGAATACGGAAGACTGGTGCCGCGTGTGTGTGAGCTGTAGTTCGAGCTCATTCTGGTAAGGCGTGGCATCTGAGCGACGTCGTCGGCGCTTGGTACCAGCCGGCTCTCGATTTCGAGGTCGAATGGGTCAGAACGGCCTTTGTGTCGCCGATCAGCGAAGGGGGTGACGCTCTGAAGCGATTCGCGGAAGGCCGAGTCCGGGCGGAAAGCCATTGAACGAGGCGGATAGTACGTGTCCCGCACTGATGTGCTCTGAGACCGCCCATGAGCTCGTGGAGGAATCGCGGAAGGTTGATCCGTGGAGAAAGTTCTCTTGCCGGTGTCAGCAAAAGGGTTGAGCGGGCTGACTTGGGCAAGTTGCGTTGCGTATGTCGCGTTGTAAGACGAGGCATTATTGTCGGAAAAGGGATCCAGGCTTCCGGAGCTGTCGAAGTTGAGGCCCAGCTGGGGTGGTCGAAACTGGGACGCGGCGCCGATAGTGCTGCCTTTCCTGCTCTCGCCTCCATCCAAAGTCCCTCCTCGGTCGGCTCGCACGCGAGCATTGAAATCTCTATCTTCCGCTCTTCGAGTCCACCAGTCCATCACGCGGTCTTTGGTCGTGAGCCCATCGGGCACCGGAGGAGCCATAGCGACGTCTCGTTGGGCAGCGGGCATGTTCCAGAACTGCGCAGTGCCTCTGTTCGTGCTCGTCTGGGAATTGTCGGCGACGACAGCTCGCGATCCCGAGCCTCCGTTAAGGAGACCCAGGGACGACGCTAGCTTTTCTGTGCCTGTTCGGGGCCCCTGCGCGCCTTCGATTTTCTCGCTCGCTTCGCGCTCCCCCATCTTGGGAGCGCTCTTGGCGAAAGGCCCCGGCCGAACGCCTTTCCGCTTCTTGGCTACTGACTTCCGCCATAGCCAGATTGCGAGACCAATGAGCAATATCGCAGCGAAGCCGCCGACCGAAATCCCCACAATGTGGCCTGTTGGGAGACGATGGGGCTCTTGACTCGAAGTTTTGGCAGCAGGATTCGTTTTCGGAGTGCCTCCGGAACCCCCCAAGCCCTTGGGGCTACCACCCAGCGGGATGAAATTTGATGGAGGGTCAGCGCCAAGGACCAAGGAAGGACTCGGACCCTTTGATGGTGTAGCTGTTTCTACCGGATTCGCGATCGGTGCTGCGTCCATCGTTTTTGAAGGCGCGCGCGCCACTCCTTGCGAGCTCGTTGACCCTGAATCATCAGGTCCACTTGAAGGTTGAGAGACGGGATCGTCGTCTTGCAAGCCGAGATTGATCTCAGGGTTGAGGCGAGGCGTATTTGAGGATGCCAGTGGTGAGGGCTGGGCAGAAGTAGGCGCTGGAGGAGGCTGTTTCAAACCCTGACTTTGGGTAGCTTCGACTTGAGGGTTTAGGGCTTCCTCCGTCGGCGCAGGAGCCGACTCCTGGACCTGGTTAGATGATTGTGGGACTTGTTTAGGCGATTGTGAAGTTTGTCTGACAGTTGTAGATGTCGACGTGGAGACAGAACTTGAGGTACTGGAGGGTACGGGACTGGCTGAGGATGCTGATGACGTAGAGGCAGCGGATTGACCGTTGTCGGGGCCGTTACCACGACCATCGTCCTGGCCTCGACCATCACCTTGACGATTCTGGTCTGGACGGTCTTGGCTTTGGGCATTGATTTGGACTTCTTGACCTTCAGGAGACTTTTGGCCTGAATTGCCCCTGTCCCGAGGCTCGTCTTGAGCCTGGGCAGGGCCCGGGCCTTTGGCGGTACCTTGATCTCGAGAACCAGCTGAGGGTTGAGGAGACGGAGGCAGCCCTAGGGCGGATACAGGCGTGCTTGGCGTTGCGGAGGCGGTGGGGGATGTCGTCGGGGAGGGGCGGCTGGTTGACGAGGGAGTTGACGCACGGCTCAGTGGAGTCATTGCCGTCGGAGCGCGAGGAGGATTTGAGTTGGAGATTGTCGCGGTCGAAGCAGCGACTTGGGCGGCAGCAGACAAAGAAACACCAGATTCTGCGGCGTTCCCAGGGGAAGAGGCAACACCAGCCCGTGCCACCAAAGGGCTATGTTGCTGGCCGCCTCGAATATCGGACGTGAACGTTGGAGCTGCGCAAGGGGTAGCGGAAGAGGTTTGTGAGACCACAGTGCATTCGCTGGCATCAACTGGAATGGATGGGTCTCTTGTCGGCACTCTGGCCATGGCGAATTGAAGGAAACTCGCGATCCAGTCGCAAATACGCGGAGAGGCGGAAATGTGGACGATCGTGGGCAGAGCACACCGAGGATGCTGTCGCAGTGGCCTCGGCCCGCTTCCAGGCGTCTATTTCATGTCGAAATGAAGCCCAAGATGCGGGAGATCCGGTGCATCTAGGACGGAGGCGGGAGAGGAGAAGGCGATGGCAAAACCGGCCAGCGTTCAGAGGATGTCGGTGACCAGGAGCCGATTGTCCAGACAAGTGTGTCGACGAAAGTTGGAAACCAAGACCTGGAAATCCAAAGCCCAGAGGTGACTGAGAAAGGTTCGGGAAGCCCGCAACCGAGCGTAGGGCCCAAAGAAGGACTGGGGTTGGTGGTGGAACAGGGGGCTTCACCACCCGGATCTGCGACACATTTGATGCACCAAATATCGTCAGAGGTGGGAGAGGCCGAGCGCAACAACCAAGTCAACGGTCGCCAACGAAGGCAACGCACCGGTACGAGCGATTTTATGGACTCGCCTCGTGGCCTGCACAGTGTCTTTGCCTGTCGTGAGGCTTGAAACGAGCCGTTGACGATGATGATTGTAACCGTCGGCCATGCATCGACTAGGAGTGAGGGACCTTGAAAGATGACACTCTTGGCACAAGTCCGGGCGCACGGATATGCCCTGGCCCTCCTCATCAAGGCCTGGACTCTGATGCTGGGAATCTTTAGTTGATGGCTCTCCAACGCGTACTGCGACTTTGATGACTGTCCAGCCGAGTAAACGCCAGCGGAGAGTAATTGGCGTGTATGAATGGCCTCACTCTCTAGGGCCCAGCCTGGTCTCGAGCCAACGGGCAGTTTTGGCGCTACCGACCCCGTATTCTGGGCCTATTGTCCCCTTGATGGCCGTGTATTTGTAGCATGGTCGTTGTGAGTGGCGTCAAGGACCCATAAGAACGCCCATCGAAACCGAGATGGATCTACTTGCGGAGCAGCCGGGCGTGGGCCCCTGATAGAGCCGGGAGCCGGGAGCCGGGAAACGGCAAGGTCCTGCGTCGTCGTTGGCCGCTGATGCCAGCATTGCGTATGTGTATTCTTGCGCATGGCCTTGGGAGGGAACGGCATGAGGATTGGGCCCGCCTGCTGTCATGCCAAGGGGCGTCGTGAGGCTGCAAAATAGTGGCGGTCGGTCGGGTGGCGTCCGTCGCCACCGGCCAGGCACGGCATCGAGGCATTGTTTGACTCGATGCTGCATCGCCTACTGGAGAAGGGGGTGTTTCGAAACATTTAGGTGGCGCCCGTGAAACGACCGAAGCCTCGAGGAGGGTAGGGAGCCATGCGGGAACACAGTGTGCCCATTTGCGCCTCGGCACCGGCCGTTTGGGGGGGATCTGGCCATTGTGGTGGATTACCTAAGGTAGGCAAGGCCAAAGTGCTGTACTGCAACACACGCCAGTACATGCAGTACCCAAGGTACAAGGCACCTACCTATCTAGGTAGGTAGGTAGATACCTGTTCCTACTTTACGCAGTCGAATGTCTAGCGCCAGGTTCTTCAACGCAATGTCCCGTATAACAGATGGGTTACGGTATGTAAGGTACTTATGTATGTAGCTTAGTTGGCCGGTTTTTCCTCGAGCCATTTTGTGGCATCGGTTACGGTTCCCGCCCGAATGATACCCCCAAGGCCAGGAGATGCTTGGCAAAACCACTCTTTTGCCATGCAAGGTACGAACAGACCACGGTACATACCTTACCTTACTACCTGGTAGGTAGCAAAAGTAACCCCCTCGCAGCCTCTCACAGCTGCATGGTGCCTGACCGTGTACCTGCTCAGGTACCCGGAGCACCAGGTGCCAACACAATCAGTACCCAGATACAGCACCTCGATGACTTGCCCAACCATGTCATGCTCGCAGGCCTTCGTCCATTTTCTCACGACCTCCTCTCCTTTTCCCCCATGACTGACTGTCTGCTAGACGTCCGTGACCCACAGAGGTGCCCACCAGCCTTACCCATCCCCCCGACTCAGCACATCCTTGCGTACCCGGCGCCGAGCTCGCAAGCTGCTCCGCTTCTTGTAGCCGACAGATCGAGAGCCGCCGACGTACGCTCGTTTGACCGCCGACGTCGAGCCCCGTGCCGCCAAGAAGAGTCCGAGAGCCGGCCCGCGCCTGGTAGCTGCTAGTCCTAGGTGTCTCGTTGCTTGACAAGCTTCCCTTCTTGGCCTTGTGGCAACGGGTGCCGCAGCCGCCTGCACCAAGCGTTGGCTGGCTGTCCAAGACGCCATCTCAAGCGCCTGGCTTGGCCTGGGTCCCGCCGCGACTCTACAGCTTCGTGACTCCCGGGCCTCTCGTCATGTTTGGATCATTTCCCGCGCTGGGTAAGCAAGCACCTATTTCCTTGTCTTCGATCCCCTTGACCGGCTGTTTCATCGTCCCTGATCTCCACCCACTGCCGCTTGCCCAGTGCATCTCGGCCGCGGCTTCTGGCCTTTCCATTGCACTTCCCGTTCAACTGATCAAATCTCGATTCGATTCTCGTTCTGACTTGTCTGCAGCGAACTCGCCCGCCCACGCAAAGGTAGATCCTAAGGATGTCCCTCCCCCGACGCCAATAAACCTCCCGCGTTACCAGCCTTACGCTCGTGAGAATGAGACAATCGATCCTTCCCAGGCCTTGCCCACTCTTCTGGAACAAAGTGGTCGTTCCGCCGGTGTCCTGGGACCCCTTGGTTTCTCGGCAATTGGACTCGACCTCAGGCCAGATGCAACTTTCCGAGACCTTATACCCGACCCGGCTTACATTCCTGATTTCTCGCAATGGAACACGTTGACGACGGATGATGCCCGCGACAGGAACCAAGCCACCCGTCGGCCGCTGAGGACCGGTAACCTATCCCCGGGATGCCAGGTCTACCTGGAACGCAGACGGGAGCTTTCCAACAACAATGAGGATGCTTTTCGTACCGTGCGAAGGATCCCTCCACCCAAGGGGAAACAGCAGGCTCGACTAGGAAACGCCTACGAATTTTTCCGATGCCTTGAGCTTCTCACGACGTACTGGGACGATCCCACCCACCCAGCAGAGCTCCCGCCCTCGCCGGAAATGTCGGCCACCGAGGTGGCCACCACGGAGGGCTCCGAGGGATCCCAGCTTGCAGATGCAGGTGAAGCCCAAGTCTCCAACATTTTTCGCATCTCCTCTGGTCAGTCCATGCCTCCCGAGTTCCGCCAGACCCTCGTGGCAGCCTTCGTCAAGCTGGTCGCCTATGACTTTGGCTGCAACGTGTCCATGTCTCGCGTAGAGCCGCGTCTCCACCTGGGGTCTCTTGCCGGCCCTCGTCAGCGCAAGACTTACATCCCGTCCCACTGTCACTTTGTCTTCCAGAGCCCAATGTCCCGCGAGGCTGCCAGGGCCGGCACGGTGTACGGTCCGGTGGCGGCCGTGAGCGCGAGGCCGACGGTCGACTTCACCACTCCCGACGTAGAAAGCGCGCAGTCGCTGGACCTCGCGCGCGAAGTGACGGCGGCGCTCATCACAGCACAACATCGAGCTCGGGAGGGCAGGGCGGAGACGCGGTTCGGAGAGGGCCAGTGGTGGTCGTCCAAGCCCCGATGGGGCGGGGGTTCGGGCGGCCCAATTGGCCGCGAGATCGACAAGTTTGCGGTTCCCGGAGACAAGGATGTCCGGCCGAGCACAGAAGACGGCGACGGCGTGCCGGCGACCAAGAAGCCCCGCAAGAACATGTCCATCTACGACAACTATCGCATGGTCCGACCGCCCGCGTCGGCCTGGGACCGCAAGGCCAAGTATGAGGCGATTGGAATGGTCAAGGGTGAGGGCCACGACGACATTTTCGTGGTGAGCTCGCTTTTCCACCACATTTCTGTACTGCGAGTCCGTGTGCCTCTTCGGCTGCTCGAGGTTCTGGAAGGCTCCCCAGAGCAGAATCCTGCGAGGCGCAGCTGGGGCATGGTGGGGGCGTGGAGGAGCCCCTGGTACGATCTCTTTGACACGGATCAAAGAATCGCGGCGATGCAGCTGCTGTGGTCAGTCATGGCATACCAGATGAGGCAGGAGAGCGCAAACGACGACGTGGTCATGGCTGATGCGTGAATAACCGACCTACGCTCGCGGGGCTCGCGGAAGCGGGACTTGAAAAGCATGATGGAACGGTGCGTGGTCGGGTGCACGACCAGAGTGCGTCGCACGTGCAGGAGGATGACGCAAGGGATTGGGGCTTCACGGCGACGGGGGAAGAAGATAACGGAAGGCTGCGTCCCGAGGAGTCGGGCCCAGAAGATGGTCGGCCGGGAGGAACGGGTAGAGGCGGGTGGGTTGACTACATTGAGAGTGAGCGAATAAAGTCCAGGATAGTCAATGAGACGTCGGTGAGCTGCTGGTGAGCTATTCAAGCAGCTTTGAAGCACAGTTGTCCGCGGCAGCCGAAAATTGTTGACGGCGCTCCTGTTCCTGTTGGTGACGGAGTCGCTAAGTCTGCCATAGGGAGGTGAGCAGGCGAGTGGGCGGGCGTGGACCCAAGCCTGTGTTTTACGTACAGTAGACGCCTCTTATTTCACCTCAGATTGTGACCTTTCGACGAGTTCAGTCGGGATAGCGTAGGGACACGACGCCATGGGTCAGCCGTCCAAAGAGGCTCTATCCCGACGGGAGAGGCAGTCGCTTCCCGTGGCTCGGCGCCCGATGCTTGATTCTCCAAACCCCTCTCGACTACCCCTTTCCCCTGCCCGCCCGACTCAGCCCCGGCCCGTCGACTTGTCGTCCCGGGGGGTTTTCCCGGCCTGACTCGTCGCTGGCGGTGGCGAGGGCGGAACACGGCGGCGCGACAGAAGTCTCTCGGAAAGTCGGTTCCGAAGCTTCTCAGCTTCTCGGGTGCGCCGCAGCAGTCTTTGGCAGAGACAGGTTATATTTAGAAATCCAACCAAGGGCGTAGCAGGGAGTTGGTGTCAGATAGCCATGTCAGGGGAATATCGCGGCGGCTGCAGGGTAAGTTACCTAGCTGGGCTACGGAGGCGGCACAGACTTCGCCGTGGTCATGACATCATCCAGCGTATGCCCATTGAATTTTGGCAACTAAAAACCTTGCTGTTGCGCCCGCTGATTGGCTGCAGAGGCACTTTATCCGACGCGCATTGACACGACTATGACGCGTCCTGGCCCAATCAATTACGTGTAAATTGCTCAGGCTGCTCAGGGCAACCGCTGGCTCATTTTAAGGCTTCTTCAGAATCTACTCGAAACGGCATCGTGTCTCCTCCCCTTCAGGCTCCCGTCCTTCCAGACATATACACAAGCTCCCGTGCTCGTCAACCTGGCAAAGAGACAAAGAGGGCAAGGACGAAAAGGCCATTTCTGCAAGTGCGGAATCAGGCAACATGAGATGCGGTGCTATACCAATATGATGCCCCCCGCGGACATGCCCAATAGGCTACCAGGCATCTCCACGCTCTCGCCCTTCCGTAAACTTGTCGCCCCCTACTCTGCATCATCAGGCATAGCCACCAGCCGCAGCGGGATACACCTCACGGGCAAGGTCTAAGCGCCGTAGCACTTGTTAAAGCCACAGCCGCTCCATCATGTGATGGTCGTCCATGGCCTGTCTTCCTGCCACTTCCCTAGCGGACAGACCAAAGCCCCTGTTGCCGTACATATCCAACAGACACAAAAAAAACCATTTCGATTGGAGAACAAGAGGTGCGGAGAAGAAAAAGGGAAAATGCGGCGCGTGCGAGGTGCGGTATGCGCAGTCATGGTATCATGTACACGAGGGAAAATAAACAAGAAAGGAGAGCTCGACACGGCGAGGTGACTAAGCCAGAGGCTCCTCAAACGTCAGTCGTCTCCTAGCCACGCTGAGGGGTGTTCGGCCCGGCCCGGGCGTCCTCCACTGCTTCTGGGCTGGACTCGGCGTGATGTTGACAAAGTCGGCAAAGTCGAAGCCCTGTCCGGGAGTATTAGGGAACAGGTTGCCTCCGCCGGGGGTTGTCATCATCGATGAAGGCAGATCGAGTTTGCCATTTTTGGGAGGGGGCGTCGTTAGACGCTCCATTCTGCCTCGGTTGGACTTGACCGCCGGCGAAGGCGAGGCGGCCAGGTAGAGCAGCAGGTCTGCGCCCTCCTCGCCAGATTTGCCCCCGTTGGCCGACGCCAGGTTTTCTCTGTTTCGCTTGCTGCCAAGACTCCGAGTCTGCATGGGCGGCGTGCGGGGTGGAGAAGAGCGCAGGTTGGCGGCGCTAAACGAGTGCGTCGGGGCGTCGTCGTCGTCTTCGTCATCGGAGGGAGCAGCAAAGTTGGGCGACTTGAGGCCGTTGGTCATCCGCCGTTGCTTGAAGAAGGAAATGTCGGGTCCGCCAGACGTTGTAAAGTGGGGTAGTCGGCGAGGCTTGATGGGCGACGACTGTGCGAGCTGGTGGCTGTCCTTCCATGCCGAGTGCCCCGAGTGGGACTTGTGTGCGGTCGGTGATGCGCGGAAGCGCTTGCTGGGGCTCGACGACGAGTTTTCAAACGAGGCAAAGTAGGTGCGCTTGCGGTGACCGGAACTGCCGTTGCTGGACCCAACGGCGTCGGAAAAAATTGTTGCCTTGAGAGGCGAGCTCATCAGGGTCCTCGTGGGATAGGGCAGGTCGGATGCACTCGAAGACGAGTCGGAGAGGACGTCGCCATCGCACAGGCGCTTCCGTCTCATCTCCTCCTCGAGTTTCGGTTCGATGGAGTCGAGCGTAAGGTCTTCCCACCCGTGCTTGGTTTTGAACTGTGCGAGAGCGAGGCGATTCTGCAGCCGGCGTGCAATCTGTAACGAGCCGGTGAGTGCCTGCCAACAACCATAGTAGGGAAGCTGGTAATGAGGTTGGGGGAGAGAGGGAAAGGGGGTGGAGGCATGGTTTTTTTTCACGTGCGCAGGCAGACGAGGCCAGGGAGGCGAGGGCATGAAGAGTAGAGGTGGTGACGAAGGATGGGTTGAATATTCTGTTTAGACGCACCTTGCTGACCTGGGCCCGCTTGAGGACACTGTCGACGACATCCTCGGGCTGCTTCTTCCATGGGGACGACATGGCTGGCTCATGGGGTGAGTGGTTTAGATGTCATCTGCTGGTTTCTCGTCGGTGGCTTCGTCGTCGTGGTCGTGGTCGTGGTCGCCGCCGCCGCCGTCAAGGTTGAAGAAGAAGAAGAGACGGGAGTCGAGGTCGAGGGAGGGGACAAGCCGGAGGGGTGAGGCAAGGGATAAAGAGAAGTGTAAAAGCTGAGTGGGTGGAGTTAAGAGGAAGCCAGTTGGCTGACAGTTGGAGGAGGCACTTTGGCGGCTACGCCCAGAAAAACGCCGCCGTGGTTTTTAGTGGAGGAGCTAGGCAGGTACTGTACTCCCACAGGTCGTCTCCCGGTTGTCTGGCGGCGGTACCCACGAGTACTCCCTGGACAGGTGGCGGCGCAAAGAGGGAGGAATTGAACTGCGCGGTACCTCGAGAATACTTAAGCCTCGCCAGGCGCAACGACTGCAGAGCAAAAGAACGGCAGCCAGTGGTAACTTCCATGCTCCGTACGTGGCGGCAAGTTATTAGTACCTAGTACAACATGCCCTGGCGCTATTCATGCATTCGCACCTGAGGCAAATGGCTTCCCTCGACTTACTCGCGAGGAAGAGAGGCAAAGACATGTTGGAGGGGTTTTGGGAACCGGTCCGTTGGTGGTGGCTTTTGCCCCCTTTCATTCATCCCCCTTGTTCTTCTGTCTGTCCAGGAAGGCTCTAATAAGCATTCCTCCGCCGGGGCTCGGGCAAGCCGCCGTTCATTTAAGCGCTGGCAGTTGAAGTCGCGACGAGGTAATGAATGGATGACCGCGCTGTACGACAACATACAGTACACTCATAAGTCATTATATATCCTGTGCTGTGCCTGCCAAGCAAGGGCGCTGAGGCCGACCAAGCGCCTGTGGCCGGCAAGGTGCAATGCAGGGAGCCTAGTTGCCAAATCACTTGCGGCGTGGACTTGTGCATGAAGCCAAATCTCACATGGACTTTGGCTGCGGCAAAGCAAGCATCTGGGTTCCCCCCGGCTGCGCTGCATGGACGAAGGCCAGCACAAAGATGTGCGCGAACCGGGACTGTGAGCATCATCGACCTTCAGCGCAAACCCATGGGGGGAAATAGGTATTTCCATCAATCATCTGTCATGAAACCTGGCCCAGCCTGTCGCGAGTGCTTTCAGCAGCTGAACCGATTCCTCGCTCCACGCCGGTTCCAGCCAGAGCCGCCAGACCGTTCCTCCGACACTGTCCATGCGACCGCACCACCAGTCATGGCCGAGCCGCCATCTCTCACCCCTGTATCTCCTGATCGACTGGATGAACGGGCTCATCTCTGCTCAAGCCCAAGGCAGCCAACGCCCCGTTCCGTGTTTCCAAGCCCACATCTGGGGGGGAGGCGGGTATCGCGAACCTCTTGTCGCTATATTTATCGCCTTCCTCTGCCCGACGGCTCAGCCAGGCACGTGGAACAGAGTCCATGTGGTCAAGGTCTGCCAATTTGAGCTCGGGTCACCACCATTGATCTTCGAGCTGTTGATCGTTGCCACCGAGCTTGGTCACCACGAGGGACCGGGCGCGAGAAGCCCTGTTTCTATTGTTGAATCCGTTGGTACCAGACTATGCTCCGCACTCTTTGCATGGGACCAGACAACAAAGGACAAGCGCCCGTGGTGGTCCTGGCCAACGTGCAAGCTGGTCGAGAGGATGCCGAAAGCGGAATTGCCCATCATCCGGGCAGTACACCCAAATACGCCGACCGGGCCTCGTCACTAGCGATTGTCCCGCCAACCCCAATGCCCTGGAAGCGGCCTCAGGCAGGGACCGACAAGAAGAAATGCGGGTGGGATCCCTGAGGGAGCTCGATTCCAGCCAATTGCCCACGCATGCCCCTAGCAAGCTAGACGTTGGATGCGGCCGTTGTCAAGATCGAGAGGGACTGCCGGCCCGACTGTGATTAATCGGCAACCCTTGGAGAGCCCAGAGCCCCGGGCGGCGCATCCGAGGGTCTTGTCTCAGCGTGGCAACAACAGAACCCAAGTTTGATGAGCCAAAGCCAATGCGTGCCTTTAAAAAGCTAGCGGTGATTTGGCGCGGCGTGGCGGCCTCGAGCTGAGCTTGTCTTGTACAGTAGCTGCTGAGCTGGCCTCGGTGCATCCGGGTAGGGTCGCCTCCGGCGGGCGATTCTGGAACAGCTGGCTGACCTGGCTCACCGAGTGCTTTGCGCGGACAAAGATCAGCGCTGAAGCCTGCTGCTGCTCACGGCCAAAGGGGGGCCAAAGGGGGGGAGACGAAGGGCGAGGGAGGGGCGCAAAGGATTTCCCCACACTGTTGCGGGGTGGTGGTGGTGGTGGCGGCGCTGCTGCTGCTTGCTGCATGCGGCTGGATGATGGATGGCTCCTACCAATCTTTCTACCTACCTAAGTACAGTACTGTGCGTGCGCTGTCTACAGTACTCGGCCGGCCTCTAACCTACCTATCGTACGGAGTACAGTACAGCTTGCAGAAAGGGGCAGCTTAATTACCTAGGTATTACCCCGTATCGTACTCCGCAGATAAGAGACACAAAGGGCACCGCCGTGTGTTGGTTGTACTGTACAGCACTGTACATACTTACAGTACGAGCGAGATAAAGCCCATCGGGGCGCTGGTCGGACGGGAACTCGTCGAGCGTCTTCTCATCAAGCCACCCGCCCCAGAGCACTTGGAGGCAGTAGCCGTTGCAGCAGACAGACGCTGCGACGCGTGCGGTCGCACGGCATAGGTTTGGCAGCGGCCATCGAGCCATCTTGGCCACTGGTGACGACGAGCAACCACATGTCTTTCTCTGACAGTGTCCGGCTTGGCGGAGGCCAGCAAAGAGGAGGGCACGGAATACGAGCTGCCTCGTAACCGCCAATGCCTGCGAACGAGTCGCTTTTCCCGTCGGCTGCCTTCCCTCGACGGCAAGACTGCCTGCACCAGGGCCACGGCCGTGATATCAAGACACTGCACAAGAGCTGTTCTGGAACTGTGCATGACCAGACCGCAGCAAGGTGGCTGAACACGCCGAGGGGAAATTGTCCGGTTGGCTACCTGGCAACGTCGTGACAAGCAGCGATGCAGCACTTCTCAAAGCACCGCATGAGCCGCGCATTGGTGACGGTCGAGATCAGGAGCTCACGGTCGTGATGGACGACTGCGGTATGCGCCGTAGCGAGGCATCTAGCGTTCACGGCAAAGCCAGTCTTCATTGCTATCCCCTACCATTTCTTTAGTGGCACGAGCTTCCCCTGATTCCTACCAGCAAGCCGGGAGGGGGGTTCATCTTGGAAGCTCACCTTTTTCGTGCATGCACGAGGATTCGTACGTACAGTATGTAGGTATGCATGTAAAAGCTGGCAAGTTTCTTGCCGTCACGGCTGGGGCTTGAGGAGAACGACGTCATTGCCCCGGCCAACTGTCCGCACATGCTGGAAGCGCCGTTTCCGCTTTTCCACGGCATGGGTAGGTGGGTGGCTGGGCAGCTGGGGTGCCCGCCCAAAAGCAACGATATATCCGAGCATCCCACCACAACACGTCTGGGTAGCCCAGTCGGGAAACGCGGCCTTGGTTGCGGAGACAACGAGGCTGTCCCTCGTGCATGGAACTTGGCTTTGTCTACGGAGTACGGAGTACGGAGGATGCCCTCGTCAGTCATGACGGTGCTACTCTGCATATTGCAGCACCTGTCGCCGTGCTACGTGTACTGTACAATGCTGGCCACCTCTCGAGAGACTGATGCACCCTGCCTCCACCGTCATACTTGGTGCCCCGGGCGATTAAGCGAGGACATTTTCCCTCCCGTCCTTGCCAGTTCCTCAGCTCCAGATATCCAAGTCGACTGTATTAAACCTACGGTGATCCGGACCTAGCAGCAGCACTAGGAGCCGCAGCCGCAGCGGGTGGGACGCATGCAATCAGCTGGCTCTAGGCCACTGCAGTACCTACAGGCAGGTAGGTGCCTTGCCTCCTGCTGTACCTCAGGGATCCACCTCCAGATGTACTCGGGGCGCCTGCCTACCGCATCGAGGTACTTCGGTCGTGCCTTGCCATCGACCCTCCTCCACCTCCCGACCTCCCAGCTTGTACCTGCCCGCTTACCCAGGACGGGTACCTCTCGATAGCACGACGGGAAGCGCCTTGGGGGAATTCCGTCTCTCAAATCTCTCCGAACCGCCCCCCCCGTTTTCGCTACCTCATCAACCACGCCCCCGTTCGCCGTCGTCCTGCTCCTCTCCTCTTCGCTCCGGTCGCGCCTCCTTGCATGTCGCACTCGCTCCGTGCTTGTTGCTCACCAGCGGCCCTTCAGGTACTCTACCAATAGGCACCGGCTCCGACACTCACTCAGCCCGGCCTCCAATCGTCTCGGTCCACCACCTCCCTCCTGCGTGGCGGCCAAGAGGACGACGGCGAAGGCGGCGACGACGGCGAATCTCCAACACCAGCCGGACCCCCCCAAAACGCACCCCAAGGCCCTTGGGCCGGCCCTCGACAGCGGCGCTGCGCTACCCCAAGATATCCTGCTCCTCTCCTTCTGCGGGTCACGGCCAATAACGAATCTTCGCCGGCCCCCTCCGTCTCCGACCGTTTGGCTCCGCTCGCTCATCTCCCGTGTCAGGAGCCCGGCCCTTGCTACCACGACTCTCCGTGACATAATAACATACCCAGTCATCTTCGCCGACCATGGCTCCGAGCTTTCTGAATCTGAAAGAGCTGCGCCGTCGCTCCAGGGCAAGCTTCCGCACCGAAGCCTCGACCGATGGCTCAAGCGATGGCGTTGTGAGCCAAGGAACCTCGCCATCGAGCGGTTCCGTCACGCCTCCGTCCATTGCCCACCGTTCCGACCCGGCCCTCGACGCCCAGGTCAAGAATCATGCCAATGCCCAACAAGAGAGCCTCCAGCAGCAACCGCCGCGCTCCATGCTATCTACCAAGTCTAGGGCCGGAAGGTACAGCGTCTCTGGCATGACTGGCCTCGGCTCTCCATCTGTGGACGGCAAGAGCGGCTTGCCGTTGTCCAAGTATGCGCCACGCGTGCACAATGTCTCGGAAAACTCGTGGGTGCGTATTGTTAATGCATCTCTCTTCCGCCCGCCGCACTCCCTCGCATTGCGGCGCTCTCTCGCCCACATTGGAGCGAGTCGGCCGAGGCACAACTATCGCTGACGTCTAAAATGCGCAGGTCTATCAAAAGGTCCTCTTGGTCCATGGAACCGTTGGAGATCCAGGCCTTAATCCAGTCGACGGCACCATTGTTGCGAGCAGGCTCGACGACAGTTTCCCGCCAATCAGCTGGCCAGTGTGCGAATCGCATTTCAAGGCCCTCCTTTACCTGCAGCCTGGGCCAAACAAGTTCAGACTCGACTTCTCGAGCCCCAAGCTGGCCAACAGCGCCTCGTCCAACCCTATCCACGCCTCCTACCTGACTGTTCACATGCTGCCGACCCTGAATGCACCCCCACTCCAGCTTGCGATTCTCTTGGGCCGCGATTCCCCGGCGACCTTTGATGCTGTCCCCGCAAGGGCGCAAAAGGAGGGTAACGGGCTCGAAACAGCCATCAAGAAGTTTCGAATGGCGGCCTATCTCTGGCAAGCCTTCACGGCCGAGCAGATGTGGCGAAACAGGCTGGGCCGACGTGTCTTTCGCTTCGAGGAAGAGTGGACTTTGGGATCCTCTAATTACCGCGACAGGGAATCTGGAGGAATGCGATCCGAGGCGAGAATCCACATCATCCGGTCCGACAAGACCGTTGCCGAGCTGCGGGACATGAACAGGGCGCAACAGAACGAACAAGCTACCGACAAGGACGCCCTCTTTGGCATCGCCGCCGATGCAGTGAACAAGTATTTTAATCCGCTCCCAGGGCAAAAGATTTACGCCTCTGTTCTCTTGCTCGACTCGCACTGGGACGCCAACATGAAGACTATCACTGGGCACGCAGCCTTGGGCGGGAATTCGGGAGACCTGCAACTCGCCATCTTCGGCTCTCATTGTATGCACAGCTATCCCACCTGCTTCGAGGAAGTGGTGCCCGCCTTCACCGATTGCACGCCCATCGACGTCAGCTGCGTAGCCAACGACTGCAACGACGCCGGCAGCTCATGGGAGGCGGCCAACATTGGCATCGGAGCTCACCTGCACGAGACCGGTCACTTGTTTGGCTGCCCACACCAGGAGACTGGCATCATGCTGAGAGACTACGTCGTTCTCAACCGCACCTTTGTTCCTCGCGAGGCTTATTCGACCAGGACCAAGTCCAAGGGCGGCCTGGCTCTGCAGGCCGACGAGTGCGGATGGCACCGGCTCGACGTTTTGCGTTTCCGAGCCCATCCCGCCTTCAGGCTACCAAGCGACCCCCCGATGAATCCGGATGAGAGCGTCCAGGCGTTTCCGATTGACGGCGGCGGTATAACGGCCATGGCGGCAACAGGCATCTCGTTTGTCGAGATATATGGCGACGACGACGACGTCTGTGGTTCGTGGATGGAATTTCCGCTAGAACAAGGCCCCGTGCAGCGGCAGATGGCTCTTCACGAGCAAGACTTGCGGTCAAGGTTACCCGACGCCAAGAAGAAGGGCCGCCTCGGGATATCGATCAAGTCACACGGCGGCGGATCACTGACGATAAATGACATGAAGGCGTTCACCAGCAAGCCGTCGTTTGTAAAGATTGGCAATGGCAAAACGGCTTCTAGGAGCCACAAACTTGGCGAGTCCAAGATGGACGGGAGCGAGCCCCAAGAGCTGGTTTTTACCAGCGCGGTCAAGCAGGATAGAGTAATGTCGCGAGTCATTGTCTACCACGGTTCCGCATTGGACGGGCTCGAGTTTGTCTACGACGACGACTCGACGCAGGTGTTTGGAAAGAAGGGCGGGAAACAGGGGGGCGACGTGGTTGAGTTTGGTGAGTGTCACGCCGTGCACTACGTACGACCTGGGACATGCGCTGACGAAGCTGGTAGACCGTCGCCGCGGGGAATACCTGAGTGGCTTCATCGTCCGGGCCGGCTTCTGGATTGATGGTTTGCAGGTCATGACGAGCCTCGGACGAAAATCGCCCATGTTTGGAAACGCCCACGGCGGATCAGCGTACGTGGGAAGTTGACGGGCAGTGGGGAGTCGAGAGCTGACATTACTCATGCAGGCACACGTTGATACCCCCTCGAGGCTACGCCATCTGCGGCCTCTCGGGGTCATGCGGCCCTTGGGTTGATGGCTTTTCGATCCTCATCAAGCATTAGTGAAGAGGTGGATGGGACTGAGAGACGGCTTTCTCCGGTTGACAGTATTGTTTAACAAGGTACATAAGTGGGTATGTATACGAAGGTCGTGGCAGGGACTTGGGGTCAGACGAGTTCATCATGCAGCATTCGATGCCCTTGGCTGGTGGGGGGCGGTAACGACATGACTGGGGATGGAGCCCATCCCCCCTTTCCCTCCTATTTTCCTCTTTTTTTTATATACAGCATGCATCAGCAGGAAACTCGATGGCAGCTGCAAACGCGACACGGAGCTAATCACATCAAGGGTGCTACGGTGCGCACGTTGCGGAGCATACGCAGGGTCAGATTCTGGCCCGGATGAGGAGTTGGGGGACATTGTATTAGCAGCACCATAATGAACAGCACGGAGACAGAGAACACGAGACGGTCATCAGGAGACGAGGGGTGAAAATTGCTTGTGTGATTGTCGGTGCAACGTGGTGTTGGAGCCGCGTTTGCGAGCGAGAAGACGTCGAGCAGGGTGAGGCGATGCCCATTGGTGGCTGCTTGCCGGACTCGTCCTACACGGGGACTGGATGAAGACGACCCGACCAAGGCAGTGAAAAGCCCGGGGTCAGACGCGTCCAACAACTTGGGCTAGATGCTTCGGAGCGCAGGGAGGAGCTCAAGCCCATGACTCTTGAAGTCCACGCCGCCCTCTTGCGACGGCCAGGTACTCCGAATGTCAAGCCTGTCACATATTGGACGATCCGGCCGATCCCTGGCAACTCATGGCATGCATGGCCACCATCCGAGAGCCCCAGACCAAGGCTCGATGATGCATGCTCGAGGAGGAATGTATGCTCGTGTGTGCTACATGAGATGAAACAGTAAACATCAAAGCTCGTCCTATCGTGCCGGGATGCCTGTTGGAAGTGCTTGGAATTGGGAAAATTAGAGGGGTTTATATCTGGATTCGTCCACGTGCGATAGATGTGAGACATTACATGTCTCTTGCTCCTGAGCGTCCCACAACGGATCTATAGATCCTGGTGCACTTTGAACAGGTTCGCATAGATGTGGAGGAATAGCACACCGGATAACAGTATAAGATATTTCCAGCAAGGCATGAGTTGTCGATCATGCTCGATGGCTTGCTTGTCTTGGCCGTCGAGTTTCAGGTTTCAAGTTTGCGCCTCTTGGGAACCGCTCCATGGCCTCGTGGTAGTCTTGGCAGCATATACTTACCCAGGCGCCACGTCGGCGTGGAAACAGTACTCACGACAAGCATCCCGTCTTTGACCCGAGTATCCACCGCACAGAGTCTCGAGATCGTGCATAATGTAGAGCTCCTGCTCCTGAACTGGAGCAGCTGAGTATACCGGCATCGTCCTTGATGAGTGTGCCATATACGACTTCCCTAAGTGATGGGCGTTCAATCGATGCGGTTCCATTTTGATAGATTCGAGCCATACATGTAGCTATAAGACGAGCTCATGTTCTCCCAATATTTCGAGAGCCTGATACCCATGAACAGCCAGAGCAACTTCTCGGTCTCCTGACGCAAGTATGCGATGGGTTCGTTTTAGTCTGGCCCTCCCGCTTCCCGGGCTGCGCCGCAGATGCTCCCGGCCCAGGGACCGCCGGCACGCTGTTTGATTTCAACGGCATCGATGAGTTGCCTGACTTGCAACCTCCGAGTAGCAACGGGCCTTCTCCGCTTGGTCTATCCGGCGGTGGGCCAGACGACGACGATTTTTCTCCTCTTAGGCTAACCAGCGGCGGGCCAAACAGCGACCCAACTGGGCCAACCGACAGAGAGCCAGCCAGCCCATTCCCCGATCCCTCGAATACTCCGAACAGTCTAGAGGCGGACTCGAGCCCCTCGGACGACCAGGGCGATTCGACGTCTTCCAACGACATCCATGGCAGACTCCCTGCAGGATATCGTTAACGGATGGTACAGTGAAGAGAAGGTCTTCCAGAAATACTATGGCAAGAAAACCAAGGGCCAGATTGACGCACAGAGCGCGCCGAGATCGTCGGGCACTTTGCTCAGGTCGTCTGGAAAGACACGACGCATGTCGGCTGTGCCGTCAAGGAATGCCAGAAGATTACAGACTCCCAGTCAAAGGACATGAAGTCGTCAGTGCCCCAGGGAAGGTTGGTTGCGTGCCAATGTTGGTTTCGAGGTGCGTTTTTCGACGCTTCTACTGGCCCCCCGGCGACTAACCTCGACTTGCTTCAGGCAATTAACCTGGCCGGTTTGATACCCAGGTGCTCCCGCCCAGGCTCGCGAATGTGTACAGTCGTTGTTTTGGGTAGATCATTCATTGTGCCGCCGATGACGGCTGGTTACCTGGGGCATAAAGGAGGAAAAAGTGTAATGCCCAGGTATAAGAGACTTTCAAAGTTTTGGCGTCGTAATTATACCAGCATCTGCTTATTCAGCAGGTCGCGTACCCATGTACCCATATACCCAGGTACCGAAGTACCGAAGTACCGGAATCCCGTCAAGGTACCCGGTACATGCATCAAGACAATCAATCATCCCCTCCGTCATTCGTCACCGCCTTGCTCCAAGAGTCTGAGAGCCCATACAGCAGCTCCTCCCAAACCCTTCGCTCCCTCAAGCCAGCCCCCCTCAACTCCACCATCCCCCATCTCCAACACCCGCCATCACAGCCGTCAGCCCTCCTCCCCCTGAGAAACCATGTCGAGGAGAAGCAGCGCCATGGCTACCAGCTCCAAGGACACCCCCGTCGCCCAGCAGCCCGGTCAGTCTGCTCCTCAACAGGCACTCCTCTCCAACTGCTTCATGGCTGACAAGACTTAGCTATGGACAAGCAAAAGACGCTGCTCTCGGCCGACGTTGGCCACTTTTCTCTCGTACGCGCCATGCACCTGGCCGATTTAATCACCCTCATGAATGGTACGTCCGCCTCGCCGCTGCATCGTGCCGTGCCGTCTGCTAACGCCATGCCTTTTCGCCTAGGCTTCTGTGGCGTCATGTCCATCTTCTCGTCGCTGCGGTACTGCCTTGGCGACCCAAAGACCCTCGATAATGTCTGGCTGGCGCTCGCCTTCCTGCCCTTTGGCCTGTTCTTCGACTTCTTCGACGGCAAGGTCGCCCGTTGGAGGAACAAGAGCAGTCTCATGGGACAGGAACTCGACTCTCTCGCCGACTTGGTATGGCCCTCATCCCCCATGGCCTTTGCAGCCGCACCCCCCTCCGCTATCGAAGCTAACAGGCTCCCTCCCCGCAGATCTCGTTTGGTGTCGCCCCGGCCATGGTCGCCTTTACCCTCGGCCTACGCTCCCGCCTCGACACGGTTGGTCTCGCCTTCTTCGTCCTCTGCGGCCTCACCCGCCTGGCCCGCTTCAACGTGACCGTCTCGGTACTTCCCAAGGACGCCACCGGCAAGAGCAAGTACTTCGAGGGCACCCCCATCCCCACGTCCCTCGGCGTCGATGCAATCATGGCATACTGGGTCTACAGCGGCTGGATCTTGAATGACCTGCCCTTTGGCGCGTGGTTCCAGGGCTCGGCCTTTGAGTTTCACCCCGTGGTGCTCATGTTTATGCTGCACGGGTGCCTCATGACGAGCAAGACCATCCGCATCCCAAAGCCGTGAGAGCTCTCAAGACGTCTGCGCCCACTCCGGGCGGCAGGCAGGGAGTCGGAGGACACGGCGGATCCGGGCGCACTGAGGCGGCCCGAGTCGTTGGCTGACACCCCCCCGACTCGCAAGCGCACATATGACGAGACGCCCGTCGACGCCGCGGCGTCACGGCCGGGTCTTGGTAGAGAGGCGTGCATGAGATACACAGGCGCAGGCAGGCTGCATCGGTCAGGCGGGCGTTGTGCTCGGGGGTTTCCCTTTCTACTTGGACTCGAGATGAGGACCTGGTCGGCGGACATAACACGATTTTACGCAGCTCACCGTAACCGGAATTGAACATGATACCCTGCTATGAACCGACCGTTACCCTGCGAGCCCTGGCACAATGTCATCTTGCAAGTAGCCACGGAAAGTGAAATGAGATTGACTACTGAACGAGGAAGCACAGCCAGGTATCCATCCCTAAAGAAACTCGACATCGAACCAGCCTCCAACTGCGGTACAAACAACCGCCTGCGGCGCCCGCAGGCAGCCTACTTTCCCTCCACGACATACCAAACACAAAATAAAGAAGCGCTGTTGTCAGCAAAGAGAACAAAGAGAAGCAGATGACGTAGGGGACAAGGGAAAAGAGACAAGGCTCCGTTCGTACACGGTGACGCAAGGAGACAGCAGAAAAAACGAGGAGCCTCGAGTGCATGCCCAGCGTCCCATCCAGGGGCTGAGCAGCAAAAGGATTATCCAAAACGACCACATCCGCGCCTCAAGGCGAGGTGGCCCCGCTCCCCTTGGGGTACTTGCCAGGCATAGGCAGGTTCGAGAGCGTGGCCACGCTGTCCGCCCTCGTCTCCGTCGGCCGCTGCGGCGTGGGCTTGTCCGTCAACGAAGTGTCGCCTTGCACCACGTGATCGACCGTCTTGGCCTCGGGCACCGATTGCAGTGCTAGTTCTTGGTGCGTCTCAGACCTGGGGATGCTGCCAGCCGTCATGCCAACAACTCTTTGGTTCTCGCCTTCGATTCCACCATTGACGTAGCTGACGCCGTTCAAGTCAAACGGGCCGTGGCCGTTCTGGCCGTTCTGGCGCCTCTCGTAAGCCTCAACTTCGTCATCCACCTCTCTACATTCTTGGGCGTAGCCCGGGTTGCTACGCCCAGCCGTCGCTGCTTTCTCACTCGGCTCGTAACGAGCCTGGGACGCGACGATGGGAGCAGCAAAGTAGCCGCTAGCTTGCTGCGCCTGGGGGTATTGGTGAGCGGGCTCGCTCGTGTATGGGTTGACGCCGTCGTTGTATGCCTCTTGGCTAGCGATGGCTGCCTGTGATGGCATCTCGTCCATGGGAGTCAGTGCGGTTCCACCATATCCCATATGGGCATCCTGATCACGGCTGCGGTCCTGCTGTCCGTGGCTTTCGACCGCATAGGCGGCGGCCGGCGCGACTCCGGAGGCGGCCATCGCTCGGGCATCCAGCGGGTACTCTTGGCGACCAGAGCTTACACTAGAGGGTGATTGAGCGGCCTGTAAGCCTCGCTGCGCGTTGACTTGAATGTCTGACGGAAACCGCCCACCTGGTTCGGGCCTCCGGGACGCGGGCTCTGGTCGTGGCTCCGGGGCGACATCCATCTGGCTGGCCGAGAATGGCTCTTCGTCGTCCTCGTCGACCATGCCGTCGCTGCTGGCCGACCGCCGAGAGGACTGGCTCATGCTTCGGGAGTGAGTGCGCACAAACTGGCTGCGTTCCTCGGGCGTTTTCTCCGTCAGGGCCTTGATGTCCTCGTACCAGGCCATCATGGTATCGTGGCTTTCGGCTCGGAATACCCAGGTGTGTCCTCGGTGCATCGTGCCCGTTTGGCGACCCTTGAGGACAAACTTGTTAGATGACCCTCCCTCCGTCGAGTGCGACCCCAGCTTTTGCTCCGGAAGATAGAGCGACATGACGGGTGCCTGGGCCTTGTCTGCCGACTTGAACTCGTGCAGATGTGTGGTCGAAAGCACGTACCTGAGAAATTGGAGTGCTAGAGTCAGCGAATAATGCCCTTGCGCGAGAGCCACTCGGCCTGAACGGGGAAGAGTACGAACCAGCCTGCTGTGTAGCTCTTGAGATATTTGCTCTTGCGCTCCAGGAGCCCGGCGCGAATCTCCTGGGCGGAGACATGATCCTGGCCAGGATAATGAATCTGTTCTGGGGACCGCATGGGGATGGTGGGGTCGACGATCTGATCGTCGTGGGTCACAAAGTGAATCCATTCCTGGTCCTTGGGCATGGCTATGGGCCCGTCACGCAGCTCCTCGATGACGTTGTAAGCGTTGTCTGCCTCGCGCTTCAGAATTCCGGTGTAGGCATTGTAGGCCTTTTGAATTTCGCCAACCACAATGGACTCGAGCTCGCGGCCCGAGCCTTCGAGATTGAGGTAGGCCTGGGGCTACAGTTAGATACCAGACAGCCATATGTGGGCGCAGCGGTGGCGGAAGGAGGAATGTGCGAGGGAGGCGGCTTTCGGCGGCTTTCGGGGCGCGGGAGTGAGACTAACCTGGTGAAGATAGTTCTCCTCGTCAACTTGGCGCTCGACCTGGCGATCTACGGCCAGACGCAGCAGGTAGGGATCCTGCTTGCCAGTGGTGGAGGCAGAATCGACCTCGTTCTTCTCAAGAGCGTCGGCGAGCGTCTTGACGGCCTTGCGTGTGCTATCCATTTCGCGATCCACCGAGTTCTTGAAATCGCCGGAGAGGTGCTTGATCTCCTTGATCTTTTGCTGGAGGTCACTGCGCAGGCCGGTGAGGGCCAGGATGACGTCCTCCTCAATCTCCTTGGCCTTGTTGGCCTCTTGGATGGCGGCGGTGTTGTAGTTGCGCAAGAACTGCAGGGCATCGTCGAGGCCGGCCGTCTTGAGGAAGCTGGGAGGGGTGGAGATGTTGTTTGCGACGTTTGCGAGCTTGACAAGGGACTTTGAACGGTGCTCGTAGTGGGATTGAATCTCGCGAAAGTAGGCGATGAGGTCCTTAAGGATCTTTCTCCATGCTTTTTGCCAGGGAAGGTCAACTCGCGAAATGACGGGGGGCTGGGGATAATAATGGGAGTGCGTGACCTACTCTGGAATCGACCGGCAAGCACGTCCGTCGGGGTGCCGGAGGTGGGAACGGGGCAGTAGAAGGCGCTCGATGCATCGTCGGGATCCGACGAGGATTGGAGGGCGAGGCTGCGGACGCTGCCGGCTCTGTTGCTGCGACGGCTGCTGCTGCGGCGCATGCTGCCGGTGCGGCGCATCGATGCCTTCTTTTTAAGGGTATTGCCCCTGGCGAGGGCCAGCTGCTGGTCGTCGCCGGCGGAGTAGCTGTGTATGGAATTGGAGCGCTGCATGTCGGCTGCTGGCCTGGAGGCGGTGGCAGGGCCGTCAATGATGGAGCTGCCGCGCTGGGTGGCGTCCCACTCCTCGGTGAATTTGCCGACAGCGGCGGTGAGATGGCTGTTGGAATCCAGGGACGGCGGCGGCTGTAGATGCTGCTGAGGGGGAGGAGAGGCGGGCGGGTAGGCGATGTCGGGCTGATGACGTTGATGATGTTGTTGGAGATGCGGCTGGTCGAGGGAGATGCGGTCCGAGTTGGATTGGGGTGGGGTATGACGCGAAGGCGGCGGGTGGAGCTGGGGATCCATGATGACGGCGGTGGCCGCCTCCACGAAATGGATTTGTTGTGCTTCTTTTTCCTTTTCTTTCTCTCTTACCCAATTAGGTGAGTGCACGAACCAACCACACACCGAGGTTTCTGCGCCCGACGATGGCTTCGGCGACAGAGACGGTGGAGGGAGGCCCCTCTAGTGCGAGCGAGATGGGGAGAGAAGCAGAAGCAGAGCTGCGGAGGGAGAGACAAACACATACATACATACACACACACACACACAAACACACACACAGGAGAGAGAGGCGCAGAGACTCACAGACTCAGAGAGGGGAAGTGTATACGTACTATCCATCCGTACTTGGCAGTTGGGGAGGCGGGCAAGAGGTACCGAGCTCGATACGTGGAACCAGAAGGCGCCCTTCGCAGGAGCGAGCAAGCGTCTCTGGCGGGATGACGATGATGCCAAGCCAGAGAGCTAGGTACCTAGGTACAGTACCTAGGAAAACACTCGTACCGTCAAAGTACCTGAGAGTTGCATTCGCAACCACGGACAGCACTTTGTCGACCGTTGCTCCCGCTTTCTCCTCGATCGGGGTACGAATGTAACTATCAAGGCATGTATTTTGGCTGCCACTTGCATCTTGATATTTGGATCGACCTCGAGAGACGCTCTCATTCCAAGTGCGCGCCTTCAGGGGACTCGTGTGTACTACCTTAGGCACCTACCAGCCTAGGTACCTAGGTAGGTAATGTAGCGGGTAGGTACGGAGATACTTTGGCGCCATTCAGACGGGACCCTGCCCCATGCGACTGTCGATTGTGCATTGGATGAATGAGCATGCCAAGACCTCTTCCATCGACACTGCATCATCCCTCGAGGCCCAAAACGCACCCAGTTGGTACCTCACAATGACGCCCGCCTTTATATTCGTACATCTATCTTCTCTCACAATCCTTCTCTCTCATTTGTTGGTCACAACACGCAGCTTGTGTGCCCCGCCCGTGCAATCACCTCCAACATGGCAAACCTGCTGCCTACCATTGACCAGACATGTCCATTGACACACTCGAGGCGCAAACATGGCACCATGGTCAGATGCCTCTGCCGAGGTCCCGCCCGCTCCAAGTGCCGGCGGCCCCGATTGTGCTCGGACGCGAGCTGTCGTGACGTCACGGCTCTCTAGGCCCAGCTGAGTCGTGTGGGGGAAACTTCAGCTCCCATGGTCAACCCGTCCGCGACTCGTCGCTAATAATAAAGTGCCAAGCCGGCAAATGACCAGGTTGGGTGCTTGCACTGTGCCCTTTGCACAATCCGTACATTAGCTATCATGACCAAAGACGCCCTCCGCACAGTGCGCGGCCGATATCTATGTATACCGGCCTCCGCCACCAGGCCCAGACAGACCAAGAGACGGACGTGCCCCAGGCCGAACGAAGCACAATCTCCAGGAACCAAAGACCCGTCTCGTCCGGTGAACGCTGAGTGCCAACGGTCGGGGTTCGGCACTTGGTGTCCCGCCCGGAACCTGCCGAACCTGCCGAATCCCTTTGGCCTGTGGCTGCCAAGTCCCTGTACCTGCCGAGGGTCCGTCCCTCCGGTGTTGCCGACGCCAAGTGCCTTCGGAGCATCTCGGCGTCGAGGCCGGCCGGGTCGCTGACGAAACAATGCAGGCCGCTTCACCCCTCTGTCTGAAACACAAGCAGACTTGGGATAAAACACATAGGGCATGACTTATCGTGTTAACAGCCACTGCTACAGCGGCTCATGCAGCTATTTGCATCTACTAGCCATCGAGACTCAACAGCTGGACATAACCAGCAGTCCCCGCAGGCCCGCAGGCACCCTGCCTTGTGAGCCCACTCGCTTGCATCGGCATATCCCTCCCTGCCTCTCGGATAAGTCCCTTGGTCTCATAATTGATCGAGCCCAACAAGGGGTATGCAGGTAGTAGCTGGTGCCGTGCCGCCCAGTCCGGCATCACGCTCGCTTTGGCGCCTTCTTTCCAGGAGCCCTATGTGGAATGGCCCAGTCATCCTTCTTCATAGTCTCCGGAGCATGACTCGCAGGCGGAACTCGATAGCTCCATGCTCGTCGCCTGGCACTTTGGGCCCGCGCCTCGGGGCCGACTTTAGACTCGATGACGCATCTAATGGGAGTTCCCCGTTTCTGTTCTCCCCCTCGCCCTCACTCTGGCATCGTCGGCCCGGGGGGTGGCTGATCAATCGTCTTGACCCTGCCGATTCGCCGCGGCGGCGGCGCTTTCGGGGGTATCTTCTTGCCGCTCCCGTTGACGTGCCTCTCCGTTGGCGGCTGTGTGACCCGAGTGCCGTGCCGATGCCTTGGCACGGCCGGTAGGGGCTTCTTAGTCTTGACTGCGGCCACGACTTCCTCCTGCGACGGCGTATCGACAGCGTCCTTTGCCCCAGAGTCGCCTCCATGCCGACTTGGTGTCTGGACGCCCGGCCTCTCCCTTACGCCCGCCACGTCGCCGACGCTCACGCTACTTGCGCACTGTGACGGCGACAGGCTGATGCCGAGTATCTTGCGTGCCACCTCGGCCTGTCCGGATGACTCCTTGTCCTCGCTCGACTCCCCCGCGAGCCACTGAACCTTGGCTACTCGGTCCACCAAGCGCAGCGTCGTCTCGTCGGCCGGGGCGAAGTGGGCATTGTGCGAGCCGCGCAGGATTCTCAGTACCCGAAGCACCTCGTCCCGTTTGTAATGCGGCGATTGGTTGAGCTGCGTATGGGCCAGTAGCGGATACATGACCCTGAGGTAGGTATGCCGCAGCGACATCTTCTCGTCTGGCAGGTCCATTAGATTGCGGATGATGACGTCTAGGAGCACCTGCAAATCGTTTGTATAAAAGTACTCGTATGTGGTTTTGGTGGTGAACAGCAGATAGAGAAGCTTCAATATCAGAAGCTGAAGGGACGTCTCGGTCTCGCGGTTCAGGAGCAGGATGATGTTCTCCCCGAACGTACGAAACAGGGGTCCGTGGAGGCTCAGACACTTGACGATGCGGTTTGTCAGTTGGGCCGGACGAGGACCGTCATCGGCGGCCGAGTCGGTCGACGCCAACATGTATTGCTCGTTGAGGACGAGCTACCGCTGGTCAGCATCCGGGGCGAGGCCGGGTGCGCTGCGCGGGACACTCACCAGGACTCGTATCGTGGGGTAGTGGTAGGGGTCCTGTACGTCGTCGGACATGCCCTCTATGGCACCGAACAGATGGTGGATAAAGCCGTCGTCGACGAGCATCAGGTCGTCGACCTTCAATCGTTCTATCCGCGACATCTCGTACATGAGCTGCAACAGCAGTCGATGCAGGCGCGGGTCGTTGTCGGCGCGGTGCGCGTTGATGAGTTCCAGCAGGCGAGAGAAGCAGGCCTCGTCAACCATGCGCGGAAAAGCCGACTCGTCGTGACGGCCGTCGAGAAACAGCAGACAAGCGATGGCGTGCAGCGGGCCTGCGTCGTCCTCCTGGAGAAGGCTGTGGATGATTTGGGTGCGGATATAGTCTTTGTTGGCGTCGAAGAGCTGGCTCTCGAGCAGCATGTGGGCACAGCTCGTGACGTCGTCTTGAGCGTCGGGGCTCCCATGGCATATCCTAGTCGTCAGGTCCAGCCATTCGCGCAGCGCATCGTCGATGGACTCGTGGCTTTGGCATTCGGTCGACAGGCATTCGCCGACTTCTGTGGGGGCCATGTCAGCTCGAAACTGCAGTCTCTATCCAAGCCGACGACATACCTGCCCACAGTCGCCTCGAGTCGTCGGCGGAGAAGGCCTCCTCATCGAAGTCGGCCATGGCTGCTTGTGGCTTCCCGGGGGTGCGGCGGCGACTTCATCGGGCCTCCGGTGGCGGGTACAAGGAGGCCGACGGGAAGAAAGCACGGCGGGCGAGGCTGGCAATGTATGGACAAAGGCTGCTGGCCTGTGGTTTGAAGTCAACGGTGGAAGTTGGTCGCGACTCAGGCTCCCGGGGGGGGAAGCGTTTAGGGGAACCGGAGGCTAGACGGATGTGGGGGCAGTGGTCCGGGGTGGTGACTGACTATTACAGCACCCGCCGAGCTCGGCTGGCACTGGCACAGTGGCAGTGCCGCAGTGCCACCGGGACATGGCAGGCAGGGGTCTCGGAGCGCCAAAAATACAAAGTCATTTTATGACGACAGGCAGCAGTTGCCTACGACGCAGAGCAAATTTAGCGCACTCTCAGGACTACACCGAGGATGCCCATCGTCAAAGTCCCATCCCGTCACTCCTTGTCCGAGGGTATAACCATCAGCTCTATGCACCAGCGCCGCCAACACAGGATCCTCCAAAATCAAACGCCAGAACCCCCATGGGAAACCCACGGCCCGCCTCCCGCCCCACCGCAAGACAGAAGCAGGAATCAAGCAAGAGAAAACCAACAACCGCCGCCAATGCAACCGAGAGAGTCCCGACGAGTCGCCGACATTTGGCCTCCTACTCGTCGTCGTAAACCTTGACCTTGGCCGCATACTCGCGGATGTTGCTCGTCACGTAGTCCGTAATCGTGTCGCCCTTGCCTGCCGCCACCCTCAGCACAAGCTCGTTGAGGTGCTGCCTGCCGAGAATGTCGACGTGGTCGGCCGTGTTGGGTCCGCCTCGCGGGTTGAAGCGTTCTGGCTCATGGGGCATCTCCACCACGACAATCTTGGACCCCCCGGGGTTGTACCGCTTCATGTGCCATCCGCGGTTGCACATGTAGCCCGTGCTCAGCAGGTTGACGGTGCCGTCTCCCTCGCCCAGTATCACGCCCCGATCAACCGTTCCTTCGGTGAGGCCTGTGTCGATGGTGATGTTTAGGTTGGTCGTCGCGGGCTGGTCCGGGGCTCGGTAGAAGTAGGCCCGCTCTGTGGGCTTGCCGACGCCGTAGAAGCAGTAAATCTTGAGGTTCGGCGCTTTGGGAAGCTTCGTCTCGAGCGGGTTGATCCACTTCCTGGGGTCTTGTTCGTTGGCCTCCACCTCGGCCGCGGTATGCGCCACGCCGTGAGAATAGCTGCCCTTTATCTGCTTCTGGTACCAACCCTCGGTTGTGTCGAAGAGATAGGCGAGGGAGTCGTCGACGGTCAGGTTCTTGGCCGGAGTCGTCCAGTTGGAGCCGACCTTGAAGTTGAGCAGAGAGCCGTACGAGAGTGGCTGGCCGGGCTGGTCGTCTGGCGCCCAGTCCAAGTCTCCCCAGACGGCGTTGCCTCCGAGCGGGAGCATGGATGAGATGCCCGGCATGGCCCGGAAGATGTCGGCGCGCTCCTCCTTGCTCAGGAACTTTTCTAGGCCGTATATGGCAAAGGCGTTGAGCTGGGCCGTGTCGCGCATCTCGCCCGACAGGACGGCCGTGAGGCCCTTGACGGCCCCGAGCATGCAGCCGCTGATGTTGATCCATGAGTCGACGTGGCGGTCCACCCAGTCCTCGCCGCCGCGGCCGCCCTTTTCCGACTGGACCCAGTGGAAAAAGTAAAAGACAACCTGGCTACCCATGCTGTGCGAGGCCAGCACCACCTTCCTACCGTCAAAGGCGATGGCTGTCTCAATGTAGGACTTGAGGCGGGAAAAGTACTGGTCGCGCACCTCGAGGTTGGGATACGACAGGCGCCAATCGTAGGCGGCCGTGAAGGAGTTTGTGGGGTCGTAGCCAATGGTGGCCAAGTTCTCAAAGATCTTGTTCCAGATCCAGTAGCCGGTGATGAAGAAGTCGGTGGCGTCGAAGCCCTGGGCGGCGCGCAGCTTGACCATGGGCGGATCGAGGCCGGTGCGTCTGTCGAGCATGATGTGCCTCTTCCACGTCTCCTTGTCGAGGACGAGAGCTCTCATCATGGTCCAGCTGCCCCAAAGCCGCTTCCTGAAGTATTGCCTCGAGATGTTTGCCGTTCCCCACGACTCGAGGCCGGTGGAGATGACGCCGGGGATCATGATCATGGGGTGGTGGGCATCCAGGCCCTCGGCGCGGGCCTTGAGTCCAACGGAGAAGGAGTCGTACGAGTCGGTCACTTGGCGCTCGCCTTGGACGAGATCCCGCATGTCGCGCACGAGGCCGGCCGGCAGGACGTCGAAGATGCTGTCCATAGTGAGGTCGCCGAGCTCGGGGAAGACGATGAGGTCATTGTTCTTTGCGAAGAAGCCGGCGACCACGAGGCCGCAGATGCTGCCGAGGAGGAAGATGAGCGTGGTCCGGCGCTTGCGTGTCTTTGTGACGTGCTCGACAACGTGGACATGGGCCGTCGGCTGCACCGCCGGGCTCTCGTCGCGGGCGGGCGCGTCGTCGTCGTCGTCTGGGACAGGCGGTGTCTCTGGCGGGAATCGGCGTCGCAACGAGGTGGCCATGGCGCGGCCGGCCCTTTTGTGCCTTGTCTTTTGGATCTGTCTGTGTCGGCGGCGCGCCAGGCCGGCGAGGCCGGTAGAGAGTCGCTTTGGGAGAGGTGACAGGCACGGAGAGCGAGACGGATGAGGTGTGGAGGGGACGGCACGATATGCCTAAGACTGGAGAAGCTCTCTGCGACGGCAAAGGAGGAGGACGGGGGGGAAGGGGAAGAGCAGGGGCAACAGGGCTTTGTAGCGACGGGCAATCACGAGCAAAGGATGATGATTGGAGTTGTAATGCCGCATTCGGCCGCGACTTTAACTAACACAAGTCCAGCGGGGCCTACCGCAGGACGTGACGTGGGAGGCTCTTGCCGGAATTGCACGTGCAGGCACCGTGCGGTTTAAGCCAGGTAACTTACCTGTCTTATCTCGATAAAACACCCGTCATCGCCGTCTCGGCCTCGGCCTTGTGCGTCGAGGTACAGACTACAGCGCCGTAGATAAATGGTACTTTCTCATCCCCGGACACGAGACTCCAGATCGGGAGCTCTGCGAGTGTCGGAGCTCGAGGTACTTTTACCTGGACTGGGGAGACGTTGCCTGCATTCCTCGAATCCTCCCTCACATTGCGGCGGCAAGCCTTGCGTGACCGAAATTCACATGTGATTGTCATGTACCTGTACTTGGAGCCGCTGCACCTCCATTCCTCCGCCCAGCCCTAAAATAAACCTGACAGCCGCCTTTGTGCTGCCCTTCGTCCAACGGCCGCCAACCCGCCTGCTCAGTCATCCTCGACGCCGTTCTCGCTTACACTCAACCTACTGGGCCATCTTCGCGGTTGCACAACACAATCTCGGTCTGCAGCTCTGCATGAGCAAGCGCCGGCGCCAGTAAAAGCGGTCCTGGGTGTCTGGCAGGCGACTCATTCAAGCCCAGTCCAACATCATCTCGATCTGTCCGGCCTCTTCCCCAATCGCCGTCATGGTCCCGTTGCGATACATCCAGTACGAGCATGAGCTGGAGTCGCAGTATCTCCCCGCCATCCGCTCCCTCATCTCCAAGGACCTGAGTGAGCCTTACAGCATCTACGTCTATCGATATTTCCTCTGCCAATGGGCTCATCTCTGCTTCATGGTACGTCCCTTCTCTGGCATCCTGACTTGCTCCACCACCTTTGACACTTGCACGTTCTCTCAGGCCCTTGACCCGGCCGACTCGTCGCTCATCGGCGTCATTGTCTGCAAACTAGAGATTCACTCATCCCACTCTCCGCCCACGCGCCGCGGCTACATCGCCATGCTCGCCGTCGCCTCTCCCTTCCGCGGCCACGGCGTCGCCACTGACCTGGTCAAGAAGGCCATCGAGGCCATGGCCAAGCGCAACGCCGATGAGATTGTCCTGGAGACAGAAGAGACCAACCTCCCGGCCATGCGGCTCTACCAGCGGCTTGGCTTCCTGCGATCCAAGAAGCTGCATCGGTACTATCTCAACGGCAACAGTGCCTACCGGCTCGTTCTCCCGCTGAAAGCTCCGGACCCGGACGCCAGTCCCGATTCTTTCGACGACCAAGCAATCCTCTGAATTCATCGTCTCTTTTTCTCTCGTCAACTCTCAAATTCTCTCGTTTTAAGCGTCATTAAAGGCGGCATTGAATGGAGCAGCATTGGATACAGGCGTTGGGACTCGCACCCCTTGGGATTTCTTTTCTTCATTTTTATCTGAATAGCGCCCACCTCTTGGTCGCGTATATCCCTCCTAGACCTTCTGGTCGGTCACAGCCCTCATTGTTCGCTTTCACCTGTGGAAAAACAAGTTGCTTGACATAGGCACTGGTGCAAACGGCGACGAGTCTGGCGACGGTCACGATGAGTTGATTTCAGAATACCCATCATCACCCCCATCAAAAGACATCTCGGGAAGTATAGATGGAGGCGCTGAGGCCCCAGGGATTTCCCTGGGAAATGCCAATGTACGTGAAAATATCTGGCGCTGTCGGTGAGCTGCATCCCTCGGCCTGGCCCCTGTCCCCCAACGCGAGCTAACTATGGGTGACTCACCTGGCTTGTAGTAGATGGGCCGAGCCCTGGACTCCACCAGCCTCAGCTCCCTCAGTCTCTGCAGAACGCGGCCAACGTCGGCCTTGTCGTGGAAGTCGGCCGTGTAGACGCAGACGAGGCGGTCTTTTCTCTGGTCCTGGTCCGGCGAGCGCGGGGCGACTTTGGCGGCAATGCCGAGCTCGTTGTTGGCAGTAGCCTTTGCCACCAGCTCCCAGATCTCGTTGACGTCTGCAGGCTGGCAAAACAACAGCCACTGCACAAGGGCGGCTGTCAACCAGGCGAGGCGGTGCGTTGGGGGCCGCGGGGCACACGCACCTTGCCCGTGCCAACCTTTGCTGCGTGGGCCAGGTTCAAAATATCCAGTGTAGCTTGCTTCGCCTCCTTGATCATCTCCTTTCTGATGACCGTCTGGCTTTTGCCTACCTGCTCCATCCTTTCTCGCAAGTTCGACACGAGCTCGAGCCTCTCCATGCCGCCTTGGACTACCATCTGTAGCTGACTGTTCTCCTCGACCGGAGCCTCGTCCTCGTTTGCCTTGAGGCAGCCGCCATCGCTGTGGCGCCTCTGGAGCCGTGGTATGTACGGGTTGCAGATAAATATCCAGGGAAGGGTTTCGCCCTGGACGGTCGTGGCCGGAGGCAGCCGGGCCAAGAAGTCGTCGACCGTCTCAGTCAACTGCCATGCGTAGGACACGCCGGCATACGGATTGTGAAGGCGGGCAGCGTGTTCGGCGAAGTTTGTCTGCGGCTGCGGATGTCCGGGGTTGATGCTCTGGGCACGAGCCCACTGGTCGACGTTGAAGTCGTCAACCCGATGATCAAGATGTTGCTTCAGGTCCTCTTCGCCTGTAGTCGCTTAGCTAAGAAGTGTTCTTGTCTCCTTGGAGAAGAAGGGGGGGCAAAGTTGCGTGACATGCGTACCATAAAAATCCGAATCGTCAAGGTCCATCATGGTTTGCGTGCGGGAAGAGCAGGGTCGTTGCACAGTGAAACGGAGACTCGTCGTGGCGGGGCAAAAGGAAGCAGCGGCTGGGGTTGTGATTCGACAGGAGAAGCGGCCGAAGTCGCACAGAGAGCCGCAACTGCCACGCGACACGACGGTTGAGAACTTGAGTGCCGGATGCACGAGCGTTGGCTGGCTGCTTTGGCAGTGGATGATTTTGAGATGCCAGGCCGCAACACGTGAGTGAGGCCAGCTGCCACAAGAGGCATACGGCCAGCAAAAGACTTTGGATCCTTGGTCAAGCTTGTACTTACTTGGTCCTCGAGGATTCCGCCGTCGCCGTCGACAAGGGCGGCAAATGGGAACCGCGTACCGTGCTTTGTGCGAGCCGCCAAGACCGCGTTTGTGCGAGTCTGTGAGGCTTCAACAAGGCATGTCAGAACATGGCACGGTCCTCGTAGCGGGTGCCCGCCGCCTCCAGCCGCCAATCACTTGTACCCGTTCCCCGTGCATGGGCGTCGACCAGGACCGGGACCGGGTCCGGGAGACGAAAAGAAAACAGAGCCAGCCCGATCCGCGCGACTCCGGCTCGTGAAAGACTGCTGCGGATGCGGAGTGCCGGTGTGGAAGATCTGCATACAGTGTACGGGGCACGGTATGCTCAAGAGCCCCACCACGCGTCGTTTCTCGTGAGGCCTCTGAAGAGCATCGCTGGGCGCTGTGCTTGGCCATGGACACGCTCGTGTCCAAGGCGTCCCTGACGCTGGAGCTGCCCCCGAGCTGCCTGCAATTCTCTCCCTCCAACTCGGCCTACTTCCTGGTGGGCACGTACAACCTCCATCAACAAGACGCTGCCGCCGGGGCTCCCCAGGGCCGGGACGGTAGTTTGATCGTCTTCCGCATCGACGGCCATCAGCCGTGAGTCTTTCGTCGCCGCGGCAGCAACTCACGCTCACGTTACTGACTCGGGCGCCTGCCAGCATCGAGGTTCAGACTGTTCTCCAGCCATCTGCTCTCTTGGATCTGCGCTTCCACCCGCGGCAACGCGACCATCCGGGCATCCTGGCCGTCGTGTCCAGCACAGGGACGCTGGCCATCTTCTGTCTGGATCCCTCTCTTAACTCGACGGCGCCACTGCGCCACCTCGCCACGAGCAGGTGTCGAGATCTGGCAGATGACGTCCTGTTCCTGCAATGCAGCTGGCACCCTGTTCTCAGAGACGTGATTGCAGTAACAACTTCCAATGGACTCGCCAGATTACTCCACTTGGGCCAAGACTGGACGATCCGGGGATTCACCGACCTCGACATTCGGAATTCGCTAGAGGCTTGGTCCGTTGCTTGGTCGCCTCCGACGACAGCAACCGCATTGGACGCCGACGGGCAGTCCTTGACGGTCTATTGCGGTGGAGATGATTCCTCGCTGCGATACACCTCGTCTTCCGCAAGGCTCGAGATACCCTACGGGCCCGTGACTGTCAAGGGCCATCACGATGCCGGAGTCACGGCGATTCTGCCCCTTTCTCTCCATGCCGCAGACGGCGGCCGGCTGGTAGTCACAGGCAGTTACGATGACCATTTTCGCGTCTTTGCCATCCACGACCTCGATCAGTCGCACGGGACAAGGCGGATGCGCCTCGTGTGCGAAAAGAACCTTGGGGGGGGCGTCTGGCGGCTGGGCCTGGTCGACGCGCGGCTCCGAGGCGACGGTCAATGGCGAGTCCGGATCCTGGCCTCTTGCATGCACGCAGGGGCTAGACTGGTGGAGCTGGCGAGCGAGACAGATGGCTTGCATTGGTCCTGCACGATTGTAGCGCGGTTCGAGGAGCACAAGAGCATGAACTATGCCTCGGACTGCGTGGCGGCGGCGGACGGCGAGGCCCTCCGATGCGTGTCAACGAGCTTCTACGACAAGTTGCTGTGCTTGTGGGAGCATCGCGGGTGAGGGCTATCATTGATCAGATTACAAACGCCGTCGTCATGTCGTTGAAAAGTCAAGACCTCATGTCTTGTATTTTCTAGCTCGGCCTCAGGATTGGAGGTTGCAAACGAGTCTACAGCTCTGGCGCTGGCCAATGGACTGCAAATCAAAGGGTGGCCAGCTTTCGAGCATCCAGGCCTTGAAGGCACATTTGCAATCTTCATGTTTTCGGAGATGCTTTAATTATCCCATGGCTTCAAGTGGTTGATGCCAACTTCAACGAGAGATTGATTGATTGAGCTGCTCTCAAATCCAGGTAGTGCCCAGGTAGGTACTTGGTACTAGGTAGGTAGTACCCACGCACAGATTCCAGACCGTTGGTGCTCGAGCAGTGAGGGGCGGCGGAGGGAAATGGGCACAGCAGTTGGCGGCGGACAGCACCTCAACCCCTGTACGTCGAGCAGCGGCCCACCGTACACCCACTGTACCCGCTGCTGGAGCTACCATTACAGCATCCGTACCTACTCCGTACCTTCTACAAGGTGTCTGTTCTAATCGCTGTAACCCAGCACCTGAGCCTGCTTCGAGATCAGGTGAGAATTCAAGTACACAGGACCTGAAGACACATGGTAGTCCTTTCCAGCCTGCACCCGGCTGTTCCTGGTATACGTCTAACTAATTATTGCTTCCACTCTAAACAAGGCTGCTCGCCTCTTCGATAACAAATCTCAAGCTCGCCGTCTTGTCTTTTTTTGCTCCTTTTTGCTTGTCCTGGTCCCCCCCAATATCGACTCTCAGTAGTACTGACTCAACACTCGTCGGCACATCCTCCGAACTCTTCTTCTCGTCGCCACCCGGTTCGCACAGCAACCTCCTCGCAACTCGCTCCCGCCGCTAAATATCGTCCCGCCGCCTGCACGTCGACTCTCGCCCGACATTGCGAGACCTGCTACCCTCTGGCATCCTCTGGCCTCCTCTCTCCACGCGGTGGCTCATGTCTTGACCAAGGTTTCTCCCGCTCTGAAGACATTCGAGGTCGTCTGCCTGCCGCCGCCACGAGGCTCCCGCTTACGTCGTCTCCCTTTCGAGCCGCAACTCCCTCCCGTCATCTGGCCCTCTCGGTTTTGGCGCACAGGTCATGGCTGTCAACGGAGGCGCCCTGCCTCCCGAGGGCACCTCGAGCAACGGAGGAGTTGTGGACATGCTGTTGAAAATGCACGAGGCTCTCGAGGTGGTGCACAGCCCTTCATCGGGAAACGATTCTCGCAGGCAGGCCCAGTCGTTCTTGGAAGAAGTCAAGGACGTCCCCGAGGCGCCCTTCCAGGGGTATAGGCTGGCCTCCGACAAGACTCGTCCTCCCGTTGTTCGCCACTACGCCCTGTCCCTCCTCGAGCACGCAATACGATACAGCTGGTCCACGTACAGCCAAGAGCAGGCTGCCGCTCTGCGAGGTTGGGTGCTGGAGCTTAGCCAGGCCATCTCGCGCGAGGATCCAGCCTATCTCAGGAATAAGACGGCCCAGCTCTGGGTCGAGGTGGCAAAGCGGTGCTGGGGAGCCGAGTGGATGGACATGGATGCCATGCTCGTCCAGCTATGGCAGGTGCAGGACTCGGCCGCCCACAAGGAGCTTGTCATGTTCGTTCTCGAGACTCTGTCCGACGAGGTCTTTGCTGGGGACGACTCGGTCGTCGCGATGAGAGAAGGCGTTCTTAGTAAGGCGTGCGTCGAAATCTTCACTCCCGCGGCCGTCTTGACCGAGTCCTTCCCGAATCGCCAGCCTGGCCCGGATGTGCGGCATGGCCATGAGGGATGGCTCAGCCGCATCTCGGAATTTCTCGGCTATTGCATCAACGCCCATGCCAAGGATAATGACGAGGTCAAGACCTGCACCATCAAGGGCTTTTCGGTCCTCCTATCACTCATGCCGTGGGCCATACCAAAAGCCATAGCCGCTGCGCAATGCGTCACTGTCATGACCGCCGGCTTGGCTTCACCTCACATTGATGTTCAAAAGGTAACGCGCTGCATCTCCGGGACGAGCTCGGCTTCTATTGACACGACTTGCTAGGCGGCCTTGGAAGCCCTTCACTCTCTCTACGGCCGGGCGAACTTCAATGACGAAGAGTTCCTGCAGCTCGTAGCCCCCATGTACAGCGGCGCCTCCGTCCAACTGTGCAAGGGGCTCTTTGAGTGGGCAGTGGTGGACCCCGCAGACATTGATGAGGACAGGTATCAGATCGTCAAGAAACTGTCTGAGGTATGCGATCTTCACGGCTGCGAACCTGCTTCGTACACGCTGACGCTTCCTCAGATGCTCTCGTCCCTCGGTGACTACTTTGAACGCAAGTTCTCCAAGGTCCCTCCCGACGCGGCCAGCGCCGAGTTCCTGCAGCTTTTGGTACAGGTGGTTCAGAGCCCGAGTCTCATGGTATCCATCCCTGTCCTCGTGACTTGGACCAGACTCCTTGGGCACAGAAATGTTGGGAATAGCGACCTCGTCAATCAGACGGTTGGCCCGTTGCTAGACATCTGCAGCTCCAGACTGGTTCGTTATGAAAACGTGCCCGACGACACCGCCGATACCACCTATCTCTTCCTTATGGAAGACACTGACACGATGCCGGAACGTCATGCATTCCTGGGCAACTACCGGAGATACAGCTGTCAGGTCGTTGAGTTAATTGTCCAGCTCAAACTCGTGGATGCCCTCAAACACATACTCGGCGGTACCGAGTATACCCTTCAGAAGCTCTATGACGGGCAACCACCCTTTAGCAGTAGGCAGCCTCGCGTTTCCGGCAATCGTCCTGACAGCGGCTAACGAAACAAGAGCAAAATTACTCCAAACACTCCATGCCCGCCCTGCGAGTCGACTCGCAACTTACTCTAATTGAAGCGGCGTTAAAAGGGTATATGAGGTGGAAGAGATATCACCAGAAAGACAACGTAGGTGACGCGATAGCCTCTTAGACAAAGACTGACCTCGCCCAGGAACAGCAAGCTGCCGAGGTGGAGGGGATCCTTGAGGCGTGGTGCGACAAGCTCCTCCAGATGAGCTTTGATGTAAGGCTTGGGTTTGCCGAGCAACCGAGATGTTTGCCTCACGCTGACCCGCATGCACGCTGCAGGACCCGATGATTCGCAAAAGGAGACTGCAATTGCTCGTTTATTTCTCGACAACAGCCCTGAACAAGAACAAGGACTTCATGCTCAAGGTCCTGGAACACATCCTCATGACCTGGCCGGCTCTAGAGCCCCAGTACCGCCCGTTCAACGATGCTGTGAAGGACTTGCAAGGGGAGAGCATGATTGAGCTCCAGCGGCTGGCGGCTGAAATGCCCGATCACCTCCTTGTGAGGAGCATCCCTCCCCAGCATCGCTCCTTCATCTGGCTAATCAATCCACCCAGGGCGTATATGAGCACATCGAAAGACGCGTCGGTGAGATGATGGCATCGGGAGCCCTGGACGAGAAGCGGTCCCTCGCGTACAGGAGCTTTCTCTTCATCATCATGTATGGAGCCCTTTTGGCGCGTGCAAAATGGAACAGTTGATCGCTAACTCTGGCCTCAGACATCGAGCCGGCAGCCTCGACACGCAGACAAAGATACAGAAGCTGTCCGAGTTTGTGGACCCGGTCAAGGCTCAGTGGCAAACCGACAACGTTAGGGCATCGCTTAACTCATATTCAAACTTTTGCCAGTTTCTGGGCCTGGACAGGGCTCAGGCATACTTGGCCAGCCGCAAGGCACACGAGATCCCGGACTGGGGCGCTGCTGAGCTCGACGCTGAGGGTCTTGCGCTACAGAGCGAGCTTGAAGAACGTGTGAAGGTGAGCAGAGAACCCTGCATGCCCTTCTCCGTACCTCGGAATGCATGCTCAGTCACTGACATACACCTCAGGCCTTGCCTTTACGACCTACGAAGTCGTTCCTCGCCTTCTCCGTAGAACGGCTGGACAAGGCTTCGCCGGCATTCCAGGCCTCGTATGCTTTGTGGCAGGAAGGATTCTCGAATATATTGGCCGACTTGCTGGAGTATCTGAGGTACGTGCGCCCAGCGTCTGGGCCTGCTTCTGCTCGGGCTAAGTTAATGAACGACAGATTTGCCCACGCAACGCACAACCCGGAGAACTGGCTGGGCCTACCCGGAGAGATGCGGCCGATGGTGGGCAGGATTTTGAGCGACCGCTTCTGGCAGGCGGGAATATCAGAAGGGAGCAAAGACGACTTCTATGCCCGCGTGGTGGACAAGAAGATGACAATTGAGGGCTTGGCCTCGACAATCCGCGGCTCGGTTCGTTTTGTTAGAGAAACGGCTTATGCGGTTGTCTACTGCATGAGTAAACTCGACCAGCAGTTTTACGGCTTCGAAGGCTTGTCTGGGCCACTGTCCAATGCCTTGTTCGCCGATTCCATATGGCTCTCGACTCATCAGCAGAGCAACCTGCTCAACCTTGTCAGGTACTTGGTGGACGACTGTCCAGTCGATCACCGGGAGCGCTTCCTGCCGGAGCTCATGGCATCGTGCTTTCGGCAGATGGACGCCAAAATCAACGGGGAGTGGGAGAAGATGGAGCAGCAGCAGAACATGGCAGCAGATGGAGAGGCGGAGCTAAGAGAGGAGATGAAGGCGGAGAGTATCTTGCGCCAAGTCACCTACACTGCTGTCTTGATGGTGGCAGACTTTCTCGACCCTACCAAGTCAAGTAAGTGCTCCCCCTTGACCCGTCCTACCAGCACCCTGAAACAGGAGCGGCGGCTGAATATCTCCTCAGATCCACCGACCTTGAAGTCTCGCGCCGAGAAAGATGACGGCAATGGAAATGGCAGCTCTACCTTTCCGTCGCTGAGGAAGTTTTGCCTTTCCCGTCAGGAGATTGTCGAGCCCCTGCTCGTCTTTTGCACGCACGGCATACGGATGAGGGACACACGCTGTTGTGGCATGACGCTTCGCCTGTTCGTCTCTCTCGTGCCCGAATTTCACGTCGATCAGGCAAGATCGAGCCAGGGTGGTGTGGACGGGCGAGGCGGGCTATCGACAGTGCCTGCGGAGCTCGCGTCGGCGATCCGAGAATACATTTCTTCGGACGTGCTCAAGGCTTGCGTAACGTCTTTGCACGAGCCGTACTTTGTCGAAGTGCAGAAGGAACTGGCGTCGCTGATTGCAGCCATCCTGGTCTACTATGGGCCCTCAACAACGACGCCTCGGAACGTGCTACTATCGCTGCCCAACGTCGAGGCAGAGGAGCTGGAACGGCTTGGAGCTTACATGGGGAAGCCGGGTTCGCATACGCGCCAGCAGAGGGCTATTGTTCTCGATCTGCTCAAGGACCTCAAGGGGGTGAGTGTATCGGAGATGGGGAAGCTAGCCAAGAGCACGGGATTCGGCAACGCGCCTCGTGGCAAGAGACAGACGCGAAGCAAAATGGCGCAGGGATTCATGAGCGAGCCGATGCCGTCTGCGCCTGGTGTCGCGGGGCCCCGTGGCGTTACGCCGGACGCTCTCGAAGGCGTGTCGAGTCTGTTTGAGAGCTAACGGTGTCAGAGAGATGACGCCAGATGGCCAGAGGAGTGGAAGGCTCAGCGGGAAGCTCGAGTCGCCGTCCTCTTTTCTCGTCGTCTTGGTATTTTCTGGTTGCAGCAAAGATGTACATGACGCAGTACCGAGCTTTGCTCATGCTCTCCTGCCCTGCACTGGGCAGGTTCGAGATAGAGCCGGGAAGTCTGAAGACGACGGTGGTTTGGGAATGCGGAAGCTTTGGAGAGGGGCGCACCAGGAAAGGAGGATGGCCACGGCTTGGTGGGTGGACTGATAGAAGGAAATGATCAAAAGAGCAATGATTGGAGGACGATGGATGCTGGGCCACGTAGAGGCTGGGGCTGAAGTCGTCCTCACACCGGACGGGGAGACTTCCGCTAGCTCACGGGCATGAGAGGTGGGCGGAGCGAACGTGAAGAGGCAGGTATAGACGGCCCATTCTCTTGTATCTAGAGCCAGCTGCTCTGTAAAGTCGCATTTATGTTGACAGTGGCCGGAAGGTAAGACATGGGGCCACGGACCCTGGATCCGAGCCAGGGGAACAAGCCGGCAGGGTAGCTTCAAGACATTCGGGGCAATAGCTTAGCTTGCAAGCACGCGCCGACGGAGCAGGTGGACTTGGTGAGTCTTCCATTCTCGCCGTGTCTTCTGGCAGGGCAGTGCAACGATGGGTGGTGGGAAGTTGTTGAAATGTCCGATTGGTGCAGCCGCCGCCTCGAGGGATGTCCAGGGGCTGTCGGGTCATGATCGGTTCGGTTCGAAGAAGGGGGGGGAGGGGCGGTAGACGGACGTAACGGCTCTTATCTGGACTATACGTACGAGTTGTCAGGATATGAAGCCCTAAGGAAGTAAAAGGGCACGGCCGAGAGGGAGTATTTGCATCTTGAGGCATGTACCAATGTTCTGGTATAGTAGGTTAAGGTAGGTAAGGTAGGGGTACAGGGCACAGTACCTAAGGTAGGTAGTTGTCAGCAGGATAAAGACTTATAAACCATAATTACCAATAACACCTCCACTGGGGGTGCCCCTATTTTGCTGGTGGTCAGTGTAGTGTTCGTAGTTTGCTGGGTAAGTAACTTACCTACTTACCTACCTTGGCTCCGCCGGCAGTTGTGCCAAGTACGTGCCGTAGTTGCGAGGCGTTCCCTCGCTAAAGGCCGCCCCACCACCCCCGGTTTCTCCCCCGCCAGTTGGAACGGACCCCTGCCGCAGGTCGTCGTTAGCGGACCTGTCAGTGCGGATGCCGAGTTACAGTACCTGCCTGGACAGGGGAGAGACACTTGGCACTGTGCAGCGCTCAGGGGCCCGTACACCGTGCGCGCCCTTGACCTCGCTCGACCTCCAACATCATCTTTCGGCGACCAATATTATTAACTGACAGACCATTTCGCTGCCTCGCACGACGGCATCCTACTACCTGGGCATGGATGCAACATGTATAACATGTATGTACAAGGCTCTTAGGGTACCGAGTATAGTACACTCCGTACACTCTACACTCTACACTCTACACTCTACACTCCACACTCGCGTGCTGCCTGCCGAAGCAGCACCCGATGAAAAGGGCCAACGAATCCCGGCCCCTGCCTGTCTTTGGCTCACGGCCAGTCACGCCGGCTCCGTATGGTGCCGTCGCACGTGTTGGTGGATGGATGGATGTGGATGAATGTGGATGGATGTGGATGGACCTGACACAATATCTGTACTGTATTACTTGGTATACATACATACTATACATACTATACCTATACCTAGTTATACCTACTCCGTATATACCGATGCCTTGCATCGTAAACGCCATGACGCCCTGCATCCGCCTGTTAGCGCGTTTGCTCATTCACCCAGGCCGACCGGCAGGCCCTATCCGCTGACACAGCCTCGCTTGCTCGCCGAGACAGGCCCGCCGTTTGTTGTTCTTGGCGACTGATTCATATAACGTCAGGTATCATACGTCCGCCCATCGACAACTGCGTGCCTCACCTACAGGACCTCGATTGCCTTCTTCCCTCTCGCGTCTCGTCTTGCGGAAGCCAAACTGCCTTCCTCGCCCCCCCCGCGTCGCGCAACGTCCGGTCGCTAGGCCATCTTCTCGCCTGTCACTGAGCTCAGCTGCTGGTTGTCGCTGTTACGCCATCGTGCACCCCAGTTCGACTGGTGTGTGACGCTGCCTTCGTCCCATCCCGTACGCTCCCTCTTCGGCTGTCCTCCCTTGCATCACGACCTCTGGCTGGCTCGGCCAAACCATCCCGCTTGGCCCATTCATGCTCCATTGCTTTGTCTCGAGCCGAGAGCCTTGCTCGTCTTGGCTCGCCATCTCCGAAACGAGCCGACTTGCCCTCTCCCGCCGCTTCACCCTCGTCTCCGGGTCACCGCCCATTGTCGAGGCCCTCGAGGCGGACTTGCGCCTCCTCCTACCGCTCCCGTCTTTGGCTGAATCAGTTCCTGTTTGAAACAGAACAGGTCTGCAGCTCATCATCCTCAAGCCCGGCCCATCGCCGGCCCTCGCTCTGACCACCATGGTTTACTGCGGCAAGCCCTCCAGGGGCTGCCAGATGTGCAGAACACGTCGGATAAAGGTAGCGATCCCAAGGCCTTTTGACCAGCAGAGGCAGGGCGGATGCGCTTACAACTTGCAGTGCGATGAAACCAAACCCATATGCAACCAGTGCACCAAAAGCCGAAGGACGTGTCCGGGCTACAAGGACGAGTTCGACTTGGTTTTCCGCAACGAGACTCAAGCAACGGAAAGGCGGGCCAGAAAGGCCAACAAGAAGCCCATGGCGCAAAAGTACGTCAAGGATGCCGATCCCTGCGAGAGCTCCGCGTCATCCTCGTCTCCAGCTTCCTCGACCGACATGAGCATCATCCACGCCACACCGCAAGTGCCCGTCGAAGACCAGGCGGCGTGCCACTTCATCTCCAACTTTGTCCTTGTTCCGCACCAGGGAAGCGTCCGAGGCTTCTTAGACTTTGTCATGCCGCTCATGAAAATAGACGACATCCCCCAGCATTTCAAGTATGCCTTCGACGCCTGTGCCCTGGCTTCCCTCAATAATCGTGTCGGCACAGGCAATGATTTCGAAAAGGAGGCCCTGGGAAAGTATACAAAGGCGCTATCCGCCACATCTTCCGCACTGCGCGACCCCGAGGTCGCAAAACAGGACGCCACGCTGGCCTCGGTCCTGCTCTTGGGTCTCTTTGAGAACATCACGGCCAAGCACGTGGGCATGCTGGCCTGGGGCTCTCACATTGAAGGGGCTGTTCAGCTTGCCAAGGCTCGAGGCCGCAAGCAGTTGCGCACAAAGATTGGCCTGGCCATGTTCATCGCCGTCCGGACCCAGATGGTCAGCTGTGCCCCTCATCCGTTGAAGAATGGCACGAAACCGCGTCACTGACGCGGCCCCAGATCATACATAGTCTCACTACGTCAAAGTGCCCGGTCATGGGAGCCGACTGGTGGATCAACGACGCCGTTAGGGATGAGCACGCCTCCGAGTGTCAGCGACTCAATATCGTAACAGGGGAGTTCCGCGCCGAGGCGAACCGACTCCTCACAATGTCCACACGGTCGTCTGGCCATGTGGATAAGGTGGCTGCCATGATCAAGAGATGCCAGGCACACGATCTAGCCTGCGCAAACTGGGCAAGGAACCTGCCCGAGTATTTCCAGTTCAAGACGGTTGCGTGGGAGGACAGTGTCCCGAATGGAGACTACGCAAAGGCTGAGGTGTATCCGGGACGTGTCGACGCTTATCAAGACCTATGGGTTACCAGTGTCTGGAACATGATGCGATGCTCACGCATCGTGCTGGCGTCCATCATTGTACGTTGCGCCGCCTGGACCTCGGCACCGGTGGACTATCGGACAACGCCCGAGTATGCGACGGCTGCTCGGACGTGTGCCAATGCCATCACGGATATCATAGCCTCGATCCCTTACCAGCTTGGTTGGTTCTCGAAGCGCAGAGAGCTCCTGGAAAGGGCCAATCTCTCGACCTTTGCATGCGGCGAGGAAGACGCCCAGAAAGGCCTGGGTGGGTACTTTGTGACGTGGCCTCTGGCCTGCATCTATGGGCAAGATTACATTACCGACTCGCAACGGATCTGGGTGCAGGGCCGCCTCGAGTTCATTGCGTCCCAACTGGGTGTCAGATACGCAAACATGCTGATCGCGGTATGCAAGCCCCCTTTTCCCGCTTTCGCTCGGCGTCTCTCGGCGGTTGGCACGACCGGCGACGTGTCTTCGCGAGCTGACGGTCTCTCGGTAGATCAATGTCCGGGTGCCGTCCATGCTCATCCGCAGGGACGGCCTGGTGTCCAGCCCGTATCCGCAGGCCCAGAATTTTGAGAAGCTACTGTCGGCAAAGATGGCGCCCCCGTTGGCGGGCTTCTCCATGAATCCGATACAGCAGCGCGAGGCGATGCAGAGGGAGACGATGCAACGCCAAACGGCCGAGCTAGTGAACAAGGCCATGGGTACGTCGGGCAAAGTTGATGAGTGGACGGCCAAGACGTGGCTACAGCTGCAGCACCTGACGACATGAGCTGTCAGTTGCTGGCGAGGTGCGGAGCTCGGCGAGGGTCTGGTCTTTACCGACCGACCGCCCGAGCTTACGGGGAAGCCGAAAGCTCAATGGCCTCGGCCATGCCAGGTATCGTACTGGTCTCCAAGGCCTGGGCGTTTGTGCGGCTTTTACGATTGGTGGTTTGGGAACGGCGTAGTTTGGGCCACGGGTCGAGGGTCAGTTTGCTATTTTTCACGGCAGTAGGACGCACGCGAGGAGTCATGTTGGAATACCAAATCGTGTTATTGGCGGTACTGGCTTCTATTGAGCCGCACGGCAACGACGATATCAGGCAGAGGAGTGTAGGGGAAGCCGGGCTTGGAACGGGCGTGAGGCTGCCAGCCAGGCCGGTGGTGGGTAGTCGGGCCCGTCCTCGTCCAGGGCCCAGAGCGCGACTTGGACGTCAGGCACGATCCCCGATTTCGATGCAGAACGCGGATGCGTGCCGGGAGTGTTGGCACGTAGAAAGACTGGCCCCAAGGACTCGTTCCTCGAGAATACAATTCATTAGTTGCAACTCGTCGACGGTTGAAGACTCAGCAGCAAAGCCCGATCCGCCCCGTTATAGCGTAAGTGCCGGGGCGTTTCGGGGGTGTTAGCGCATCGCCTTGTCTCGAGATAACGACAGGGCGAAGTTGCTGGCCCTAGAGGTCGTCGCCATGTTGGATGCCGCCTGCGAGGCACCTACTTGTTTCTTTTCCGGCTACAGTGCAAGCAGTAGTCAGCATCTGAGACCTGGGTGAATGGAGGCGGGCAAGCCACGGGGAGGCATGTGGTTGACATACAGCTCATCGTCCTTTGAGCTGCCGAGGTTCCAAGCCTTAACGACCCAGCTCTGTGTGGTATCGACGTATTTCTCGTTTTGTATTTGCTTGACGCCGACGCGCACGCCATCCTTGGTGAAGACGACATTCTTCTTGCCCATGCGCTCCGAGGCCGACTGACGAAATTTGGTGGCGGAGAGGTAGACCTGGTAAAGGACGAGGCCGATGATGGAGAGGATGACGAGGGCGACGACGAGGGGTAGGACTTGTCTGCGCGCGCAACAAGTTAGCGAGGTCAGGGCAACTGAGGGAGAAAGGGGATGCTCACCGAACGGTCGAGGTTGAGCTGGAGGCGCGGGCCATTGTTGCGGAGGGCAATGGTGTCGCGCGAGGGCGAAGGAGGGAGGAAGAAGTGGGAGGTAGAATGTGTCGGGCACGACGACGTGGAGAAGATATGCTTGCTCACCGAGAACGAGACAGAAAGATAGGAGAGGAACCCCGGCAGTGGCGGAGGGAAGAAGAAGAGATAGATGGAGGGGGTGGATGGTCGCGGTGACGGGCTGGTATATTTAGTGCCTCGTCGCCCCCGTCCTTCCGCACGGCTGCGGGCAGCTAGAGGGCAGCGGTGGGAGAGAGATTCAGCCCTGTCGGTGGGTAGGTAGGTAGGTGATTTTGTTGTACGACAAGGAGGATGGGAGCTGAAGGACCACGCAGATTCTGAAAAGCGAAGCAGGGCAGGCAAGAATGGCGATTCGCCGACGCTGAGGAAGCACGGGAGACGGGCGGCCTCAGCAGCCCGGGGAACTCTGTACGGAGTACCTAACCTAAGGTAGGTACCTACTAGGTATCAGAGAGGTACTAGTTGTCCCTGGGATGTCTGTTGCTCCTAAGATGTCTGCCTTGCAATCGCAGAGGCAGGTCAGCCAGGGTACAGTGTGGGTACTTGCACGTCTCCCACACCTTCAACGGACATGGAGGTTCGGCTTCGCTGGGGCAGATTTAAGGTCCCTGGGGGAGAGCCAGTGGATAGAATAGACAGCTTTGAGCATAATGCTAGGACTAATGCGGGTAAATCTTTTGGCTCAGCTTGCAAACGAATCTCGATTCCAATCACCTTCAAGTTTCTCTTAGACGCCTTGCAGCTCATCAAAGTTGGGAACAGGTGTCGGGACTTCCGCGAGGTGCACTGTACAGTACCGAAAGGGTCCACTGATGGGGACTCCGAGTACTTGGTACAAAGGGGACAATAGCCAGATACCTGCCCTTTGCCATCTTCAGCGTCATGCTAGCAAGTACCTGCCTAGTAATGGCTGCGGACAATGACTGCTACAGTGCGCGCACAAAGCTCGCCTTCTCCGCATCATCGCCTCTTACCGCAGCCGTGGATGCTTCCGTACCTTAGCCGGCAGGCGGTGACTCCCGACCCCGGGAAAAGGACACAACACAGCATGGGAGCTGTCAGCCTCTCCACCAACAAGCTGCTGCTGCGTTGCGACGCACCGCCCACCGTCTCTCTCCCTCTCCTCTCTCTTGTTGACCCTCACGACCGACTCGCAGCCTACGCTCTCCATTGCGGTCAAGTATTCGGTCGGCTCCACGCCCCTCTTGACCTCTCAACTCGATCTCCCCGCAACCTTTTTTGCTTATTGGTCGCGTCTCCGCCATGTCGGCTCCTCCCAACGACGGGTACGGGCAGTTCCCGGGTCATCAACAGCAGCCGTTCGAGCAGCCTGCCCCAGCCGGCACCCCTCAGCCCGACGCCGCGCCGGGCAAGAAGAAGAAGAGAGGCTATGCCGCCCAGGCCTTCGACGTGGGTTCCGGCGCAAATGCCGGCGTCCCTGGCCAAATGCCCGCCGGCGGACAGCAGTTTGGCATCCCCCCCGGCCCCCAGCCGGCTCAGCCCTACGGCTCCTATCCTCAACCCGACCCCCAACAGCCAACATCCCCCGGATTCCAGTATTCCCAGGGCTACGGCGCTCCGCAGCCTGCCGCCCAGCAGCAACCCGGGCCATACGGCTCCTACCCGGGTCCCGAGCAAGGCTATCCTCCACCTGGAGCCCCCCCCCAATCCGGACCGGCTGGCGTCTCCGGCATCACGCAGGGTATGGGCGGCATGCAGCTCGGTGGCCAGCCTCAGCAGCAACAGCAGCCGTTAGGGGCGCAGGCGCCGCGAGCCGGGCCCCTCAATCATCTGTATCCCACAGACCTCATGAACCAGCCCTTTTCCGTCTCGGAGCTCGACTTGCCCCCGCCGCCCATTGTGCTCCCCCCCAACGTGAGCTCGCCTTGACCCTTCATGCCGGGGACTCGAGTGCTAATGCGAGGCTTCTCAGACCAGCGTGACCCCCTCGCCAAGTGCCAATTGCCCCTCGCGCTACATTCGTTCGACCATCAACGCCGTGCCGACCACCAACTCGCTGCTCAAGAAATCCAAGCTGCCGTTCGCCCTCGTCATCCAGCCATACGGCGCTCTTCACGATGACGAAGATCAGATACCCGTCGTCCAGGACCAGGTCATTTCCCGCTGTCGCCGATGCAGGACCTACATCAACCCCTTTGTCACTTTCCTTGATCACGGCCACCGCTGGAGGTGCAACATGTGCAACCTCAGCAACGATGTCCCCCAGTCCTTTGACTGGGACGCCGCGGCGCAGCAGGCGGCGGAGCGCTGGCAGCGCCACGAGCTCAACCAAGCAGTCGTCGAGTTCGTCGCCCCTCAGGAGTACATGGTCCGCCCCCCGCAGCCCTTGGTCTACCTTATCCTGTTCGACGTGAGCTACGCAGCAGTGTCGACGGGCTTGCTCGCCACAAGCGCCCGTACCATCCTCGACAGTCTTAACAGGATACCCAACGCGGATAGGCGCACGCGACTTGGCTTCCTCGCCGTCGACGCCAGCCTGCACTTCTTTTCCATTCCCAAGGACGAGGACGAGAGCGCCGAGACCAGCATGCTCGTCGTCAGCGACCTTGACGAGCCCTTCCTCCCCGTGCCCCACGATCTCCTGGTTCCCCTGACCGAAAGCCGCCAGAGCATTGAAAAGTTCCTCCAGCGGCTCCCTGACATGTTCCAGAATAACCAGAACAATGGCTCCTGCATGGGCTCAGCCCTGCGCGCAGGGCACAAGCTCATATCGGCTCTCGGCGGCAAGATTGTTGTCCTTACCGCATCTCTTCCCAATATCGGGGCCGGCAAGCTGGACATGCGCGAGGACAAGAAGCTCTTGGGCACGTCCAAAGAGGGCAGCCTTCTGCAGACCGGCAATAGTTTCTACAAGAGCTTCGCCGTCGAATGCTCCAAGAACCAGGTCTCCATCGACATGTTTCTCTTCTCGTCCCAGTACCAGGATGTGGCGTCTCTCAGCAACTTGCCGAGGTACACGGGCGGTCAGACTTGGTTTTACCCCGGCTGGCACGCGTCTCGGCCCGAGGACGCCCTCAAGTTTGCCTCTGAGCTGAGCGACTACTTGTCGTCGGAGATTGGGCTGGAGGCGGTCCTCCGCGTGCGCGCCACAACGGGCCTGCGCATGAATACATTTTACGGCAACTTCTTCAACCGCAGCTCCGATCTCTGCGCGTTCCCAGCGTTTCCGCGCGACCAATGTTACGTGGTAGAGGTGGCCATTGATGAAAACATTAATAAGAACTTTGTGTGCCTTCAGGCCGCCGTGCTCCACACGACGTGCAACGGCGAGCGCCGCATCAGAGTCCTCACCTTGGCCCTGCCAACGACGACGAACCTCTCCGACGTGTATGCCTCGGCAGACCAGTGCGCCATCACCGCCTATTTCAGCCACAAGGCCGTGGAGAGAACGCTGAGCAGCGGCCTGGAAGCAGCCCGCGACGCCTTGCAGGCCAAGCTCACCGAGCTCCTTCAGACCTTCAAGAAGGAGCTCGCCGGTGGCAGCATGGGTGGCGGCGGCCTTCAGTTCCCCGCCAACCTGCGTGGCCTGCCGGTGCTATTTCTCGGACTCATCAAAAACGTGGGGCTACGAAAGTCGACGCAAATTCCGTCCGACATCCGATCTGCCGCCTTGTGTCTCCTGTCCACGCTGCCTGTGCCGCTCCTGATGCGGTACATCTACCCCCGGCTGTACTCCCTGCACGACATGCCGGACAACGTGGGCATGCCAGACGGGGAGACGGGACAGATTATACTGCCGCCGGCGGTCAACCTGACATCGGAGCGGCTGGTACCGTATGGCCTATACCTCATCGACGACGGGCAGACGCAGTTTCTCTGGATCGGCCGCGACGCGGTGCCGCAGCTGATTGCCGACGTGTTCGGCGTCGAAGACCGGACGCAGGTGCATGTGGGCAAGGGGAGGGTTCCCGAACTGGAGGGGGACTTCAACGAGAGGGTGCGAGCAGTGATACAGAAGAGCAGAGACCACCGATCGCTCGGAGTGGGCAGCATCACGGTCCCGCACTTGTACATTGTGCGGGAAGACGGGGAGCCCAGCCTGAAGCTGTGGGCGCAGACGTTGCTCGTGGAAGACCGAGCGGACCAGGGCGTCAGTGCGGCGCAGTGGCTCGGTACCTTGAGAGAAAAGGTCAGTTGATATGGCGACAGTTTTCACCCGTTGTTTGCTCTGACGGCAGCTGACGGGTGACGTTGCAGGTTGTGCAATAAAAAGCGCGGTTGAGCAAAAAAAGGAAAGACTTGGCATCATTGCATAGACAGGGGATGGTTGGACCCAGGCAGAGGGGCGAGCATGTGAGAGAGGAGAAGGGCGTTGAGGCGGCATACCAATGGAGCAGTGCAGTGCTCTGATGGAAAGAAATGCACCACAGCGGTGAGGGTCGAGTCACGAAGGGCTGCACGGGCCGCCATGACAAGGGTTGCACTCTTTGTGTGTACGAGAGGCATGACCGCCGGTATACGAGCCGACAGCAGTGTAGGTAGGCAATCCGTGGTACGGCCCGCGAGTGGCTTTTGCAGAGAAAAGACAGGGGAGTCTCACCAATGCCGGGAAGAAGGATGGTGGTGTATCAGGGAACAGAGCGTTGACGGTCATCAGCCACGCCTGGAGCCTCTCTGCCGATCCAATGGCAGTCGAGGAGGCTGGGTGAAGTGGCCAAAGCCGGGACACAACGCATGGATGTACTGTACGAGGACTTAATCGTGCGGTGTCCGTGTGTGCGGGCTCCCGTGCCTCTTTGTCTTTCTAAGGATACGGCTGGAGCGAGTCGCCCAGATGAAAAAGAAAGCGGCCCGGAAGGCATCACGATGCCGAGATGGAGGTTTAGACAACCATCAAAGTACATACGGATAGGGGATGAGCCGCTTAGCTGCGTTTATCCAAAACATAGCTAATTAATAGCCATGTGAACAAAGGGGGCAGGTAGAAAGCTCGTACATATTTGGGTGGGAAGCCCCCTGAAACGGCGCGGGATGTACGAACAATGCTTGGCCGTGCTTGTCGGTAACGAGGGTGGGGAATGGAGGTGAAACCTTGGAGATGGTGATGGGAGGGCGGTTTTGTCGAATCGACGGTTGGAGGCGCCACTGGTTGTGCCGGGCCGGACGCTGCGGTCATGTGAGCCCTTTGAAAGAGATCCCATCATCGGCAGGAAGAGCCTTTGTTCCTCGGTAGGAGCACAAAGCACAGGCCCACACCGCAGTTGGCTATTAACATCCCCATGTGGATGTATTTAGGCAGGATTCATACGCGCCTGGCGTTTGTCGTCTGCAGCGAAACGGTTTCCTGTTGGAAGTACTCGTAGGTACATAAGCTACATTGTCCGTGGATAGCCGCCGGCTATTATTACCTGGGTAGCGAAAAAAACCGAGACCGCAAATTGCAATTCCTTAAAATCCAGTGCAATTCAGTGCAGATTACATGAAAAGAATTCCCCCGAAAAATACTTAACACTGCTTCTAATCTACCTATTGAATACCCCTATATAAAGAGACTGTACACAAATTTCGTTGTCGGAGTCCGAAATAGCTGCTGGAGAGAGCGCCATGATCCTAAGCTCTGGCCCCTGTAAATGCGGGCGGAGGCGATTTTGCAGTCGCTTGTACTTTTGCCACGTAGGTACCCAGTCGCCGGCCCCTGGACAAAGGTACGTACTTCGCACTAACCTCAGCTCCCGGTGGAGCATCGGTGGCCAGTACGTAATTACTGTACCTCTCGTTTTGGGCTTTTGGAGACGGAGGCGCCGAGCTCTCCTGAGGGGCGGGACGGGCCAGACGGTAGGTAGATAAGGTAGGTAGATACTTTGTATCTAGCGGTAGGTGGAGGTAGGTACAAATACATGCTAGTACATACCTATAGCACGAGTTACTTCAGGTAGGCCAGATGGCCCGGGGCCTTGACTTGTAGGTTGCTTCAATTGGCAGCGTCTGGCCTCTGGACTCGCGAGCTCACTCTCCATGGAGGAATTGAGCACCTGCGACGAGAGGTGACCCACCTGCTAGGTTAGTTCCAACTGAGCAGAGGAGCTGGCTGCATTGATGCAGGAGCTTTGAGAAAGGCAGGGCATGCTGAAACCACCTACCTCACTGCAGCAGGTCTGGTATCAGTACCTACCTCGTACGAGGCGACCGATTGGTGACCATTCATTCACTTTACAGTACGACCAAAACACCCACCAAAAAAGATGCGTGTCTAATTAGTTACTTACAGTTCTTACTAAAACTGTAAGCTGTCTCGTGTCACTGCAAGCATCGATGACGAGGCACTTTACCTACCTTACCTTACCTAAGTAAGGAGTACCCACCCAGACACAGCCTCTGTATGAATGAATGGCCCTGGACCCAATTCAACGGCTGCCATCACCACCATTCAACACGCAAACCTTCATCACTCTCCCCCGGCGCCGAAGAGCTTCCGCCCTCTCTCTTTTCTCTGTCTCTCCCCCCCCCCGGAGCCAGTCCATGCACACCGTCGGCCGTGTTCGGCGCTAGGCAATTCTAAAAGGGCTTGGTAGAGGTACCTACCTGGACGAACGGACCCCGCCTCGCCAAATCCCCTTTAACCCCTCCTCCAACGCATCCACGTAACCGCCGTCCTCTCTCACTTCCCTGGCCGACGACAAACAGAGGCCGTCTCTCTCGTTTCATCCGTCATCAACAACAGCCTCATCTGGTCCTCCGTGTCTGCGACGGCTCCCGAACCCCGACCCCCGCTCTCCCCTCTCTCTCTCTCTCTCTCTCTCTCTCTCTCTGTCCCCAAAGTCAGCTTCCTGGCGACGAGGCCCGAGCGTCTTCCCCAACCTCGAACCAAAGCACGAGCTCAACTCCGTCTGCCCGTGCCACCCCTCGGACCTGCGTGCCTGGATCCTGCACGCTTCAACCCCCCCCCTTTTCTAGAAAGAATCACTCTTGTCGATCCGGAGTAGCTCTCAACGGCTCGCCTGTGCGATCAAGGTAGCACTCGAGGTCCTCCCTCTTCGGCCGGCCCGTAACCAGTCTTTCTCTCGTCAACGGCGCCATCCGCTCACCTGCTGCCTTGTATATACAAGGCAGAACGTCGGTCCCTTCAACCGCGAGCCTCCGACTGCCACCGCCGCCGCTCTCCGTATCCTGCCCGTCTCTCTCTACGCCTCACTCTACCTCTCCCTCACTCGTCTGTCCTTCTCTGCACGTGAGCGAAGAGCGAGAAGCCATCGCCTGCTGCGAGCCTCGACTACCATCGGTCCAATCCGACGGAACACCGTTCCATCCCACGTCCCTCTCAGCCAGCGACAAGTATCCATTGTCGCGTCGCGTCCCGGCCATGTCTCGCTCAAACGCTCAGGGCGGCGGGGCAGCCTCCCGCAAGATCTCGTTCAATGTGAGCGAGCAGTACGACATCCAGGATGTTGTCGGAGAGGGCGCCTACGGAGTTGTTTGGTAAGTTCCTGCATCGTGACCCACGTGGATGGACGCTCACAGTCTGCACCTGTAGCTCTGCCATCCACAAGCCCTCGGGCCAAAAGGTGGCCATCAAGAAGATCACCCCCTTTGATCACTCCATGTTCTGCCTCAGAACGCTACGAGAAATGAAGCTCCTACGATACTTTAACCACGAAAACATCATCTCCATCCTCGACATCCAGAAGCCCCGAGGCTACGAAAGCTTCAACGAAGTCTACCTTATCCAGGTGTGTTGTCGCCTTGTTACTCTGACACAAGAGCCATGTTAGGGCCACACTTACTTACTCCGTCTGTAGGAACTGATGGAGACGGATATGCACAGAGTCATTCGCACGCAGGACTTGTCCGACGACCATTGCCAATATTTCATCTATCAGACGCTGCGCGCTCTCAAGGCCATGCATTCGGCCAACGTGCTACACCGAGACCTCAAACCCTCCAACCTCCTCCTCAACGCCAACTGCGACCTCAAAGTCTGCGACTTTGGCCTCGCCCGATCGGCGGCATCGCAGGAGGACAACTCGGGATTCATGACAGAATACGTCGCGACCCGGTGGTACCGCGCCCCCGAGATCATGTTGACGTTCAAGGAGTACACAAAGGCCATTGATGTGTGGTCTGTGGGATGTATCCTGGCCGAGATGCTGAGCGGCAAGCCCTTGTTTCCCGGCAAGGACTGTGAGTTTCTTGTGCCCCCGTTTCTCCGTCCAAGCGTTTGGTGCGGCGGGTCATGCAGATGGCAAGACAACCCCTGCTAACAGACTGTGCGTCAATAGACCACCACCAGCTGACGCTCATCCTGGACGTTCTCGGCACGCCAACAATGGAAGACTACTACGGCATCAAGTCTCGCCGAGCCCGCGAGTACATCCGGTCTCTGCCCTTTAAGAAGAAGGTGCCGTTCCGCACGCTGTTCCCCAAGACGTCGGACCTGGCGCTCGATCTCCTGGAAAAGCTGCTGGCCTTTAATCCGGTGAAGCGCATCACGGTGGAGGAGGCGCTCAAGCACCCGTACCTGGAGCCGTACCACGACCCCGAAGACGAGCCAACGGCGCCGCCGATTCCGGAGGCGTTTTTTGACTTTGACAAGCACAAGGACAACCTGAGCAAAGAGCAGCTGAAGCAGCTCATCTATCAAGAGATTATGCGATGAGGCGTCGGAGCTCAGGTCGGGAGCAAGCGATGGATGAGAGGAGGAGGGGATCGAGAGGATAAAAGCAAGATATTTCACAAAACACGATGGCGGGAGGCAGCGTGGGGGCGTCAGACAGTGAATGGGGGGTTGCTGGAGGTGAGGCGGGGGTTGTGTGCGGCGGCGGATGGCGAATTAAGGACGAGGGGAGACTGATATATAAAGAAGGCACTATATATTTCTGCTTGTTGTATGCCTCTGTTTGTCCATATTTTTTAGATGAGTGACGCTCGTTGTGTAGCATAGTCGCCGACGCCCTCCCTCGAGGTGCCGTGGGGGCAATGAAACGTTCTCGAAAGGTGTCGCAACTTCAATGTCATTGGCAAGCTTCGGACAAGCTACGGGCGAAACACGAAGGGCATAAAGTCACCACGGCCTGCCTTCATTCCATGCCCTTCCATGCCAACGGAGAGGTATCTGGGTACTTTCATGGCACCGCTACGGTACATATCTGGGTATCTAGGTAGATGCATGGTACCTATAGGCTCTTTGCCGCGTCTTCCGTGTGTGAGTCAAAGACAGTGGGCCTATAGCCTACCTACTTAGGTACTAAGGTATAGTATATATTAGAGGCGATATTGGTACCGAGTACCTCCTAGCACGGCACAGTACCTGCTATGGCTCGGCATGAAGTCAGAGGGCTGGGTATCAATTTGTCTCCCTGCTTTATTCTCTGTTCATCTTGACACCTCACCTCATCCTCCTGATACCAGTCCTTTATAACCGTTGCGCACAGTCCTCCCTCGGCCCTCGCTGCTCTAATCATCCATCCCGTATCCCCAAGGAACCAACTACCAACCCAAGTACCCAACTCCATGAGCGGCTCCCCGCATTCCCCTCCTCGGCCAAGCAACCGGCACCACTCTGCCTCTGCCTCTGCCTCTGCTTCTGCTTCTCCATCCACCTCGGACCCCCGGGCCGCCGCACCAGCGTCGCCGCCGACATTGGCCGGCGACAGAAACGAGTACTCGTACCTCGGCACCATGTGGACCGGCTTGATACGGCGCTTTTCCTCGGAAGACGGGCAATTCGACTCCCAGCTCGAAGCCTCGGAGCACCACGAGCACCACGAGCACCAGCACCAGCACCAGCACCAGCACCAGCACCAGCACCAGCACCAGCACCAGCACCAGCACCAGCACCAGCACCAGCCGGCCAAGGACGGCGTCAACGGCGTCTTCACGCCCGCCGTCCGCAGGGCCAGCCCCTTCCGCCCGCCGCCCCTCGACCCCCTCGTGCTGCAGGGCTACCGCGACAGCACGCCCGTCTCGGCGCGGCTGCTGACGGCCACAGTGGCCGAGGAGATTCGCGCCATGGTGCCCGAGCGCCTACGCATCGTCGAGGACTGGCGCCTCGTCTACAGCCTCGAGCAGGACGGCGCCAGCCTGGCGACGCTGTACCAGATGTGCAGGCGCTACGAGGGTCGCAGGGTCGGCTTTATCCTCGTCGTCAAGGACCAGGAGGACGGGGTGAGAGCATCTTCACTCGCCGTCATCCATGTTGATGTGCCTTGCGCTGACCTGACTCTTTTCATCTAGACCTTTGGCGCATACCTCTCCGAACATCCCCATCCAGCCCCGTCATACTTTGGAAATGGCGAGTGCTTTCTCTGGCGCGCCTCGATGCTCGCGTCCCTCCCTCCACCTCCGTCAGCCAACACGACACACCTCACGCGCAACACAACGCTGGCTCCCGGCCCCGGCAATGCCCCGGGGAGCGGGGCGTCGACGCCGTGCGAGTCGATTCGCTTCAAGGCCTTTCCATTCAGCGGGCTCAATGACTGCTACATCAATTGCGAGACGGGGTTCCTTAGTGTCGGCTCCGGCGGCGGCCACTACGGCTTATGGCTCGACGACTCGCTCGACATTGGCCATAGCTCCCAGTGCGAGACGTTTGGCAACGAGCCGTTGAGCGACGCGGGCGACAAATTTGGTGTCTTGGGTGTGGAGCTGTGGGTGGTTGGAGCTTGATTTGCTCGCACGTTTGTGCACCGGGGATGAAAAGCCAGGACTGGTACTGGCAGAGGGAATACCGCAAAAGAGCAGGAAATGACAGGTTTACGATTTCGGACGATTAAAGAAATATGGCCATAGGGAAGGACAAGCATAACCAAATGGGGCCCAATGTGGCTAGACATTGGCGATGCTGCGATGATACCCGGAGTTGAGAAAACAAGCTCTACTCTTTTTCCCCTTGATCAGGCTCAGACAGCCCTGACAGGAATCATGAAGTTTCAACGGATACGTCATTGAAGACGTGAGTCTTTCAGCCGATCCATGTAGTCTACAATTGCTTGCAAGACGCCTCCGGGCGACGGGGTGTCGGCGCAAACGTCGGGCTCAAAGTCAAACGTTTTTACCAGATGGGCCCTCGTCGTCGGGCCAATGGTGGCGATGCATGTCTGGCCATCTCGGCGACCGGGCGGGACCTTGGCCGTGGCGGCGTCGAGCAAGCCGAGGCCGCGGAGCATGCTGTCGCAGCCGGTGGGAGAGAAGACGACGACCCATCGGACGGGGGCGTCGTCGGTGCGGCGCAGGCAGGAGGCGAAGTCGTCGGGGAACGAGTCCATGACGCCGGAGCCGTAGACGACGTCCTCGTCGACGCGTATGCGCTCATCGGGTGGCAGGGCGGCGTCCATGAGGGTGCGAGGGATGACGTCGCGGCGTTGCTCGCCGACGAGGAAGAGCAGGGGCGGGCGGTGGCGCCGGGCGTCGAGGCGGTGGCGGGTGTAGTGCTCGAGGATGAAGCGGGCGAGGGCGTCGCCGTTGCCGCAGTGTTGGCCGAAGATTTGCAGCGGCGGCTGTTGCGGGATGGCCTCGAGGGCGCGCGTCGTGGCGGGGCCGACGCTGTAGACGGGCACGTCTTGGAGGTGAGGCCAACCGGGCTGGCCTACGAGAGGGAGCAAAGGGGCAAGCAAGGGCTGCATCAGCAGGGACTTGGGCGGGCCATTGATCATGTCGTCATACCTTTGCCGTCATGGACCACCTGGGCAAAGGCCTCGACGGCCCGCTGCGACGTAAAGATGAGGCCGCCGTAGGCACAGCCGTCGTCGCGGCCGACTTGGCGCCGGTGGAGCAAGTCGCGGAGCCTGGCCGTGCCCGCGTCCTCGATCCGGTGGGACAGGACGGGGACGAAGCACGGGTCGAAGCGGCGGCGGCCGTGGCTCGCGGCCGAGAGGAGCTCGTGGTAGGCGTCGCTCGGGGCGGACCGCGTCTTGAGCAGCAGCACGGGCACGGCGGCGGCAGAGGGCGAGCTGGGTGATGGGCCGGACAGTGGCGCCCGGGAGTCGGGCGGCGGCGGCGGCGGCATGGTCAAGGATGCCGCCGGCGTTAGTGGACGGGGGCCATGGCCGGGATGGTTGGTTGGGGGAGGGCTGGGTTTGAGGCTTGGAGGGAGAGCTGAGGCTGCCAGAGAGATCAGGGCAGGTCATGCATGTACTGTACTGTACGTACTCCACGTGCAAGTAAGGTACCTTATGTCTACAGTACATGCGGGCTCCCTGCATGACGTTTTGCCGTTTTGCTCCGACTCGGCTTATCGATAATATGCCTCGACGTCTTTTCCCTCGCAGCCACTCGCATCCGCAACACCCGCCTACCAAAATCGACCTGGACATTGTGCGGCCATCATGATACCCACGTAATCCTCGCGGTCCCGCACCGACCACCAGTCCGTCGTCGTCGCCGTCGTCGTCGTCGTCATCCACCCTTTGCGAATCGCTCCGAATACCACCACCAGTCTTGACCCCGTCTGGCCTCGAACCATCCCGAGAATCGAACAGGCCAAGTGGAGAGCACGCAGTCTTGGCCATGGCGGACGGGGAGAGGCAAGACGCCGCGACGGGCGAGCAGCCGAAGAAGATACCCAGGGGCGTCGTCCTGGGCAAGGACGGGAAGCCGTGAGCAGCCCTCCCCCCTTTCCCATACCACCTGGTGATGCCCCAACCCCAGGGAAACGTCATGCAGGGCCTCGTCTAACGCCCGCGAGCCTCGCGTGCCTCTAGTTGCCGAAGCTGCACCTCCTTTGCCGCCTGGGCCGCACAAACCAAGCAAAAGACGACGGGCCAAGACGGCGGCGGCGGTCAAGGAGGCGGCGGCGCGATGACGGCGTCTTCCTTGACCGCCGCCGCCCCCCGCCCAGACTGCCCCCCCGACGTCGAGGCCCTGGGCCGCAGCACCTGGACGCTGCTGCACTCCATCGCCGCCAGCTACCCGGAGGCCCCCTCGCGCGCGCAGCAGTCGGACCTGCTGGGCTTCGTCGGCCTCTTCGGGCGCCTCTACCCCTGCTGGGTCTGCGCCGACGACTTCCAGGCCTACATGGCGCGCCGCGCGCCCCCCGTCGCCAGCCGCCGCGAGTTTGGCGACTGGCTGTGCGCCGCGCACAACGACGTCAACCGCCGCCTGGGCAAGCCCGAGTTTGACTGCGCGACGTGGGAGCAGCGCTGGCGCAGCGGCTGGAAGGACGGGCGCTGCGACTGAGCCAAGTCTCCCCCCCCCCACCTCCTCTCGTTCTTGACGAGAGCAGCGGGCCCTGGACGGAGGCCCTGTCCTTGCCTCGTCACCCCATTCTCGACTTGGCGAGGAGCCACGTCGCAACTCAGGGTCTGCGCTCTCTTTGTATAGCTATTGTATGAGCATGACCAGGTCGGCCCGCCGGTGGGTGATGGTGGTGGAGCCGCCGACACTCTCTCCACTCAGTTCACCGACACGTATGATGACATGTACATACATGTACGATAATGACGTCTCAACTGGGCACCACGTTGAAATCCATGCGCTTTATATAGGAATCGGGTGAGGGACGTGTGATATGCGGCAGTTCCGGAGCATTCGGCTCCGACTAATTTTCGCGGCACCTCGGCTGCCCCTCTTCGTACCAAGATCTCGCCTCGGCATATAACTATACAGGCCTGCCTGGATCCCCTGCATACATACACAGGCATCAAGCAGTCTGCAAATCGCGCCCTCAGGCACCCCCTCCCAGACAGGTGCCCGACCCAAATCGAAAGAACCCCCAAGCACGCCCAACTGAGGGAGCCTCTCTCATCGCCGCTCTCCACCATGGCGGACATTAGGGTCCAGAGTCTCAAGCAGCCCGTCGACGCCGCCGAATACCTGTTCCAGCGTCTGCACCAGGTAGGCATCCGATCAGTCCATGGCGTTCCCGGCGACTACAACCTCGTTGCCCTCGACTATCTGCCGGCGTGCGGGCTCAAGTGGGTGGGAAGCGTCAACGAGCTCAATGCCGGTAAGTCGCGCTCCAGGCTGTGCATTCTCCCGAACTCGCCGGCAAGGAAGTCGTCCCCCTGGCATGAGGCACACGTCCCGGAACAAGCTGACCGTCCGTCCCGCCAGCCTACGCCGCCGACGGCTATGCGCGCGTCAAGGACATGGCTGCCCTCGTCACCACCTTTGGCGTCGGCGAGCTTTCCTCCCTCAACGGCATGGCCGGGGCCTTCTCGGAGCACGTCCCCGTCGTCCACATTGTCGGCTGTCCGTCAACCGTCTCGCAGCGCGATGGCATGCTGCTCCACCACACCCTCGGGAACGGCGACTTCAACGTCTTTGCCAACATGAGCGCCCAGGTCTCTTGCGACGTGGCCAAGCTCAACAACCCCTCCGACATTGCCGACCAGATCGACCATGCCCTGCGTCAGTGTTGGATCTGCTCTCGCCCAGTCTACATCATGCTCCCGACCGACATGGTGCAGAGTAAAGTCGAGGGCGACAGACTCAGGACCCCAATTGACTTGTCCGAGCCGCACAACGATGTCGAGAGGGAGGACTATGTTGTCGACGTGGCCCTCAAATATCTCGGCGCGGCAAAGCATCCCATCATTCTTGTCGACGCCTGCGCCATTCGCCACCGCGTGCTCGACGAGGTGCACGCCCTCATCGGCAGGACGAACCTCCCTGTATTCGTCACCCCTATGGGCAAAGGCGCCGTCGATGAGCAACATCCCTGCTATGGCGGTGTCTACGCTGGCGATGGTTCTTTCCCCACCCAAGTCAAGGACATCGTTGAATCGTCCGACCTTATTCTCACCATAGGCGCTCTCAAGGTTCGGTTGCTATTCCGTTTCCTTTCCCCTGTTCTGGGTGTCGAGAAAGGGGGTTTGCTGGATCTGAGCTTGTCATTGCTGAACCTCGGCCTTGCAGAGCGATTTCAACACTGCTGGCTTTTCTTATCGGACATCACAGCTCAACACCATCGACTTCCACAGTGATCATTGCATGGTGCGATACTCGACATATCCCGGCGTCCGCATGAGGGGCGTTTTGCGCAAGATGATCGACAGGATCGACGCCAAAGAGCTCGCTGCACAGCCCTCTCCGGCGGTCGAGAACGAGGTGGAGAAGAACCTCGACAGCTCGCAAATCATCACGCAAGCCTGGTTCTGGCCACGAGTGGGCCGCTTTCTCAAGGAAAAGGATGTCGTCGTCACCGAAACGGGCACCTCAAACTTCGGCATCTGGGACACCAAGTTCCCGACCGGCGTGACGGCGCTAAACCAGACCCTCTGGGGGAGCATCGGGTGGTCTGTGGGAGCTTGCCAGGGCGCCGCCCTCGCAGTCAGAGACGCCGGTGCCCATCGCAGAACCATCTTGTTCGTTGGCGACGGCTCCTTTCAACTAACGGCCCAGGAACTGAGCACAATGATTCGGCTCAGTTTGAGGCCGATGATGTAAGTCTGTCCCAAAATGGCTCCTACGAAGAGGTACTGACCGCCGTTAGCTTTGTCATTTGTAACGAGGGCTTCACCATTGAGCGCTTTATCCACGGCATGGACGCCGAGTACAACGACATTGCAGAATGGGACCACAGGGGTCTTGTCGACGTCTTTGGGGGCAAGAAGTCCTGCCGCACGTTCGCCGCCAAGACAAAGGACGAGTTGGACAAGCTCTTTACGGACACCGACTTCAATGCCGCCCCCTGCCTTCAGCTTGTGGAGGTGTACATGCCCAAGAAAGATGCGCCGCGTGCCCTAGTGACGACGGCGGAGGCGAGCGCGAGGAACAACGCGAGGACGGAGTGATGCAACGATCTCTGATGATATCCGATGATGTCTATGACCGACCACTTGCGCGTGCTTTCGCGAGACAAGTTGTGTGTGGCGAGCTTCGGTGCGAATCAAGACAATCGTCTTCTGCTACCGTGTGTAACGCAACGCAACCACGTCAGGTATCGGCGTCTGGCATCAGCGTCGCTAGATGAAAGTGAGGCAGGCCCTGACTTTTTGAGTGCGAGCGTCAACTGTAACGTGCAAGCTCGTAATAGTCGTGTGCTTCGTGGTACCGTCAACGGGAGCACACGTGACGATGCACATGCTTATTGTCCAGTGCTCCAGGGTAGCCTGTGGGGCGTGGGATTCGTTGCGCACGCACTCCACAAACGCACCCATTTCGTCGAGCTGCGATCTCTCACGGTCAGGACATCGCCATAAAAACGCACCTGCCAGAAACCGGCACAACAGCATCCGTTGCCCAGATCTCGCCATGACAGACCGCGCACAAAAGAGGAAACAAGGGCCAAATGGCGCAGACGGGGCAGGCTCTGCGCAAAAGAAAAGCAAGGTGAGAGAACGAACTCGATTGACGGTCTTGTTCGCCAATGAGCCCAGGGACTGACGCCGACACTTCTAGGGCGGCAACGCTGGACGGTGGAAGACCCCGCACCATAAGGCCAAAATGGCCGAGAGGGTGGACATGGGCAGCGCCCTGGACGTTGGAGATCAAGGCATCTGGGTCACGTTTGTCCGGGGAATGAAGACCAAGGCTGTGCGCGAGTTCCAGGAACTATGTGACGAGGTACGTTGCATCGGCAGCCGGAACACGCTCCAGTCAGACACTGACCAGACCTTGCCCCCTCTACAGTACGGAGAGGGCCTGTACAACATCAAGCAGCCAGGCACAGATGATGCGTCCACGAGCGACAACGCTGGCGAGGGACAAGGGATCGAAGCCTCCATCGAGGATGAACTGAGCAGCATGAGGGAGCAGCGGAAGCCGAAGCCGGAACGGACATTTGCGCCCATCTCGACCGGCCTTGAATGTCTCTTCTTCATGAAGACAAGGAAGCCGGTGCAGCCAGAGGACCTGGCTCGCAAGATCTGCGAGGATGCGAGGGACTGTCCAGACCCGAGGCAACGGAAGTGCAGGTACATCAACCGCCTGACGCCTGTCTTTGACACCGACAAGGCAACCGAGAACGGCATCGTTCGACTGGCTCGGAAAGTACTGGCTCCGTCGTTCTCCTTGAAGGGCGAATCCGAGGCGGACGCGGGAGCGACTGGTGAGCCGCGGGATGCCGACTCATCCCCGGCATGCACGGTACGTCTTCTCGCACAATGAAACGGCGCATGTGAATGTGTCTGATGAGCTGAAGCAAAAATCTTGATAGTTTGCAATCCGGCACAACATCCGGAACCACACCGCCCTCAAGTCAGACGAAGTCAAGAAGATGATTGCAAGTGTCGTTGGTGCAGAGCACAAGGTCAACCTCAGTAATCCGGACAAGGTAATATTGGTGGAAATATTCCAGGTAATTCACATTGAGTCGCTGATGGCCATGGCTTGTGCTAACGAGACAAGCTGTTTTGCGGCATCTCCGTCGTGGACGGGAGGGAGTGGGAGGCTCTGAAGAGGTACAACGTCAACTCGCTTTACGTTATGCCACGGGCTGGGGAGACGGACAAGGCTGGCGGATCAGCGCAAGAGCAAGACAGTGCAGGAAAAGAAAGGAGAGAGAAGGGGGACAAGAAGCTCTGCGCTGAGAGTGCTGCCTCATGAAGGCGATGTCGCAAGGCGGGGCAGAAATGGATCCGCCTCGGAGACATGCGGGCTTGGGACCAACCCGTACGGCTCATCGTGGAGGGAGGAGGTGGGGTGGAGGAGATGGGGTGGAGGACTTTTAGGCGTACAGGACACAAAAGTCCCCGTGAGCTGCCTTGACATGTGAAGAATGGGCTGTCACAAACACGCCAGAAGATGCACATGACATTGGATCGGCTCGGTGAGACGCTCGAGCACGGCAGCGACGAGGCCACAGCAGACAGCCGCAAGGGGGCGGATTGAAGTGACGGTGAGCTTGGCATCCTGGGCGCGGCCAGTCGAGTCCGTCCATTCGTTGGCGGCGCCGGCTTCCCGGCCATAGAAAGCCGGCCCGGAAGTGGAAATGTCGTCGACAGGGGTGTCGGCACACAGACCGGCTGGATGCACTGGCGGATACGAGAGCGGCGGTGTTCTGGAAACACGCAAGACGACTCGAGGGAACACATGGCACAGCCCCTCGAGCCGGGGCTGTGCGAAGTCGACATGTGCGCTGTGAGATGTGTCGGATCCGTGTGCCGGGACTGGCCTCGACAGCGACGTCGGGCTTGACGCGTTTTTTGCAGGCCATGCATGGATGGCCATTGCCCGGCGTGGACATGGCGGCTTGGCCTCGGTACCTGCCAGCCATGAGGGCCATGAGGGCCATGAGGGCCATGAGGGCAAGGAGGGCAAGGAGAAAAGGACTTGCGAGCAGCGGCATTGTATATCAAAAGCATGCACGGTATATAATGGTCGAGGCAGGTTGGCCCGTAGGCGAAGCATCTGCATCAATCAGTTGGTGCCTGCGAACCACATTACCGGTACTGCACAGTAAGTACTACCCAGACGGCGCTGCAGCTGCACGGGGCACGTCAAGCGTGCTGTCGGGCATTTACTTACCGCCTTGGGCAGGTGCTGGATGGAGGAACACCAAGTCCTTGTGCAGGAGGAGGTTGTATGTACAGTAACTAACTAGGCAGCAGCGTCGAGGGGGTCGAGGGGGTCGAGGGGGTCGAGGTGGGTCCCGGGGGTCGAGGGGGGGCAATGCGGCTCGCTTAAGCCAACCAATGAGAGCGACAAGGCGCCAAACGGCATTAAACGACGTGCTATCAAGTTTCCTTCCCTCTCTGCTGCCGATTTGACCCTCCTTCGGCTAATAAAAAAGACATGACAACAACGCGATCCGATGGTACGTACCTATACCTACCTTTACCTTTGGCACAGTAAGGTGGTACCTACCTTAGGTAGGTGCTCGAGCACTCTTGTCCTCCACTGCACCAAGTCCGTCGTGGCTGATGCCGCAGAGCCTCCTCTTGCGAGTCGACGCTTGTGCGGGCCTGTCGACGAGATGCATCTTCGCTTGCCAAGGACCAATGGCTGCGCTCTCAACCGCCTCGGCCATGGCGGCCCCGTTTCGAGCCCGATCCTGCCTGACCCGTCATCATCTCGCCCCGGTCAGCGACGACCCTGCGGCATCTCGAGACCCTCAAACCCACTCCTCCTCGCTTCTCTCCCAAAACCATGGCCGAAAAAGATGGGCCGCGCAAAGAGGAGCTTTACCCCTCTTCCCAGTTCCCACCCCATGTCGCATCTCACCGTCGCGTCGGCAAATCCCAACTTGCTGTCATGTTGGCTGTGGCTTATGCCAAAGTGCTGACGACTTGACTTGTCTTCGCTCTCCTGCTCTCTTCCCCCGTTCCTCTGCCCCCCCCTGGCTTCTCCATGCTCCCAAGCGCTTGCAAGCCAAGGTTAGTACATCCAGAGACTCGCGCACGCGCCGGCGCCGGCGCCGTATGTATGTATGCAGGCCTAGAGCTGCCTTGGTTGGTAAGATCTTATCCATCCGTGACCCACCAGCCCTCGGCCGTAACCGATCTTGTCCTGCGTCGAACCACAAGTGTCCTCCGGACTGCCATGGCAAAAGCCTGTCCGAGACCTGGCCAAGCGGTAAGCTCTAGCTCGCTCACTTCACCGTCCGCCTCCCTTCTTGAGCAAGATAACTCTCATGACGTGTCGACTCTTGGGCAACTCTTTACGTTTTGTCATGACGCTCTCCCCTCGCCCTGTCGCTCCCTGCCGCCTCGCCATCTCACTCTCCCGATACCGCTGTGCCTTCATCGCCCAGGCAAGGTCGGCGCCTCTCTAGCCTGCCGTCATCTCGCGCACTTCTCTCTTCTCTTGATGCCTCGTCAGCCATGCCTGATTTTCACAGTCGTCCTGTTTCCGCCCTCCAGGTTGCGCCGCGCTTCCATATCCCGTGCGGCGCATTCTCATCATACCCCGGGCCCCTTGTCGCTACGACCATGGCCGACAAGCCACCAACAAGTCATCTTCGGGCCCTGATCAAGTCTGCGGCGCCCAAGTTCGCCGGTGCGGACCTCGAGCCGGTCCCGTCGGCCAGGCCGCAGGTGCACTTCTTCGCAACAGCCTCGGACGCTGATGTCTTGATGCTGTCATTGTCGCCCCGACCAACTGGCCTTCTTCGCTCCGAACGACTTCTTATTCTGTCCGAGGCTCTCCTGCTCCAATGGCTGTCCGGCCCCGCCACCGAGACCTGGCCGACACATGCGAACGATGCTGCGCCGCACCAGACCAGCCCAGCCGCCCGGGCCAAAAGCATCGGAAACAGCCATATATCCCGCCGCCCTTGTCGTCTGCTGCAGCAGTTCCTGCCAAGGTTGGTGGAGCACGGCATGGCAGGGTCTGCTACCCACGGTGAATACATCCTGACCAGGCCTGTCGCGGGCACCGTGATTGCAGCCTTGGCAAACCCCCTTGGCAGGGCCGAACGTAAAAGCGTCGATTTCCAGGTTGGCCAGCTCCTGAGGCGCATCTCATCACAGCAGTCGCCCAATGGCAAATTTGGCACCGCAATCGCCGTCCTGTCATCCGAGTCAACTGCTCCCACTTTGTCGCGGAGACGAGCGGCTGTACCGGATCACCATTTGCGCCATGACCGGTGGTCCGAGGCCTTCTTGTCCCTCTTGGAAGCGGCCCTACGAGATGCTGAGGATTTCAAGGTTGCTATTCAGTATGCCGCGGTGCGAGACCAAGTCAGCCGTTTTACGCGATTCCTGGATGCAGTTACGAGCCCCCGTCTGGTGGCGATCGATGCAGGCGAGGACACCAGCACGCTCGTCTCTCCCCATCCCGGTCCCCGTGTCCATGAGAACAGGCAACAAAACAACCAATGCATTCAACCCGACGGGCGGCGGCACGACGACAGCGCCTTCGATACTGACATCAATAGAACCTCAAGGTCGATGGCTCATCCAGAGCGAGAGTCAATTCAAGTCACGGGACTCCGACATTGGGGCAACTGCATCTTTGGAGATCCCCTCCTCGCTTCTGTGCTGAGCCGAAATGCCAGCCCAGAAATCTGGGACGGGTTCCAAAGCCCTCTCCGAGATCACGAGTTCGAGGTTCCTGATATGCAGCCTCAGCCATTGGAGGACTTGCGAAACGCAGGCGTCCGCCGTCTCCTGTATGAATGCCACCACGCAGTGACGGCAATAGTGAGAGAGTACTGCCGCCAGTGCGATGACAGCGATGACAGAGAAATGCCAGCTCGGAGAAGGCTTACGCAAGCCCTCCGAACGTTGGACAGCCTGGACGACTCCGGCAAGGAGAAACGCCCGCACCCAAGCGGGGAAATGTCCCCGGCCAAGAGACCAAAGTCGGACGGCGGCGGTGCCGGGTGAGGGATCGCCGCCGCAAAAATTGAATCGATGCTCAAGCCATGTATCCAATATACACATAGAGAGACAGTTATGGCCAATTTGATGCTGCGGGCGTTGGATGCACTAGGACGGCTCTCTCGCGGCACAGCCTTTTGAAACAGAACAAGGCATCAAAAGATATCACGCCGATCGCTGTGAACTTTTGTCGTCCGCCTCATCCTCATCCCTGGGAAGTCTGAAGCCCATCATTCCGAGAAGATTCCCCGTAGGACCAGCCATGCCCGCCTGACTCTTGAAACTCTCCAATATGTTGCGTGCCAGGTTAAAGTCAATATCGACTTCGTCGTGGCTATCTTCGCCTCGAGTCTCCAAAGTCAGGTCTGCAGGCGAATGTCCCTGTTCTGGTTCAATTGCTTGCCCGTTGCCTTCCACGGCGGCCTGTTTTTCGGAGGGACCGTCGCATGTCAATGCTCCATGGTGCTTGAGCTCGACTTCCATTTGGTGCGCCAGTTCTTGAAGTTGAGCGCTCTCTTCGTCCAGAGCGCTCGTCTCCGCTTCGGCCGTTGTCGTATGGCCCGCCGCCTGGCTGTCGATGGCACTCTGCAAATCCGCTGTGGGCATACCCATCATTTCACGCATCATTCGCGAGAAAGCTTGCTCGTCGAAACTGACCACCTTGTCCTCAAATTCGCTATCCTCCTCATCTTCGTCGTCGCTAGGGTCCTCGTCCGCTTCGTCAAGCTCGGCACCCTCCAGGCCAGCGCTTTCGTCGTTGAGGAAGCTTTCGAACCGCGAGACAATCTTCCTGAGATCAGCCTGGGTCTGGACGTTCCCGAAGCCAGCTTTCTTCCCAGAAGCGGGTTTGCCGTCCAATTCCCGTTCAAAGTCCCGGTAATCGATATCCATCCAAGTTTCGTCATCATCGCGATCGCAGTCCTGCCACGATCCCATTTCTTCGTCCGTGGGAAGCGCAGCGGCGCCAAGCTTGGCCGTCTTTTCTAGCAGGTTTGCGATCTCTTGGACAATTCTTCTTTTATTTTCGGTTTCCAGTTTCTCGTTTGCGGACGCAGCCAGCATTTCAAAAGCACATGTCAGCTTCATGCCCGACTCTAGCCGGGCCATCTTCTTGTCCACATCGGCGCAATCTGTTGACGATGCCTCCTTCAAGACTCTGTGCCATCTCGGAGGTGGTTCGAATCGTTGAGATTTGAGTTGTGCGAAAAGGACTCTGCTGAACCGCACGCTTGTCGTCACAAGATCTTCCGGTGGGAATGCAAGCACTGCCGAAGTGGACAGGACCGGCTTCAGTGAAAGCGGATCTCTGAGATAGAACGCCTCCACGGCCGGGGAAACGGACTTTGGCAATGAGTGTACTATGTGTGCCAGCTTTCTCGGGATTGTGGCGAGCGAGTTGTGAGCCGAGTCGGCGATCTGTCCCGGGTATTTCCCCAGCCGATAAAGCGCTTCGGTCTGGATCAAAGGAGAGTGAACGAGGCGACCTGGTCTGGACTGGAGAGAATCCACAGCCTGTGACAAAGAAAGAGATTGATTCTGGGTTCCGTGCATTCCATCGTCTTCGAGAGGAATGATGAAGAGCTTGCCATCATGAAGCCAAACGCGGTTCTGGTCCATCTCCGGGCTTAACCACTCGGGCAGCACGTTTGCAGCCTCAATTAGTAGAAACTCGCCATCGGCATCAACAGCCCGGACCCAAAGAGCTGGGTGAGACTTGGTCAGCTCTCGCAGCATGTAGACGATGAGCCACTCGTCCTCGACAGCGTCACCATAGTCCGTCACGCCGTGCAGATATGGCAGACCTTGAAGTCGATGCCGTCAGCTGACGCCCTTTGATTCCCAGGGTCTGGCAGACGATCCAAGGGGACAGGCAGCCGCGTACCATTTTCTGTTTTCAGTTTGAGCTCAAAGCCATCACGTTGCCAGATGTAGTCCTTGGTCAGAGTCTGGCCGAGCTTGTGAGCCGCCCTTTGCAGCCCTTCGAGGTTGAGGACTTGCTTCCGAGCATTGTGCTCTTCGTCGACAAGGAATAAGAAGTATTCGACGCAGTTCTCAGGCAACTGGCGCTCCAAGACACCTTGCACATCAGCGTCGGCTTGCTCTTGGCCGCAGTTGCCATCCCGGGGCATAATGGAAAACTGAGCCCAGGGGCCTGGAGGCGTGGGACTGGTGGAAATGGCAGCAGTGTGACTTGTGTTGATGAAGTTGGCGGCGATTTCGCTGTCAAATTCTCGAAATGCTTTGACGAACCCCGGACTATTATAGTAGCCAGTACCTCCATGGTTCGGTAGGGCGACGCTTCGAGACAAGTAGCGGGTACATAAGGTACGTTAATGGAGGGGTTGTTGAGCTGAGCCGACCCCGCTAATCAGGCTTCCCTCTGCCATCTTCAGGGACCTGCCACCAGACTAGCACTGCGGATCCACCTCCGTTTACGCGACACGCTCACGTCGTCGCGTGCGACAAAATCAATCGACGTCGACGCTGCTTGCCACCGCAAACTTCGCCTCGCTCAGAGAGCAACGAAGCCGAGCTGCATGGTCCAAGGATTTCCCAGAAACTCTGCTCTTTTATTCGAGGCGCCGCATGACACTTACGAGTTGGCGGCGGCGTTTCTCTCCCAATGGCGCCCCTAAAACGAACGAGGCATGTCATTGACAACGACGACGATGTTGACAATGGTGGGGAGCAGGCCGAGGGACAGGATGGGCGCACCTCGCCAGTCGGTGGTGCGCAGTCAGTAAGTGCTCCCTTGCGACGACTAGAGTCATTTTCTGACCACCCTGACCCCAAGCTTCAGAGAAAACGAGTGCGATTGTCTCTAGAGGGACAGTCTTCACACCACCACGACGATTCCTCAAGTTCCGAAGACGAAGACGACGAGAAGAACGGACCCAATTCCCCCCCTCTGACCCAATACGAAATCATGAGAGATAACGGCTTCAAGCACCTGCAAAACACCGACATGGACGACTTGCGAGCCACGCAGAAGCTCCAGCGGAGACCCTCGAGCCTGGGCGACAACATGGTTGCCGAGAGCGGAATCATCGAGAGCGTTACATGCATCAACTTCATGTGCCACGAGCGTCTCCATGTCGAGCTCGGGCCGCTCATCAACTTCATCGTCGGCGAGAATGGCAGTGGCAAAAGTGCCGTCCTGACTGCGCTCACATTGTGCCTAGGCGGCAAAGCTAGCGACACCAATCGAGGAGGAAGCCTTAAATCTTTCGTCAAGGAGGGCCAAGACCACGGGAGGCTCATTGTCAAGATCAAAAACGCAGGCAGCGATGCTTATCAGCACGACGTATACGGCGACAGCATCATCGTTGAACGTCACTTCTCCAAATCGGGTAGCAGTGGCTTCAAGATCAAGAGTGATCACGAACAGATCATCTCTACCAAAAAGCAAGAGGTCGACGAGATATCCGAGTGGTACGCGCTGCAAATGGGGAATCCCCTCACCGTCCTGTCCCAGGACAATGCCAGGCAGTTTCTGAACTCCGCCACCCCCACTCAAAAGTACAAGTATTTTGTGTCTGGCGTGCAGTTGGAACAACTCGACAACGACTACAAGATGTCTCAAGATACTCTGGACAAGACTCTGATTCTCCGAGACGATCTCAACGAGAAGATAGGCCATGTCAAAAAGGAAATGGAAGACGCCCAGAGGCTAGCCGAGACTGTCCAGAAGAACAACAGTCTTCGCGAAAAGGCTCGACACTATCGGAACCAACTGGTCTGGTCGCAAGTGGTTGAGCAGGAGCAGGCGCTCGAGCGCCGTCAACTAGACCTGTCGACCCGGGATCAACGCATCACGGAAACAGAAGCCGAGTGCGAGGAGATGAGCAAGGCTTTGCTTGAGTGCCAAGAAAAAATGGACAGGGCCACCGCAAATCGGAACAGCCTCGACGAAGAGAAAGAATTCATGGCGAAGAGAATCGCGGCCGCAGAGGCGTCTTTTCAGACTGCAAAGAAGGACCTGACTGAGCTACACCGAGAAGAGAGAGATGCTTTTAGCCGCCTCAAGACGGCAAGAGGAGAGATTGAAGCCTGCGAAGGGAAAATCCTGGAAGAGGAACAGCGCCTGAATGAGTCCACGGGCTCGGCCCACGCCGAGAAAGACGCCGAGCTCTCCGAAGCGACGTCTCAAGAAAGGAACATCAACGAGCAAATCTCGGCGCAGAATGAACAACTGCCGATGCTTCAGTCGACGCTCGCCGAGGCGGAGCACGTCTTGAAGAAAAAGCAGGAGCTGCGAGACTCCAAGCGCAACGACATATTGACGGCGGAGGCAGGTGTCCGGGAGCTCGAAAAGAGCACCGGATCGGCCTACGACGGGTTTGACCGAGAGATGATGAACCTTGTCAAGGCAGTATCGAACAGCGGGGGCTTCGAGCACAAACCTCTCGGCCCCCTAGGTGCCCACATCAGACTTGTCAAGCCTGAGTGGTCGGGGGTCCTGGAAAAGACTCTCGGCGAAACATTGAATGCCTTTGTTGTCAGAAGTAAACGAGATCAAACACGCCTCTCAGGCTTGATTCGGCAAAATGCGATGAGAAAGCCGCCTCCCATCTATATTGCCTACGGCGGACCAATCGACACGAGGGACCAAGAGCCCGACAGCAAGTTCGACACTATCCTGCGAGTGCTGGAATTCGATGAAGAGCTGGTCCGGTCGCAGCTAGTCATCAACAACCAGATAGAAAAGGTCATACTGGTCATGAAGCGCTTGGAGGCGGAGCAGATCATGATCGACAGCGGCCCTCCTCGCAATGTTGCGGCGTGTATCTGCTTTCACGACGGCCAAGGAAAGCGCGGCCAAGGCTTGCGGATCACGAACCGCTCGGGAACCATTGCGACAAGCCCGATTATCCCCGGCGTCTTGCGGCCGAGGATGCAATCCGACTCGGCCAGGCAACTTGCGCTTCAGAAAGAAAATCTCAAGCATCTGGGGCTCGAGCTGAGAGAATTGATGAGTGAGGAACGCCTTGCGCAGCAGGCGGTGCAGGGGAGCCAATCGGAACTCGAGACGCACCGCAGGCGGCAGACGCAACTGGCCAACGACCTCCGCAGGACGCAAGCCGACATCGAACGGATTCAAACGGAATTGGACGCCTTTGAAGGCGTGGACGACCGACTCGTTGTTTTGCGGTCCGAGCTGGAGACTAAGCGGGCTGAAGAGGAGCAGCTCGGCATTCAGTACGGCAACATGAAATTGACGAAGCGCGGGCTGAGTGCAAGGGCCGAGGAAGCCAAAAAAAGACTTGATACTGAGCGGGACCATGGCAATAACTTGGAAAGCCGGGTCAGCAAGGCCGATGAAGCGAAGCTCAGTCGCGAGTCCATGAGACGCATTGCGCTTTCGAAGAAGAACGATGCGTTTGAAAGGCTGGATATTGAGAGGGCGGAACGACGCCGAGCAGAGGTGAAATGCAACGAGAAGGCGGAAGCGGTGCATGAGTTCATTCAGCAAGCCGAGGCTGTCGCGCCAGGGCGTGTTTATATTCCCGAGGGGGAAGATCACCGGAGCATCGAGAAAAAGTACGAAAAGATTGGGGAACAGCTGGCTCAACGAGAGGCCAGGATCGGGGCCACGGACCAGGAGATTTATGATCGTGCGAACGAGGCGAGAGGCAAGTACGAGGGCGTGGTGAAGCAGACCCGACACGTGGACGAGACAATAGCATCGCTGAAGCACGCGATTGAACATCGCCTGCACCTCTGGCGACAGTTCCAGAGACAGATCAGTGCTCGGGTTCGCATTCAATTCAACTACCTGTTGAGCGAGCGTGGCTTCCGGGGCAAGATCGACCTGGATCATCGGGCGAGAAAGGTTATCATACACGTCGAGCCGGACGAGACGCGCAAGAGCTCGGCGGGTCGGAACACCAAGACGCTCTCCGGAGGCGAAAAGTCGTTCTCGTCCATCTGCATGCTGCTCTCGGTCTGGGAGGCAATCGGATCACCCATCAGATGCCTGGATGAGTTTGATGTTTTCATGGACAATGTTAACCGAGCCATCAGCACCAACATGCTCGTGAGTGGAAGCCAGTGCTTTGGGGTACAGCTAGAATACTGACATGGAACAGGTGGACGCGGCGCGGCGATCGGTCTCCCGTCAATACATCCTCATCACTCCCAACGCCATCGAAGGGCGGGCTAGGCTCGACAAGGACGTGAAGATCATTCGGTGAGTTGTTTGCTTGCATTCGCTTCCAAAGTCGTTATTTACTAACGGGTCTCAAGCTTGACCGATCCCCGCCAACGCACCTTGGTCTAAGACACCTTTCTTCCTCCTTTTCCCATGCTTCCCTCACCTGTCTTTGTGCTCTCATCCCTTTCTACCTGACGCCTTGAGGGCGTTCGGCTGCCTTCTCATACCATGCATAGGAGCGCGAAGAGAGTATGGGGGAAGAAACGAGGTCTGCCGGGAGATCAGACATCCGGCCCCAAGGTAGCAATTGTATTTTGTCTGCGTTCATCGTACACGTCTCGTATCGTCGGGATGTATTGTACAGGGGCCGAACGTGCGTCGGCTTCAGGCGAAATGATCAAGTTATATGGGGACTCCCTTGCTGCGCAATAGATTCAAGCTTGCGTTGACGGTAAATCCGGCCCATTGGCCTAGGGATTCGACGTAGCTGCCAGCTGTCCTGGTCTCGGCCAGCCTCCTGTGTAGGAAATCTCTCGTCTCGGCGTAGCCGGGAGACCTGTCGTTGGTCATCAACAGCTCGGCGGAGCTATAAATCATGGACAAAGAGGCGCGTTTGCTGTACCACGAGGGATCAACGGCCCGGTCACCAGCGAGGAACCAAATCTCGTCGGACAGCAGGGCTAATTCCTTGAGCGAAGCTGGCAGGTAGCTGGGCTGGGCCATGATGGCGAGTGCCTATGATGAAGCTTCCATCAGCATGCGCTGCGTGCCGCGTGAAGCACTGTTGGGAACCGTTTGACACGCACTTGTTGCCACTGGTGAATGACAGCCTCATTGGCCCTGAGGCGAGCCCAGGTCAGCTGTGTGACCTTTTCTGCCACGCCCGAAGCAGCAGGGTCCTGACTGGCGGCACCAGCAGCAGGGTCCTGGCGGCTCAGATCTCGGCGGCGGGTGACGAGGTGGTATCGGATAAGGCTAAAGGATCCTTCGGGGAGGATGCTGGGGCTGATGTCGAGGAAGCCGGCGTCGCGGGCGCCCAGACCGAGTGCGCGGCGTGAGAAGCCGTGTTCGGGCACGTGCCGATAGGCGGCGGCGAGAATGGCGTCCTCTACGGCGCCAAAGGGGCCATCGGACGGCGGGTGATGGAATGAATGGAAGGATTGGGAGCAGGACCGGGTGAGGCAGGGGCCGCGGAGGGCCAGGGCCAGGCTGGAAACTAGGGCCTGTCGTGGGTAGGGCGGCATGGCTGTTTGGTCTTTTCTTGCGGGCCTCGATGAAGCGGCGGCCTGGGCAGCGAAAGAGGCGGGCGATGGCACGAATGTACAAGCTGCGATGGAGACGGATGGAGCGATAAGATAAGGGTCGCTTCTAGGCCCCTTTGAGGTAGAAAGAGCATAGGTAGGTAGCTCGAGTACTGTACTGTGTTATGCCGAAGGTCCAGATCTAGGTAGGTACCCAAAGAGGTAATAAGGTAGGTACCTTAGGTAGGTAGGTAAGGTACCTACCTTAGGCAGGCAGCGTGCTGCAGGTAAGAATCAAAGGTTGTATTTGTATCCTTACCTGGAAGAGTGCTTTCGATGAAGATATTACGTCTTGTTAAAAGGACGAGTGCACCAGTTTCAGCTTGAACTATGCTTTTGGAGGCACCAAAGCCTGCGTTAGTATTCGCACTCGCATCCTATGTAACCCTGTCGGTCATTAGGCACGCCCCCTCACACCCCCTCCCTCGCCTTGCCGACTGGGTGGTGCTGTTCTGTACGAGCGACCATCCCCGGCCCCGATTTGCTACTTACGTCCCGCCTGCTTCTGCCAGAGCATGTACCTGCACCGACTGCCTGCCTGCTTGCCTGTCTGCAGCGTGCCCTTGGCTGTTGAGACACCACCACCCGTTTGCCTTGGCCTTGTTCCCTTTCCTTTTTTTCTTCTTTATTCTCCCACCACACGCCTTTTTTTCCTTCTTCACCGCGCATCTTTGGCCCAGAGCCTCGTCGTCTTCGTCTCCCGTCTCACGTCTCTCGCGCGTCTCCTTGTCACGCACGCCCAAGGAGGAAGAGGTAGTCGGTCTTGCCATGGGTAGGTGCTCCGTTTTGCTCTCAAGCGCCCTGGCTTGTTGTTTGGCCTTTGCGTTGCCTTTGCGTTGCCTTTGCGTTGCCTTTGCGTTGCCTTGCGTTGCCTCGCGCCGCCTCGCCTCTCGCACGCGTCCCCCATCCATAACATATGCATGCATTCATCGGCAGGCACTGCAGTCCGTCCTGTTTCCCCTCCCTCTCGCCCTCGTCCCGCCCTCTCACATGTCGCCGACCTGGGAAGCATGCGCAGCACATGTACAGGCTGTATCACGGCCGCTGCTCCAGGTCGACCTCTGTGATGACAACAGCACCGGCATGCCACCCTTTTCGTCGCTGCATGCCTTGATACCCTACCTAGGTTGTCAGAAAAAGCCCCCTCAACCTGCATGTCTCCCACCCACCTTGCCTCCGTCTCCTCGCTGGTACCCCCACCACCACCACACACACCTACCCTCCCGGGTACTTGGCCTACCTTGCTCGCCTGAGCTGCCAACCGCTCTCTCACCTACATACATACACCATGCCTTGCCTAGCTGTACTCCGTACCTAAGTACGAAGTAGGCCCTTTTTATTTCAACCGGCGTCCCCTCCCCGCCTCTCACGTCCTCTTCTCACCCTGCCTCTCCCCCATCTCGACGTCGTCGTCCTGTCTCGCCTTGGGAGACAGCCTCTCGCCCCGACACATCTCTGACGCTCGCCCATACTAGCTGATTCTGGCGATACGTACCGCCCTGTAAGTTGCTTTTCTCTGCCTCGCTCTCTGTCTGCCTGCCTGCCTGCCTGCCTGCCTGCCCACCCATCGTCGTTGTTTGTCTTCCAATCCAGTGGAGGGGCTGGAAACGGCAGCGACCCAGGAATGGCAGGGACGTGGTCCTGGCTGCCCCTCCTCACCGCCCTGCTTGGAGCGCCCGGTCCCCGCTGCGGCACTGCTTCGGCTCGCTGCAGCTCTGAAAGTGGAGCCTTTCCGTGGCCCGCTCCGCAAGCTGCCCTGCGCGGCTGCTGCAGCGAGGGAGTCTTGGGCTGCTACCTGGTCACGACGCACCGCCGCCACCGAAAACCTGTCAGCAACAACGAGCGAACGCTTCCAACCGTTTGCGCCTGCGCCATCACGCGGATTCAGCCGACCCGAAACCCCTCTCGACTCGCGCCCATCGACCGCCCAGACCATGGACGCACAAATGGAAGAACTTGCAGCTGACATGCCCCAGCGTGAGCGGTCTCGATCTCCTCGTCGACGCTCCAGGAGCCCCGGTCGCCAGTCTCGCCGTCGCTCCTACTCTCCACGCAGCAGGTCCAACAGCAGAGACGACTATCGCCGTGGCCGCGATCGCTCGCCCATGACTGGAACAGGCGCTCCTGGTGGAGGATCTGGGACTGGTTTCGCTGGCCAAGCTCCGCATCGCTCCTACGAGGAACGAGCCGCGGCTCGGGAGCAAATGATGAGCAACATTCGCGAGACTTCACAGCAGGACCGCCGCGTCTACGTCGGCAACCTATCCTACGATGTCAAGTGGCATCACCTCAAGGACTTTATGCGACAAGGTAAGCACCCTGCGGCCCTGCCGGACACGCCGTGGCTGACGCTCCTTCGCTTAGCCGGAGAAGTCTTGTTTGCCGACGTGTTGCTCCTTCCCAACGGAATGTCCAAAGTGCGTTTTCCACTCTACTCCTCTCTCCCGGCTACTTTCCATGTCGACATCTTCCTCCGGGGCCCGTGTGGCCTGCAGCGATTGAACTAACCACGGCGTTGCCGCGTCACGTCGCAGGGATGCGGGTAAGTCTTCCCTCGCCTCCTCAATCAGTGCCTTTGGCTAATGTACCCGGCAGGATTGTTGAATATGCCACCCGGGAACAAGCTCAGCAGGCCGTCGCCCAGCTCAGCAACCAGAACCTTATGGGTCGCTTGGTTTACGTCCGAGAAGTTTGTCCAGACCCACTGCTCTTGATTCCGTGCAGCCTAACATGTTACAGGATCGCGAAGCCGAACCTCGCTTCATCGGCGCCACGGCCGGCAACCGAGGCGGATTCGGAGGCGGCATGTCTGGCGGCTTCAACCCAGGCTACGGCGGCGCACCTGGAGGCGGCGGCGGTCGTCAGATCTACGTCACCAACGTAAGCTGGAATCCAATCTTCCATCGACGCCTTCTACCAATCAGCTGTCTAATTCTCCAACTCGTAGATTCCATTCAACGTGGGCTGGCAAGACCTGAAGGACTTGTTTCGACAAGCCAGTGAGTGCCTATGCTTCTCTTTCTCAATGGCAGTGTGCATCTTCTAACACCGCCCCAGCACGCATCGGAGGCGTCATTCGTGCCGATGTGCACGTTGGTCCCGACGGCCGACCCAAGGGCTCAGGCATCGTTGTCTTCGAGAGCCCTGACGACGCTAGGAACGCCATTCAGCAGTTCAACGGATACGACTGGCAGGGACGCATGCTCGAGGTGAGAGAAGACCGGTTTGCGGCAGCCAGCGGCATGGGCTTCCCTGCCCGCGGCGGATTCGGTGGCGGCATGCGCGGGGGCTTCGGCGGCGGCGGCGGCAATTTCGGCCGCGGCGGATTCGGGGGAGGGCGGGGTGGCTTTGCATTCGGCGGACGAGGAGGCTTCCCTAGCGGCGGCGGCGGCGGCGGCGGCTTTGATGCCCCCCCCGCTACCGCTGTCCCGCCGAATCCCTTCACTGACAACGCCACGGCCGGCACGGAAAGGGGCCAGGTCATCTATGTCCGGAACGTGAGTGCAGTGACGTCCCCCCTCTGGATTAGACACTAACCGCCCTCGAGCTCCCATGGTCGACCAGCAATGACGACCTGGTCGAGCTCTTCACCACGATCGGCAAGGTCGAGCAGGCCGAGATCCAGTACGAGCCAAGCGGCCGGTCTCGAGGCTCCGGCGTGGTTCGCTTCGACAGTCCTGAGACGGCCGAGACGGCCATCGCCAAGTTTCAAGGCTACCAGTACGGCGGTCGCCCTTTGAATCTCAGCTTTGTCAAGTACCTCAGCCAGGGCAGCGCCGACAACATGGAGACGGAAGCCCACGGAGGCCTGACCCAGGATCAGATCATGTGAAGAGAGTCGCGGCAGGTCTGCCGTTTTGTGGCCGGACGAGGACTCTAGCGACCCAGACACCATGCACGGACGCAGAGTCCCAGACCAGCTCACCTGACTCGAGAATGCCTTGGCCGCCCGTCGTCCGTCATCGTTTTCCTTTCTTTTTGCACCTGCTTTTGACGAATCTCGAGAAAATATTTGGTGGAAAGGCCTTCGCAACCAGCCAGGAGAAGTTCGCGAACCCGAAGTCGCATTCGAACTTGTTCTTGTATTCGGCCGAAGCACCGAATACTGGTAAAGTTGGTGGGCTTAGGGATTGGTGGATATGCGTTTGCCGTCCGGGCAAAGAAAAAGACAGAAAAAGAGCAAGCATTGTCTCGATATCGTCAAGATCTCGAGACACCACGACGAGAGGAGCTTCGTACCGACCCTACTTGGGCTACTTGGGAGGATGTCAAGAGGATAATACGGTATGGGGCAAGTTAGGAGAGGACAGAAGACATGGTTCTACCTAGAATGTATGAGGATTAAGCGTACGATGATGGTATCTGGTTGCCGGGCGGCTCAGGACTTCAGGTGTGGATGATCAGCGTAGGATGATGGAGCAAACGGAAAGAGTCGAGAATGGCGGATGACGGCAAGGACGCCTTGCCCAGGCCTGACGACGATATTTGGGCCGCCGACACCGACGAAAGAAGGGCTAGGATTGTGGCGACGCGAGACCACCGACTCCTCTCACCCCCAGTACTTCAACAGCGCCTTGCGGGGTTGCCCATGATTGCGAGGGACGAGGGAGCTGGGCGTTCTCGTCCAGGGTTGGTCTGCGGTCTCCTGGGCTGGCTGTTCTGGAGACGCGCCCACGCCGGTAAGGAACTTGGACGGTCGCAGGCTGCTTTCGGGCGGGCACCAGGCACGGCCTCGCTTTGGGTGATGAGCGAGCCGTTGCCGCCACGCCCTCGTGAAAGACGACGAGGCGCGACACCACAGCACGGTAGGTCGGTGTGTTGTCGCAGTGAGTTATAGAGGCACGTGCGTCCCTTGTAGACATGGGGTGAGGCACGGATACCGTGGTAGGATTGTCCAGTCGTCATCGTGTGGTGGCAATCAACAAATCTCCGATCACGTAGTGAGAGCCGATTTGCGAGAGCCGAGTCAAAGCTGCTCACAGCTTTAGCCGGGCTCCTCTCTCGACCGGCCCTCACAGCCTTCCATGCACCCAAGCCACTCATAAACAAGCACTGCAAATGGAATAACGACTAAAAATTATGCCGAATATGAGGCAGAAAGTGTAGTTGGTTCAATTAAGCGACTTGGCTGAGCGCAGCCATTTGACGTGTATTTCGCCTATGAGCCGCACAATGCCGCCTGCCCAGGCGAGCAGAGGAGCACCGTAAAGCGCTGGCAGCCAAGGCTTTAGTCTACATGATTGGTGTGTCATCTCAAAGGTGGTCCAGCGTGATGCGTAAACAAAGCCACCGCCGAATTCTCGGAGCTCCTCGGTGGCCCGTTTCCCTGCGGACGGGGAACAGAGTCAAGTCGTCCTGAGAACCTCATGACGCAGTCTTCTTCTTTTTGGCCTTTGCCTTCTTCTTGCTCCGATCCCGTGGTTTCAGAGCCGTCATGCCTGCCTTGCAAATCTCGGCGTAGCGAGTGTAAAACTTGTCGAGGTCATGGGGCTGGACGATGGTGGATAACTTAAGCTTGTCGGCCCTCTGCCTCTTGGACTTGCCGTTGGATGCACGGACAATAAGGGGCATGGGGTTTTCAGAGACAAGATCAGGCATTGGGTTGTCCGCCGTGGGTAGTGGGCAGTCCTGATTGTAAGTGACTGGTTGAAGCGGGACAGAGATTAGCCTTTTGCTGCTCTGATGCCAGTCAAGGGAGATGAGATGGGCTGCCCCGGAGACGCTGGGGGCGGGCAGGAAACGAAAAAAAGAGCATCGGCTGGGATGACATACGCCGCTTTTGGGTGAGATAGATGGCTCCGTGGTCGCTCCCCTTGCGACTATGAAAGAGCTCGCCGAGCTTGTCGAAGAACTGGGCAGCACGCATCAGCTGGACAATCGACCGGCCCCTGGAGCGTGTGGATGTTTTGGGCTCACCTCGTCCTGACCCAAGTGTTGTGACTCCATCGTGGGCTGGACCACCGGCGCTCGTGGATGAGGACGCACTGGAGGCGTGTATGAACCTGTACGTCGTGAGGGTTTGATGAAGTCGGGAACTATTTTGCCAAGAAGAGCGAGAGACCCAACTGTGTTGGAGCCCGATAAAGCTGCGCTCGCCCTAGGGGTCGCCCTAGCATTTCATTCTGGTACGTACTACCTAGGTAGACATGTAGGTACATAGGTACCTAGATACCAGGTACTTGATCTCTTCCAGTGTATGTATATACCTACCTAGGTCCCGGATTTCAAAGTTATTAGGTATTCTCCCAAGAGAATCTATTTCATAGGTAGTACCTTGCGGAGTACCATGAGTACCATGGAGTACTATTAGAGACTTACAGTAAAGTAAAGACAGACTACCGTGGCTGTTGGCAGTAAATACCAAACGATGAGCTATCAGTACCTGGTAGTAGGTACCTGGTCAGTTAGCGTGGCGTGGCTGCCTGGCGCGGCGGGGCGGCAGGGCCATGGTGGGCTAAGACGGATTCGAGATTTTTTAAATAATCCCTCCGAAGAACAGGCAAAGACATCTACACTTTGTGCGCGCAAAGGCCTCGACTATATGCCTTTGTCCCTGATCATGATTCCACCTTATGCAATTATTGTTCCTCATCTCCAAGCTCCTTCTAGCTCGCCTTGGCGCGGCTGAGGTTTCTTTTCCTGGGGCGAACCTCGTCTGCCCCAGCCATCGTCCACCATCATGCCGTCCACCTTGGTCGTCGAGCTGCAGCAGAAGCTCTTCAAGCGCATGGGTCTTGATGCCCCGGGACTGGCCCAAGTACCAAATTCAAATCGCAGAACCGGCGTCCCCAAGGGGTTTTCACGAAAAGACAAGCGAAAGGCAGAGAGGGCGCAAAAGAAGACTCAAAGATATTCGCGGCAAACGCAGTTACCTCATACCGCTCGACCAACCCACGACTTCGAACATGCAGAAGAAGAGGCATTGCCAGAATCCAACGAACAAGTTTTTGGGTCGGATAATTACGACCCGGAGAGCACCCAGCAAGAGCCATCACCGCCTCCTTCCAACGAGCCAGAAAGGCGGAACGGCCTATCCAAGTCGATGCGGGAGAGGCTGGCCCAGGACGACGCCGAAATCGAAGCGCTTGAAAGAAAGCTCGGAATCAAGAAACACCGCAAGTCCCTGCCCAAGGCATTCCAGGACGACGGACTAGATGAGATTCTCGGCAATACGGGGGGGGGCGTCTCAGACAGCGACGACGAGTCCAACAAGCGCAAGCGCGACTTTGATGATTGGCTATCATCGAAAAGGAGAAGAACGATATCAAAGCCCGACGGCCCGGCCAAGCGAGACGGCAACACTCGAGAACAAGACTCCAACCATGACGACTTCCCCACCGACTCCGATGAGAACGGTGAGGACGAGGACGGACAAGGCGCCGCGCACCTGGAGGCTGGACACGACAGTGAGCTAGACGGAGGGGACAGCGACGATGAGTCGTTTAAGAGCTTCAAGTCTGACGGGGATGCTGCCGTTCCTGTCCAGCCGCGACAGAGGGAGAACCCCTATGTTGCTCCCACGACTGGCGTCGTGGTCGCGAAATACATTCCGCCATCGCGGAGAATGGCCCCGGCATCGGGAGACGAGGCGAGAGATCGTCTGCAGAAGCAGATTCAGGGCCAAATCAACCGTCTCACCGACAGCAACATTCTGTCCATTGTCCAATCCATCGACGACATATACCAGCACAATGCCCGCGGCGACGTTACCGAGCTACTGACCGACGCAATCATGGCACAAGTGTGCAGGCCCGAGAGCCTGCCCGATCAGTTTTTCGTTCTGACGGGGGGTTTCTCCGCGGCAGTTTACAAAATCATTGGTTCCAGCTTCGGATCCCATCTCGCCCGCCGCGTGGTCAAGGAATTTGGAGATGCGTACGGGAAGGCCAGCCAGGAAACGGATGACCAGGGCTTCCATCGGAAGGAAACCTCCAACCTAGTCACGTTTCTCACCCAACTTTACATGTTCGAAGTCGTGGGGTGCAGGATACTTTTCGACTACATGGAGCGACTGCTCAAAGAAATTACGGAAGTCAACGTCGAGTTGTTGGTCCGCATGTGTCGCATGGCCGGTAGGCTGCTGCGGAGAGACGATCCGCAGGCGTTGAAGCATGTTTCAGGGACATTGAGCCAGGCCGTGTCCAAGGTCGGATACGCCAACGTATCTGCCCGAACCAAGTTCATGATTGAGATAATCAATGATCTTAAAAACGGCAAGCCAAAGGCCAAAGGGCTGGACTCTGCTGTTGTCTCGGAACACGTCCTACGCATGCGGAAACGACTTGGCGATCTCAAGTCCCAATCGCGGAGGCTCGACGGGCTTGCCGCAATGGGCATGGGCCTGGATGACATCGAAGGCGCCGATACGCATGGGAAATGGTGGCTTGTGGGAGCCAGCGTGCCTGTCTATCGCGAGGTGCCTGAGCGAGCCAAGAGCCTGGCCAAGACGAGGACTGGAGGCGACAGCGACACGACGGACGACGAGGACATGGATTTTGTCCTGCCCGATTACCCCAGCAAGGCTCGCGCGCAAGGTCTCGGCACGGGAGCCCAAATTTCCATCTTCACGGCACTCATGTCCGCCAACAGCCATGAGCAGGGTTACCAGCAATATGCGAAGCTCAAGCTTAAGAAGGACGAGCAGCTTGAAGTTGCACGGGTGCTTGTGCAGTGCGTGGGCAGTGAGATGCAATACAATGAGTACTACGGACTGGTAGGGAGCCTAGCCTGTGCGAACGGCAGGGTGAGGTTTGCTTTTCAGAATCGCCTGTGGAAGCTGTTTCGCGGTCTCGGGGAGTCACTGTTTGGCGAGGGTGCCGATGAGGAGGAGACGGCGGACAGCGAGAGGATGCAGGACGAGCGACGGGCGGGCCATGTCGCGCGCTTCTACGCATCTCTGGTGGCCAATGGCGCGCTGAGCATCAGTATCCTGAAGCCGCTGCAGCTCCCCGAGCTGAATCGGAGGACCTCGGCGTTTGTGGAGCGCTTCATGGTCAGTCTGCTGCAGGAGTGTCGGGGTAAGAGAGCCGTGGGGGGTGCCAGCGTCGAGAAGGCGTTTGGCCCGGCGAAGGAGCTGCCATCCCTCGCGGCCGGCATATACTGGTTCTTGAGCAGCAAGGTTCGCAAGTCGAAGCTGGTCGAAGCCAAGGAGGCCAAGGGACTTGTTCGAGTGAGGGAGAAGGCCCAGACAGTTGTCCAGGCAGCGACGGCCGACGACGGATGCTAGGCACTTACTATTTGCGCCATCTCGAGGCTGGAACAGGATAGCTTATTGAGTCTACCCCTGTCAAGCTGGTAAAATACCGCTACACCATGCAAAATGAGGGCACCCCCGATAGAGGTGTTACAAACGCGTATTATTGTCGCGAAGCGTGGCCTGATTTCGCAGTTCTCGGAGATATCCCTTGGCACGAGGGACCTAGGAAGCTGAAAACACCCGGTGTGGAAGAAGGAAGAAGGAGCTAAAAGAAGGTGCAGAGAAGAGGGTGGGGGCATGAGGGGAAGCAGAAGTGGCGATGGCTTCCTATAGAGGTGGCGAGAGATAAGACGGATATGCCGGCAACGGCTAGAAAGGAGGGGAAAAACCGGCAAAAAGCTCGATAGTTAAGAGGATATTAGTAGCTTCTTTAAGCAGGATCTTCTTTATTAATTAAGATACTAGATAGGTTTAAAGAGGGGCGTTAGATAGAGGAAAGAAGGATAATTAAGGTAATATAATAATTACTCCTTTACTATAATTACTGCCCCTATAAGAATTAAATATCTCTACCTTACCTATTAAACCCCTTACTTTTACTATTACCTTTATATATTTTATATATACTTTTTATATCTCTCTTTATAAGAGTTATAAGCCTAGGAGGAATAGAATTCTTATACCTTCTAGCTACTATAAAAAGCACTGTTTTTATATCCTTTATAGCTTCCTTTTACCCTTTTTACTAGAAAAGCTAATTTTTAACTAACTTTTCTACCTTCTTATATAATAAGAGTAAAGCTATTTATACAACGCCCTTTTACTATTAGTATAATAGATCCATTTTTTCGGTACGTACACCCGCCAGCCCGCCCCGCCTAAAGTACCGCGCCCGGCCTAGCAAGTATCCGTATCTTTTAAATGCCCTCGTCCACATATATATATATTGCGCCCACCTACACCTACCCACTTATCTATACACACAAATTTAAAGCTATCCGGCAGCGGCGGCGGCAGCGGCGGCAGCTGCAGCCGGGTCAATTAGTGGGCTATTGCAACATTAACTTGAGGCTAGAAATGCGTTATTTGAGCGAATTGAGTGGACGCGTTGTGCGGCCGCAGCTGCGCCGGCGGAAGGGGCGCAAAGTGTATGTGTATATATGGACGAGGGCATTTGGAAGGTACGGGTACTTGCCAGGGCGGACGCGGTACAAGTGGTGCGGGGGCCTGGCGCGGGTACGTACCGAAAAAAATGGATCTGTTGTACTAATAGTAAAAGGGCGTTATATAAATAGCTTTACTCTATAATAATATTAAAAAACGATTCCTTTACTACCCTTATAGTCTATAAAACGATTCTTATAAAGCCTTAGGATTAAGATAAGTAGGTAAAGGAGCTATAGGCTTATATAGATAGAACTATCTATAATTTAGTTTTCTTTAATAAGTAGGACCCTATTAACCCCCCTCTTTATCTTAGGGCTATAGAATTTATAAAGGGAGCTTCCCTCTTCTTTTAGCTAACCTCTATATAGTAGAGAGCTTTTTCTACTACCTAAGGTAACTATAAGAGTTATCGTAAGGAATACCTTTATAAGATAAAGCTACTAACTATTATATATATAATAATAATAAAATCTATTAGTACTATAAAGCTAATCTCTTTTTAAGAAAAAGAGACTCCTAAGTAATAGCTTTTAAAGCTTAAGACCTTAATAGCTCCCTTAAAGGGCTATATAACTAACTATATTAAGAAGACCTATATAGTATACCTAAGAGCCTTTTTTACTAGGAACCTACTAGCTTTTTTATAGCTAGCTAAGTAAGAAGAAATCCTTAAGGAAGCTAACTAATACTTCTTAATAAAAGCTCTTTCTAGCTAGTATATAACGACTAGTATTATTCCTAAGGGATAAACCTATCGAGGGGTTTATATTAGTAGATATAATAAGGCGTAGTCTAAGTAATAATATATATATTACGTTAGTAATAAGTTAGAGGTCGTAGACTATAGACTATAACTAGGTAATTAGAATTAAAGATAGAATCGTAATAAAGATCTATATTAAAAGCTAGAGAGCTATCTATCTAAAAGAGTAAAAGTAAGTAGCTATATATACCTATAAAGACTATCCTTAGATTATAGGCCTAGCTATAATCCCTAACGTTAGATCGTATAAGAGCGTAGTAATCTTATTAATCTTAGATTACTTAGATCTCTACGATCCCCTTAATCTTATATCTATTAGATAGTCGTGCTAACTATTTATCCGTTTAGACTATATTACGTGCTTAACGCGGTCGGCCGTTAGCGGCCTAGTAGCTATAGTTATAATACGATATCTCCCCTCCTTTTAGTCTTATCTATAAGACCTATTATAGCTACCTTAGCCGCTATATATAAATATACCCTTATTACGTTATATATAAGTATATCGTTCCTTATTTCTTTATCCTTTTAAGATATACTACTAATAGTATATCTAGTTATATACTAAAAAATTATTCTTAAAAAGCCTCTAAGCGCGCTACTCTTACTAAATATATTAACTTAAGTAGAGATCTTATTAATATACCGTATACTTAATACTTTAAGGTAAAGAAGATAAATTATTAAATAGCCGAAAATTCTTTACGCTATAATAATTATATTACTAGTAGTCGTCTATATTATAATAGTATTTTAATAGCCTCTTCTTATAGGTATTTTTTAATTCTTTTTATATATAGTAGCTAATATATTTCTTTTAGTAACTAAATTATTAATAAAGTAGCATAGGCTATATTTTAAAAAGAAAAAAGCTAAGGAAGCCTTATTAAAGCTTTAAGTATAGCTTAAGAACCTTTAGTCGTAAATATCTATTACCGTTAATTATTTAGCTTATATCTAAAAGATTTAGAATTATATAAAGGAAAAGAGTTCTAAGTTATTTTATTATAGTATTTAAGAAGTAGATATTAAGGATAGCGTTTTACCTATACTTAATATATATAAGTATTAAGTAGTAAAAAACTTATAATTATTAAGCGTTCTTAATAAAGCGAATTAGTCCTTATTTAGTATTAATAAAGAGTTTATAGATCTTAGTCCTTTAATCCCCTTTAAACCTTTTAGTAAAATTATTAAAGTAAAGAGCTATAGTAGGTTAAGTACTTAAGTAGTTCCTAGGTATTTTCCTTTAGTCTATATCCCTTCTACTTAATAAGGTATTTTTATTACTAACCTTATTTTCTTATATCTAGTATTTATTCTACTTTATATTCTTAATTATTATTAACTTTAAATTTTTCTTATAGTTTAGTATTTTATAGCGCTAGTTTTAATAATAAGATATAAAATATTAGGTATATCTATATTATTATTAATAGCGTAAGTTTATAGTTAACTTTTAAAATAGTTTTCTTAACCTTAAATAGTCTACGTTTCTTAAAATCTAATTTATTACTTAGTTATTTTATCTTAATATTTTATTATATAAGGTAGACTATATCTCTTTCTTAAAAGATTAGTCCTTATAATCTTTTTTAATTATAGTAAGTAGATATTCGTTCTTTAATAAATTAAAGTTCTTATTATATTTCTTTATATAATTTTTATAGCTAATCTACTTATAGTACCGCTCGTTCCGCTTATAGTCCTTATTAAGTAACCTTAAATACTTCTAGGTTATATCTATAATTAGTATATACTAGTAAGAGCTTAGTTATTTCTATAACTAAGCTATTATAAGCTAGTTATACTATTAGTAGCTATTTAACTTAATCGTTTTATTTATAGCTAATATAGTATTATAAATATTATTTAAGCGTCCTTTTTAAAAGACCCTATCTCCTTATATAAGGCTAGGTAGTCTTTCTAAGCCTAGAAAAACTAGTCTTTAAAGGGGTGTTTTTCTAGCTACTTTTAGTTTACTAGTAGGTCTAAAAGGTCTCTTTTATATACTTTAATAAGTAAGATCGTACCCCTATAAATATTAGCCCGTTAAAGGGATAAGACCCTTAGTACTCCCTTTCTAACTTACTTTTAAGTATACTTAAAGGCGTTATAAAGACCTTAATTATCTAATTAAGTATCTTCCTTAATTATAGTTAATTTAAATTTTTATTTTTCCCCTTTAAAGTAAAGGCCGCTAGTTACGCGACTTTAATAAAGATAAAGAGGTATAAAGTAAAGAAATCTCTAAGACTTATATTTATAACTTAAGGCCCTTAATATCGCGAAGCGTAGCTTAATTTCATAGTTCTTAAAGATATCCCTTAGTATAAGGGACCTAGGAAGCTAAAAAATAGGTTTTAAAGAAGGAGCTAAAAGGAGGTATAGAAAGGAGGGTAGGGGGATAAGGGGAAGTAAAAGTAGCGATAGCTTCCTATAAAGGTAGCGAGAGATAAGACGGATATACCGGCAACGGCTAGAAAGGAGGGGAAAAACTAGTAAAAAGCTTAGTAGTTAAAAGGATATTAAAGGCTTCTTTAAGTAGGATCTTCTTTATTAATTAGGATGCTAGATAGGTATAAAGAGGGGTATTAGATAAAGGAAAGAAGGATAATTAAGGTAATATAATAATTACTCCCTTACTATAATTACTACTCCTATAAGAATTAAATACCTCTGCCCTACTTATCCGACCCCTTACTTTTACTTTTACCTTTATATATTTTATATATACTTCTCGTATCTCTCTTTATAAGAGTTATAAGCCTAGGAGGAATAGAATTCCTATACCTTCTAGCTACTATAAAAGGTACCTTTCTTATATCCCTTATAGCTTCCTTTTACCCCTCTTACTAGAAAAGCCGATTTTTACCTAACTTTTCTACCCTTCCCTATAATAATAACGAAAACCGACTCTTTTACCGTCCCTACGGTCTATAGGACGATTCTTATAGAGCCCTAAGATTAGGATAAGTAGGTAAAGGAGCTATAGGCTCGTATAGATAGAACTATCTATAATTTAGTCTTCTTTAATAAGTAGGACCCTCTCGAGCCCCCTCTTTATCTTAGGGCAATAGAATTTATAGAAGGAGCTTCC